CCCTGTCCCAAAGTTGGCGGCGACATACCGCGGCGGCGACGGCATGGTTGGTCAAACCGACGCTTAGGGCCTCTTACGGCCACGCTACACTACCCTAATTTGAGCACTCTCCTGCTAACCTTAGCTATTAAGTGTCTTGACAATCGGCAGAAGAACCTTCACTCTTAGAGCGCCAATTTGCAGTCAAGGATGTAGAGCTAGTGTTTAAGCCTATGTGACGAGATAAAGACAAGGAAGGGAAGAGATAACAGGGATGAGGAATAGATAGCAGCAGCAGTCTTGGCAACTCTGCACTGCCATTTGACAAGCGTCCGGCCAAGGTCAGGGTTTCCCTACCGACCAGAGGTCACTTATGGGTGACTAGATGGGCAATCGTGACAGCTTATGGTGGTACTATGCGCAAACAACAGAATTCAACAACAATCTAAACATACAGTAGTTTTCTTTAAAATTATCTCTACCTACTAGCCATCGTTTGATATCTATTTATCAGGTGGTGTTGGTGTCATGAATTTTTACAGGAAGTGAAAGCTTCAAATTCCGCCCGGCAACGATTTGTGTCCGTAAGCCTCGGACCAAACAGAGCAAACACAGGCATCTTCCTCGAAGTTACGTCAGATTCCAGAATCGCGGAATCGCCGAGACAAACCATCACTTTTCTCACAAACCCATTCCAGGAACAGACCACTCTCGGTCGTCACTGTCGCATAGGGACGCTCTCAAACAACTGAACTATCTCACACCTGTCGTCCCGCTCTACACCAAGCAATCTCTCGGCCAACACAAGCTCAAGAAAAGTACAAACACCATCACCACTGCCAAAATGCCAAAAGAACGCTCTATCAACCCCGTCGCCGCTCAACACAAAGCAGACAAGAAACAACAATTGAAAAAATCAAAACAAAATGTCCAAGCCCAACGTAACGAAAAGCTCGCCCGCCGCAACCCAGAACGCCTACAACGTCAAATAGACGACCTGAAATCGCTAGCCACAACCCAACAATTGCGACCAAAAGACCAAGCCACACTCGATCAACTGGAAAAAGATTTGAGGGCAGTAAGGAAAGCGAGGGATGTGTTGGGAGAAAAGGCACCGGCGTTCGCGAAGAGAAGAGAAGGAGGTGGTGTCCAAGAGGGAAGGAAAAGGAGGAGGGTAGAAGAGGAAGATGGAGACGAGACTGATGAGGATGTGAGGAACATTCCTATGCCCAAGGATACGCCGCCGCCCGTGCCGCGAAGAAATCAGCCTCATCAGTTGCCGAACAAACCCGCTGTGTCTGCTGCTCCGGTGGTGGCGCAAACGACATACAGCTCTGCACCTGTGTTGCGCAATCTCAAGGAAGAGTCGAGAAAATTCGTGCCCACCACGGTGGCTCAGAACATTACGCGACAAAAGGGTCAAGGTGGGCGGTTGCTAGAGCCGGAAGAGGCGGACAAGCTGGAAAAGGCAGGCTACAACGATGCCAGAAAGGTGGCCGATGAGATGGAGAAGGAGGCAGAGTTCGAGATGATGGGTCGAGGAGAAACAGCTGAGAAGGCACTCAGACATGTCGAGATGGAGGAGGTCGAAGACGAGGGCATCTGATCCGCTGATTACGTCCTAGCGACTACTGTAACACGTATCCAATTGCATACCAATACAGTGAAGCACTGATTACATCTCGCAAGTGTAAGGAATGCACTCACAGGTGCTCGTGGAAGAAATTCAACAGTATCAGACGGTTCACGCACGTCTTGGTCAACTGACTTCGATGTGGCTCTGCCAGAAAGTCGCGACCACAATGAAACTACCTTTACCAACATCATGACGGCCACTGATAGGTTTACCAAGCGCAAGAACCATTACTACGGTTGATGCAGCATACCCTATGCTACACATCAGCAAACCACACGGCCTTCCTAAAGAAATGGTCACAGACCGCGGCACCCAATGGGACTCTGGGTTCTTCCGCGAGCTCTCAAAACTCCTCAGCATCCAGCAATCAATGTCATCAGCATGGCATCCTCAATGTCTCTCCCTTCTTTGCAGACCGTGGGCGCAATATGCGCAGCCTTTCACCAGACCAGCAGGCACCATCACCTTCGTCAAGCGATCGCGCGCCCGCGCCTGTCAGACTTCTGAGAGAAGACGTGACAGGCTCCGCCCGGCGAAGAAACTTGACAACAAGCGCATCGGCCCCTTCAAGATTGAAAAGAGAATAACAAACGCGTTCTTCTCTGCTTACTACTCTGCAGTCATACAAACTGTGGAATTGACGTGTTTCAAGATTATTTACTGCCAACCACTTGATAGAAGTCGGCGAATCCCGGTAGATGCGGAGATGCGGGAGTGATCAGATCAGCCGACCGTCACTTGCGTCAATCACCACAATTCAACTTTCTTCCTTCCTTTCCAACAATCCTTTGTAGAACGCGAAAAACCAAATACATGCGGCCCTACTGCAGTCTCCTTACAACTTCCATCCGCCGCACTTTCTCGAAGCAATCACCACGCATGGCCCTCTACAACAGCCCAGGACACAGCACCAGCACCAGCGCAGCAATGTCGTCCTCTACACCCAATAAACGCATCTTCGCCCCCGGCGGCACAAACGACTCCCAGCAAGCCCAACAATACACAAAAGGCAGTCTCGAAGCAGACCAACTCGACCCCAACCCGCTTACCCAATTCGACATATGGTTCCAACACGCCAATGCCGAAAAGGTACACCAACCCGAAACCGTCACTTTGAGTACTGCAGAACTACCATCGGGAAGAGTAAGCGCGAGAATGGTATATTTGAAAGAGTTGGACGACAAAGGTTGGGTGGTGTACAGTAACTGGGGCACCAGCAGGAAGGCTGCAGATGTAAAGAGCAATCCTCATGCGAGTTTGACTTTTTGGTGGCATGAGTTGGAAAGGCAGGTTCGGGTTGAGGGAAGGGTGGAGAGAATGACTAGTGAGGAGAGTCAGGTATACTACGACACGCGCATCCGTGGCAGCAGGATGGGTGCTTGGGCGAGTCAGCAGAGCAGTGTGCTCAGCAGTCGTGAAGAGCTTGAGAAGCAGGTTGAGGACGTTGAGAAGAGGTTCGATGGGCAAGACAAAATCCCTGTACCGGAGTTCTGGGGTGGCATCAGAGTCATTCCGGAGATGGTCGAGTTCTGGCAGGGAAGACCCAGTCGCTTGCACGATCGTTTCAGATATACCAGAGATGAGAAGAGTGAGTCTGGATGGAAGGTCGACAGATTGAGTCCGTAAGTCAAGCAATCAAGCAAAGTTTACAGGCTCCCTTGAGTAGCGACATGTCCCTTCCTGGCCCTTGGGACCCGATCCGCTTTACCGGATTCGTGACACTGGATGGCTTCTCGCACGCTTAGCAACACATAGCGCGAATCCCATCTCGCTTCCTCTCTTGTACGACAACATTGGTAAATTGAGTTCTTGGACCTCGGAGACCATCGACACACTGGCTTACCGACTGGCCTTCGAGAAAACCCAGACCCATCTGAGCAGTGTCGCTAGCTTTCACTGGCCATGGATTCATGCCTGTCAGGGCCGGGGTAGTCTGAGAGCTTGCCCTCGACAATCTTGGCCTTGTTCTCGAGGGGGAAGGTGACATTGGCTCCTCTCTACTGTCGCTCAGCCTGATCACATCAATGTCGCAGAAGCTTGGCCCAGAGACTACCTTGTGTGATGGAAAAAAATATTGGAGATATTACCCTAACTCACCACGCGCACTTACTGGCTCCCTCGCGCGATCGATCCTTCGTCACCTCGAGACGGGGCATCAGACAGCTTCTCGACTGCAACCCACCTTGGCGATTCAGCGTGACGGAAGAAAAGTCTTCCTGGCGACGGGTTGTAGCAGAGGTCCGCATCGGCGCCTGTGGTTCGATGGTTTCTCACATTTCTTTCCTAATGCGGTAGGTGCATGCGGGGAGCTTGCTCCCCTAGGAGCGCACGTTTCGACGGTCACACGTCGGCGTCTCTCCTTGCGAGGAGCTTCCAATGCTTTCTAGGTCTGCAACCATGCCTTGATTCATTACAGGATCTGCCAGAAAGAGAGGACATTATCGAAAGCGGGTCCTCGCCAAGGACCGTCTACAGCCACGTTCTGATGATCACCTTCGTGGCTTTCACCGCTGTCTGACTCGGAATTTTTGCTGCCATCACTCTCTTCTAAACAATTCGAGTCCGAACCAGAATCGGAGTCGGAGTCAGAGTCAGAATCGGAGTTTTCCAGGTCTACAAGGTCACTAGGATTGCGACGTTGACCCGATGTGGTTATGAGCATTGGCTCACGACGACTGAGAATGGTATTGCTCACAGCAGCTAGTTGATTGTCAGCGCAAGTAAGCTGTGATTAAAGAGAAGGATGCTCACCATGACTGGCATGCAGAGCACAGTCTGGTTCTATACGACCTTCTCTCGAGGTCACATCGCACCAAACCCTGACCTTGCCATCTGTTCCGCCAGCCCAGATATCAATCTTTCCTTCAGGATTGCTCGCGACGTCGAAGGACAGCTTAAGTGTAGTAAGTGCACAACGTCCAGTCACATAGCTTAGCCGCTGTCCGGTGTGCCTGATATCGTACACAAGTAGAGCATCGCTCTGACGTTCGGCGACGAAGAGGTAATTTCCACATGGACTCCAAGCAAGTTGGCTGACACCGTTGCCTCTAAGCAGACTGTCTTCTGCGTCATTGAACTTCAAGTCGAAGGCGGCCACAGTCTCTCCTTGTCCGGCATTCTCAAACAAGCCTACTTGACGATTGTACGTTCCTGCGGCCAGGATGTTATCAGCGGACAGAGCCAATGAGGAAACTATGCCGCCAATGCCTGCAGTATCGGCACCATAGAGTTTCCTCGCCTTGCGACCTTTTCTTGTAGGATACTCGTTCACCGGCCCTCCTCCAACTTCTATATCGAATAGAGCGATATTGTCTTTTGTACCAGCAATGAAGCGGGTGTTGTCAATGAAGAGCAGGGATGATGGCGAAATGTAGGCTTCGGTAAGAGGATTCTGCCATGTATAAGATGCGTGTGTATATGAGAGATCGAGAGCGTTAGTCAAGCGAAGAGGTAGGTCTGGCTGAGAGGTCAAGAGAAGGGTACTCGCAGGGTTGGTGACATCGAAGGCGGGGTGAAGGGTAAAGGATGAGAGCTTGATTGGTGAAGGAGCAGAGCAATAGGGTGAGACTATTGCCGGCTTCTCGTCGCCGTGGAATGAGGGACTTGTGCATGTTAGCCAGAGGCATAAACAACCACAGACGAAAAGGAAACAGATGATGGAAGAAAGAGAGATTGAAAACAGTGGTGCCTTCAGCATGATCCTTACACTGCAAAGGTTCTCAATATGAGATCCTCGTTATATGTGACTACAGCGGTGCCATCGGCTGACAGAAGGGCATGGCGGAAGCAATTGCTCTCGTTCCTGTCTAAGGAAGTCGCGACGCCGTAAACTTGTTCAGCCCAGCCAGGATGCGTCTCGTCGACGGTGCAGCGATATTTGTCGCCTGTTGAAGCAACACATCTTATTTCGGACTGCTTCTCTACAGCTGGTGTAGAAGTCGCAAGTCCTTCTTCAACCATGTCGTCGTCTCGATAGAAAGGCCCCAATTGCGGAACTGCGGAAGACGTCGGAGCGTGATCGGTTTCGAGCACGAGGTCGTAGAAGAACTTGTCATGTACAATCAGCCACTGACACGGACCGCGAAGCAAAGAGCTCGTTGTGGACCCTCGGACAAGGTTGTATGAAGTGTTGAAAGAAGGGCGTGCACACGAAGCGAGACGCGGAAAGAATTCCGTGAGCGGCAGGGAAATATAAACTGTCGGCGTGGGGCACCTTCAGCCTTCAGGACAGCTTCATGCTTTCCACACGTCGACACTTTCTCACTCGCTTCTCGAAGACATTGAGAGTCGCCAGAATGAGCAGCCAATCCCTCCCAACTCGCGGGGCCAATGGCAGTGACAGCGAGACAGTCCAGGACGAACGCACCGTCCCTCCAATGGGCATGACGTCTTCGCAGTTCAACCATGCCGCAACACAAGCGATTGGCGACATCACAAAGTACTACGACAACATCGCCGAACGACCCGTTCTTCCTTCCGTCGCCCCTGGATATCTGGCTAAGATCCTGCCGCAATCACCGCCCACCGAAGCCGAGAGCTGGGACAAGATCCGCGCCGACATGGAGTCCAAGATCATGCCCGGCATGACGCATTGGCAGAGTCCCGACTTCATGGCCTTCTTCCCGGCCAGCAGCTCATATCCAGGCATGATGGGCGAGTTGTGGTCGGCTGCATTGACCGTGCCCGCCTTCAACTGGCTCTGCTCGCCCGCCGTCACCGAACTCGAGACAATCGTCATGGACTGGGTCGCTCAGATGCTTGCACTGCCCGAATGCTTCTTGTCAAAGGGTAAGGGCGGCGGTGTCATCCAAGGCTCTGCTTCCGAAGCCATTGTAACATGTATGGTCGCTGCTCGTGAGCGCTTCATCACGCGGACTCTGGAGAAAGAAGGCATTGTCCTCACTGAAGAACAAAAGGAGGACCGTTCTGCTGAGATCAGAAGCAAACTGGTTGCACTGGCTACAAAACACACACACAGTTCCACCCACAAGGGTGCGAATATCGCTGGCACGAGATTCCGCAGCATTGACACTCAACTGTCGAATGCTTTCGGTCTGCAAGGTCGCGAACTCCGAGCCACGATCGAGAAGCTCAAGTCTCAGGGGCTGGAGCCTTACTTCTTGACCGTCTCTCTGGGTACGACAAACACTTGCGCAGTCGACGATTTCGCCTCGATTGCAGAAGTCAAGAGAGACTACCCCGACATCTGGATACATGTTGATGCCGCCTACGCCGGTGTCGCCCTCGTCTTGCCAGAATACCAACACTACTGCAAGCACTTCTCTGCCTTTGATTCCTTCGACACAAACCTCCACAAATGGCTCCTCACAAACTTCGACGCTTCCTGCCTCTTCGTCCAAAACCGCCGCGATCTCACCGATGCCCTCTCCATCACTCCCGCCTACCTCCGCAACGAATTTTCAGATCAAGGTCTTGTTACTGATTACCGCGACTGGCAGATCCCTCTGGGCCGCCGTTTCCGCGCTCTCAAGGTCTGGTTTGTCATCAGGACTTGGGGTGTGGAAGGTCTTCGCGCACACATCAAGCACCATCTTAAACTCGCTGACCTCTTCGTTTCACTGGTGAAATCACGTAGCGATCTTTTCACCATCATCACACCTCCTGCTTTCGCTTTGACTGTATTGACAGTCAACCCTACACCAAAGCAGTCCGCACCCAAACCCTCGAGCACAGAAGGTGAACCTGATGCTCAACATACTGTGCCATATCAAGACAGTCATGTGGCTATCATCCCCCAACAGCCAGATTCCGATACATTGACACGGGCGAACGAGGTGACGAAACAGGTTTATGAGATTATCGACAAGGAAAAGAAGGTATTTTTGACGAGTTCGTTGGTTGGAGATGCTTATGCCATCAGAGTTGTCAGTGCCAATCCATTGGCGAGTGAAGAAGGTATCCGCAAGGCTTTCAGGTTGTTGGTAGAGGCTGCAGAGACTGTGCTTGACGTCAAGAAATAGACAGGTGGTATCACTGGTGCTGGTAGATTCTCCTCTCATGATTAAAGATTTTTTCCGAGCTATGGAACAAACTCTCCTCAAAACACAACCATGTTCCGTGAGCACACTGCTCGTTTAGGAAGTTGCGATGGGGCATCTATGCATACGTCACGCGAGGCACGTCGACTTATCAGGGATCTCCATATGACCATCCTTCCCGACTGGCCACCAAGCTCACCCAATCTTAATCCTATCGAGAACGTATAGGCGTTGGTGAAGCAGCGCGTACATGCGTTGGAAGAGCAACCACACGGCCGCGAGGCGACGATGGCAGCGATACGACAAGAATGGGCGAATCTGACCTGTCTCGAACTCGAAGCCCTCGTCGAAGCGATGTCTCGATCGCATCGAGGCGTGTATCGAAGTATAAGGTGGCCATGCGAAGTAGAGTGGTGAAGGAGCGGCCGTGGCGAGGGCGAAGGCTGGCGTTGGGTGTGTCCTTGTGTTCTTCCTCTTGTTTCCACCTCTTGTTCTAACCGTTGTATCCTTATGTTCCACTTCTTGAATGGGTCTTATTTCGTACGTAGGAGTTGGTCAGGTTCGGCGATGATTGGTCGGGCGCGCGCGTCGTGATTCTATCGAGAAAACGAATAGAAAAGGGAACGAACATCAGAGGCGATCAAGCTTGGAGATTTTATTTCATAACATTTCGAATGCCCGGCGATGAGTAGATTTCCAGTTGGCGCTGACCCTTCCGAAGCATGTATTCGATAGCGCTGAAGTCCTTCTTGTCGTAATTCTGGTGCTCCCGGAACTCGGTCCTTCGAAGACGGCGTCAGCCTTTGGGAAATCAAGCACCTGTGGACAAAACTTACCGAGTGAACTGCAGGAAATTGGGTCTGACGTCCTGATCATGGTTACTTTGTGAAGAGAGCTTGTTATGTCATATGCTTACGGTAGGCTTCTTTCGTGTTTCACGAAGACATTTGCGGTAAAGAGACAAGACTTCGCGCTGAAGACCGGATAAGCGCGCCATGTTGATCAATCAGGGTATACTTCGGGTGGTTGTGCGCAAGGAAGGTGTATGAGATAATATGACAAGGGTGCCTTGGTACAATACTTAAAGAGTGGTATGTGAAATTGTGGTGGTTGTCACAGTCTCACAGAGTCGAGTCGATGATGGGGAGCTTTGGCATGACGCGCTTGAGCCGGCTCCGAGACCGCTCACGTCCATGTCGCAACACGTCGACGACTCAATCTCTTCACCTTCCAATCCATCACGATACCGAAGACGTCGCATATCTCATCCGTCCTCTTTCCAGAATGCCTACTCCTCGCCAAGTCTACGTTGCCGTCATTGGTATGACTTTTTGCACAACTGCCCCTCCACACCCCGCCATCCTTCTTCCACCACCCGTTGACAATCAACAATCAATCGCCATGGACTAACAGTACCCAGGTGTCGGCGGTGTCGGAAAATGCTTCCTTGACCAATTCCAGGCCCTTCGAACCCGCATGTCACAAGCCACATCTCCCACCTACCTCGATCTCATCTTCGTCTCGCGCTCGTCAAAAGTCCTCTTCAGCGAGAGCTTCCGCCCTTTGAACCTTGACACCGTCGAGTCCGATCTTGCCTCATCCAAGCAACCCATCCTCGAAGCCTCCGCTCTTGTCGAGTACCTCGCGACCGCCCCCGAACAGGTCATCCTCGTCGACAACACTAGCTCGCTCGACATCGCACGACAATATCCTGCCTTCTTGCGCAAGGGTATCAGCGTCGTCACTCCCAACAAGAAGGGCTTCTCCGATAACTATGAGCTCTGGAAGGACATCTTCGCCGCTGCCTCTAACGGTACTGGCAATGGTGGTTACGTCTTCCACGAGAGTACCGTTGGTGCCGGTCTACCCGTCCTCTCTACCCTGAAAGAGCTTGTCGAAACTGGCGATGAGGTTACAAAGATCGAGGGTGTCTTCTCCGGTACCATGAGTTTCTTGTTCAACAGCTTTATGCCTGTTGGTGGCGGTGGTGGCTCCTTTGCTGCAGAGGTCAAGAAGGCCAAGGATCTCGGTTATACCGAGCCCGACCCAAGAGACGACTTGAACGGTCTAGATGTCGCTCGCAAGCTGACCATTCTCGCCCGTCTCGTCGGCTTGAAGGTCCAGAACCCCACAAGTTTCCCTGTCCAGAGCTTGATCCCCAAAGAGCTGGAGTCGTGCACCAGCGGCGACGACTTCATGTCTCGCCTGCCCGAGTTCGATGACCAGATGGAGAAGCTGAAGCGAGAAGCCGCTCAAGAGGGCAAGGTCGTCCGTTTCGTCGGCAGCATCGACGTCGTTAGCCAAAGCGTCAAGGTCGGGCTTGAAAAGTTTGACGCCAGCCACCCTATTGCTGCCCTCAAGGGAAGCGACAACATCATCAACTTCTACACCAAGAGATATGGTTCCAACCCTCTTATCATCCAAGGCGCTGGCGCTGGTGGTGAGGTTACTGCTATGGGTGTTACTGGTGATCTTCTCAAGGTCCTCCGTCTACTCAACTGACGCCAGGATAAATCTAAGCTGTAGAAACGCTATGCAGATGGGAAGATATGGATACAGAAAAGTTTCTGAATATGAATGATCAATCTGATACTACATCTTATCGTTCAGGGAGTTGCGCCGTGCTTTCGGAATCCTCAACTTGGTCGGATCTGCAGGTGCTTGACCATCATCTCTCCTTCCTCTTCAGCTCAAACAACGAGACCTCCCATCATTAGCAACGTGAACCTCATAGGCGGAAGCATGAAAAACATTCAGCCACAGCTCTGCACCCTTTGACAGGGACGAGCCACGAAATGCAGGGATATCATGATACCATCTGATCGAGATCAGAAAAAAACTTCAATGTTGCGACGTCGAGCACGCAAGAGCGGCTCCGTCGACTTTGCAGCCATGTAACATTAGCTACGAGACATGAAATGATTATAATTCAGACCTTCATCTTGCAATCTTCCCCATGATCGTACCGTGTGATGTTGAAGCAGAGCAGAGCCTCAGTTGAGCCTCATGCGCTAAGAGAAAGTGTTGGCGGGGGCATGCGACGAAAGCGGCGAACCCCGAAGACAGCTGAAAGGTAAAACAATTGGAGTGTGAGAGTGAGATGAAGAGATAACAAACGATTTCTCCATATTTAGAAGCTACTTCACTCCTGTGAGTCGAACATTGTTGCTGTTTCTTACCTCATCCTCTTTCGACCCCTGGTCGACGTCCTTTTTAGAAACAAGCCTCCTCCTATCACCGACCACATTTCGCTAGATTACATCCAGACCAGCACAATGTCAGCTCCTCGTCCCTTCATTACATGCCATGTCCTTGAGACGGTCTCGGGTCGCCCGGCGCCTGATATGCGCGTCACTCTCTCGCTGCTCTCCCCACAATGCTCCAACTCGTCTACACCTACCGTCTTTACCGCATCTACCAACTCCGACGGCCGCGTGACCGCCTGGCAGTCCAAGGGCACCGTCACCACCTCTGAGCTCGACCACCTAGTCAGCTCACTCAAGTCCGACCTCAAGGATGATGAGCAGATGAACTGGAGCTTAGTCTTTGCGACCGAGGAGTTCTACGGCAAGGGCAAGACCTTCTGGCCTGAAGTCGAGCTCAAGTTCTGCACGAGCAAGGATGAGAGACACTACCACGTTCCTCTGCTCTTGGGTCCCTGGAGCTACACTACCTACCGTGGCTCGTAGGCGAAGGGCGAGAGTTTCGACATTGAAACACGACAAGAGCATGATTTACGAGATACCAACAGCGAGCCCAGTACGATGGCAGGGGCCCAGGGACGAAGGACAATTGCCGATACTCAAGTACAGGGGACAGGCAGACAGCGAGAAAGGGTTGAAACAACAAACAAGCTTCGCTCGGAAAGACTAAAGCACACTTGCAGAATGAAGACGGTTCCACGACTGAATACCATCTCATAAATATCTCTTCACTCCCCCTTCTTGTTCCTAACGTCCCTGCTCATCTGCGCCCAATTCAACACCGTCGTATTCAATGATGCCATTGAGGTACTGTTGTTTTTCAATGTAATTGTCCACGGCTCTTTTCACGTCCTCGTAGGCCTCGTTGAGCAATTCTCTGGCTATTCTGACGCGTGTGTCTTTGTCCAGTAGGCGTAGGGCGTCTGAGATGGCAGGGTGCGCGGTGGGAGTGAATGTGTTGAGCAGACTCGAGACATCTTGGCCATTGGCGGGCTGGAGCGAGGACGGTGTTTGATGGGATTGAAGCGCGGGAGAACTGGTGGAAGGGTGATTGAGCGCGGACGCGAAGGCCCTGTCGATCTGTGCGCGATTGTAAGCGGCTCCATTGCGTGCGGGCGGCTGAGTGGTGGGTGTCGACGCGTGCGAGATGGGGTTTGCGCCGGCGCGCAGTGCAGAGGAAGGTGTGGGTCGGTCAGAGCGAGGTGTGTCGTTGATGCCGTTCAGTCTCGGTGGTGCAGCGGCAACACCACCATTGCCAAACAGGACGGCAGCGGCCTGCGCGCCCAGGTTTCCTCCATTGACTGCTCCCATGCCTACGGCGCCTTGTCCGTGGCCTTGTTGCAGTCGTCGGCAGCCGGTTTGGTTCAAGACGGCTTCCAAGACCGAGACGGGCATTTGCTCCAGCTCTCTACACAGGTAGCCGCCAGCGTTTTCGGCCTCGACGAGCTGGACGACGTGTTCGTTGAATGCGACACATTGTTTGAGATGGGAAGTTTTGCGCGAAGTGCTGTTGTAGGCGACTTTTTTCTCTATGCACCACTTGCACTGGACGGCGCGTGATTTTCCATCCGAGTCGCAGTCCTGGAATTGTCGACTGGCCCAGGCTTGTTGAGGTGGCATGGCGAGATCAAAGTAGGCGAGTCGTTTTCGACCTTGATGGAGATGTTCCGAATGTTCTTGGGAGTTGACAACCGACTGAGACGTTGTGGCACTGGCAGAAGTGGTTGTCGACCAGTTGGCCACGCATCTCTGCCGCAGTTTAGCATCCAATGGCCCGTGCCCGAGAGCCAAGCTCACGCGTTGGGATTGTGACTTGCACGTTCAGCTCTGTCAACTGTCACGTTCAGCTCTACCAATTGTCACTTCAGTTCGAAGGCAAGGAATTGTGTACAGTGGTCAAGGAAAATTAATCTATTTCATACTTCTTCCTCTCATCTGGAGGACCAAGTGATAGCTGCCTGAATTATGCAAATGTAAATGTCCATTCCTTCAACCTTTTTCTCCCGAGGGTATCGCTAAACTTCGTGTCTGGGACAACTGGCAGATGACGAATTTACGTCTCTACCTTCGGAACTACCTTGACTCCTCGGCGACGTCGATGCCCTGGAGCAAGAAGTCCGTGGACTGTGAAATTGTCAGTCTGACTGACATTTGACGAAACTATTTCCAACAGAGAGAAGATTACTCACCTTTCAATCTTCGACCAAGAAGTCTTTCTCCTCAACGGGATCTTCGAATGGTCGGACGACAGCATTCCCCGCTGGGAATGTTCGGTCTGCAAAAGCACAGGAAAACATGCACCCAATCCAAGCTTGACAAGCCACTCTCTATACATACCCACCGCATCTTTGCCCAGCCCAAAGAAGAAGAAGATCAAAAGCCCACACCCGAGATTGGTCCAGCGATCGTACAAGACCGTAGATGGTATCACCACACTGGAATTCCAAGAAGAGGGGTCATGGATGGTAGAGAAGGAGAAGGGCTTGGCACCTGGGGGAGGAACTTGGACGACGAGGATGTAGATCTGGAGAGGGGTGATGCCGATGAGAAAGACAAAGGCGATGATGAAGAGGCGGAGGAAGCGGGAGCGTGTTGTGTTGCTGCTGGCGAGGATGGAGTTGAAGGAAGATTTGTATTTGAAGAGGCGAATGATGACGATGACTGCGAGGCATTGTGATCAGTGATGGTTCAGAAGGAGAAATAGCAGTCGATAATCACCAGCAAAGTAGACGGCAACAGCGTTGGTGAGTAGCAGTGGCAGAGCTGTGAGCGTCCAACCCGTCCAGTCGTTTGTGATGAACGGTTGACAGCCAGAGACACCGGTGAGAGCGAACCGATTGAACTGCACGATCCACTGCAACAGCATGGTAAACAACGGCAACACCACACACCATACCATCTCAACCGCTGTATTCCTTCGCTTCTGTGCTTTCGTCGGCCCAAGTAGATTCTTCTCTGTGTTCAGCACCCTGGCAAGTGCACGCAACAAGCACAACACTGCTGCTGTCAATCCGGGACTTCTGGCTCCAAGCAGCTTGATCTCTACATCACAAAGACCTTGACCGTCATACATGGACCGCATGTCAATATACGGCCATATGATGACGTTGATTGCAGTCATGAAGTTCATCAGCATGACCCAGAAGACCATGCAAATGGCTGCTGTGTTGCGGTTGCGGAAATGCCATATGAGAGGTGGAAAGTTGAGAATGAAGACGAACGGGGCGAGGACGGCGAGGATTATTCCTTGAGGGATGATGTGCGTTTCGACAATCATGTAGTTCTCTGGTGTAGCCATTGCTTGAGGCTTGGGGGCGAGGATCGCCGTCGTGGATCCTTTGCGGAAGTTGATGTTGGTGCTGTTGGTAGACCTTCAAGAAACGGGGGAGGATGAAAGAGATTCTTTGAGAAGCATGAAAGAAGACATGGGGGAGAAGGAAATAGTGATGGGAAGGTACTTGACCGTGAGTGATTCTGCTGAACCACCCTCAATAAGCCCAATAGGCCTCAATAACCTGAGACAAGACGAACAGGCCTGAATAGCTTGCCAGTGCAGAGTTGGCAAGAGCGACGAATGGCGAGTTGACATTGGGAATATGCTTGTTGATTTGTGCAAGTGTTTCGCGTCAGTCTGGGGTGAGAGTGTTGTCTGAGAAGCCCCAACCCGGACACCTACCGAATTGGGTGTTCAATAGGAAAAACACCACAACAGATATCGCTACGGTTCGAGAACCTCAACGGAATGTTCACATGATCTGGTTTGGTGTCTTGACGCCTTCAGACAACCTCCAAAGGTGCATTGGTGTGCAAATTGAATGAATTTTGCTCATGATCGGCGTTTTGATATGGACATGAGGTATGGTACGTGAGTTAGCATCTACACAGCCTTGCGACCGAAGACCTTGATCCTCGAAATACCTCCGTCGGGAATCATGACGAGCTTCACAGAGCCGTAAGCCTTGTCTTGCACCTGGCTCAATACACTACCCTCGTAGACATGTTCAAAGTCCGGACCGGTCTTCTGCGGCGACAGGATCTCAACCCAAGCGGAGGAGTCGTGCTCAGGAGCCGTTTCGCTGGCAGGGGCAGCGAATACCTGGACCTTTTGAGGGAAGTTGCCACGGAAGTGTGCAGTATCGATGAGGAGCTTCTCAATGATGCCCGAGACACCGAGCTTGATGATGCACCAATCGACGTGTACACCTCGAGTGCGCTTGGTCTCCCATCCGTCGCCCATATCCTTGCCTCTGCCAGGAAGCAAGAGGTTGTCTTTTGTGCCGAAATGCTGATCCGAGCACTTGATGGCCACACCTCCGTTGACGATGGCAGCAAGATCAAAGACGGCAGAAGTGTCTTGAGGAAGAACGGCTTGTACATCGCCAAAGAGTCTGAAGCGAGCGATACCGCCGTCTGGGAACATCTGCAACCTCACATGGGTGTATGGTTTCGTTGTCTCAGGAAGCAGCCAGGCGTGTCGCTGACTGGGTCCGCACTCTTGTATCGGCAGGATAGTCTCCCACTCGCCAAAGTCCTTGCTCTTGATCTCTTCCTCGCGATCGTCGGATGCGAAACATGCTTGGACAGCAACTTCGGGAGCGTGGTTGCCGTTGAAGAAGGCAGTGTCGATTTCCACGCCCTTGACTCTGCCGGAAGCAACGCCTAGACGGAAGACGACCCAGTCGAAAGGTTCGGTGTTGTGACGGCGTGTTTCCCAGCCATCGTACCAGGCGCCGCTGAAGACGAAGACGCCGGGTTTGCGAATGGGTGCCGTGGGAGTGGTGAGGTTCTCGGCGGCGGCGAACCATTCGTCGGAGAAGGAGAGGATGCGCGAGCCCAGGGGTTTGCTGATCAGGTCGATGCTGGTCGAGCCAAAGGTGGCTTGGATGTCTTCGACTGCGATGGCTTTGACTTGGCCATTGCTAACTGTGTCAATTGATTCGGCGTGGATCTCCATGGCGACGTACTGTTGATGTCTGGTAGGAAGAAAAGAGGAGAAGACAGAGACAAAGAAGCACAAGAAAGAGCGAAAAGTTGTCGGGTTCACACTGATTGTTGCTTACTCGATGGATTGATTTCCTATCGAGTAACACCCCGCCGTATCAAGATACGGAGCTCGCCGCGCCCGCTGATCGGTCCCTGCCAAGCCCTGCAGTCCCCGACACCGCTGTCAAGATTGCGGAGGTCGTTGCGGAGAACGATGTAGGAAATCGCATGCGACGGGAAACCCATTCTGTTGTCTGCTGCTGTACCGGCTGTCAAACTCTCCCGTGCAATCTTGCATCGGCAGTGCTTTCAACATTTGATCCATCTTCTACGGCGTGTCCAACACCCCAGTCTCCACGGAAGGATGATCAATGGCAATCCGCACCGCAATGAGGTAATTAAGTCCGGAAAGAAGAGGAGCAGGACAAAGGCACGGAGGTGACCGCGAAAAGACGGTGTTGCTGCTCACACGATGAGGGCGTCCACGCCGTACAGGACGCCCTCTGAGTTGCAACCTGAGGAAGCAGAACTACCCCGCTGACTCACCGCTGCGACAAAAGGAACATCTAGTGAGAATCTAGAGGGACATTGTCGGTGATAGAAAAGAACTAGGAATCGTATCTCGGGGGGCTTGTATATAATATATGGTGCACTCAAGCTTCGACACCGTGATCAAGACGGATTCAGAAGGTGGCGTACCTGCCTCAGGAGATCGCCTGCTTGAACGGTGTCTTGATGCTCAGACCCATGCGCCTTCTCGTATCCTACGAGAGCTCGCTCGAACATTGGTTCTGCTTCCGCTAGCCTGCCCTGTTTGGCATAGAAGTGGCCTAGGTTGCTATGTACATGTGAAACAACAAGATGCTCAGACCCAAATGCATTTTCTAAGCCTGCCAGCGCTCGGTTTTGCATCTCTTCTGCTTCTTCTAACCGGCCCTGGTCGCTGAAAACAACGCCTAGGTTGAGGACTGTGTATAGAGTGCTCGCATGCTCGGGCCCAACTGTCTTTTCGAACCCTGCAAACACCCGCTCGAACATACGTTCTGCTTTTTCTGGACTGCCCTGAGCCTGATAGAGAAGACCCATATTATTGAATGCTTGTAAGGTCTGCGTATGCTCTGGCCCGTGTATCTTCTCGTATCCTGTAAGTACTCGCTCGTACATCTTCTCTGCGTCTGCTAGCCTGTTCTGCGCTGTAAACACAAGGCCCATGGTATTCAACGAATCAAGAGTCGACGGATGTTCAGGGCCGAGTGCGAATTCAAATCCCGCTAGTGCTTTCTCGTACATCTCTTCTGCTTCTGCTAGCCTGCCTTGAGCCTGATAGACATTGCCTAGACCACGGACAGTGGCGAGGGTAGATATGTGCTCAGGTCCAGATGCTCTCTCTTGTCCTACTAGTGCCCGCCTGAGCATCCCCTCTGCAGCTGCAAGCCTACCTCGGGTTAGATAGGCAATGCCTGAGTTGAAGATGGTGTCGAGGGTAGACGTGTGATCAGGCCCGAGCAGAATCTCTTTTCCTGCCAATGCTCGCTCGTAAATTTTTTCTGCTTCTTCATATCTGCCCTGATATCTGAAGATATAGGCCAGCTGAGCAAATGCGTGATATTCATCGATGCTGAGTCTCGCGTTTCTCTCGTCTTCGACGAAGCGCATAATTGTCTGAGCATGTGGCAGAAGTCTCCGTTGTAGAATCAAGATCTCGTCCGTCTCCAGGAGTGGCATGGCTTGTCCGACTATACAAGAAGCCAGCCGGCGGAAGTCGCCTTTCTCGCTGTCGTGCTGAGCGACATGAAGGCACCATGAGTGAAGAGCAGAGTGCATAGCGTAGCTCCTTGTCTCCATCTTGCTCTCGACTAGCGAGTACTTAATCAACAGACCCATGGCGCGATTGAATTCGAGCTTGTTCTCAGCCAACAGCAACAGCCATTTTGGCACGACGACGCGTGAAGCGAGCGACTTGCTCGTAAGATATATTCCAGGTCGTTAACACACTCCTTTCCGAATCTTCTTGCAAGCAATATTCATCTTGCTTTTCCATCAACTGCTGCCAGGATCACCAAGCAAGGGAAATCGTTCATCAACCCAGCCGCCTCCATCTCAAAGCAAATGGCCTTCTCAGCTGCTGCAATTCTGTCTCTCTCTTGGCCGTTTTTTATCACCATGTCTCCTGACAGAATAGTGCCATAGAAGACCTGAGGCGTATCATCTTCGCGATCGGGGCGCTGCACGATTGGAAGAGCGGACAGGCAATGATCGCAGTCGGTTTGGTTCCTCGGATGGAAGGCGTTCGATTCAAATAATCTGTCGTGCTGCGCACCCTGGAATCCGAAACGCTTGGCCATCCTGTGGTTGCTTAGTATTGCAGTCAGGTGTTGTGGGAGTTCGGGTTCCATCCAGACATGCTTCTCCCGAAGCGACGTGATCGCGCTCAAAAGAGCCTTCGGAGGCTTGTCCAGGTGACCCTTGCGATGGAGGCCATCCAATTCCAGCTTCCCAAGATCATACTGCACCACGCCCCCGTGTGTGCCTTCTGGTATACTCACCACTACGTCGCCTAGTCGAATATCGAGGGTCCGACTAGGTACACCGCCGCCGATGCCGACCATGAGACCGAACTTGATGGGGAAACTATGCATCATATGTACGGCGACAGTCGCAGCGGCTGCCTTGCCTTGATGGCCGCCAGGCAGGCAAGCAATAACCACGTTGTGTTGGCCAATCTTTCCCAAAGTATAGCTGTTGTTGTCGCCAGACTTCTGCTCGAGGGGTTCGTGCTTCTCATCGAGCATCATCACCATAGCCGCCTTCTCCTCGAAAAGAGCACAGATGACACCGATTGTATAACGTTCGCGAGACAATGTGACCTTACTCATGTTGTTAATGGGCATGAGGTCTGCTGTCGAGAAGAGAGGAGAGATTGCTTGTGGCAGGCGGTTGTGGTGTCCAAATGTTGAAAGTAACGATCAGCTCTGTCACGGGGGCTATGGCCTGCTAACGCAGCGGCACATGTATTTGGCACATTGAGCCTCAATATGTAAGGCCTCCTGCAGAATCAATAGGGCACCGAACGAGGCTTGGCTTGGCTTGCAGCGAATCCTGAGGTGCCAGATGTAAGCGATGCGCATCAGCGCTAAAGAGAGAGGACTGCGCCACAATAGGCAAACATCCAGCCAGTCACTTCCCTCTTCACTAGACTTGCCCGTAGATAGGAGAGCCCATCTCATGCAATCTAGAGATGGCTCGTCCAATGGCGAACCCTACATCGGTCTCACCCGCACCTCCAGTGGCTAGGCTTGCCCCTTCCAGGCCGGTGGCTGACCACTCTGTGTCGCCAGACACAAAGGTGCTCATCATACTCGAGCTGCTGCCACCTCCTTTCTTAACGGACATCTGTAATCCTCCCTGCTTCCTCTTTGCACGTTGCTCTTCCGCCTCTATGATCTCAACAAACGCTTCATCAATCGTGACGTCGGATGAGATTATTACTTTGGTACCCGACTCATATGCCAAATCAATGAGGGTGATGAATCGACGCACAAAGTCCAATTCAAACAGGCGAAATCGGCGAAGACCTTCAAGGTATATAACTTTCGCTTTGCGGCACAAGGCGTGATAGTCTGCTGCTCCGAGTTTGCCTTCGCAGAGTTGTGCTACTGTTGAAGATACTGTCAGGCTGTCTTCGTCGGTCTGCATAGCAGCGACAACAAGTTTACGGCCCATCATGACCGGAATCTCATGAGCCACTAGTTGCTGGCCGCCAGTTGCAGCTTCAAATGTCGACTGAAACTCGGCAGGATCGGTGAAGAACACTTTTTGTGTCTGTCCTTCCGACCTCAACAAGCGATAGTCTTTGGCTCCTCCTAGTGGCCAAGTCTCACACCTCTGCTTCAGCATTGCGATGAATGGTAGAAAAAGGTCGCGATTAAGTCCATCTTCATACAGCTTTTCCGGGGCACGATTTGAAGTTGCTACCATGACACCTCCAGCCGCCCAAAAGGATCCCATGAGGCGTTGCAGAATCATCGCATCCGCGATATCTGTCACCTGGAACTCATCAAAACACAGAACTCGACTTTCGGCATGGATTTGTCTGCCAATAATGGGGAGAGGGTCGGCGGAATCGTATCGGCTGGAGGAAGACCGGGCTTGGTGGAGGCGAGAATGAACATCGAGCATGAACTCATGAAAATGGGCCCGTCGCCTAGAGATGTGCGATGGCAAAGTAGAAGTGAACAGAGACGCAATGTAGGATTTGCCAGTTCCAACAGAGCCATGAATATAAAGACCAGTCGGCGGGGGTCTGTTGTCCGGACCGAAGCCATCCTGTATTTTCGAGAGGCGGTCGACTAACGCCAGCTGGGAAGGATTGGGCAGCAGGCGCTTATTTTCCAGTAGAAGCCGGTAGGCGTGCTGAAGAGAACCAGACGATGTGGACAGCATGACAATTTTATGGTATTTATCACGTAGGACAGAAATGCGGACGCTGCTTCTACGAGATGTTGCGCGGAAAGGCTTGGCATCGTCATATATCTCGTTGCTGTTTCTGCCGATATTCCATCGCTCTGCTAATCATGCCAACTGATACTCAAAATATCCAGCTGCTCTGGAATCAGACCTCTGCTTATCCCAAGGTGAAGTTTGCGAGACATGGTAATATTCTTCACCAGCATAACCGGTCATGGAACACCACCAACGAAAATGCGGAGAAGCGGATCGCGAGCTGCCCCTCCATTGCATCATCCGAGGGCCGTTTCCAGCCATCATAAATCATCATATTTGAGTAGGTCGAGGTCAAATCAGAAATCTACAAAGACAACTTCAAGCCGTTTCCAAAATCGACTTCAATCCATATCTGTCGTTCTCAACTTCGTACCGCACATCCACAGTTCTAGAAATCATGAGTGGTGAAAAGAAAACTATCCTGGCCTTTGACGCCTACGGCACACTTCTGTCTACCGAATCCATTGCAAAGAAGCTCTCATCGCATTTCGGACAAGAAAAGGCACAGACAATCGCAGCAACATGGCGCAAGTACCAATTGGAGTATACATGGCGTCTGAACAGCATGAGTACGCAATCCATCAAACCACAGTCCTATCAATGCACAGCCCCATCAATTCAGAGCTCTATCAATTCAGAGTCCAATGCATCCCTCCTAACACAACTTGCAGACATATATGAAGATTTCAGCAAAGTCACACTACGCTCACTCCGACACGCCTTGGCCGAGTCCTCGGTCTCTTTAGAGCAGGACGACATTGACGATTTGATGAAAGCTTACGACTCCCTCTCCATCTTCCCCGATGTAGCTCCCGCACTCGAAGCGATCGTCAAACAGTCCAATTTCTACCCTGTAGTGTTCTCGAACGGTACACACACGATGGTGTCCAATTCTGTCAACAAGTCTCCTGATCTGTCCAAACATGCGTCGACATTCAAGGATATCGTTGTCGTGGAGGAGCCGAAGAGATTCAAACCTACGCCTGAGTCGTACACTCATCTTGCGAAGAGTGTTGGTAAGGATCCAAGCAGTAAGGAGGATATGGCTAGTATGTGGTTGATTAGTGGAAATCCTTTTGATGTTGTTGGAGCAAGGGCGGTTGGTATGCAGGCTTGTTGGGTTGACAGAGCGGGCAATGGATGGCAGGATGGTCTTCTCGAGGGGGAGATTGGAGGACCGACAGTGATTGTCAGCAGTCTCGAAGAGGTACCTAGCAAGGTATCTGGAGTCTTGCCAGTGCAGTGAACGCTGTGAGAGCAACAAATCCAAGATCTCTCGAGCCTGATTAGATCGCTGTATATGATATGTATCTGACATGCTTATCGCTTTCCCCACACCTTCAACCCTGCTACCCAAGTCTGAAGCACTTCTCCCTCATCGTTCAACACCACAAAGTCGGCTCTCCTTCCTTCTTCCAGCTTTCCCCTGGTCTTGTCCCCCATGAACTCCGCCACGTTCTCGGTTACACATCTCACTGCTTCTGCGACATTACATCCACTCCACTTCATGATATTCTGTATGCATTCCTGCAGACTGGCGCATCCACCCACCAGTGTATCTGTCCCGTCGATCGTCACCTTTGATCCGGTCTTGCGTTGCTTGAAAGGAATTTGTGAATGTCCAGGGTAGACGCCATCGTCAAGTCCAGCCAGCTCGATGCTATCGGTAATGAGTATGCATTTTTCTGGGTTTGCTCGGAATAGCATCGTAGCCACGCTTGGATGCAGATGATTGCCATCAGGTATAATTGTGAAGTATGGGCTCTCCAGACCATCGGTATTTGCAATCGTGACGAGTCCAGCAAGCCCAGGATCGCGATGATGTAGCGGTGTCATGGCGTTCAATGTATGCGTCAGCGCTGTTGCTCCAGCCTTGACTCCTTCGAGTCCTTGATCGTAAGTCGCTGCACTGTGTCCGAGCGATACTTTGATGCCCTTGGATGTGAGCGACTTGATCAGGCTTGTCGATTGTGAGAGTTCAGGGGCCAGGGTCACGAATTTGAGCACTTCGGAAGAAGATGCTGATTCTCCGTAAACCTCATCTGATGATTTGCTACCATCGAAGAAGTGATCTGAATTGTGGGCGCCTTTCTTAGACGGTGCTAGGTAGGGACCTTCTGCGTGAGCTCCGAGTAGGGATGCAGAGTCGTCGATTGTTCTGGGCTTCAAGGACGGCAAAATCTGTGGCGGGATACAGTCAGTATGACAGACTTCCTCGCATCCGTTCCTGGGGATGATCCATTGTCGAGACTTCCGTCCCCTACTGGCAAACTGCATAACCGCTTGCGATCGCAAAGGCTTAACCAATGGCTGTCGCTTTGTGGTCAAGCCACTGGAAAGAAACAACTATATTTGGACCTACTTTCTTATATTCATCTGATGACACCGTCGGAATGGTGGCCCAGAAACCAGTAACACCTTGAGTGACGAGATATTCAGCAGCTTTATCAATTTGACCAGCGTACTCTTTCTCGTTGTTGAAGTGGGTGAAGTGGAATCCTAGCAAGCCATTGGTATGGAGCTCAAGCAGACCAGGCGCAATTATGCCTTCCTCCAGGTCTACCGCATCACCGCCAATGTATCCAGTCCGAGGGAGGATAAGACCTGTATCATCCGAAACGACCAACTGATCTTCCACCAGTTTACCGCCTATACAAAGGCGGCAGTTCAGAAACGATGTGAACCAGCCAGACATTGTCGTTGAATATTGAAAGCAGGTAACAAGAATTAAAAAGTAGGGAAGAATACCGAACGTTGCGTGACGGATGTTTTCTTGAAGTCGGTATGGTCGCCGGGACCCCTCCCCCAGATGGAAGTGGGTGCGTCATCCGGCTGTCTGCGAACTCGCTCGGCTTCCAATGCGGAGTTCACAGCAACTTGACCAACGAAACATCAACCATGTCCAGTCCGATTGAAGTGCTCATCTTTGGCGCCGGCGCCGTGGGAGCCTTCTACGGTTCCAGACTTGCACAGGCTCCCAACGTCAAGGTGTCGTGCGTCTGCCGATCGAACTACAAGGCAGTTGCTTCCAATGGCTTCTCGGTCAGCTCACCGCAGTACGGCGACTACAAATGGAAGCCGACACGAGTATTTGCGAATCCGAAAGAGGCGGAGGCTAGTGGCGTCAAGTGGGAGTATATCGTCGTCAGCACAAAAGCGCTGCCAGATGTCAGCGACGATTCGAAGCAGCTGGAGGGACTGGTCCATGATAAGACGGCCGTCGTACTGATACAGAACGGCCTCGGTGTCGAAGATGCATATGCGAAACGCTTCCCCTCTGCCTCGATACTAAGTGCCGTCACGGTCGTGTCAGCTGCACAAGAGCAACACGGCGAAATCAAGCACAACCGCTGGACGCGCATCAACATCGGCCCCTACCTCCCAGACTCGGCCTCCTTGAACTCGTCCGACGCCGAACAACGGAACAACAAGTTCGCTCAACTCTTGCAGCAAGGCGGGGTGAAAGACGCGGAAGCCTACACACATGCCAAACTCCAGCTCGTCCGATGGCACAAGCTCGCCATCAATGCCAGCATGAACCCCAGCAGCGTTCTCAGCAACGGCAGCACCAATGCAGAGATGGCAAAGGACGATGAACTCTCCCGTCATCTGGCTGGAGTCATGGCCGAGATACTGACGACAGCACCCAAGATCATTGGACACGACTTCCCGCCCGAGTTCGCCAGTGCCGACAAGTTGCTCGCCAGTACGAGAAAGAACACATCCGGTAGCAGGCCGTCCATGTGGCTGGACTGGGAGGCAGGCAAGAAGATGGAACTGGAAGTCATACTAGGCAATCCTATCCGCATTGCTAGAGAGAAAGGTTATGAGATGCCGAGGTTACAGACCTTGTATGCATTGCTGAAGATGGCTCAAACGAACAGGGACAAGCAACAGGCCAAGGCAAAGTTGTAAGAGTTGAATTTGATTGTAGATAAATCATTTTATCCTCGTGAGACTATTGTGCAACTCTTTTGTGATGCGATCACAGATTTATGCCTTCACTCACGAGGTGAATAAAGTGGCCGCGTGCTGCGTGTTTCGAAACAAAGCGGGGCATGACGCATGACGCATCAAGATTGAATTCAATCCAGGCAGTCGCATGCCTTCTGCTCTTCTACACAAGCACATAATCAACATGGAATCATTATCGCGCCGCCCGTCGCAGCATCAGAACGAATCGAGCGCTCCACAACAATCTTCCAGCTCGCAAGGCCCATCCTCTCTCCAAGAGTCCAGCGTCCTCGTCAATCACCCGTCGCCCGAAGCGCGACCCGCGCCCCCGATACCAGATGATAACGACTTGAAGAAGTGCTGGATCTGCTTCTCCGACGAGAGCGAGGATGGTCCAGAGACATCAGCTTGGAGGGATCCTTGCCCTTGCGCGCTGGTCGCACACGAAGCATGCCTTCTCGATTGGATCGCCGACATGGAGTCGCCCACAAGCCGCAAACGCACTCTTGGTCCTCCAGCAATAGTATGCCCACAATGCAAATCCGACATCAAGCTCGTCCGCCCTCGCGATCCTGTCGTTGAAGTCGTGCGCGCCCTCGAGAGGCTGGCTGCCAAAGCCGTCGCCCCTGCTGCTCTGACTGTCGCTTTCGGCGCCGTCGTTCATGCCTGCGCAGTTCACGGCCTCTATACCATCACCTCCATATTCGGCCCTCAAGACTCAAAGCGCATACTTCAGCCTCTGATCAACGACTTTTGGTCAGCCGCGCGTCCCATCGATCAACTACGAAGCTTCATGCAGCACTGGCGCCTTCGTGTCGGCCTGCCTCTGATCACTCCCCTCTTGATCCTCTCCCGCTCAACTCTCGCCGACTCAATCCTCCCCGTTCTCCCTATCGTCTTCTTCGCAACCCAAGGCGACACCTCCGACACACTCGACATGATCTCATGGCCACCATCAGCGAGCATGACTTTCGCTGTCCTGCCATACATTAGATCAGCCTATAACGAATACCACCGCCGCGTCTGGGCAGACCACGAGAAGAGATGGATGAAGGAGATACAACCGAGAAGTGGTCAGCAAGACGGAGATGCCAACGCTCAACTCGCTGTTGATGCGGAAATGGAGGCTGCAGAAGAAGATAACAACTTCGAAATCAGAATCGATGGCAACTTTTGGGAGGACTGGGCAGATGATGAAGAGGAGGATGTTTTGCGCGAGGTCCAGGACAACAACGGAGCTCATCCGCTCAACGCACCACCGCTACCTGATGATGCTCCTATGCCTGGTCAAAACGAGAACATGCCTCAACAGGGTCAACAACCACAAGCACAAGCACCTCAGCCACCCCGACCTCAGCCTCGACCACCCGCACAAAACAGAGAAGAGCGCCTCCTATCCTTCAGCACAAACTCGCTCGCTCAGACTGTCATGTCAGCTCTGCTCTTCCCCACGATCGCTTCGGTCAGCGGTGATTTGCTCACTCACCTGCTGCCTCTCTCATGGACCACTCTGCCCACCAAGTCTTTTGGTATGCAGAGAGGACGAGCCACAGGCTTGCTTCAGAACAAATGGGGCAGAAGCGTCGTGGGTGGGTGCCTATTCGTGGTTGTCAAAGATGCTGTTATGTTGTATGTCAGATGGAAGATGGCCAAGCAGCATCAAAGCAGGCACGTCGTAGACTTCGACAGGAAGAAAACTAAGCGATAGGCCCAATCGCGTTGCACATGTTCTGCAGACGATGCCCTGATGACTTTCATCTTTTTGCATGGCGCTATTTCCTTTCTCATTATATTCCCCTCTTTCGTCACACGGCTTTACGTCCGTTTCTCTACATTGAACATGATATCATCCTCTTTCTCGAGCGACACTTGCAAGCTTCAGCGATGACTATGCCATCACCATACCGAGGATTCCGCATCTGTATTGGCAATGGCAAAATTCTTGCGAAGAGTATCAATCACCTTGACAGCATGAATGAATAGACCGATGTTGTGATCACCAGAGATTCTCGTTGTGGAGTACCACAGCAGTGGTGTCACCAAACTCGTCCAGCGCTTGAATAAATCTTGTTCTGATTATCGTGAATTTTGCTTTTCTCCCGCCAGAGTTACCATTTTACGACATGTCAGTCCTGGATACAAACAGAAATTCCGGTCCAAGCGCTCAGCCTATCACACGCCCGGGAATAGAATCACTGAACGCTTGCATTTGATGAGAAAGATGTTATTCGTTTTGCTGGCAGAGGCACCCGGAAGCTTGCAAGCGGTATGCAACCGTCTTGGCCCCGAGGCGGGGTTGAGCAAAATCACGTGAGACAGAGGGGAAGCTGTCAAAAGGTGACGCGGGGAATTACGACTTGAATCAACAAAGAGTGACAAGCATCCATCAGCTTTCGCCAGCACATACATTTTTCCGTAGCAGTCTTCCTTCGCTATATATACTGCCTCGACCACGACTTAATTTCTATTCCTTCGTATTCACAATCCCGGACATAATCACAATGGCACCGGTATGTTTCTTCAGCTTCGAGCAGCTCCTCGGCTACCTCATCCTGTGGATCGGCATCATGACATGGCTCCGATGGCTAACGCTGGAACAAAAGATCAAAGAAATCCTCTTCGACTGCGACAACACTCTCGTCCTCAGTGAGCACCTCGCCTTTGAAGCCTGTGCCGAACTCGCAAACGAAATCTTGGAAAAGCATGGAAAGTCGGAGCGCTACACCGGACCCCAACTCCTCAAGGAGTTTGTCGGTCAGAACTTCAGAGGCATGATGGTCTCGCTGCAAAAGAAGTACGGCTTCGAGATTCCGGAGGAGGAGTTCAACCAGTACGTCGACCGCGAGCTCGGCAAGGTTGTCGAGACGCTTGAGAAGAAGGCAGAGCCTTGCGCCGGCGCCACTGAGGTTCTGGAGAAGCTGTACAAGAGCAAGAAGTACGGTCTCGCTGTTGTCTCTTCGTCTGCTCTGTCGAGAGTCCAGGCCTCCATTAGGAAGGTCGGCCAGGACAAGTTCTTCCCCTCAGAGCATGTCTACAGTGCTGCCACTTCTCTTGAGAAGCCCACCTCGAAGCCGGACCCCGCCATCTACCTCCACGCCTGCAAGGAGATCGGTGTTGAGCCCAGCCAGTGCGTCGCCATCGAGGACAGCAAGTCAGGAGCCACTGCCGCAAAGAATGCTAAGATCCCTCTTATCGGCTACGTCGGCGCCTACGACGAGAAGGAGGAGCAAGACAGAATGGCCAAAATGCTGACCGAGGAGTGTGGTGCCATCACCATCATGTACCACTGGAACGAGTTCTTTGACTGCATGGAGAAGGTTGAGCAGTCTCTGGCATGACTCCCGAAGAAGGCCAATATCTGATTGGACCTGCATGTCAATGTCACCTTACGAGGTTCATGAGTATGAGTACTGAAAGAATGCATATAGTAGGCATGAGCAAATGAGCTCTTGGAGTAATGGAACGAGACTATTATCAATACAGACCGAGTCCAACTGTAAGAATGTGACTCACCTGTCCAGCAGCGCAGTCAGAGTCAAAAATTGCTCTCCAGAATTCCAAGGGTAGGAGATGTATGTCTACTCTTTTGCAGCACAACATAAGCTGACTTCATCATAATCTGATATTCCATGTGACACTAACAACACTCACAACTTACTAGCCTTCCAAACAGGCTTCCTCTTCTCAACAAAAGCCTTTACACCCTCATGAATATTCTCACCAGCCAACAACTTCGGATAAGTCTCCGAAATCAACTTCTCCGTCGCCTCATCAGCACCCAAACCCTCCCAAGCCAAATTGACCCCCTCACGACTGACAATAACAGCATCAGGACTGTTTCCCGCAATCTCTTTGGCCACAGCTATACATTCATCCACCACATCACCATCCACCACCCGATTCACCAATCCCCATTCTCGAGCTTCCTCGGCTTTTAGCACGCGACCTGTTAGTGCCATCTCCATGGCTCGTTGTTTGCCCACCACACGGGCGATACGGGGTAGTGCTCCTGCTATGGCGACGACACCGCGTTTCACCTCTGGTAGGGAAAATGTTGCAGCAGATGATGCGAAGACCATGTCGGCGTTGATGGCCATTTCGCAGCCGCCGCCGAAGCAGATGCCGTTGACGGCTGCGAGGACGGGTTTGCGACCTTTGCGGCGGGAGAGACCGCCGAATCCTGATTGGGGCATCTTTCGCTGTTTTCCTGATGCGTTTGCTTGGTTCCATTCTGTGTGTGCCGCCGTATCAGTGTTCCTATTCTGTAGTATCTATGGGGAGGAGGGAAGTGTTACCTTTCAGATCAGCACCTGCGCAGAAAGCACGACCGGTGCCTGTCAAGATTCCTACGCATAGTTTCGGTTCCGCGTCCAGCCATTCCCAAACGGCATCTAGTTCTTCATTTCCTTCTGCGCTGATACAGTTGAGTTGCTTGGGCCGGTTCAGAGTTACGAGGAGGATCTCTGGTGTTGGGTGGGAGAGGATGCAGTATTTGGTCTGAGGTGGAGGTGCCATGATTGAGGTTGAAGAGTCGAATGAATGTTGGTATTATACAATGCTGGCGCTGTGTGATTTTCCTGGTTGTGATTCAAGCTGGACTTCTGTTCGAAGTTGATTGTCTGTTCGAAAACGAATTGGATCCATCATGTACGATCAGAATGACCGAGGTGTTGTTTACAGCTGCGGGGTGGATGATGATCACAGCCGAGGGCTTGTCATACTCTCTTGTCCAAGGGCTGCAGACCTACATGTTATGTACGACTTGGATGGTTCAGTCGTCTCTACAAGATCATGAGATGAATCTTCGTTGCAAGATTGTGTGTCTCCAAAGACCATAAAGGAAGAATGGTCTGTCTGTATTCGGGTGCGACTTGAGCTTGAGCATGGACCACAAGCACCGAGTCATGCGTTGAACCCTGAGGCGAGAAAAGCTTGAATGTTTCGCCGCCCCCACAATTCGGCGTCAAGGAAAGCGATTGACAGGACGAAAGTCGTTCTTTTCCTCGAGCACAAAACATCAAAATGGGCAAGAGGAAGCGCAACACTCAAGCGCCTGTCGCGCCGCAGAAGCAACAGAAGGCCACGGACCTGCCAACACCCAACGACAGCGACGATGCGCCAATTGAGCATGTCTCCCACATCAGCGCCGTCACATCGACCGAAGAACTGGAATTGACCGTCGACACTTTGAAGACTCTCTCGCAATACCCGAACCTCATCAAGTCGAAAGCATGCAAGGACTTGAGAGCAGCAGTCTTCGACTTCCGACAGGCCTGCAACACCGGTGTCAACTCGGCCGCCGAAGGAACAAACCTCACCGCACGCATCTCTGGCGCCTTGACTGACGCCAAATACACCGATGCTCTCATCCTCCTCTCTGAAATGCGCATTCGCGGCGAGACACCCAAGCTTGGTGCTCTCTGTCGATGGGTCCGCGATCTGGATGTCGTCAGTGGGCTGGCCATGCAGCCCGAAGGAGTGAGTAAGGTTGCCGTACCTCGCTCAGCAAAAGACAAGGTGTTGCTGCGTGTGCTGGATGCCGTTCTCAGAGTCACTGGTCCAACCGACACAAATACGAAAGATGCCCTCGACTCGGCCGACCCGATTGCGCTGCAGCAAGTTTGGAACCTTAGAGACAAGACACCTCAGCAGACACGCCAGAGCGTCCTGGACAAGTCCATCTTCTCCGACTGCCCACAAAACCTCCGCGAACGCTTCCGCATCATCGAGACAACGACAGGCCCGAACCGCAAACCGCCAAACCTCCACCCTGCCGTCCTGTACGCTTCCCAAGACGACGCCATTCTCCTCGGCGATGCACCCGAAACCACCGTCTTCAAACATCCCGTCGTCCCCAACCTCCGTCTTATAAAAGACGTCCTCACCCCCACCGAATGCACCAGTATCATCGCCGCCGCCGAGACAATCGAGTTCATTCCCGACGCACCCATCCGCGACGACGGCCAAGAAACAAGCATCCTCGCCCACAACTTCTACTGGATCGCCGACCAAGCCTTCCACGACAAACTCTGGGAACGCGTACGCCCTTACGTCCCCGAAGAATCACAAGGCAGAAAGGTCCGCGGTATCAACAGACGATTCAGAGTTTACCGCTATGTCCCAGGAGCCGAATATCGCTGCCACATCGACGGCGCGTGGCCTCCTTCAGGCATCGATGCAGCAACCGATAAATACCAATACGACTCTTCCCCCGCGGACGCCCGTCAATCTTCTCTGTACACTTTCCTCATTTACCTGAATGATGAATTCGAAGGTGGAGAGACTTCATTCTTCATTCCTAGTGTTAGGGAGGGCGTTATGAATGCTTATCCTGTCAAACCTATCATGGGCAGTGTGGCTGTTTTCCCTCATGGTGAGGTTGCTGGTGCGCTGTTGCATGAAGGCACTGGTGTGACTAAGGGCGCGAAATATATCATCAGGACTGATGTCGAGTATGATGTTAACCCTTCTACAAATTGAGTGCACTTATGGGGTAACGGGAAATGGCGTTGGTAGGTGTGGGAAAAGGTGTCTGGGAATGACCAAATTGGGGGGTTTGTATATAAGATAAATTGAATGCTTTATATATGCCTTATGATTGTACTTGCACCTTTTTGAATCGTGGTCTTGACTCTCCTCGCGTTACAATAGCATGGCTTGTTTGTTCATGAGTATGCGAGGTTATCCTCCCTCGATGTACGAGTATTGGACACCAGCGTTCTGACATGATCCTGTTGTGTCAATCACCGGACAGGGTTGCTCTCTCGCCTAGGTCGAATTCACACTTGACAGCCATTATCTCGCTCCATGTGATGCTGCTGTATTTTTCACATTGATTCCGGCATTGATGCAAGAGCTCACTGGCAATCAAAAGGCGTAGAGGCGAAACCACTAAATGACAATCTGAGAATTGAAATGCAGTTGATGGATATCATATCCTAGGTATATATACAAACAGTGAGCAAAAAAGGAAAAGACAAGGGAGCGCTCCGTCTCAATCAGATACTCAGATCTAATCAAGATCAGGGAACTTTCTCAAAAAGTGGCTCGGGCACTCGTAACCGCCAGGGTTGATGTCCAAATACTTCTGATGGTAATCCTCAGCATCCCACCATTCTCCTGCAGGTAGGATCTCGGTGGCGATCTTTCCTTGCTTCCACCATTGCTCTTGAACCTTCTTTGTCACTTCTCTAGCGATCTTGTCTTGTTCGTCGTTGTGTGTGAAGATGCCGCTACGGTATTGGGTGCCAACGTCGGGCCCTTGGCGATCTTCGGTCGTGGGGTCGTGCATGCGGTAGAAGAATTCGAGAAGTTTTTGGTATGAGACTTTGGAGGGGTTGTAATAGATCTGTAGGGCTTCGGCGTCTGTAGAATCATCTGTGTTAGCCGTCTGTCGCAAATGTTGTCGCATGAGGTAGTGGCAAAACTTACGTCCTGTTCTTCCGGTGCATACAGCGCGGTAGCTGGGGTTGTCGGTGTTGCCGCCGATGTAACCGACTCTGGCGTCCAGGACAGCATCCTTGGGGAAGTGGTGGCGGTACATGTGCTCGACACCCCAGAAGCAGCCAGCTGCGACTGTGGCCTTCTCGGTGCCCTCGGGCACGGAAACAGCGCCAGTTCCCTCAGGTCCGAAGCGCATGGTTGATGAGGTGAAAGGGCGAGAGAGACGGGCGAAGAGAGAGTTCATGACTGGCGGTGTTGCGATCGCGATTGCGATGAGGAGGATAAGCGTAAGAGGTCTCGTGGTCGCGAAGTTGAGAGCTTGAAGTTTGTATGGAGGAGGTTCTTGTGGTTCAAGGTGTCTCCAGGTTATGTATTGATGGCAGGAGGCGTGGAATGGCGACAATTGACGATTCTTCTGCACCTTCCAGAAATGATTGTCTTGCTTAGCTAACCATCATCTCGCGTCATGGACTCGAACCCTTTTTTGCCACTTGCCCGCATTCGCCTCGGCTTCTGGAAATGCTTGGCATCTCTCTGACAGCTCCGAGCTTCCGGAGCATGAGACTTGAAGCTCAACGCCATGGCTCATCCGCGACAGTCTGCCTTGCAAGACTTCCGTTTCAACCAGAGAGTGTTACAGGATGCCATCAACGGTGTTCGCATACCTGACTACCTTGGATTGGAGCTTGTCCAGCTCTGTGTCGTCGCGGGTATTCGTCGAAATGCAGGCTTTGGCCACGAGCTTCGAGGTCTTACGCCTCGCTTCACTCGCGCACTCAACGCTCAAGCTATCATGTACAGCAGAGATATCCCTGACATGAACGACCCAGAAGAATTTCCGTACTGTATATGGTATCCTTCGACGCCCGATCGCGATACATGCAGGAAGCTAATCGTCCAGTATCCGTGGATGAAATATCAGGTTGGCCGTGTCTGTGCCGTGGCGAATTATGACGATCTCTACAAAGAACTCGACATTTTGCCCGAAGTAGGCATTGCTGAGGAAGCTCGTGAGAACGGAAGCGAGGCCATCTATTCAGCGATTTTCCAACAGCCTGTTAAGTACGCTGTATTCAACGACTACTCGAATTCACTCATCTTGGAGAACCCACCAATTTCTGCGATGAACGGTAACACTTGTGTGACGACACTCCTGGAGTCGAAGCAATCATTCAAGCGACCAAGGGCAAAGTCTATTCTGAAGTCCGACATGAACGGGTTTGAGAGCCGGTTGTTCGACATCCGCGAGGATATGTCAGTGGACGTCAAGCGGAGCGAGCCTCGCTCAGTCGATCAATCAGTGGTCCTACCACTACTCTATTCTCCACTTCCAGCAGATCTTCCTACAGTCGACAAAGACATGCTCATATTGTCAGCGGCGTATCACGGCAACATTGATCGATACATGCGCCTGCGACATCCACAAAAGATCAAAGGCGAGCTTGCGTGTTTGATCCGAGGCATCTACCACGATCCGTTGTTTGCCAAGTTCTGGTCACTCCAACCAACTGCCGACATATACGACTGGCGCATACGACGGGCAATCAATGCCCGTTTCATCATGACGAATGATCTGTCACGAATCACGCCTACAACTCCCGTGGACGAGTTGCCATATCTTATATGGTTTCCACAACCCGCTTATCATGGCGTTTATGAAGAACTAGCACGACTGCGGCCTGAGATGAAGTTGCAGGCCGCGCGGGCATGTATAGTCGCCAACTACCAGCGGTCCTTCGAGAAAATCGATCCACCACACGATTCCGCCCTTGTGCAAGAAGCTCAGGAATCTCCCAACCCATTCTTTTTGAAGCATCTCCGAGCCAAAGAAGCACAAGGCGATACGACAGGGGAAGACCATGGATCTGAATACTGGAAGTACTTCACTATCAAGCACGCACTCAAACCATCCACTCTTACTATCTTGGGTGAGCTCAATGCATCCAGCATTGCAACCACGCAAACATGGATCTACGACGGTGTTGAAGCGGAGATGTCGAACGTGGAAGTTAGTATCTGTACGCCTAAAGAAGTAAAGCAGAGTGGTATCAGTGATGTCATGTTCAGGTATCCTTCTACAGAGTGAACACGTATTCGACGTCTCTTCAACATCTAATCCTTATCGATGTCTTATTTCCTCAGATGCTGCAGGGTCTTCGAAAGCATGTGGACGCTACGTGGTGATATAGAGTGAGTATCGCAGGAACTAAAATTGACTGTGTGCCGGGGCATCGGGTTGTAATATCTAGCCAACGTATGTGAAGTAGTTGGAAAACAATGAATCATTGCGAAGTCGTGCGAAATCTTCACCCCTCAAACATATGGCAACAGCAATGCTGCCATCCGAATCTTTGGGCATGAAATATACCAATCCTTCCCAAGCTTTAAACGCTGGGCGCCTGACAGCATCGGCTTTACCAAGTACACCGCCAAAGTTGAAGTCGCAACACGCCTCCTTTGACCAAGAGCTAAGCTTCAAATCTGTAGATGGTAGACTGCTACGATCTGACGTCTTTGAGTCGCTTGTTCTGAGAGACTCGACAAGGGCAGTCGCTGATGCCATTGTATTCCCTGCAAGAGCATCTCGTGAACGAAGGGTGTCACGTAGCTCTGATGCGATCACTCCAAGAGGCTTCTGTATCAACTCTTGGGGGGTCTCGCGATGTGTAGTTTTGGTGACCACATTCCCTATGAATGAGGACGGGATATTGAGACATGCTCGAGCATCGACTTGCCGTTCGAGAGTCGTCGTTTGACCTTTCCTGAGTCGATAAATTCGAGCGCGAGTCACAGACTGCCAAGTGAACGCTGTCAGCGTATCATCTGTCGAGACAAAGCCAGCCGGAAGATCAGAGATAGCTTTCTTCTTCAAATCCTTGGCTGCCTCGGACGAGATGAGAAAGTATGACCAGACACTCAGGACAGCTTGTTCGTTGACGGAGCCCGGCACTGATTTGGGAGCAGAGATGACCTTGGGAAGCGTCTCTAGACGGCCGAAATGTTTGCCTTGTAATTCTTCATCACTGAACTGTGCACCACGACAAGCCTTCGCAAATAGTCGAATGAGTTCTCCTTGACCTCTGATGTCCATGCAGTTGTGCTGGGCATCAATGACGAGTATTAACCCTCCAACAACGAAGTTCGCCTTGAACATCAGAACAGGTGCGGTCTCATCAGACGATCCGGGTAGTGTAGATTTTGAAGCAACGACGGTTTCGTCCAAAAAGCGGAAGGGATAGTGCGCGGCCTGATACTCCCAAAAAGATGGCAGGTTCTTTCTGGCATCTACAACCTGAAGTTCTGGAGTTCCTCGTACAATCTCATAAACCCCTCTTGTATTGACCACTTTACCTGCTGTCCAAGGGAAGGCTTTGGCAAGTCTTTCGAGGCCATCTTGAAGGAACTCAACCACTTCTGCCTGTCTATTCGTCTGTTCTGGGCTTTCCGGAAGCTCGAAACAGAAACATAATTGCGTATACAGCCGACTCAGTCGTGGATTTTGTCCAAAGACGTCAAGAACTTCGCCTTGGTCTCCAGTCAACATTTGAACGAAAGTGTATGAAGAATAATTATGAAGGCATGGGACATGAAGTCGTGTTCGAGTCAGTGCACCGGTCTCGTCTCGGATCTTGGCATTCCTGGCAGCTGTTGGAAGCTGGAGAGAAGCCGCTTTCTTGATTCGATCACGCCCAAGCACGCCCTCAGGTCGCTGTCGCTATGATATGCAGGAGGGATGCCTCGTCTGCCCAAGTGCGCAAGGGCGCTGCATTCTGACGCGTTGAGTCTTATGAGCCGATGGATTCACCCCGAACGAGGGGACGATGGCGAAATATCGTTGTCCTGCAGTCAGTGCAGTTTATGAAATAGTGACTGCCTCTCCTCCCTACACTTCCGGATCACCAATTTCTTCTTCGGTGCTATCGAATCATCGCTACTTCCGCCTCAGTTCACTAATCGATCCTTCGAATTGCACGAAAATGAAGCTGCAAAGACCTTGACTGCCTCCACGTCAGGCTTCAGAAAGAGGACTAGGCTTCAGAGAGAGGACAACGGGCTACGTCGAGCAAAGTACAAGGCAATACATATAGGCTGAAAGGTGTGGTGACATCCATGATGCATCCCTCTGCGCTCTCGTCTTGTCGCGCAGAAGAGGAATCGCGGTGTACCGACTGTGAAGACAACCAAGATCTGCCTCGATTGCTAGATGTCTTTATTCAGTCAATTGTATAGCTATTCCTCTGCGCTGCAGCGTTCGATGCAAAACCTGAATCAAGCCACAGAAACTCATGGCAAGTATTAAATCCTCAGTGGAGTGCCTGCATTCTTGCCAACCTATTCTTTCTGCCCCTTGCTTTTCTATACAAACTCCCTTCCTTGCTTTGAACCACATTTTTCCTTTGCTATCAAGGACCCCATCCCTTCTTTTCTTTCTTCCGATATTCTTTGCAAATCATCTCACACACTTTATACACCATGATGTCTTCTCCGAGCCAAGACGTTTTCCTGATCTGGGGCGGTAACGGCTGGGTTGCTGGTCATCTCGAGGCCTTGCTCAAAGATCAAGGGAAGAGCGTCCACACCACCACCGTCCGCATGGAGAACAGAGAAGCAGTCATCGAGGAGCTGGAGAGAATCAAGCCTACACATGTTCTTAACTGTGCAGGCTGTACAGGTCGTCCTAACGTCGACTGGTGCGAAGACAACAAAGCTGCCACCATCCGCAGCAATGTCATCGGTACTCTCAACCTGGCCGACGCTTGCGAGCAGCGTGGCGTCCACATCAGTGTTTTTGCCACCGGCTGTATCTATGCCTACGACGATGCCCATCCTATCGGCGGCCCTGGGTTCCTTGAAACCGATCCTGCCAATTTCTCTGGCTCATTCTACTCTGCCACTAAACTCAGGGTTGAGGAGGTAAGAACAAGTTCAGTAACCAGATTGACCCATAGATCACTAATTATCATCCACAGATCATGATGAACTACCCCAACGTCCTCTGCCTCCGCCTCCGCATGCCCGTCTCCGACGACCTCCACCCCCGCAACTTCGTCACGAAAATCACAAAATACGAACGCGTGGTCGACGTCCCAAACAGCAACACCATCCTCCACGATCTCCTCCCCGCCGCCATCCTGCTTGCCGAAAATAACGAAACCGGTGTTTACAACTTCACAAACCCTGGCGCTATATCCCACAATGAAGTATTGGGGTTGTTCAAGAATATTGTTCGTCCAGAGTTTGAGTGGAAAAATTTCTCATTGGAGCAGCAGAGTTTGGTTATCAAGGCTGGAAGGTCGAATTGTATGCTTGATACTGGGAAGTTGGTGAGGAAGTTGGAGGAGTATGGGTTCGAGGTTCCTGAGGTTCATGATGCTTATGAGCAGTGTTTCAAGCGTATGGTCGAGAATGGTGTCGAGTAAGTGTGGTTGGACGCTTTGACGTCTCTTCTTTCTTTCTTCTAGCGCTCATGTCTGAAGAAAGCCTACTCTAGCACACAGCAAGCGACGGCGATGTTGGCTCTCAGCTATCCCGATGTTCGCAGACTGGCCATCAAATTGACGATGTTTTTCACTCGACCATGATTGTCCATTGAGAGCGCTAAACAGATGAAGCTTGTCATTCATCTACTATTCATCAGCAAAGCTATTTTCTGCAAAGCTATCTGTCGTACTAGCGACCGTTTCCCTCATTTCACTCTGTCACGCCTCTTCTCTTGCCATCTCCACTCGTACCACATCTCAAATCTGTCATTTCAACTACTCCTCGGACTTCGATTTCTCAACGAACATCTCCCTGTGCCATCCGAACCACTTCTCCATTCTCTTTGCAATCCTTCTCAGCATGACTGGGTTGACAGTTGGCGATGGGTGGGGACGATGCAGGACGATAGTCTTGACGCCCACACCGGAGTAGTCGTCCAGCTTCAAAGTGATGGCTGATCCTTGACTCTGGAAAATGCTGAAGCCGGCATCGACCATAGCGCCCAGGAAGTGTTGCCACGAAAAACTGCGTTGAGACTCGGCACCTCTGAGGGGAAACATGTGATGGAAGACAGCAATGTTGTCGGACTTGACGCGTTGAATTGATGGCAAGGCAGCAGCTCTGGTAGGTGGAACATAGATAACAATCTGGTTCTTCAGGCTGTCGGTGACGGTCTCTGTGTTTGGAGAGAGAGGGGTCATGGACTTGAACCTGGTTGGAAGAGAGGCAAGAGATTCGTTCTCCTTGCCCCAGAAAGTCTGCATCTCCACCTGGGTGTTGGACTTGGCGGCTTCTGCTTCGGCACTTTGAGCAACGAGTTCCAGGATGTCCTGCTTTTCCTGCTCAACTTCTTCCTGATAGCGTGGGCTAGTAGCCGCGGAAAGCACTTTGATGTCTTCATCAATCAGTTTCTTGCTAACCTTGGCCTCAACAAGCTTGTCGACCCACAGCTTCTTGAATCGCTCCCAAACCTTGGTCAAGCACGCACGGGACGCAATGGCCTGGTCTAGCCATCTCAGGTCCTTCTTACCGCGAGGCCAAGGAAACTCCTGATACAAGCGTAGCAAATCAGGCCCTAGCGTATCTCCCAGCATTGGGCAATGACCTGCGTTGATTTTCTTGATCCACTCGGCAGGAGATGTAGTATGGCTCTTGCTAGCGAAGATCTTGGCTACCTGTTCGTCGACTGAGCGATTGCGAGTCGTGTCGGAACGAATGGAAGTAATAGCATCGCTTAAGATAGACATGTCGCTGAGTCTGTCGAGCATGGTCTGATCGATTCGATTGGCTTCCTTGGAATCGGTGCGGCAGAGATGGTCAATGATGGCGAAGTTGAAAGTAGGATCCATGGTGAAGGGTCTGTTTTCATCATAACCTAGCGTGCTAACACTCCAGTAGAGGAGATCGTCAGGGAACCAGTCTTTCTGGCTGAAGGTGCGGTTTGTGGACTTGACTTTAGCGCTACCAGTAAATTCGAAGTTGCGCTCGAAGCCCTTTTGAACCAGAGTGCCTGCGAAGACTTGGCCTTGGAAGACCGCGAAAGTCTCGATACAGAGGTCTTGCACGATGAAGACTGCCCGGTCGAAATCTTGCTTGGCTTGCTTGGACGGAGCCTCTTCGAGAACATTGAGGTAACGCATCATCTGTTCGCTCTCAGCAGCGAGTTGGCGCCAGTATGATTCACGATGCATCGTCTCGAAGAAGAGATAGTCCACAATCCAGGGCATAACATCACCCAACTTCCAGCTCTCAAAGAACAAACATGCACAGATGTCTTTCGATAACGACTGAACATACTGTGGATCTGTTTGGAGAAGCTCCAGTTCGTCAAGGACGACACGATGGCGTGACGCAATGAGCTCTGCAACTTCACGAGCGTTGAACTTTGGCGGCTGTGAGAATGGCTTGACAAAGTCAGTGGACCACGAGAAACTTGTCTTGAACCTGGAGAAGTCGGAATCGATCAATCCCTCCCACTTGGGATGAATCTCAAGAGTGGGGGGCACATCTGCTTCTGCCAGCAGACCCTTGACACAGTTGCTGAGGAGAGTCATCATAGACTTTTGAGCAGTGAGAAGATGGTGAGCCTTCGTGAAACCGATGATCTCCCAGCGATGAGCTTGGTCGGCATTCCACTTGACTAGTTTGCCGTATTCGGGACCTTGAGCGATCACGCAGTTCGGATTGAAGGTGTTGGGCACGATGGCAAAGTGCTCGGCAAGCACGATGTTGGCGTTGTCGAACATCAACCATTGCTCAGGCTCGTTGGCGGTACGATGGTGCAGCAAGCTCAAGAAGAGGGTCGGGTCTTCGGAGAGAGTCTGTGCATCAAGATATGGCAGAAACCACGAGTCTTGGTATGAGGCCACCGTCTCCTCGCGAAGGTTCTCATCTGCAAGTGATTGTGGTGTGTGGAGCTCCATGGCGATGGTGTAACCTCCTTTGGCTGTTCGAACAGTGCGGACTTTGGGAATCACGCGCTCTCCTGGATACTCACGGTTCAATACGCCAACACGATCGAGCAGATGCACAGCTGCCCATTTCTTGTCGAAAAGGCTGGTCTTCTCCATCAAGAAGTTGAGGCGCTTCTCGCGTGACTTTTTCTTCCACCTCGAAACAAGGAAGTCGGCATGTTTATCTAGGGCCGTGCGCAGAAAGGCGAGATCAGTCTTGATGCTGTTGACGATGGCGCTAAGAAGATCCCGGGCATTGGCGTCGCTGATTGAGTGTGAAGCAGGGAAGAACTGGGGGAAGCAGACGGAACACTCGTCGTTCTCATTGTATGCTGGGCCAGAATAGCTGCAACTGAATGGGCTAGAAGGTGGATTCTTGGGGTCGAGTTGGACCCTCTTCAAGTTGTCTCTTGATGCGGAGTCGTACACGTCGTAGCCAACTTTGTCAGGCCGCTTGATTCGCATCAAGGTTGAACGAATGGCCCAGAGATGTTTGTTGTCGTTGGCTTTGCTGTCTTTGGCCTGTGCAGAACCGGAGTGCATCGTGCTGTTGTCGGGGTTGGGCGCCATTGGGACGTTGGCTGCTGCTGCTGCTGCGGGACAGATGACGATATCCGAGAGCGCGGTTGAGGAAGGAAGGGTATTGAGTGAAAAGAGAAGATTTGAGAATCGTGGGATCAGTGATTTGGAGTGAAGTGTCGAAGGCTGCAGCCTGCTGGTTGCCAAAGGTTCCAGGCACCAGAGAACGCGCGCGGATGAATATGGAAAGTGCGATGTGACGCGCTCCTACCTCGATTGCATGCATCGACAAAGCATTTTGTATGTGTCTCACCCACCTGCTGGATTGTACCTAGCTCGATGGCAACTTGTTCTCCTCTCAATATTCCGCTTCCCTCGCTTTCTTGTCTTCCACTTTCCTGCAGAGTTGCTCCAATCACCCTGGCTGCTGCTTTCTAGTGCTGGGGCTTCTCACTCTTGTGCTTTTTGGCTATGCCTGATGCTTTCCAACTCAGAGCGTCTTCAAGGATTGTACATCATCGCGCCTCTCTCAGCGGACAGTTGAACAGAACTCGACAGCATCTTGTATTCCTGCACCTTCAAAGTCTTGCCTGCTCCCAGGCTTTGTTTGGTTCAGGGTGTTGGGAACTATACCGATGACCCATCTTGAACAAGCAGCAGCAGCAGCGACAGTTCACTGTGATAGAATACGTTCGGCCCTCACAGCAAAGAAAGTTTGTAAAGGGATGAGTACGATCGTCCCTTGTAGCGTTAGGGGTCTCTGCCAAGGCCGGTCAAGATGCCCCGTTCTCCGCATCCGCGGTTGCTGTGATGACAGCCAACCTGACATATTTTGCTCCGAACGCTTTCTCTCAGTCAATACCATACCAATCAATTCATGCTTGCAAGGGATTCCCGACTTGGCGACGACTTCCACCGTCGCGCTTTCTTCATATCTGGGTCCTCGCCGGACATCGGTGCATGTGAGGTAAGACCACATCACTGTCACTTTGCCGTGGCCGAGACGAGGGTACTCGAGTAATGACGTAATGCTAGGATGTCTTACTATGGTTCCCCGGTTCACGTGCGTAATCTGCTGTAGAGCTCCCCGGACAACTCAGGGTACCTCAGACCACTGTCATGCTCGAAAGCAAAACAATGGTGCCAAAGTAGTGGCCTGGTGAGTTCTGTTGAAGAATCTCGTACAATCGTCTCGTAGGTACATAGGTCTGCTTTCTCCTCTCTTTTCTTGCTTCACCAAATTGCCCTCTCTTCGTCTCAAACATACAACCAACATTCGTGAGATTATTCAGACACTACTTGATATCCTTCGAACCTCCGTACTTAGAAACGATGCCAGGTATCGACATGACCGAGACTATCTCCCCCGACTATCTTGTCATCGGCGCGGGTGCCATGGGCATGGCCTTCGTTGATACTCTGATCTCTGACAAGGACGCTACGGTGGCCATCGTCGATCGCTATTCCCGTCCGGGGGTTCATTGGACGCTTGCATACCCGTTTGTCGCCCTTCACCAACCGTCCGACGTCTACGGCGTCAATTCTCGCCAGCTCGGAGATGAGAAAATAGTTGGATACAACAAAGGCCTTGCCGAGGTGGCAACGGGCGATGAGATCGTCGCCTATTACACTAAGGTCCTGAACACTACTCTCCTTCCGTCTGGTCGCGTTACCTACTACCCACTGCACAACTACACCGGGGATGGAGAGTTCCAATCGATTGCCACAGGCAAGATGTTCTCGGTCGGACCAAGCACTCGTATTGTGGACTCCACATACGTGAAGGTCACGGTCCCCTCTATGAGTCCACCTTTGTATGAGGTCTCAGAAAACGCCAACCTTGTTACGCCCAACGCCTTAGCGACTCTAAAGCGACCTTATGGCGCCTATACAATCATTGGAGCCGGGAAGACTGCAGTCGACTCATGTTCGTGGCTGCTAGCTCAAAACATTGACCCGAAGGATATTTCCTGGATCATGCCGCGCGACTCCTGGTTCATAGAACGCGCTATTCTCCAGCCTCCAGAGGCTACGCCCAACCCTGAACAACTGCTGGAAGAAAAAACCAATGCCATCATGGGGTCCAAAACATCTCAAGAGATGTTTCATCGCATGGAGCAACTCGGACACGCCCACCGTCTAGACAAGAGAATCGAGCCTACCATGTTCAGGCACGCGATTGTCACAAAAGCAGAGTTTAAAGAGATGAAGAAAGTCAAGAACATCATACGCCAGGGACGAGTCAAACGCGTTGACCCAGACAAAGTCACCTTGGAGAAGGGCACATACACTCCTGTGCCCGACACTCTCTTCATTGACTGCACTGCGCCTGGCTTAGGGAACGTGCCCCCTGTTCCTGTCTTCAATAGTAGAAACATCACTATTCAGAACATAAAGTTCTTCCAGCCCACGTTCAGCGCTGCTCTCATTGGACACGTCGAAGCCAGTTTCGACGAAGAAAATCTCAAGAACACTCTTTGCGACCCTTTTCCATACACTCGCGAACCGGCGGATTACCCTACGACCCTCCTGGCTTCTATGAAAAACAGGCTCAAGTGGATGGAAGAGCCCAAGGTGAGTGAATGGTGTGCAAAGTCTCGTCTTGACTTTCCCGTCATGGGTCCGCCGCCCAGAGATCCTGAGAAGGCCGCAGCTTTCAATGCCAGTATCGAGCAACAAATCAGAGGTCTCTGTGATCACTTTGAACGGATGGCAAAGAATGACGCTGCAAGTGTAGCCTAGCTGTAATGCCGAAGTATTCTTTGAGACCATTCTCCTTTGTTTCTCAAGCGATCTGTCTAGTATCGAATATATACATATATATATATATATATATCTGCATTCAAGCTGAATCTTGTCTACCGAACTGCTTCATCTTACCCATCTCTAGGCTTGAATCAGCGCGTTGCTTCGCGTCAATCAGTCCCTGTTGACCCACATAGTGGTGATCGAACGATGAGCAAGGTGGACCCGTCGTTGAAGTGAATTGTCTATCTGATACGACACCTGTGGGAACAGCTCACATTTCGCATAGCACCTCCTCCTGGTGTACAGACTGAATCCTATTGTGACATTACGGTAATCTGTAGTCGCAACATTTTCACCTCATCGGCAAGCACAGTTTGAACGTAGGCATCGTTGCAACAACAACCGCACCAGTACGTAAATGGTTCTACAAAAATGCTCCTCTCGTCATTCATCCGTTCAACCCAAACTCAAGTGCAATGCAATACTTTTTCGATTGGATCCACTAGCATGGCAGTGACGGAGAGCAACTGAGCTGCTCGCATATTCTACAGGCCTTAGCAATCCGAAAGCAAAGAGTCTTTTGAATGATCAAGAAAACCGAAACTTTACTACTTTGGTATCAACCTATTGGAGGCTCTGGATGAAGTTGTAGAGTACCTCGTTGACTTCATCAGCTTTTTCAATATGTAGAAAGTGGCCAGCGCGGACAGTTCTAATCTGCATCCCCGGCGCAAATGGCAGCGTAGAAAGTAGTTGCTCAGATGGAATACCAACCGAATCCTTCTCGGCCCCGATGAACAGACTAGGCTGCTCAATGACTCCGGACATCGATCGAATCTCTATGCTGCATTAGATCATGTCAAACAAAGCGGGCATCTGGGATCCGTCTTACCGTCCTCATCAGCCGAGTTGATACCACGCAAGTAAGACTTGTACCATTTCAGACCCGCCTCGAGACCTCCCTGTGCGCGAGTAATGGTTTTCCATTGCTCTCGAGTCGAGTTGGTGATGAAATCGTTGCCGAATTCTGCTCTTCTATCCGCTGCTAGCCATTCTTGAAGTGCACCAATTGTGTTGAAATTCTCCACCATTACTTTTGGTGTATCGGACGAGTACATGAGAGAGTATAGAGAATCTAACTGTACTGTTGTAAGCTTGAGTACATGCTCGGTCATGATATTGAACATACGTGTGCATCCAAGAGGCCGTGTGCGTCTGGTTCATCAAAGTAGTACCAGTACCCGAGCACGGGGTATCTAAATGTCGCTTGTGAATAGTTGTTGTAAGCCTCGACGTAAGTTTGATTGAGGTCTGTGCCGGGGGCGTTGTAGCCGATATCCAATACCGCAAGAGCGGACAGGTACTGAGACTGGTACGTGTAAAAGCGAGAGAGCAGAAAAGATCCGCTGAGGTGCATTTAGTCTGACATTCTCGAAACATGACAACATGTCGTATCGTTGGGCTTACAGGTCATGCGAAACTGCGACTACCTTGTCAAGACCTTCGCAGTCGAGCAGTTCAGCAATTTCAGATGCCATTGTCTTCAGACTATAAGCTTCCAATTCAACGGGCTTGTCTGTACCACCGGTGCCTAGAAGGTCTGGTGCTATGATGCCGTAGCCGCGCCTAGTAAAGTATTCGATCTGATTAACCCAACTGTACGAGGTCTCTGGGAATCCGTGAAGGAACAAGAGGTATGGCTTCTCCTTCTCGAGTGGAGGATTGATGGCGTAGCGATATGTCGTCCCCGAAACTGGAAGTTTAACGTTCTTCATCATGTGCACATAGCTAGTGTTTGCAACATCCGACTGATGCAAATTAGCATCTCGATGCAATCTGGGAAGTCGGTTCTGGTAAACCTACGGTATCAAGACCCTCGTTGAACTGACACGTCCAATTCTGATATAGTGTGAGCATCACTTTTCTGACAACGCGTTGCATCAAACTCGTACCTCTGAGCGACTTTGTCGTGTTGGTACTGCCCCTAACGCGGGCGCGAGGCAACTTGTCAGGAGAAATGCTTTGAGAGCAGAAACCATAGCTGTTGTTGAGATGCTAGCGTTATGAGCTATGTCTGACTCTGAAAGGCGTTGTTGTGACGGAACCGAGGACTGTACATATCTGAGGTATCTGATGAACCATGATCGGAGTTACAATGAAACTCTGATCGTCGACACTTGTCGTGCGCTGGACGCTAGTCGTCACCGTTCGAAGTTCCCTTACTAAGACTCGCCGACGGACTTGAAATACGAGATAAACGCGTATTGTGTTCGAAGTTCCCTTACTCAGATTCACCGACTGTCACCGTGACAGTGCAACGCAGACTGGGAGGTGAGATGGTGAGCAGAACTCTCCTTGTTCTAGAGGCACGTCATCCGATAAACGGCCTGAGTCTGTTCTTGCTGCGAAAACCTAGCCAAGACGGCACTCTTTGAAATGTGCACGCTATTTTCGAACAGTGCGAGAACTGGTGTTCGAGTAGCCAAGAAGGAGAAAAGCCGGCAAGGCACCAAAGGAATGGCGGTATGATGCCAAGTTGCTCTCAGTCCATCTTTGCTGGCCCCACCGGATTGCTCTACAATAAACGCCTGTTCAGTACATATCTGTCACCAGCCGTTCCCAAGAGGGAATCCGCGAAAGTAGCTCTGGAACGCACGATGAAGGATACACCGATACATGGAACAAGACGTTGCGATCATCCTGCTTGAAACCTTCGTACGTACCACCGCTTGTTCGTCAGCCAAAAAGCTTGGACGCTCTGCTCTCATACTGGATATAAAAGTCGGGCGACTCTGCGGGTCAGCAGCCAACTCATTACTCGTCACTTTCCCAAGAGATCCATATAACTATACTCAAGATGTCGGAAGCTTCCTTCAACCCCAAAAGTGACATTCCAGACCAGTCCGGACGCGTCTTCCTCATCACTGGTGGTACATGATCACACTTCCCCCGCACCATATATAACTACAACTGACCTCCGTTCCAGGAACAACTGGCCTTGGCGCATCCTCTATCCAATTCATCGCCGCCCATCACCCAGCACATATCTTCTTCTCCGGTCGTAACAAAGCCCGCGCCGCAGAGCTCATCACAAAAGTCCGACAAGCCTCGCCTTCCACCAAACTTAGCTTCATTGAATGCGACCTCAGCAGCCTCTCCTCGGTCAAAACCGCGTCCCAGGAATTACTCACCAAGACAGACCGCCTTGACGTCCTTATGTGCAATGCGGGCATTATGGCCACGCCCGATGCGCTATCGAAAGACGGCTATGAAATCCAGTTGGCGACAAACCACCTCGGCCACGCTCTCCTCATCAAGTCTCTACTCCCTTGCCTACTCAAGACTGCAGAGCAACCAAACTCGGACGTGCGCATCGTCAGTCTTACATCTTCTGCGCACGAAATGGTTCCAAACGCAGGGATAGAATTCAACAAATTGAAGACTCTGGGGGCAAATTACGGACCTTTTTACCAACCCAACAAATGGATGTGCTACGGTCAATCTAAGCTCGCAAACCTGCTCTACGCCAACCAACTCGCGGAGAGATACCCGAGTATAACGTCGGTCGCCGTTCATCCTGGGTTCATCAAGACGGCGCTTCATGATAACAACGGGCTGGCGGACCGCATGGTCGTGAATTTCAAAGCAGATAAATGGGTCAGTGAAGAGGAGGGCGCGTATACTCAGACGTGGGCTGCTACCACAGCAAAAGAGAAGCTCAGCAGTGGCGCTTACTATGTGCCTGTTGGTGTGAAGACCACACCGAAGGTGAAGCAGGCGAAGGACGTGGGGCTCGCAAAGGAGTTGTGGGAGTGGACGGAGGTTCAACTGGAGAAGTGGGTTTGAAGACAAGAGAAGGGTTTCTCGGGGTCTCTGCCAAGGCGGGTCAAGATGCCTCGGCATGTTTCGTCTCCGCATTTCCTCCGCATCCGCGGTTACTGTGATGGACAGGCAAGCTGACATATTTTGCTCCAAACACTTTCTCCTATTCAATACCATACCAATCAATTCAAAATGTCAGCCGAAGCAGATGTCAAGCTCGAGGACTTCTCGTCCATCTTCTCCCTGCCCCAAAAGGTGGCCGTAGTCACTGGTGGATCCAGAGGTCTCGGTCTCCACGCCGCATCTGGGTGAGTAGCCAGTAGTCCGCCGATGATTGTTCCATGTCTGACCAGTCATACGTGTAGTCTCCTCCAAGCCGGGTGCTCCAAAGTCTTCATCACCTCCCGCAAGGCCAAGGCATGCGAGGAAGCATGCGGCGCCCTCAACAAGCTGCCCGGCATCAAGGGCAAGGCCATCTCCGTACCCGCCGACATCTCAAAGGTCTCCGAGATTGAGCGTCTGGTAGCAGAAGTTGGAAAACACACCGGTCATGTGGATATCTTGTTCGCCAATGCTGGTGCAACATGGGGTGCTCCTTTCGACAAGCACCCTGCCGAGGCCTTTGCTAAGGTCATGGACCTGAACGTCAACAGTGTCTTTTACTGCATTCAGAAGTAAGCATAGAGATGAGTGTTTTTGTGATTTCCGCAGCTAACTGATGCGGTTAGATTCGCTCCGCTACTCGAGAAGAAGGCTTCATTAGCAGAACCCTCCCGCGTACTCGTCACAGCATCTGTCGCGGGCATTGGGATTGGGTCTCTGGGAGAGAACGCAACACCCGGATACAGCGCCTCCAAGGCCGCAGCACTCCATCTCACACGCAACCTGGCTGTCGAGTTGGGTCCGAGAGGAATCCTCTGTAACAGCATTGCTCCTGGCTTCTTCCCCACCAAGATGGCCAACGGCTTGATGGCTTTGACTGGTGGTACACAGGCTCTTGCCGATGCAAACCCCAACAAGAGATTGGGCAAGCCCGAGGACATCGCCGGTACTGTCGTATATCTTTGTTCCAGAGCATCGAGTCATCTGAACGGCGCTCACATTGTCATTGACGGTGGTAGTATATTGGGCCGCTCTAAGCTGTGAGACAATCAATCGCAAAGAAATGTATATTCACGCTCTTACCATACTTCCTCACATACTCCAGGGTGGTGTAAACCCGTGCATATCATTTGTGGGCGGGTTTTCTAAACATTGACCGTCCTGATCACCACAGCAGTCTCATGCTGACATAGACCGAGCTTTGACACTGGTGAAAGGTCTTACAAAACAGCATGTCAAAAGGCACAGCGTTGATTACTTCGATGTATCTGTTCCAAGAGATCGAGAAGAAGCATCACTCTTAAAGGACACTTGCTTGATCATCAAAAGCATTTGCCTATTCACAGCCAGGTTAGTCTTGCAAATAGGATGAGCAGTTTCGAGCGCAGTATTGGCACCCACCAAGTAAAAGAAAAGTGATTGAATATATCTCATTTTGCCATCTCACATACTCTAGAAAATATCACCAAAGCATAATTTTGCCTAACCTCGAAACGCCTTCACAGCAAAGTCAGCCATCAATCCTCTTTTTATTCAAGACAACAACACCCACAAAGATCTCAGCTGGAAGATCACCAAGGAAGACCGAAGAATCCCTTGCGACTGGTAGTGGTGGTAGTGGTGGAGGTGGTAGCAGTAGCACCTGTTGCACTCACCGTACCAACACTGCTGCTGCTAGAGGAAGGATGTGCAGAAGTGGTGTGGTGACGGTCACGGAAGCGAAAGTGTGAACTCACAGAGCGTGCCTGGATATTGGACGATGAGCTTGGAGCTGTCTCACTCGCTACCTCGGACCACTGGGATGCTGCGGAGGTAGGAGTGGGGATGGATGATGAGCCTGCGGAAGTGGGCTTGGGTGTTGGTGCTGCTGCAGGCGAGGCAACACCGGTTGACGTTGATGCTTCTGGTGCGACTTGCTGGACTTCGGGCTCAGGGGCGTCTTCGTGCGCCTCGGTTGGTGTGGAGTATTCTTCAGGGCTGTAGCCGTGACGAGCGAGGAACTCCTCGAAGTCCTCATCGACAGGGTAGTCTTGCTCGGACTCGGAACGTCTGCCGACTGGAGGTGCCTCGTGCTCTTCGTCAAGCTCTTCGTAATCGCCATCTTCGACTGGTTCATCATCTTCGAGCGATCTGGCGTGCAGCTGCAACTCCTCGTTGAACACTTGGCTCCAGTCAAGATCCTCATCTCCCTCTTCTTCGGGGTGGACATTGGCTTCGGCGTCTCTGGCGTAGAGTTCGTGCTCTTCCTCGGAAGGGTATTCATCTTCCTCTTCCAAAGAACGAGCATGGTGCTCAACTCCCTCAGGAACTTCTCTGGACTCCATCCACTTTACGAAAGCATCAAACGTATCGTCAGCAGGTCCATCCGTGGCTGGTTCTGCTTGTGCGGGTACACTGCGAGCATGGTTTCTGACACCATCTTTCTCAATAGTGCCTTCAAGATGACGACCCTCCATCCACTCGACAAAAGCTACAAAAGATTCATCCGAAGGTCCGTCTGTAGGAGGATCGGCAATGGGAGTTGTCGTCTGTGCATTCACATCGCGAGCAATGAGTTTCTTCTCGTCATTTTCGGTATATCCCTCTAGGCCGCGGGAGATCATCCACTTGACGAAAGCATCGTAACTCTCGTCTGTAGGTTCGTCGGTTGTTGCGGTAGTAGGAGCAGTTTGAGATGATGCAGGTACAGCACGAGCTTGAATGCCAGTGGGCTTCAAGTCCTCATCGGGCATATACGTGGGCTCAAGCGAGTCGATTGAGAAGCTTGGTAGGGCGGAAGAGGCAACCTCGGAGTATTTGTTGGTTGATGGTTCAGGAATAGCCTCGTAGCCAGGAATGTCTGCGTAAATGGTCAGTCACTACGATCTCCAAGCAAGACACTAATACCAAAAACATACCTTGAACATCAACGGCATTTGTTCCCACAGCAGCAATAGCCGCATAAGCAACGGTAAAAACAGAAAGACGCATGATAAATCGATGTCTTGTGTTACGAAAACCCAGAATGTGGAGAAGAGATATAGCATATATAGAACAGTTACTATTGTGATCTGGTGAAAGGATCTGGATAAATTGGTGGTTACTTTCTATTGAGAGGTTGTGGCGTCCGCTTTCGGTAACATTCTTTGTTGAAGTCGACGCCGCAAATGTAGATGATGGACTCCCGCTTTCAGGAGGGGACAAAGGTGTTTCATGCTGAGAAGTAAGAAATGAATCCGAGGGCTGAAGTGTGGTTTCTTGGTGACGCGATCCAAGTGCTTCGTAGTGTGAATGTTGAATGGGAAGTGTTCGATCTTGCTTCGTTTCATGGTTGTTGGAGAGGGAAAGGTTCGGCGGCGTGGAAGTCGCCACATTTCCATACCCTCAGACCATACGCTTGAGGCCATGTTTGTGCTCCATGGAATATTCTTCTGGACTACCATGACTTCTTAAGTTCTTATCGTCTGTCATCACTCTCTTGATGCAACTCAATCAGTAAGCCAATCTCGAGTACGATCGATGTTGATTGGGGTCTTGAGCCTTTACAGCAGTATGCCTCCCTGGAGGCAGGCAAACTTCGCATATGTCGTACGAACAAAGGGAGAAGTCATGATGTGAGCACAGTACTTGCGCTGCTCGGCTGTCTTCAATTGTTCATGGTAACACGTTCCTAGTCTTGCGAGGAGATCTCCATGTCGGCTGGCGGAAGAGCCAATTAGTGACACTTTGGAGGGAGGACTCGGCTGAGGAATGCGTACTGGGCAAGGGGGCAGGATGAACCACAACACTGGTATCCCAAGGCGTCTCGGGGCAAGGTGAGACGAAGACTCTTCGGCATGCCGAAAACCCGGAAGTACGGCTACGAGTGAGGGTCGATCAGGAGGCCCCTTGACCTACGGCAATAATTGCAATTTCGGCTCAAAATCGATAAACTTCCCTTGAGATTGACGAAGAAGGTGTCGGAGTGATGTTCCTCTTGACGAACCAGCAGGAAGAACCGGATCATGGCTTTGACCATTCTTCTTATCATCGATTGAGTGCCCGGGTAAGCGTCAAAGAAGTCGAGTTCCCCTCTGCAAACAGCATCAGCACAAAGGACAAACCTACATCATACACGTTATACGTACCTAGCTAGGATACTGCAAGATATCCCATCGAAGATTCCATGAACCAGCTAGTCGGAACCGGCTTGACGTAGAGGCATATACGGCATGAACAAACAACTCTGCCTCAGCCACTGACAACATGTAAACCGGAGTGCGCGATGTCGAAAAGTGGTTATAAGGAAGGGCAGCAGATCTGAGAAGTATCTTTTTCCTCTCAAGCATCTTTTGCAAAGAAACAAGACCAGTCGACTCTGTATCTTCTTTTCTTCCTTGTACATACATACCTTTTCGTTCTTCAGCACCCTTTTCACCCTTGTTCATTCGACTTGCCAACTGCGAACTTATCAACATCAACCAAACTGGCAGAATTCAACATCGTCTTCGATATGATTACAACCCTACACTGGCAACAGCGTATTGCGCTAGTCCGCCACAACCTGCACGCTGCTCATCGCTCAGGGGACTTTACCTTCTTCAAGACCTTGCAAGCACAAGCTCTCTTCGACAATACCAACCACGTGGCCACTCTATCGGCCACCCTCGGAGACGAAGCAGACAGCGTTCTGTCCGGTCTCGACGACCTAAACGCATCCATCGCACACGTCCACGAAGACGCTTTCAGAAACGTCTACAACAGTCTCAAGACCTACCTCCACGAATCCGGCGCCGCCGACAACAGTTGCGACGAAAAGAGCAAAGTCTTCGTCGACGTGCAGATGCAAAAGCAGATGGCCGATCATGCAATCGACAAGGCTACTTCTTCTGCCATTGCACTGATCCAGCAACAACCGGTTTGCGTCCAAGATACCGCGGCAGCCGTCTGGATCACTGGCACCACCATTATTGCCGATAGTGTGGAGGTCGTGTTGCAACAACTCGCCGCTCTGGAGAGTAACATGCATGACTTCATCCGCCTGGAAGAAAGCTGGAATGGTGTAAAAGCCAGTGTAGGCTACAGCGTTTCCGCACTCAAAGGTGTATTCAACCTCATGAGTGGCGAGCCAGACTCCCCCACCGTTGGAGCATCTTCCCGCTCCTCTAGTTTCTCTGGCACGATGTTCCGCCGCTTGTCCAGTGCTTTCGTGTCTGCTCCTGCTCCTGCATCGCATTCTCGCTCTTCTTCCGCTTCCGTGCCTACTTCTCGCTCTTCCTCGTTCTCTCAGCCTTCCCATCATAACAACAGATCTTCTTCCTTCCACGCACCGGAGTACAAGACTCCGAACTATTTCCGCAATAGTGCGTCGTCTGCTTGTCCTACTTCTTTGCCTAGTGGGAGTGGTTGGAGACATACGGAGTTGGATACTATTCCGCCTACTCCTGCTGCCACGGGTGATGTTGGAGATCAAGAGGTCAATCCTTTTGATACGAGTGTACCTCCTATGCCTGAGATTCCTAGTTTGATGGATATTAGATCTGAACAGGCTGTTATGTGTTTGATTTGATCGGAGAGGAGTGCAGATTGAGTGAGCCAGGTGTGCGGCATAGATCAAACTTGGCTTTTGTAATGGTTGTCGTTGGTGTGAGACTGTATATAGAATTAATTCATGAGATACGAATATACATATCTGTTTTTCCTTTCAGTGTTCTTTTGGTGTATCAAAAATTGAGATTCAGGATTACTGACCATACCTTACTCTTCCAACTGTCATGACGATCGTGTTTCTCGTTACTCATCGTTTCAATATCTGTCCCAGCCGACAACGCAGCCTTCATCGTCATCATCACCACTATGCAGGGCATCTTCATCACTGCCACTTCCGTATCTCTGGTCCTCCTCGTCGATTGTACCATTCCCATCATCTTCATATTCCCTCCCTTTCTCGGCAATCTCTTTCTCGATCAACGCTTTCAACAAGCCACAGAATTCTGCATGCAAGCGAACGAAGAAGTACTCGTCGCCAACAATCTCAGCCAGACTGCGCGTCTTGGGCACATTCGCCAGTGGAGAGGCGGCTGATAATGAGGAGCGAGGATAACCATCCGGATCTACTGACTTGGCCGATAAGAAACTGGATACCGGTGTGACTGCGGCAGATGTAGGAGCGTGTTTAGGAGGGTGACTCGTCGTTGAAGTGATCGAGGAAGGCTGCGAAGGCGTGCGCTGGGGGTGTGGTGGTGACAACGGCGGAGGGGTCCGCTCAGCAGAGCCCATAGACATGGGCGGTGAGGGAGTAGCGCTGGAGCTATAACTTCTCAGCGAGCCGACGTTCGCAGCCGACAGCTCGACTGGAGAAGCGTCGGAGCTGTCTCCCTGTTGTAATGCCGTCAAGTGTGTTTCGGCAAGTGTAGTGATGGATTTGGCCCATGCTTCAAAAGCGGTCCGGACGGCCATCTGGTGTCTGAACAGCGAGCGCGAGCCTACAGCTACAAAAGCGTATGCTCTTCTTTGCCCTCTAGCTCTCGGGTCTGGTAGACGGAAGACATGTGCCACGTTCACCGTCCTAGCATCTTTCGGCCCTTGCGTCGCCAAGTCGGTGGTTAAGGTCATGGAGCCGCTGCTCTGGCCTCGAGGGAGGGACTCGACGGCTAGCGCTCTGGTACAGGCATCGCGGAGGAGAGGATTCGAGGGCGCTCGTGTTGTGGCGAAGGTCGAATCGCGCCATCGGCTGCGCAGGACTGGAGGGGCTGTTGTCGCGGCGGGTACATTGTATGAGCAGTTGGCGCAACTCGTGCCGGTCTCGTTGGGCGGTGCTGAAGTGGCGGTCGGCGATTGCACTGACGTGGTCAAGAGCGCTTGCGGGCCATGGATCTCGCAGAAATGGCCAAGTGAGATTAACGTGTCCATGACCTACAGGAGAGACCTGGAGGGAGTTTGTTGCGTCAGCGTCTTTTGGCTCGCGCGCGATTGGTCGTGGGGGAAAGAGCTCGGCTTTCACATGACTCTTGTCGCTCTGGCTCCCTGTAGGAAGGGTCCAGCTCTCCGCAACCTCGGCAACTTCGCTGGTCGACTACTCGACTAACTTCCGCTGCGACTTCCGCTTCATCCATCAATTGTTCTGCTTTTGTGTTGCCATCTTCCGTTATCAAACATGGCTTCTTTCGCGTGTCGCTCTTGCTTGAAGCAAGTCCCCCGAGGTACACCAGCAATCTACAAGCGAGCATTCAGCGCCACCGTTCGCTCAAATGCCGAAGTCAAGAAGCTCGGTGTCATTGGTGCCGGTCAAATGGTATCGAATATTGATATGAGATTGCCATGTTGTAGAAACTAACCAAACTCTAGGGTCTTGGAATCGCTCTTGTTGCTGCTTTGAGAGCTCAAGTGCCTGTCACATTGGTCGACACCTCCCAGGCTTCTATCGATAAAGGTCTCAAATTCGCCGACAAGCTGCTAGCAAAGGATGTTTCCAAGCAAAGAATTAGCCAGGACGATGCAGATGCTGCAAGGCAACGACTGGTGCCAGTAACCGATATGGGAGCTTTGTCAGAAGTCGACATGGTAATCGAGGCTGTACCCGAAATCATCGACCTCAAAACCAAGATCTTCGCCCAATTGGCCAAGCTGGCCCCTTCGCATGCTGTCCTGGCTACCAACACATCATCAATCAGCATCACAAAGATCGCTGCCGCCACAACGACGGACCCAACGGATCTCTCGGCCGCTTCGAGGGTTGTTTCGACTCACTTCATGAACCCTGTTCCTATCCAGAAGGGTGTTGAGATCATCACTGGACTGCAGACTTCTCCCGAGACTCTGGCGACATCTATCGAATTTTGCAAACGCATGGGCAAGATTCCATCAGTCAGTCAGGATAGCCCGGGCTTCCTCGCCAACCGCATCCTCATGCCATACATCAACGAGGCTATCATCTGCCTGGAGACTGGAGTCGGAGCAAAGGAAGATATTGATGCCATCATGAAGAATGGCACTAACGTACCGATGGGCCCTCTTCAACTTGCAGACTTCATCGGTCTCGACACCTGTCTGGCAATCATGCGCGTTTTGCATCAGGAGCTTGGTGATTCCAAGTACAGACCTTCTGTATTGCTGACCAAGATGGTCGACGCTGGCTGGCTAGGAAAGAAGTCTGGAAAGGGCTTTTATGATTACTAAACTTCTAATAGCTGCTAAAACGAAAAAACAATTCAAAGAAGACTATCATGACTCAAATATGATGGTCCTGCTTCTCCATATCATGTTTCCTCCGCGTCTCAGAATCGACAATTTCGTGCTCATCTATGTCACTAACCACCGAATCCTGCCGCACGATTCTACTCGCGTTCTCCGTCTCAGCACCTCTTGGTGAATCGACAGCAACCATGCTTCCTCTACCAATGACAAATTTCGGCGGTCTCTCCAACCAGTTCGGATTTTGAGACGAAGTACTGCTGTTCCTTCTGCCATCAAACGGCGACTTGATCAATCTGATCCACGCTCTGATGATCTCGAATTTGAACAGCAGGAAGAACGCCTCCACACCGACGAAGCCGATAATGTATAAGACTGCGACTGCCGTGTTTTGTGGAAGGATAAGCTTCTGGATCAAAGGTAGGCATTTGTCGGTATCGCGTTGTTGTAGGATGCACAAGATCCAAGGGATGACCTTTGTCGGGTTGGCGAATGCGGTGGTCGTGTACGAGTCAACTTGGAAGATGAAAATGATACAAACGAATGCGATGACGAAGATGGCAAGAGCGACGATCGCCAGTGAGCGCCATTGAAGAAGGAGAACTTGCTTGAGTCGACGAACGGCTGTCCAGGCTTGACGTTTACTGGATGCTGATTTGACAGAATTGGCCGCATTGCTTCCCGAGTTTGGCTGTCTTCCATGCATGGCGGCTTTGAGGTAAACCTGAGCACAGTAGACGAAAGTTGCAAGTTGCAAAAGCAGAGCGATCGCGCCAAACCCAATCATCCAACCCCAGTAAGTCGAAGTAGACCCAACATTAACATGGCAATACCCACCAAACCGGAAACTGACTCCAACCTTCGCCAACACCGCAGCAGTCAACCCAATAGATATCGACCACGCAGCAACATTAGCAGCGATGATTGAAATCTTCCCCGGCGCGATATCCCAGCAAATCTGAAGGTGCATAAACACCGAGCGGACGACGATCCAACATACCGTCAACATACCACCAAACACAGCCATGCCACCACCAACAGCGCAAGCATTACTACTATTCATATCATTCGGCGTCACCGGATCGAAACATTGCTCAGGTCGTCTGGCAAGCGGGATGATAAAACCCAACTCCATGATCATGATTCCCACTAGCAATGCGATGTTCAGGAATGATCGTCTAGTAGCGTTGGCGGGAAGTGCTGCGTAGGAGAGCAGTAGGAAACCGCAGAGGATGAAACCGACCACATTCACCCATGCTGCGCCGTCTGCTAGGGCGGGGAAGGAGGAGGAGTTTACATAAGAGGACAGGGGACAGGGGACGCAGCATTTGGAGCCCGTGCCTGTGGTGTCCAAGGGGTTTTTTGCGCAGTTGCGGCCACCGGTATCTGTGATGAGTGTCAGTGCTGGCAATTGGGAGTGTGGAGAGGAAACTTTTTACAGCCTTCTTTGTAGGGATATCTGGATTCACTGATGAACGGGTCGGGGCAACCACCCGAGTCGACGGTGATGTTACCCAGTAGAGTCAACAAGTTGGCTGACATCTCGAGTGTTATCGCTGTCTGTTTCACAGCAGGTGGAGGGAAACTGTGGTGTCGAGTGGGAGTCGTGGATCAAGCCATTGGACATCACATCTCGACAAAGAAATTGATCACGCATCTGAAGCCTCAAGCCCGAGTGCGGGATATCATTTTGCAAACAAAGATGAATCGACGTTGATGCTGCTTTCGGTCGGCATTGACAAAGCGAGCTGAACCGAGATCTCGGGTGTGGCTGCTGGCATTCCACGGGTTCATGCCAAATCTAGCTCGGCCGTCTGACAAGGAATGTGATTGCGGGGTTTGGAGGCAGGAGTTTTCTCGTACGACAAGGCCAACAGATCATTATGTTGCTAGAACATTTCGTGAGTTGTGTCGTATGAAACTATGGCTTGCTACTCTATATGGCTCTTGCAATGCACACAGTATTCAAGCAACGCACGCGACGATCAATGAGGGCACATCCCAAAGTGCTGCTCGAAGTGACCGGTCTTCTATAATTACAACTTCGAGCTCACCCAGACTGGCGACCTCTTCTCTGCAAAGGCTTTGATACCCTCTTTGAAGTTCTCTCCTTGAACTAGACGAGGATACCATTCTTCGGCAAGAGTGGTGACAGTATCCTCAACACTACCTGCTTCCCAGCTCAGTCTGATACCCAAGCGCCCAACAACAACTGCATCTGGACTATTCTTACAGATGAGTTGAGCAGTCTTGATGGCAGCTTGCACGACTTCCTCAGGTGTATCAACAAGCTCCGTGACAAGACCCCAATCATACAATATCTTGGCCGTGATATTCCTGCCCGTAAGCACGAGATCCGTGGTTCTTTGAAGCCCGAGCGTCCTCGTCAAGCGAGGCAAACACCCAGCCACTGGCACAATACCACGCTTGACTTCGGGCAAAGAGAAGATGGCCGACGATACTGCAACCACGAGATCGCAATTCGCTACCATCTCAAAGCCTCCACCCATTGTGATACCGTTGACTGCGGCGATGATGGGTTTCTTGCCTGCTCTGCGAGGTAGACCTGCGAGACCAGGTGCAGACATGTCGTTGACGATGCCTCGTCTGTTCATTTCATTCCACTCTGGTTTTGTAATCAGCAAATAGTCAATGCATTTTTTTGCCGACAAGATGAACATACCTCCCAAATCAGCTCCAGTGCAGAAAGCCCTCCCATTTCCAGTAATGATACCGACAACCAAACTCTCATCTCGATCAAACAATTCCCAAATCTCAGCGATTTCTTTGCTGGTAGTTTGATCGACACAATTGAGTTTATCGGGGCGATTCAATGTGACCAGCACAATGCGATCGTCTGGGAAAGAAATATTGAAGTTTTTGTATTGGAGTGGTATTGATTTTAGCGACATGATGATGATGATGTTGGCGCGGGTGACGGTTCGGGATGGAAGAGATTATCTGATTTTTCTTATCTGATGGAGTTGCGCCGATATCGGTGGTCGGGGTTTCGGTGGAGCTTGGCAGCACTTCTCCGCAACTGCTTGGTCGTTCGCTGAGGGATGCCCGTTTTGCAATCGCCATTGGCAGCACGACCAACGACTCATCGTGCATCTTCTATCACTTCAACTCCATTTCTGATTCCTGCTCAATTCGACTGAAGTCATTGGAGACGTTATACCCTTTCATCTCAGACCACGTCACCGCCATGGCACCTCAGGGTGACGCGTACAACGTGGATTGGGTTGTTTCGCCCAGCTCGAACGTTCATGTGGCTAGTGACCGAGCATGGTTCACGGACTACACCCCTTTCCGCACCAAGATCTCATCAGCCCCCGGAGCGGAGCCGTCAGTTGAAGTACATGGAGTAGGCACAGTGGTCTTACACACTAGAACCTATGGCAAAGGCAAACCTCCCAAGCCTGCATGTCATATTACGCTTACCAATGTCCTCTACGTACCTGGAAATCCTGTAAACATTTTTTCTACCATGAAGATGGAATCAGATGTCAACATCAAGTTCAGGTTTGGCAGTAATGCGGTAGAGCCGATCATCAAGCGTGATACCAATCATGTGCTTGGTTTGGTTGTTCGCCTAAAACTGCACAAGTTGTGGTTGCAGGGCCAATCGAGAGATCAGAGCAGCTTGGATCCTGATGGAATGTATTACATATATGCTTCATGGCCTGGAACGGAGACCGAAAGGTACAACAACAGACTTACTCAAGAGTCTCAGGCCGAGCACGTAAGCAACGTCACCCAGGCAGAACCACCATACACTACCGAGGAGAAGGAGTTCTTGAAGCGCTGTTATGGTGGTGAATTCGACTTTCTCATGACATCGGACTCAAAATTCACAACGAGGATGACCGGGAAGAAGGACGTCACACCTTGAGAACTCTCAGGGCGGACTCTGACGGCGAGGCTAAGCCCAAGTCTAATAAAAGACCGCGACTGGATTCTGATGCTACGCCATCTCGTGAGGCTACTCAGATGCAAGCCTATGCCGCGCATCTTACCGACAGAAAATTCACTTCTGACCAACTGGACTTTATCCAGAAGCACTATCACAACTCCGGACACTTCATGCGCTGTCATGATCTTGATTCTTGGCAAGACGGAGCTTGTGATGAAGCTGTCAAGATAGTCAAGACGCTCATGACACATGAGCGCTTCAAGAGCCGATAATGTGAATCTATGCGCTCGGAGCGATTGGCAGGCTTCCATTGATACGGGAAATGCTGGTCCAAATCGACAGAGCATTCAGGCCGGGTCAGATGAGACCACTTACTAAGGATAATTCAAGGTCGAAGAGTCCGGGATGACGGCCGAAGGTCGAACTACAACCGCCCTACCTTAAAACAATCGCTTTGAAATTTTGTGTGGCTCGCCTGAATTGAGTCTCCCGAGGTCCAGAACGCGGCTTGTCCGCTTGACCAGATCACTCAATTTCAGAACAAGGCTTGATCAATGACCGAATGAATTCATAATTTTCGACCATCAAAGGAAATATCATCGAGGCGTTTGCCGACAACGAAGAGTCCCTTTCGCCTTCAATCTCTTTCACATCCTCCTTTGTATCAGCAACATCTGAACCGCCTCTTTTGTCCCTCTTGGATAAATGTCGAGCGCCCTGCCATCGAACCGACTTTCTTCTCTCAAGAAAACACATCTTCTTACACTCACCATCTCAAACAAGAACCACATATAAACTACAATCTACCGTCAGCTGAACGATTAAGCCCACGCAACAGATCAATCTACTGATACAATCTACGACAAGTATTCATCATGGCTCGTCTATCCATTACTATTTCCTTCATCCTCTCCCTCTGTGTCCTTATTTTCACCACCTCATCTCTCGCAGAGACCGACCGTGAATGGGCCCAATACCAAGCCCAATGCCAATACAAATACCCCACCATCAATCCCGCCATCGACCTCCTCTGCTCCCGCAACCTCCACCTCCCCGGCGTCGTCGCCTCCATCGGTCAAAACTTCGACCGCACAAACAAAGTAGCCATCGTCCCCAACCCCCAATGTCTCAAAGATGGCCGCATGAACCAGAACAGCAATGTTTGGATCCCTGAGTATTGGTGCAGAAGACAATTTTGGAAGGTTTGCGCGCAGGGAAATGATAGGGGAAGAGGCCAGCAGATTTTCGGTGGCAGAGGGTGTCAGCAGTTTTATATCTCTGATTGGGGGAGTTCTATGCCTAAGATTGTTATTGCCAACTGAGTTGGGCATTATAGAATCGAGAAATGGAATAGTATGGCACATGGCGTTATATACCAGTTGAGAGAGCTGATGTTGGCAACTTCTTTTTCTCTTCGAATATCATTATTTTCTTTTACTTGTACATACTCTTGCAATCTTTCTTGTTCTATATTAGTTTGCGTGCTAACGATTCATTATTCCGCTTCGAAGCCGTCATGCATTCGCACAGTGTGTGATAGTACTACCAATAATGCAGGAGACGAAAAGCAGATGTCGTTATGTAGTGAACAAGAAGCACAGGTCAACGACGACCCATGACATATTCACCCTCGTGCATTTTATCCGTATCCCGTTGATCGTTGAGCACGATAATCGGATCTCCCATGCAAGCGATCACTTCATTAACCCAATGACCGAGTGCTGTTATAGCGAACAACAAGCACAGGTCAACGACGACCCATGACATATTCAACTTCGTGCAATGCATCCGTACTCCGTCGCTCACTGATCACGATAACCGGGTCTCTAATGGAAGCCATCAATCTATCGACCTGATGACCGAAAAAAAAAGGGTGCCATACTACGCGGTAGATGATCCAAGGAGAACACACTACCACGCTTTCCCTCTCATGATCGAAGCCTCGTGCAATACTTCCGTATCCGATTAATTCTCCATCGCGGAGAGTCGGATGTTAGAGCGGCCCTTGACCTTCGTCGACCTGATCCGCGATGATGGGGCGCGGTGAATTAGGAAATGACGGACGCTTGGAAACACTGCAAGCAATGCTTGCGGCTGATGATGTGACGGGATGGTCGTGCGCACGTCGGCGCCTGCATGGATGATCTAGATGCTGAGAGGTAGTGGACAGAATATATAGTGCAAGAGATTTGGAGGCGGCTTGGTGTTCGGTATCTGAGCTCTCTCGGCCATACCATATCTTCACTAGTAGAGGCCTATCAAAATGCAGGAGGTTTTTCATGCTTCATTGTTGGCGAAAGGAAGGCGTTCTATATCTTCCATCATCTATATCAACGCAGCTCATGCTTGTCACTCTTCATCTCCTATACTCTAGACTTGTTCCACTCACAACATTCATCAAACTTGACACCATTTCCTCCAAACACATCCAATGCACTTCCGATAGTCAAATCCACCTTGCCACCACTCAAACTCTCCACCAATTCGAGATCTTGCAAGTTGCGACCACCGCCTGCGTATGTGACAGGGATTGAAGACCATTCCGAGAGTTTGCGGACGAGGATTTCGTCGATGCCTTGTTGGAGGCCTTCGTTGTCTGCTGCATGGATGAGAAATTCTGAGCAGTAGGGTTGGAGGAGGGAGATTGATTCTGAATAATGCGATTAGCTCAGATACTCGAAAGGAAGCTGAATAGCTTACCAGCAGTCAATTCCATATCAGTCAGATCTTGCCATTTGTTCATGGCGACGAACCAGGTATCGCCCTTACGACGGCAACTTAGATCGATGACGAGTTTTGAAGTGTCGTTGTCCAGAGCTTTGAGTACTGATTGTAGACGTTCCAGGGAGAATTTGCCAGAGGGGAAGAGGAAGGATGTGATGATGACCTACAGTTTATACTTAGCAGATGATTTACGAATGTTGATAATACTAGGAAAGAATGTCTTTCTTTGGAGGAACATTTCGCTTTGTTTGAAACACTCCTCTACAGAAAGACAACAATGTATCAACTCACCTTGCTAGCACCATACTCAATCCACTCTTTCGCATTCCCATCATTAATACCACCACCAACTTGCAAATGCCCCGGCCAAGCTTCACAAGCCTCTTTGCACGCATCCGTATTTCCAGGCCCCAGCATAATCACATGCGCACCCTCCAACGCATTTTCCTTGTACAGATTTGCATAATACGACGATGGTAGTTTGGAGGTGAAGTTTGTTTTGAGCTCAGAGTCGGTTGTCGTCAATGTGCCGCCGACGATTTGCTTTACACTGCCGGCGTGGAGATCGATGCAAGGGCGAAATTTTGTCATTGTCGTGAGTTGATATGTGGTTTGTTGGTGGTATGTTGTTGGCTTTGGATGGGCTTGGGTGTACTTTTTTGCGGGTATGACGATGCGGACTTGGAGGCCGAAACCGGCGATCTCCGGAGAGAGCTTGAAGCTTTCGAGACAAAACACAAGTCGAAGAAAGCGATAGCAGCATGCACAAAAGCTTTCAATGCGCGACAGAATCATGTTCATCCTCCGCGCCACGTCAAAGCCCGCCGTCGCTGTCTTGCCTTGAGTTGAACACATCCTTGCGACGTCTCCATGACTTGACGTCGACCTTGACCACACTAGCAACCGACAGCGATGCTGACCCCACCACGCTGATTCATCGATAACCTTCGACCTCCTACCCGAATCTCTCTGCCACGCCCTGTCACCCTCCTCACTCAAATGACGATCACTGACAGCCGCATAACAACCCAATGGTCTAGCTGACCAGCCGACCATTTCTGAGCTGGGAGGAGGTCCGGAGACAAGAGCATAGTCGAAAGACGAGCCACAGTATGGGCAATCATAGTCACAAAGAGAAGAAGAAGCTGCACATAAACGAGCCATCAAAAGGTAAAGAACTGTGGGTTAGATACCACTTGTTTGCGAAAGAGCCTGAGAAAGAAACCACTGTGACCTGGCCAGTGCCATATAATCGCATCACCACCCAGACTGCAGAGGGAAAACAACAAGAACTTTGCAAGTAGGTCAGTCCATGCTCCTTCCGGTCAGTCCGCTGCTCTTCACCAAAGTCTGCCTGAAAAATGCCGCCCGGGACGCCAGATGAAACCCTCGTCCCTCCACACCACAAATCGCCGTTCACAAATAGCAGTGTATTTCTACTCCTGCTCACTGTGATCAAAAGTCTCTTCCGAAACCTCCAGAATCCTGCTAGGACCAGTACACAAAGCACAAGCACAATTGGCAATATCTCCCTTGATCATACTGACGACATGTTCGGCCAAATGCTTGTACGACTCGGTAGGACCTTTGGGATGACCGTAGATGAGAGTGCCGTATAATGCATATCCATTAGGAACTCCACCGATGCATTTGGCCCAGAAACCTGCGAATAGAACATTAGCCTTTGGAATAGAGATGGTAGATTAGGGAGTTAGGAGATGCGTACCGAGGGCAGCAACGTGGTGGCCACGGTTGAATTCGCAGGTCAATTCGTTGAGCAGGATGGTATCGTTTGATCTGTATTGAAGCTGGATCTGGGCGGGTTTCTGGTATGTGCCATCGCTTTGGTATTCGCTCAGGTTGATCTCGCACATTTGCAGTTTGAAGCTGGGGCTGATTGGAGTGGTGGGCATGGAAGCTGAAGAGATGTGCTCTGTCTTGACTGATGTGTTGGTCTGGGAGGTAAAGGAGGAGGAGTCCTCTGTCTCAATTGAAGGTCTGGCCTTGGAGGCGGAGATCATGTTGTCTGCCATGGTTGATGTCTGATACAGTTCTGCAGATGATCTCTAGCTGGGAAGGCGAGCATGATATAGAGAAGTATCCTTGATTGCTGCCTTGATAAGGTTGGGCACTGAAGGTTCCAAAGCTTTCAAAGATCGTGGTTTGGACACTTCTTGTCTTAGCAAACGGCAGTCTACGTCTTTCTTTGGAGGTAAGTAGATGAGACTATGACAAGAAACAACAGGTCTGGTCTACAATCTCAAGCCTTGATAACCTGTTATTTGATCCTGTCGGATGAGCGTGCCGTGACAGATGAGGAACAACTGGTACACCTGCAGGACAAAGAAAGCGTTGCTGCGCCCAATGAGGATTCCAACGCAAAACAAATCCAACGACTCAATGATTTGAACCCCGGCCCCCAAACTCCCCACAAACGCCATCCAGCCCATCCTTTCCCTTCACCACAGCAAAACACATCCCCCACCTACCTCCTCACACTATGAGCAAAACAAAAGGAAGGTTTTCAGAAAGCTACTTGGCGCGAGTAGTCTTGTTCAGATTCTTCGCCACTCCAAGAGGTGATTGATTTCTTGTGGTGATGGTGATGGTGATGGGCCGCTGGCGCCAGTGGTCTTGTTCAGAGTTTTGGCCGCTCCAGGGCGGGATCACGAGAGGCGAGTTTGCCGCTTGCGCTAAACAACCCGTTTGGTCCTCTGGATGGGAATTCTGCTGGAGCTTAATATATATCCTGTGTTTCACTGAGCCTTTGCTGACGCTTTGATTCTTGTTCTTGCCTGCATAATCGTCCAAGCTTTGAAAACGGCAGAAACATAAAGATACACTATCGTATGCTCTTTGTCATCTACCAATTTCTCACAAGACGCTGCTCGAACCTGCATGCAAATGTGCCAGCTCCTTCTCGAATCCCCAATACTGTGTGTCGGGCTAATCAGCACCCACGTCAGAGCCAGGAGTCACGATGAACGGCAAGTTCATTTTCCCAGGTTGAGTAAAGTATCTAGGCTGTTTGAAATCATCTTGAGGTCTCAATTTATGCTTGTAAGCGCTTGTAGAAGAGGCTGTGAGAGAGAGTCTTGTTCCCCCATTACGTTTTGCCAGAGACGACCCAAAAAATGACCAACCCCATGTCTGCCATTCCACTGTCATTGCCATCCTGCTTCAAATCGACTTTTCGACCACAGTAACACCCACTTGTGTTCCACTCCATCGCTGTCTCTGCCCACTTCATGTTTTCCTCCCCATGCATAGCCTGCTAGAACCGCTTTAGGTCGAGGCTAGTACAACAGCTACAGCGTTCAGATCGAACTGTCTGCAAGGACCGATGCAAAGTGGGCAAGCACAGTTGGCCAGATCACACTGAATGATGCTGACAACATGCTCGACAAAGTGAGCTAAGGAATCGGTAGGTCCGTTTGGGTGACCGAAGATCATGACTCTAATGCCAGTGCCGGTGCCTCTGTTGACAAAGTAGATGGTATAGCCAGAGGGGGGTTTGCCGACGGGTCTGGGCCAATAGCCTATGGTTGATAAAATGTCAGTTCTCTGGCTGTAGCGATAGATGGGCTGCTACGATGGATATACCTAATGCGGCAACGTGGCGACCATTGTTGAATTCGCGGGTCAGGTGGGTCAGGAAAGTTCTTCCCATCAATCGTGCCAATCCGCGAGTGGCAGGTAGAGGAGATGGATCAGGTAGATCGGGTTGTTGATTTGTGCCATCGCTTTCAAGCTTGCTCAGGTCGATGTCCTCGATGCGTGAAGTGACTCTGGGATTGACCTTGTGGTTTGCTGAAGCTTTGGTGGTGCCGTCGGAGGGATTGCTGGCCATGGCTGATGATTGATACGAGAACGGTGGCTGATGGTCTCAAGGCGAGGTGGCCAGGGGTGATATAGCCTTTCTTGATTGCTGCATAGACATGAGCAGAAGGCTGGGGATTCTAGCAATCGCAGTCATCGACCGTCATTTTGACAGCTCTTGTCTCAGTAAACAGGGCCTGGTCTTTGACCGGATGACGAGTAGTGACATGGCCTTGCGAGACAAGACTGGTACGTTCCAGAGTTTGGATCTTGAAGAGTTTCATTGTACATGGCTCTTCCAGTCAAAGATAATATTGACCGAGGGCGAGTTTCACCTATGGTTCCTTCTGCTTTGTGTACAAGTGACACCAGGGATCCGTGGAGGGTCTTGTAGCCAGTAGACATGGCCAAAGTGCACAAGACGGACAGATTGGCAAGAACGAAACCTTACCTCTCCTAAAACTCTGTCGTGTTGTGTTATGTCCTAATATAGGTGCTCAGGAAAAGCAGTGATGTTGAACGATATTCAGATCGTCATCAACGTTGATAAGCCTGCCAGGCGTGATATATCTCCCCCACATGGTGATGTTCTCTGTTCAAGATAATCCGAGGACACATCAAGCAAGTTACTACGTAGATGCATCAAGGAAGGGACAGAGGGCTTGGCGTGGACCGCGGCTGCCAGGAATGCCAAAGCTTGGACCCTCTTCCATCATTCTTCGCAGTTTCGATGTGCCGCCAAAGGTCAATTCAATCAACATCGTTGTCGCATATCACCATGGCTCTCGTAGGATACTCAGACAGCGAAGGCTCTGATTCAGAAACACCAAATGTCACGCCCGTCCCTGCCGCATCAAAACCCGCCGCCAAAAAGCCAAACTTCCAAAAACTCGTCGACCCGTCAGCGCCACGCAAGATCAAAGTCGACCTTCCTACGATACAACCAGAAGCCGAGGCAGATGCGCCCCCAGCAAAGAAGGCGCGAACAGCTGGCAAGTTCGGTGGCTTCAACTCGTTCTTGCCCGCACCGAAACGCGCCAACGATGCGAAGAAAGGCCTCGGATCTGGTGTCAACCTCAAGACTGGCGCTGAGCCTGCATTCAGTAGAGAAAGAGTGGAGCCTGATCCTTCGGCATTTGCGCCTGCCCCAGCGACAGAGGATAACAAGGACGAAACAGACACATCAACATTACCAGCACCTTTCCAGGATGAAGCTCCCAAAGAAGTCAAGCCTGTGGGCAACGCTATGAAATTCAAGCCTCTCTCAGTCGCGCGGAACAAGAAACCCATGAAGAAGAAGATCCTGCCCAATGCCGCTCCTGCTGCACAAGCGCTCGCCGCGCCGACGATTGCAGAAGCGCCCAAGGCTCCGGCTCCCAGACCCAAGGTCTCCCTCTTCTCGGTCACTCAAGCAGACACCACACCCTCCTCAGCAGCACCAGCAGCAGACTATCAACCTCTACTCGCTGAGCCCGAAACTGCCACGACCACAGAACCTTACGACTCAACCACATACGTTCCCACACCCGCCCCCACCGACCCCAACTCCCTCACCTCCATCGCCGACGACCTCCAACTCTCCGCCTCCGAGCGCCGCCGCCTCTTCGGTCGCAACGCCGCTTCCGCCTCCGCGATTAACGTAACACACCTCAACATGGATGAAGAATACAACAATAATGAGCAATTACGCGCAGCAGGACAAGCTGTAGAACATAGAGCTGTTAAAGCTGTTGCGCCTGGTAAACACTCTTTGCAGCAGTTGGTCAATTCGGCTAGTACGCAGAAAGAGGCGCTCGAGGATGCGTGGGCACAGGGAAGGAGGAATAAAGCTGAGGCTGGAAGTCATTATGGTTTCTAGACTGGTTGGCTGTTGATGTATATCTTTACGAATAACGAACCATCCCTTATTTTACATGTTCTGCTCTCTCGTGCGACCACGAGCAAGTACTAGTACAAGCACAGCATCGATGATCCCGCGTTTTACTGCCCGTATCCAGCTGTAAACTTGCAGAATAATTTTGGGATGTCCTCATAGGAGTTGGTTCGGTGAGAGGTTGGTGGGCTTGGGCTGCCAATGCATTCTCTCCGGAATCATGACAGTGCTCTCGAGATCTTAGCTATCAGGACTGCTCGGCGCGAGGGAGGAAGAAGTAAATCTCGGTGGGCATCGCAGAAGCTCAACTATTCTCGAGCTTCCACCCTTGAACTTCGTCATGTCCCTCTCCCGTGAGCCGAGATGCGGGCCGCCCGGGAAGATGCAATCCGAACAATCCGGGGTGCCGACGCGGGTACAAACATCTTCCAAGGGTTCGCGACTTCCTTTCCTGGCCACAACAGGGAATTCTGCCTCCGGATATCCTTCCATACCATTTGCGCCAGACCTCAACAATCTTATTTACCATCGACGTCACTTCAGGATTATAAAGCAAGCATGTAGCTTTTCTCGTAACGGTAGGAAGCATGATTTGAGTAGAGTATATATTTCGCACTGAAGGCAGGTCCTTTTTATCATCGTCACACCACCCAACCATAACAGCTTCTCTATCCCTCCTTGTCCAGTAACTCCCAAGCTCCACCAAGCTTACCCATCTCAACACAATGGCACCCACAATCCTCATCGTCGGCGCAACCGGCAACACTGGCAGAAAGGTCGTCGAAACCCTTCCTTCGCTCATCAAGAACACAAAATCGCTCGCCAACCACCGCATCCTTTGCCTCACCCGCTCAGCTTCCAGCGATGCCGCCAAGAAGCTCGCACAACTGCCTGGCGTTGAAATTGCAGAACAGAACTGGGTTGAGATCGATGCCGCCTGGTTGCAAGAGCACAACGTCGAGCGCATCTTCGTCGCTTCCCACAACGAACCCGCCCACTTTGCCGAGGAGGGTCAATTCTACGTCAACTGCCTGAGGGCTGGCGTCAAATACGTCGTCCGTATCTCGACCACCGCCGCCAATGTTGTTCCAGACTACATGGCATACTACCCCCGCTCGCATTGGGCCATCGAGATGATGCTCAGTCAGCCCGAATTCAAGGATTTGGCCTTCACATCTCTGCAGCCCAATGGTTTCCTGCCAATGTTCCTCGCACCCACCGCCGAGTTCATCAAGAACTACCGCAAGACTGGCAAGCAAGAAGGCAACCTCTCCTTGATCATCGACGCAGACACTCCCACCGGTCTGGTCGACTCTGACGATGTTGGCAGGGTCGCCGCCCACCTGCTCGGCCAGGAAGACTTCACACCTCATGAGAACAAGAAGTACGTTGTCAGCGGGCCCGAGGACGTCACAGGCAATGATATCGTCAAGCTGGTAGAAGAGCACATTGGCACAAAGGTCGAAAAGGACAAGATCGCCTTCAAAGATCTGTCTTTCATTGACGGCATGGCCTCGCAATCACCCCACCCCAATCTCATCAGATCCATCAAGCAAGCCCCGGTCACATCATGGGAGGGCAAATGCAAGTCCGAAACAACAAGCAAGGAGGTTCTCGAATTGTATGCACCCAAGCGCACTGCTGCCGAAGTGTTGAAAGAGTTGATCCAATAGACTGCCTAACTAATTTCGTTGCGATATACCAATCTTTTTCTGCATTTGCTTGCCGCCTTCCTTCCTGCCAACTCGTCTAGTTCCATTCTAGCTCGACCCGTTCGACTTTGCCTTGGTCGATAACTAGAAGACACCGCACATGTCTAGGAGCGGCATTCCAGTGTTGGTGATGGTATGGAATCCACACATCGCATCCATCCATCCGTTGAAAGCTAAAACCGATCAACCATCAGCAGGAACCCCTCAACCCAAGACTTGAAATTTCCGCATATCGAAACTCACCCGTGATGTAGGCTTCCATTTCTTGTCGAGGCCAAACGTGATGTTTATCCGCCGGATGCTTGCAGACGCAATTGAACCAAGTTTTCTGGCACCACGCATGTATCTCGGCGATACTCATTGTACACCATTGTGCTTGTGTGGTCGTTGGGCGATATCTCGCATAACATTCCGCCTGTTTTGATTGAAAGGTAATCAGCAATTAATAGCAGATATGTTTGGGATTTGCTATTTCCCTCATACCATTTTTATGGGGAGACCACTCAGGTCTATCTTTGTTTCTGGTGTGAAAACTTGTTTTGGGTGTTGTTTTGGGTGTTTTGGGGGTTCGGCGAGTGGTGTTGCTGTTGTGATTGCGGCGGCGGCGGTCAGGAGGAGGGGGAGGAAGTGGAGGCGCATTTTGAGATGCGTTTGTGAGGAAGGGGATTGAAACGACAATATGGTAGGGAAGCGGGAACAGTGGTCCCTTTTGTAGTGGGAGTCGTGCTGCGTGGTTGGATGTGAGCAAGTTTTGGTGTGGTTCGATCAAGGTACCGTGGTATAAACTTGCGCTCTTGACACGTTATTTCTCTGAAGATATTCCTGGTCGTCGGTCAATCTGCCACTGTAAGATCCTCACACATCACACTGTCAGGTGGCCTCAGAAACATCAGAAACAGCGATGGAAAATATGTATAATCCAGACCAGGGTCGCCATGTCGGCAAGAGAAGTGTTGAACACAACTCAACAGCCATGAAAGGTGAACCGCCCTCACTACACAAAGTGATAGTTGACCTAGTCTCAAATACCAAACCCCAATTGCTCAAGGGTTTGGAGCTCATCAAGGATGGTGAACACGAACGCGATGTCCCCAGTCTGTTCAGCTTGCCTCGTGCCGAGATACGCGTCAGCTACTCAGGTCGCCCTTCAATCCATTACGTCTTTCATCATCTAGGACTCGTCCCGAATGCGCGAATATGCGTGTGTCAAGATCATGACATGATTCTCGAGATTGAGAAACATTGCGCTCGAAAACATGACGGTGCGGAGACGTGAAGAGCAGCTTCCGAGCGGGAGTTCCGAATGCCAAGACCAAGCAAAGAGCTCTCACCTCCTGCGTGCTGCAAAGCTTCATTCGAGTGCGCACATCTGGTACTCGCCTTCTTTGTCTCGCAAAGACAGAATTGAGCCATCTCTCGCTTCACGAACGAATTCTACATCTCGAGTCTTTCACGCACATGGAGGTGACTTTCAACCAGCCGCTTCACCAAACACCCATGACAAACCGCAATGCGCACTTCTCAAGCTGCGTCGCAGACACTGGCGCACCTCGAGCAACTCAAGCGAGACACCAAGAAAGATTCAAAGGCGCCTATCCATACGCAGTATATGCCGTCATGAGATAACTCGTCGTGTCACATCCGCTGCCTGACCCGATGAGTGCAAAAGCCGCGTGAAGCTTCTGGATACAAGACAGTGCTTGACTGCAATCTCGGCTTCAAAATGCTCCTCACAGATTGTTCGAGAGGTACGGAGAGCAATTGTACAAGACGGCTCAAGAACAATATCCCTAGCAAGCAGTAGCAAGGTTGGTCATGCATAAGACGATTGTTTGCTGTTGACGACTCGTGGAATGCAGCAAAGGCACGCATCTCCTGTCTTAGGAATGCGTCCTCATTTCCCGCCATGTCTAGCTGGCCACTGTTTTGATTCAATTGTCGCATCTTTTCTTTTCCATCCTCTTTTCCCAAGACTGCTACTGTTTGTCTTGATCGTGTTGGCCTATCTCAGAGGACACACTCGGAAACACGCTCAATCGCACTCTCACTCTCACTCACAGTCAAGTCTCACTCTCAATCCAGGTACAACACCGCAAGCATGCCGTCTAAGTTTGGCAACATGTCAAATATCTTGTCAGGTAATTCAGAAACCGACACAGAGTCAGACTATCCTCGCGCCAAAGCTCCATCGAAGCCCAGGACTGTGGCCGAGACTCGCGAAGCCAAATTCGGTCCAGGCAGAAGAATCTCAGACACAGAACACGCCTACAAACCAAAGCAGCCGTCACAACCCTCTCCCCGACGTAGTACCCGCTCCACGTCAAAGGCAGCAGGTTCCGCTCCAGCAACTGCTTTCGGACCCACACCACCTCTCCCTACCAGCTCCATGCCTTCGAACATATCTCCAGGCAAACGAGGCCGTGTGCCGGCCCCTCAAACCACCACTCGACGCGTGACTCGTTCGCAATCGCCTTCCAAGGGCAAACCCAAACTCATCCACGACTCTCCACCTCCTGAAGACCGCATGGACCCCTTCCCTCCGCAACGCGCTCCCATGACCGTCACGGACAAGCCTGCTGTTTACAACCGCTATGGTGAAAAGGTGCCTGCGCCCGTCAACCTGGCTCAAAAGTTGCGTCAAGCCGAGAACTTCCTCTCAGACGAAGGCGTCGAAAACTGCGCCGACTTCGAAGACAAACTCATCAGACTAAAAGCTTGGCTCGACAAGCATCACACCTTGGGGGATGATATTTCTCCAGAAGGCGATCAGGAGACCCATGAGCGCTACCGCAAGGTCATGTGGATGATCTGGGTTCACCAGGAACGCATTGCCGAGGGATCCGAGCAGTGGTTCACCAGAGATCAATTTCCCGACAGCACCTCGATGATCAAACCCATCAAGCCCACCAAACACGACCAATGGCGTGTTACTCCAGACGGTGTTGCTATTGGAGGTGTTCCTCAGCACCCCAAGTTGCAGGTCATGCTTGCTCAAGATCGTGAGAGAATTCCCAAGGAGCGCGCCGCAAGAGCAAAGGCTGTTGCTGCCGCCAAAGAAGCCAAAGAAGCCGCCCAAGCTCGAAGCTCTCAGACCCCTGCTGCAAGACCTTCTCCCACAAAGCTTTCCGCTTCCGCTGCTGCCAGAGATGCTGCAAAAGCAGAGGCTTTTGCTGCCGCTGAAGAAGCCGTCCAAGGTCGGAACTCCCAGACCCCTGCTGTGAGGCGTTCTCCTGGAAAACCTTCTGCTTCCGCTCCTCTCGATCCTGAAGCTGGAGAGGAGACCCAAAACCAAGATGAAGGGGTCCCCGAGCTACCCTATCCAGAGGTGTGGCATCGCAAAGAGGCTGCACGTTTCCCCTATGGCGAAACTCCTTACATGGAACAAGTCATGAGCGATCAAATTACCGCCGACCTTGCACGTGGTAAGTTATATCCACTTTCATGCCTCACGTACACAACTGACACATTTTTCCATAGGCCACATCGCCAAAGAAGAAGCCAGAGACGCTTTGAAGGGAGGCATGCTCCGTCCGTTCTGGAAGGCCATTGGCAACATCTGGCCCTTCACCCCCGAAGAAGGAAACTCTGGGGACCGATTCGACCCCTGGGAACTGCCTGAAATTTCTGACGAGGCCGTTTACGAAGCAGACAAGACATTCAACGTTCTTGGCAGACAGGTCCCGACGGTCGCTGCATCGCCCGCAACGAAGAGGAGGGCCAATGCTGCGCTCAGCAAACCCGCACCTAAGCGTCTCAGATCTGGCGTTTGAGATTGATGGAGATGGGGCTCTCAAGATTGAAGAAAGAGAAGGGGGTGTGCAATTTGGTTTCGTTGGTTCGCTTTAGTTTCGCTTTTCTGGTGATCATATCTTAATATGTTTTTCAATTCAGCATCAACTTCGTTTTCTCCTATAAGCCCTCAGTTTGGATCTGATTTCTCCTCGAAGCCGAGGATTGTGCTGTTGTTGTTTCGAAAGCTGCTCGTTGATGTATGCACATGCCTCGTAGCACGGAATGAAGGCTGTAGGAAGACGCGGCTTCTTCCGGCTGTTGGAGACTTGAGAGCGAGGAAGCACAAGCACTTTTGCACTCTCCGTCAAATCACTTAGAATATCTCACAATCTAGTGTTTGAGCCAGTTCGTGAGCGCTGGTACTGTTTAGTCAAGTCGCATTCTGAAGAGCAGAGTTGGCACTCGACCGTCTGAATTGATCGTTTCTTGCGCGACGCCGACACGCGACTTCCTGTATTGCGGTTGACCTCCTTCCTTCAAGAAGATGCCTCACTCCTAACCCGTCGTATCAGATGCCAAGAGCTCCCAGTTTAAACAGAAGGTCTGCTCATCGATAGACCTAAAATACCATGGCTTCTCTTGATCACCAGGTCATCGTTCGGACTGACCTAGACTGGACCGCTGATTGGACCGCCAAACGAAAAGGTTATACGAGTACCTACAACAAAGCGAAACAAAATCAAAACAGACTCGCATGTTTCATGTCAATTCGCAATGTGATTGGAAAGAATACAGACAAAAGAAAGTGAAAGCAATTTCCAAATCCGGCTGTCGAAGTCACCACAAGAGCAACATCTTTCACTTCACTCTCATTGTCAAGACAGCCGGATGCGGCGATTGTCATTCTTTGTCAGACCGCGACAATGACACCTACCACCATGATACCCAGAATCTTCTCATCGCGTGCCGCATTCCTGCAAACAAGCACCACACCACAAACATCAAACTCAAAATGTTGAGTGAGCCCTCGTCGCCCACTGTTTTCATCAACGCGCAGGAACCTCTCCTGAACGAAATCGAACGTCTTAAGGAGCAATACAACCGCCTGGAGGAAGACTTTGCTTACTATGAGGAGTCGAATGGTGGGCTTCAAGTACAAGTCGACAACCAGGCTTCAGATATCGATGCCAAAGATCGAGAAATCTCATTTCTGAAAGAACTGGTCGACCGCACAGTGAGGGATCATGAGAAAGCCCACGAAGAAGCCGAGTTCTTGAGGCGTCGAAGTTCTGTCCTCGAGATCACCGTCAAAGCCAACGCAAAAGAGCTCAATGGTCTCTATGAGGTAGAACAGCTCCTCACAGCCCGCGAAGCTGAAGCTCGCCTATTCGCCGCCGAACTGCTTGAGGTCAAGACTGATCGCGATGACAAACTTGCCGAAGTGAAAGGTCTGGAAGGAGATTTGGAACGACAACAGTTGGTGCTGGACGCCAAAGATCGAGAAATAGACTCTCTCTACGAACGCATCGACATCTTCGAACGACACATCAGCATCACGAAAGATCTAGCTGTCGACGAACTGGATGACTGTCTCTACGACTTCGTGGAGAAAGTCACCGCCATAGAAGGCGATGTTGTCAAGCCCTCTCCCCCCACCTCTACCAGCAAGAAAGAGAAACGCCAGTCCTTCACCGGTGGCTTCAACCTCGCAGATGAATTCGACGCCCTTAGCGATGGCGAAGAAGAGTACGAGTCTGAAGATGATGAAGGATCAGATACGCGCAGTGTACTCTCCGACAACTCTGTTCGAAGCCGGAAGAGAAGGGCCAAGCAGGCTTTGGCAATGTCAGCGTTGCAGTACTTGGAGATCCAACCGTCGATCAAGAACCCGACTGCTTCTGTTGGCACGCAGATGAGTCCCATCTCGCCAAAGCCCATCAAGCCGCTTCCTCAGATGGCCAGCGCAGAGACTCAAACCAGTCCTATCAAGTCGCCAATCAAGATCAAAACCAGCAGTACCGAGACGCAGACCACCCCGATTTCTTCGCCAGTCAAGATTCAGACGAGCAGTATCGAAACTCAGACCACTCCAATCGCTTCGCCCATCAAGATCAAAACAACCAACACTGGAACTCAATTCAGTCCGGTCCCATCGCCTGTCAAGATCCAAACCAGCAGCACTGAGACTCAGACTAGCCCTGTTGCTTCACCGATCAAAGCTCAGACATCTAGCACTGAGACGCAGACGACTCCTCTCGCGTCTCCTGTCAAGATCAAGACCACCAACACTGGAACTCAGTTCAGTCCCATCGCTTCACCAATCAAACTCCAGACTAGCAGTACGGAGACACAAACTACCCCAATCGCTTCACCAATCAAAGCACGGTACACAAACACTGCTACTCAATTCAGTCCTATCGCCTCACCAGTCAAGCTACAAATTAGCAGTAATGAGACACAGACTACACCCGTTGCTTCGCCAATTAAGCCCCAACATACGAACACTGCCACTCAGTTCAGCCCCACGGCCTCACCAATTCAGGCTCAGACTATCAGCATCGATACGCAGACGAGCCATATCGCTTCACCGATTAGGCCTGTGTCTAACAGTATCGAGACACAGACTTCTCCTGTGGCTTCGCCACTCAAGGCTCAAACTACCAATGCTGGTACCCAATCCAGCCCCATTGCCTCACCGCTCAGCACGAAGACACCGACCAGTCCAATCACCTCAACAGTCACGGCTCAGACTATCGGCATCGAGACACAGACCAGCCCGGTCATTTCGCCGTCCAAAGCTCAACACACCAGTGTTGGAAGACCTAGTCCCATCACTTCCCCAGCCAAGTCTACTGCACCAAAGTATGCCAGCAACGATACTCAGACAAGCCCAGTGGCCTCTTCGCCCCGGAAGGAGGTTCCTACAAAAGGAGCATCGCAGACGTCCAGCTCTGGAGCCCAGTCAAGTCCAACATCTTCGCCTCGAAGATCGATTTTTGAAGTGATCAGTTCCTATGAGATGATTAGCTCCGCAGCTTCCGCTGCCCAGAAAAGTCCTATCGTTGCTACACTCTCGAAGCTTACTCCTGGAAGATCTGGCGACGAGACTCAGGGAAGTCCAGTAGCATATTCGCCCAAAACCCAAGCTCCTAGGGCCTCGGCTGCTGGTGTTCAGTCCGGTCCAGTTGGCAATTCACCCGGAGAGACGACTCCGATCACAACCAGTAATGTAGTGCAGAACGAGCCTGTTGCTGCGTCGCGGGAGAAGACCGCCGCCGAAGCTTTCGACTTCAAGCCGATTCGATGCGACGATGACAATGAGTCACAGGAGCAGTTCGCCAGTGAACGTCAGAAACCTGCCGACTCTGGGGTTCAACCAAGAAGGAAGCGGGCTCTGGAACAACCTTCGGAGACACGAGCAACCGGCTCCGGCATTGATATCAGCTCTGTCAACGCTTCCTCTTCACCATCTGGGATCAAGGCCTTGGATACTAAGCCACCTCGCGTACCAAAGAAGGACACAACACCGAAAGCACTTTCCCCAGTCAATGTCGCATCAGAGAGGAACGCAACATCTACAACTGTCTCTCCAACCAATATCTTCCCACCATCATCAACAGTCGCAATCATCACCAAGCCCCCAGATGTCCCATCCTACGTGCATCGCAGATACATCATGGTACCCACCGTCTGGCAAACAATAATGCTAGAAGCTCAAACCATATTCCTCTACTTTATCGCGTGCTATATCGGTATCTCAATCGTCATGAGTATGTCGGAGTGGGAACGCGCTGAAGCCAATGGATTTTCGCCGGAAAACAAGTATAGATTTATGGGTAGACGCTTGTTGCATGAGATATTGGGCGTGTCATCGGCTGTCGTGCAATATCTGTGGTATCTGGTTTTCGGCGAATGGTTTCCTGGGAGTGGGTATCAACAACCGCTCTCTCCTGGTTGAGAAGTGGTTGGTATGAGGAGGGTCAGAATGTACATACGCAAAGGAAGAGGAGGAAAAAGTACAGGTGAGGTGGTGGTTGTGATATATTTCTGAGGTTTTTTTGTATTTACTTTTCTTTCGCTTTCTCATATTTCCTCGTTCGTGTATACTATTCTTGCTGCTTCCTTCTCCTTTCTAGGAGAGTCAAGACCAAGAGCAATTTTCAGAGGGAGTCCTACACATCTTGCTGAAGTCGCTACGTCCAATGCTCTTCTCTCAATCAGCGAGCAAGAGACAAGACTTTTCATACATTGGGCAGGATCCTTGATCGTTCCAGACACTTGCTACAATGAGCATCAGAAATTCCATCGTCGCTTTGTCCTTTTCTCCTTCTTCATGCAGCACGACACAACCAGTTCCGGCGACAACACAACCCCTTTGTGACATTCTTTGTCCTTTGACATCTTCCCTTTCCTCCTACACCAAGCATCTTCCCTCCTTCTTCTTTCCACTCCAAGTGCCACACTATCGACGCACAACTTGCTTCGAAATTAAGCGCCATGCACCGCATAGTACCATTCGTCCAAGTCGTGACCGCCAGACTCGGCATACCCACTCTCATCCTCCGTTTCATAATCTGCTACCTCTTCGTCATCACAATCGTCTCGCTCTGGCAAGCTGTGGATCCGACATCCGCTCACAACACCAATGAGATGGTCGATTATGGAGCCGAAGTCATGCAAGATTATCTCGTAAGAACTTTCTCCCTCCCTCTCTGGCATCCACTAGTCTCTAGTAATGATGACAGCGGACGTCTTTCTACTGACACCTATGTGAAATTACCAGGCCGACTCACCAACAATAACCTACTTCCTAGAAACGGCAAAATTCTCCCTCTTCAACTTCAACACACCCTGGATGCTCCGCTACGGCATCGAAGCCTCCAAATACGCAATCTTCTACCTCCTCTTCACCTTACTCTGCACCCTACTCTCCCTCCTCTTTTCCTTGTATCTTTTTATCAAATATTTCTGGTTTCCCATACATCTATTTTGGGGATTGGTGAGGTTGGCAGGGGTGGTGGTTTGGTTTTTGTGGGTGTGCTTTGGGAGGATGGTTAGTGGGGTTATTGATGCCGGGGTGTTGGTTGTTGAGGGGGTGGTGTTGAGGGTTTGGAGGGTGGTGAGTTGGGGGTGGAGGCATAGGTGGGATGAACCTGGTAGTCCTACTAGTTGGTCTAAAGGGGCTACGACGGATCTGAATGGGAGGTGGAGGTGGGATTCTTGAGAGTACTGGTGCATTACTTTTGGTTTGGGTTTTCTTCGGTTTCTCTTGAACGTTGGTTGCATATCTTGTTTTTGATGGATGTCTGGCTTTTCTGCTTGAGATGTTTTATACATTGCCGGTGCTTGAATACGGCGTTCATAGAGAATGAGATGATAATCTGAACCTGTGAAGATTTGACCAATTTAGAAGGTCAGGATTTAAGATGTCCCAAGCGGTTCCAAATGTGCCTTCTCCTTTGGCTTATGGCTATTTTCGTTGGTTGCTTGTCTCCAATGCGGATAGAAAACTTGCGCGGAAATGACTTTCATAGATACAAACATGTAATCTGGGGCTGATGGTCCAAATCGACGATGCTCTACGTTGTCTAGACTCCTCTTTATCCAAATGCACTAGTCTGGAAAGCTATGAATACGAAGAACAACACCATCAAGAAAGACAATCTCTGTAATGACCAACAACCACTAGACGCCCACAAGAGTGTCCAGATCAAGCAATCGTGATCCCCTCAAGTGGATTCATGATATTATTCCCAGGATTCAACTTCACCGCCCACTCATGCAATCTCGGCAACCTGAGCGCCGCCTGCAATCCATCCCTAGGCACCCTCTCCTCCCAACTCTCCCCAGTAGTCAGATCATGCACATACTCCTGCGGTATAGGATACACCGTAAACGGAAACCTATGAAACAATTCCCAATTCTCTGTTCGCACATGCTCCACATCAGAAGTTATCCGCCATTGATCCCATCTTTCTTCAAACCAAAGACCGAATGGGATGTAAATTTCCGAGTGGCGTTTCATGTGAGGTCCACTGTTGGGATCGTAGAAGGTTGTGGCGTTCATGGAGCCGCCGAAGAGGTATTGTGTTGTTGCCCAGCCTAGTTCGTTGCTTCTGTTGTCGTTTAGCCATGGTTCGTGTGGGACTTTGTTTCCGGCATCTCCGAGAGGTCGTTTGTAGTGGGCTAGGTTGAAGGCGTGCATGAATTCGTGGACGATTGTTGTGGCGAAGGTGAGGTTTGTACGTTTGAAAGCTGAAACGAGATCGATGTGTTTGATTTTGTGGTCTTCTGGTACGCCGGCTGCATTCATGGCGCCGTACATGACGGCATTGAAGTCGTGGATTCTTTCCTGGTAGAGGAACATTGCATGGTAGAATTCTACACTCATGCCAATGGTTGATCGGCGTGTGTCGCTATCGATCGTTAACAGTTGATCTTCTTCGCTAATTGCGAAATTGTTACTCACGAGCCGGAGGCTGGAATGTCCCTCCCCAGGGCGCAATCAGGCGTAGTCGCCGCCAGTGAACCAGAATCCACAAATATCTGGGAATTATCCCATCTGAAGCTGGTCCATTCTCGCATCGCACATAGTTTTTCGTGGACTTCCCACTGCTCTTGCTCGGTCAGTGTGGCTGGGATATCGAGTTTCTTGCATGTACCAAGATGCGGATCTTCGAAGGTGGTGAGTTGATCAGTTGGTCTCGAGAGGGCATAGAAGAGGCATAGCATGACTAGAAAAGACCACAGATTAGCATAACTGGCACAGCAGGTAGATGATCGGCACGCTTGAGGTTGCCTTCTCGCTGCCTCATACCACTTACCAGGATCATCAAGTATAGCAGTCGCCAATAACAAAGCAGGTGTTATGGTCTTATACTCCTCATCAGTAAACAAATGCCACATCTCCTTCCTCAACACCGGATGTATCCTCTCCGCCAATAACCCAGACCTGTTTCTCTTGCTCTCCCAATACCCGTTTGGATTATACGTATGCGGCTTCGTCGTCTCAAAATTGATAAATCCAGCTGCATCCAATACCTCTAGCCCATACTTGAAGATCAACGGATGCCATCCTTCTCTAGTACTCGGATAACCAAGTCTTTGCTCAAAGGGCCAGTCTTGATTTTTGAATTTCCCTTGTCCGGTGGGGTCGTTGAAGTTGAGTTTCCGGACGGCGAAACCTGTTGGGGTTCTTCTCGAGCCGTAGGCCTTTGACTGTTCCCAATTTGGCTCATTAGCGGGTAAACTTGGTGGATAGGGTGTTTTGTAGGCGAGTAGGCCATCATCGGAATAGCCGTCGCTCATGTCGGTATCGGAATCGATCATTGTGTGGTCTTTCTACCGTGTGGATGATATTTCGACGCTGTCAGGACTCGAGAACGAGGTGGTGGACTACTGCATCTCAATCTTGAATGAAAGACCTCGCCTCAATGCGGAGCAACGAGTCGTGATAGCACAAAGAAGGGAAATCTCTCGTAGCTTCATTCGGTTCAAACTCCAACAAAGGAAAGCGGTATGGATGCGGACGTGGTGAGATGCGACTCGTTCAATCGAACAAAGAACGCGGAGTCGCGGCCATCGACCTCGAGCTTCACAAAGACATGACAGACGGTCTTTCTCCCAGAGGCAAGTTGGACGGTGCTTCTTTTGAGCGGCCATATACTATGGAAGTTGGCTCTATTTCAACAATCAGCCGCTATGGCTTAGTGGTAAAGCATCCCCCTTACTGTGAAAACAGGGCCAAGCGTGTATTTATAGTTAGACTAGATTAGATGCTTTGACTAAGGGGAAGATCCGGGTTTCGAATACCCGCAGCGGCGATTCTTTTTGCTGTTGTACGGAAGTCTGTTCTGGCAGCCACGACCTACGGTATGAAGACTAGCGAGCCCACCAGTACATTTCCTTGGACACCTTCACATGCTTTTGTAAGCACACATCATTCGTGAGCAATTCCAATCATACGATTTGTATAAGTACAAACAAGGACAATGATACCAGACCATCATCCAAAACTCTTCCTTCTTCCACTCTGTACATCTTCCATAACAATATCCACATCCTCAAATACCTCCTCTTCTTCCTTTCTTCTACCCACAGGCGGTGCACTGTTGCTTCTCCAACCACCCATGAAGCCAGCGATAGCACCAATGCTACCCTCAACTGCTCTCTTCAGGGTTTCTCTTGATGAACTTCTTGTAACTGCAGGTCGTTCGTTTGACGCTAAAGGCGAAACAGGAGTTTCAGATCTCGAATGCCTTCGCTGAGCTCTCGAGACCAAATTCGCAAGATCAGCCAGAGCAGGTGTGACTGAAGTGGTAGCAGTAGTGATATCCTCACATTCCACACCATCAATAGTTTCAGCAACAACCTGCTGCTGCTCAGCAGTCAAGATATCCCTGAAATCCGTCTTTGGCGCATCACTCATATCCACATCCACGAATTCTGTAGCCCGTTTCGGATTCCGTGTGCTGGAGACTTTGCTCAATGTGGGAAAGGTAGCTTGTACAGGCGTGTCTACGCCGAATTGTTTGCCCCAGCGGCATTCGGAGGGGTAGTCGCAGCGGTTCCAGCAATCTTTGATGGGGCGTTGGGGGATGACTGGTTTACTGACACGCCAGGAAGACGAGCGAGGGAATGCAGGAGCGATAGGTGGAGCAACAGGAGCGATCTCATCGACCATGTCGTCCTCTGATTCGTCATCACCTTCGAAAACACTGGAACTGGAGCAAGGACTTTTCATCTGTCTCTGCTGTTCTGTCAAAGCGAGCAAGTTCCTTCTCCAACAACCCCAGTCTTTCCAACCGGCGTAGTCGAATTCGGAACCGCAAGCTCTGTGTCTTTGTAATCTTTTCTTGCCGTCTTTGCGAGAGCGGACCATAGACGTGCCGGCGCAGAAATAATGGCCGTCGTCTAGACAGCGGCGGGTGACTGAGAGATTGTATTGGCGGTGGCAGATATGGCAAGACCAGAGCCATCTCATCGGTTGTTGAGTAGGAGGAGGTAAATGTTCGATCAAGTCTACATCTGGAGTGGCAGAATATGTGCGCTTCAAAACAGGAGGTGTGAGGGGACTGAGAGGTGAGAAAGGCGATGGCGGTACAGCTAGCCTTGATGACCGGAAGGGCTTAGCGTTGACGTTGATTCTAGTAGGCATCTTGATGTGTTGCGTGTGTATAGTTGCGAAGGCCGGCTTCGTTGTTCTTGTATGTATAACTTTCGTCGAAGGGACCCAGTCCTGACAAGAGTGTGTGATAGCACAAGTGATGAAGCGGTCGACGATTCGATAGCACGGAAAACGATACCTCGAATCCGCCATCCGGGGCAAGCAAATGCTTTAAACACCTGCTTCGCCTCCATTGACTTGCTCAACAATGAATGTCGCAGATTTGATTATAGCAGAGACAGGTTTGATAATTGCTGCTCATCTTCGGAAGCCTGCCGAGACATGTCTCCCAAGATTACTCTAGTGGTGTTCTTTGTCCTCCATGTCTTGGAATCTGAAATGTCTTTGTTGAAAAGCATGCTTCGCTTGCTCATCGCACGTGGACGCTTTGTTCTGCATTTGTGATGGCTGGAAATGAAGCTGTGAGTTTGCCCACCTCGCTCGCTTATATCTTTGTTCAATACTGTAAGTGTCTTTGTCCTGGACTCGTGGCAGTATCAACACACGTGGAGATGTCGTCGAGTATTTCAAATGATGCATTGGCAGCCATGCGACGAAGACAAAGCTGTACCTCCATTGATAATAATTCTTTGAAGTCTGTCGGCGATGCCGAGGGTCGAGGTAGCTCGAAGAAGTTCATCAAGGTCAAGGCCATGTCAGATCGTCACGTCATACTCAAGATTCATAGGGGCAGGAGGGAGAGGAAAAGGGTCATGATTTGATCAACAAAAAGATTTTTTATTTTATTGGACACACACTTACAAAACTTCAAGCGTGATTCAAACAGTGGAAGACTCACCTGGTAGGTTAGAGACTTATCTATAGCGGAGATTGGACTTGAGGGGGTTCTGGATGTTAGCAGGGTATAGAATTTACTTGTGAAAGACGGTGGTCGAAATTTGCCTATGACGGAGGTTGTATCTCGAAGGAGTAGGAGAGGGAGTGGGAGCGCGGGTAGACTTAGGAGTAGAGGGGGACGAACCGCCAAACAGATCAGCCATATCATCATCGCCTTCGGACATGATGTCCTCATCGTTCAACGTGATTGTGGGTGATTGAGGGATGGGAGTCATCTCGTTGTAGTCGCTTTTAAGGCAGACGGGGCGAGCGCATGGTCTTCCTGCGTACTTCTTGGGCTGGCGCTGCTTCTTGGGTTGAGGAGTCGTTCTAGGCTTGACAGGCTTGGTTCCTCGAGATTGACCGGAAAGATACTTGTAGGTAGGGAAAGCCTTCATGTGGTTGGCAAAGTCCAGAGCAGCAATCTTGTCGAACTGGTTAATAATGCTTTGAGGCTCGATCTTCCAACTAGCACCAAGAATGCAAGAAATGTTTCGATGATCACTGGAGGAGGCCCACTTCGTGGTAAGGTCAGAATAAGCGGAACGATAACAAACGAACCTGTTGAGAGGTCTAGGAGTCTTACCGCGCTTGGCAGCTTCAGCGTGTCTTACAGCGATGGAACGATTGGCGAAAGCTAGCATGTCCTTGGGGGAGCCTAGATCAGCAGTCAGAACACTGATAGGAGCCTTCAGCTCAATAGCAGGTCTAGCGACCTTAGAAAGGGTACGCTTTTGACGTTTGGCAGGAGTTGCATCGCGTGAGGGACTGGTAGGGTCTTGATAGGTAGTCTTCTTGCCAGCAGCATTTCTACCAGACCTTCTCAGAGGAGTGGACGGAACACCGGACATGTCGACATCGTTATCTGCGGGAGCGGGGTACGTAGGAGCTTCAGGAGCAGGAGTGAAAGAGAAACCAGGGGCTTGCATGGGCATGGGCATCGGAGCCTGCATCATAGGCATCATGGGCTGGCCATAGAAGTTAGCAGTGGGAACAAGCATATAACCGGGAGGGGGCTGATAACCAAAAGGAGGGTAGGCGTACTGGTACTGAGGAGCATACGTAGGCATGTATTGCTGAGGCATCATAGGAGCAGGAGCGTACTGGCCGAAGTTAGACTGACCAAAGTAAGGCAGACCGGCGTTGTTGTAGCCGAAAGGGTTGGCGTCAGGTTGAGACGGACCAGGGATTTCACAAGGAGTGAAGTCAAGGCCACCAGTCGGGATATCAGAGATAACGGTAGGGATACCAAAGTCAAAGTCGGGAACGTCAGCCAGGTCCATGTCAGAGAAGTCAAAGTCAAGGCCGTCAGTGGGAGTAGGGAGTTCAGTCTGACGTTCAACTGTCGAGCCCTGCTCGGCAATTGGAGTCATCAAGAGCTCAGGGTTGAAGTTATCAAGCAATTCAGACATCTTGTTGTTGGGGTCGGTTGGTTTTTGTGAAAGGGAACAAGATGTTTGAATTGCTGTGAACTTGTGTTAATTTTTTCGAGTGTGTGTGTCCTGGTCCATCAGCGGGCCCGCATGCAGTATAAGAAGGAAAGATGAGCATCGTTTTTGAGTCCTTTGACAGTCGTTGACAATGGTCTGAGTACAATGAAGGTTCTTGTGATGAAAGAAACTCGACATTTGACCAAAGCCAGCAGACAGAGCATTGTGGCAGTTTCCTTTATGCCTTTAATGCGTCCATCCTTAAGAGGCATGATCCAAAAAGAAGGTCGACAAAGAATGCTCGTTACGAGCAACAATGCATGGTTTCCGTCGGATTGTACGGTGGAGATGGACAATCGATAACGGCTACGAGGACTAAAAGGCGTCGCGATGCAGATGGAACGTGTGGAAGGTTGTTCTTGAGCATGAGAACTTGGGTGCGGCATCACTTCGTACAACGTAATGCTCTGTGCGTGGAAAAGTATCACAAAGACGAGCACTTGTATTGGGATGTTGCAAATTGTCTGCAAGTTCTGAGTTTCTATCGAACACTGTCAGATACGTGGACTTGGGCTGAGCACAATTATGGGTTGGCCTCTTTGAGATAATGCTAGCTGTGTGCTCACATGAGCTTTGGGGAGTTTAGGCAGGCACACACTCACTTTTTGATGTCAGAAGATCCGGTTCTTGGGCCAGCAGTATAATGAGCGCCTTGGAGCAAGCTCGTGAGTTTTCGCTCTGGGCGAAGCTCCTTGACCTCCTGAGTCGATCACCAAGGGCGTCCGCAAACTTGATTAAGGCATCGACGAAAACTGCTGTTGGTTTCGTTCATGTGCATTGGCCCATCAAGCAGCTTGGAAAGTGTCGTTGAGATAGTCAACAAACAAGTCCTTGATGCGGTCCTTGCTTAGATTGTGCGTGCGGTTCATGCTGATGAACTGCCTGCGCAGACGCTGCAGTTGCGGTAGACCAAGAGGATTGGCGGGAAGTTCGATCACGTTCTCGACACCAGGAACAGTAATCTCACCACCGCTCTCTCCCGGATGATCCTTCTGCCAGCTCGAGATTTGTGATACGATATCCGAAGTTGTCTTGTCCAGCTCGTAGAGATAGTTCTGCTCAGTGACAGGGGCTAGGATTGTGGCCGAGTTGGGCTTGACGGCCTTTACCTTTCCTCCAACCAGTGTTTCCCAAAGCTCTTCAAGTGGCGGTGTCTCGTCTTCGTAAGGGACAGTAAATAGGGGTGAATCCCAGCGTGTCATGCCATTCGGCTCTTCGTAGCGGAATACTAGGTTTTCGAACAAGTCGGTCTGGTAGCCACCAGTACCGTCTGCAAGAGCTTTTTTGTTCAGCTCGCGACACTTGTCGGCGGGTGTTCCAACGTGCACCTTCACGCTGTCAGTATGAGACATGGATATCGTGATAAACAAAAGACGTACCACGCAGCTTGGTGTACGTTGAGCTTTTGCCTCGCAGAACATCTGGTAGCGGAAGCCTTTGATGTAGTTCATCGAGTCCGCGATGACAATTGACGTGGCAGTCAAGTCGCGCTTGATGGCTGAAGACAGCGTCGCGCGTGCATCTTTCTCCGATCTAGCAGCACCATACACATCACGATCGAGTCCCAGATTCTGATCGTTCAGGTGGTGGATCTTGATCTTTGAGATACGCGCATCTTCTGAAGCTGCAATCTTTTGCGCAAAATACTCCTTGAGCTGCTCGCTGCGGTATGTTTTGCCGCTTGACGGGAAGCCAGATATGAGTATGAGCTGGCTGGTCGTCAGCGCAGGTCTTTCTTTGCTTGACAGCTACGCCATGAGCGACTTACTGGCATGACGGTGATTGTTTTGTCTTTCGGTCAGAGAAATTGTGAAAGACGCGCCCGCCTTCTCCGCATCACTTCGGAGGTGAGCACGGACCAGCCAGGATCATCTTGCTGACAGGCCAACCCTGGCTCCAGGCCATCAAGGTTGAATTTCAATTTGACTATTCATGAATCAGTCTCGAAGTAAGTAGATCGATATCCATCCGCTAGAATCATTTCTCCAATCTTGAGACTCGGTCTTTGTCAGTAGACGGAAGCATTGGGCCTTGCACAGAAGTCCCACAGACAGGGGCTTCTGTCACTCGCTCGTTGGGGTGTATCACATTCAAAGATTTAGCACGTCACAATTGTTACACAGAAGAATAGCGATAGGAACACAAATTTCGATAGAAAAAGAAGTTTATTAATTCGATGATAATGACGTCTCAAGAACCGAAAGGAAAACTCACCATAAACGCCAGGATTGTTCAACTTGTTCACTTCCCGACTCTCACTCCATCGACCTCAGATCTCGTTCTTCCCCTTCACCGCCTCTCGTCATCTAGAAGTAGAGGTGGCAAGACTGGCAGTTCCAACGTCTGAGCAAAGGGTTCCAGCTTAAAGTTCTGAAGCAGTAACGGCAGGCAGGAACAGTGCTGACACGATGACTGAGAGTGAAGTTACTGGCACTAGGAGAGTTTGTGTTAGAGTGAGTGCACATTTTGTTCGATATGCGGGTGGTTTGGGTGGGTATTGTTTTGGCTGTTGTTAGTGAGTTGTGGATTTGTTGGTGAGAGATGTGATTTGAGACTTTGGTGGAAGGATGGCTCGCTATATGTACGTTTGTGATTTGATACGTAGCACTCTATCTGGTGCGAGAGAGAGCGTTCAGAGGACAATGGACTTGTTCGAGCACAATGAAATGTGAGTCGTTGATGAATGAATGTTGATGTTGCCTCAAACGCTTGAATGAATGAGCAGTCTAGAAAGGACTCATCTTGAACAAGAGGTGAGTGACAATGAAACCAGTGATCAAAGAATCATCCTTTCTGATTTCGAAGGGGTTTGGTACTACCGCGAATTGGTGTTGAAGCAAGTGTCGAGTGTTACTGTTCTCCATATACTTATCAGGTAGACATTGGTCCTAGCTACTTTGCGGAAGAATATACCAACTACATGTTACAACATCTTGAGAGCATTGTTATACGTTCACTAGACACAGTTAGAGTCTTTGTAGATCGTAAGGACGTTATATTGTTACTTGCATACATTCTGAGAACAACTCTAGACCTGAGCCAGCAGGTCTACGACACTGACAGTCGAATCAATCTACTCCTTTCAACTAATCTTATCACGAACTACATCCTTGGGCGTATGTCTTCCAAGAATCAAGTGATTGCAGTTGCCCTTGGCAAGCGCCCACTTCTCATCATGATCCATGGCGAACTCGATGACGGTCTCCTCAGGGAACTTACCATATAGACCAAGATCAAACTTGTGCTTGATCTTGTTTCGGACATTTTCAGGATCGTTCTGTTGGTTGAACTTACGACATATCTCTTTAGGTACTTTCGATGTCTTTACTGGGTCGCTGTGTGGTATTTCGGCATCCCGCCGGCGAACCAATTCTTCTTTGTAAGGTCCCATGATGATCGATTCAGGATGGGTGACTCTGGCTGAAGTTTTTCGCCAGTATTCGATGTTCTCCTCGACCATAATTACGACATGGTGGATGATGTGATTGATGGTGTATTTTGTGTGAGGCTCACTCCAGCGATGGTGAAGCCAACTTCTGACTTTGCTCAAATCCTCTTCATAGCAAGAATCTGTGAGAGAACCGCAAAAGTCAATCCAAGCGAATTGTCTGGCATAGTCATGAGTGTTTGACTGGGAGCGGAAGGTAATGGTTGGCCTCTTCATGCAGTACTTGACGTATTCAGGGTTGTGTTCGATCAGTTTATCGTCCCAAACGCGCGAGATATCCAGAACTGTATTCAAGTGAGAGATCAGTCCGCTGTCGAGGAAGCTCTGAAGCTCAATTCTGTCGCATTTGCTTCTCAGGAAAATTTTCAAGAATGTAGGAATGTCGTATTCAGCAGGATCGCGACCGTTGGCCGCCATGTGGGATTGATTGACACTGGACATCGGTTTACAGGACTCACCAGCTTCTTCTTGAACGGTAGTCTTGTCGCCAGAGATGTAGGTATACGGTTTCGAGCTGCCAGACATGGAAGGTTTCCAACCTCGGACGCCGCCGCCAATTCTTGACGTAATGTTGATAGTATCGAATTGCCTCTCAAACGCTGTGAAGACGCCCATGAGACTCTTAGCGACGTCGAGGTGGACACCTTTGCTACCGTTTCCGGTGTAAACTTTGAGGTCTGTGTATTCGTTAGTAATGACACGGTAGTTTGGTTGCTTACTAAGTGTCAGGAGTGCCTCATTCACAGCCTTCAGCTCTGTTGACCAGCAATGAGCGGCTAGCTTTTCGTGATAATTATGATAGACCAACACTTTCGTGTTGGAACTAGGTGACCAGTTGCCGGGACAAGGCGTATCGCGGTGGAACAAAAAGCGCCTGCTGATGACCTGGATGCCGACGATGATGCAACGCTCAGCCAATCGGTCATATTCGTTCTCTTCTAGGTGTGCATTTTGATCAATGTCGACCATCCAATGAGTATACTTCGGCTCATTCTTGTTTGGATCTTCGAACGAGACTGGAAGACTGTATTCGTGAGATTCCTGGCAAACCTTGCAAATCTTGGGGCTCTGGAAGCGAACGTTTTTCAAAGCATTGCGGACGATGTCCTTTGCTTTCTCTTCGATGTCGGTGCTTTTGGCGTGATAGCGCGGGAAGACGACCACATAGCTCAATTTGAAACCTACAGTTTGGTGTACCAACTTCCTAGGTGGCGAAACGAGGGGCTTGGTCGGACCCTCAGTATAGATTGTCGCTGACTTCTTGGTTGGGTGAAATTTGGGAATGTGAGACATCTTGCGGTTAGGTTTGTTATCGATTTTGGGTATTGAGGGAGAAAGATAATGATTGGCGATCTTACACACACTTATAAGCTGAGACCTACCTGGTCATATCACAATGGATAAGGGGGCGTTACAAAGCCGAACAAAGGAAGACAGAGGCTTTGTAGGATACCTTTGTTCTTTCTCATTCGATTTAACAAAGACGTTGGCCTCGTTGTTTACTGATCAAAGAAGCTTTACCCTCGCACACGTCGCCACTCCTGAATCTCGCTCTTCGCAAAGGTCTGTGATTTCGGCGCGCGAAACATGAGGCCATTCACCAACTTTCAATCTAGAAGATTACTCTTCTGTATTTAGAAATATAGAGTTCTTGTCAAATCCCTCTCTCGACTCATGCAACGGTCGGAGTATTTATCTGCTTCATCTGAGTTCTTTAAGAATCATTGGACGCAGCTGCACGATTTGTCCTGCCTCTTGGCAATCTGTTTCGCTCAAGAAAGTAGCTGGTGTTTAATCTACAGTGGAAAGAAAATCACGGTCGCATAGTAGTTTGGAAAATGGAAATGAGCAAGTTCAGAAGAAAACTAGTGTGTATTAAGAATTTTGAGAGGAAGAGAAAAGTGAGAAATAGAAAACCTACAGTGGTATGTATCGAAATCAGCAGACCTACCGTTCTTCAATTGAGAGTCGGAGTCAGGACCAGCCTGGCTGTTGATGTTAAAGTTACGTTCAAGCCTGCCAGTCAGTGTAGGGCTCGCTCATAGCAAATGTCAGTAGAGGGCGTTGACTACCCTCAGCCTTGCAGTGTCTGAACCAGGCCTTGTAGAAGTTGATCTGTTTGTCAGCGTCCTCAATCATAGTTGCAGTCAATGCAGGAATGGTGATTCTAGTAACAGGGTTGGTGTCAAGAGCGCGAGTGGTGTGGTACTCAAAGATGGGAGAGTAGTCACGGCGAGGAAGTGGGTTCGAGGAGTTGTAGGTAAGATCACGGGCGTCAGTCAATGACAGATCGCGAATCTCATAGTCGAAATCAGCAGGGTTGACCAATCGGCGAACATAAGGGACACTTTGACGGTAAAATTCGTGAACGTCCTTGTCGGGCACACTGGGAGGACACTCGGTCTTGGTGGCAGAACCAGTAGCGAGGAAGTGAATGACAGCGCCCATAGCCCAGACATCAGCTTTAGCACCACCAATAAGGCACTCCGGAGGGCCAGGTTGCCATTTAGGTGTACCTGATGTTGTCTCAGAGTCAGCAACGTCGTCAGCAATGCCAAAGTCAATGATCTTGACAGTAGGGAAGAGGGCCGGATCACCAAAGTTGACAGGGTCAAGCATGATGTTCTCGGGCTTAATGTCGCGGTGAGAGATACCATTGTCGTGAAGAAAGCCATAGCCAATCACCAAAGACTTGTAAACGTGCCAGATGAAGGCCTCGGGAACTTTAACGGACATCTTGTCAAAAGTTGTGCGCAAAGTTCTGAGCTCACCACCTGCAACGTAGGGGAGGATGATTCGGCTGGTAGGGCACTCGCCAGGAGCGGATTGAGGTGTGTTCCAGACCTGCAAGAAGGGGAGGATGTTAGGGTGGGGGCCAAGTTTCGAGATACGGTCAAGCATGACAAGCTCAGGAACCGTCTTGAGATCAGTGTTAGGGGGAAGTATCAATCTCTTGATGACAACAATCTTACCAGTAGCTTTGACGGTAGCAAGACTAACAACACCTTGACCACCTTGGCCAAGGCTCTTGTCGAACTTGTAGAAGCTGTCGAAGGTCTCGTCGTAGCATTGGCTGATGATGCCGAGGTGCTTGGGCTCAGAAATGTCCTGCATTTTTGTGATTCGTTGTGGTTGTGGTAGTTGTTTGGGGTGATTTGAGATTTTCTGGTGTATTAGTAGATTTTCTGCTGTGTTCTGGGAAAAGAATCGGGTTGGAAGAGCGTGAATGGTAGAATAAGTAGTTTCAAGGCGTGGCGATCAAGCCATTGTTAACGAGACAAGAGGACAAAGTACACCTTACTCTGCGTGTTGACATACCTTTGTCTCTACGAGAAGCTGGTCGAAGGACATACTTACCAACAAAGCGCCTTCGTTCAGCTTGAAAGAAATGGATACGAACAACACTGAAGGATCAAAGAAATGACGACAGATTGTTAAGCCAACAGCGCTCGTCAAAGGAACTGGACAGCGTTCTCCGACATAATGCGACCATTGTAACCAAACTGGCCAGCATACTGCATTGCCATTCAAGCAACGTATTGCCCTGCACAAAGAAAGTTTTTGGGGCCTTGATATGTCTGGGGCATATGTTCGGTGAAATGTCAACAATAGGATAGAGTAGAAGTTGGGGCATAATCATTGTTTCTGAATTTTGAGATAGATTTATCCGAACACAGATGGATTAGTTGAGGACAGACAGAAAGAAGAAACGAGAAGAAATGAGAAAAAAGAACGGGAAAAGAATGAAAAGAAAAATTGAACGCCCTTTGACACATGTCGTCGGCTCATCGCTATGCAAAGCGCAACTCTCCATCTCGTATCAGCGTACAGCAAGCGATACTCTGCTCTTACAGAAGTACGGCAAATCCAGCAGCTGCAACAGCGACGAGAGATGCAAAGATGCCACCAACGCTGAAGCTTGAAGCAGCACCAGTGAATGAGACTGGGCTGGTAGAAGCAGGTGCGGTACCGCTGGGTGATGCGGTGGTTGAGAGTTTGCATTGAGGGCCGGGACAAGACTTGGTGACGGTGGTCGAGCCGTTGTTACCAGCAGCAGGAGTGGTGGCAGGACCTTCAGGACGACCGGCGCCGCCAGTAGGAGCTTGGATTTGACCGTCCGAGATTTGGGTGACGGGCTTGCCAGTGGGTGCTTGGATCTGACCATCACTGATCTGGGTGACCACGTTGCCGCCATTGCCTCCGTTTCCTCCATTGCCGCCCGAGCCAGAGCTGGGGGTAGAACCTCCGTTGCCTCCGTTTCCACCGTTTCCGCCATTTCCTCCGTTACCTCCACTTCCACCGGGTGAGCTGGGTGAGGCGTTGCCGCCATCTCCGCCATTTCCACCGTTGCCTCCGTTGCCTCCATTTCCTCCGGGGCTTGAGTTGCCGCCGTTTCCTCCGTTTCCTCCATCACCGCCGTTTCCGCCATTGCCGGCGGGGCTGGATGAACCGCCATTGCCTCCATTGCCTCCGTTTCCTCCGTTGCCGCCGTTGCCTCCTGAGGAGCCGGTAGGAGTGGCATTTGCAGGTGGTGGTGAGCCAGCGGCAGGAGTAGCCTCGCAGTCGCAAGGTTGAGTGACCGTGTAAGTTTGAGGAGTTTCGGCACACTGGTGGCAGACGACTTCGGTTGTTGTGAAGCCTGGAGGAAGATAGCTTGGGCCGTGAGTCCAAGTGGGGGTAGCCTCGGTACATGATTCGGTGATGGTGTAGGTCACAGGGATCATACCGTGAGATGTACCCGTCGTGCAGAGAGAAAGATAAGTTGTTGTCCAGATTGTGGTTGAAGGAGTGATTTGAGCGGCAGAGGATTTTGAGGCCTCTTCGCACTTTGGACAGTAGGTAAGCGTGACTCCGTTGGTGACTGTCACCATTGCTGGAGGAGCAGTAGTATCGCAATCATCGATTGTCAACGTAACGTAGACTGGTGATGCGGTCGAAGTGCTGACAGCAGCAGAGGTGACAGGGGCAGACGAGGATTGAGCAACGACGCCAGTAGCGGCGATTGCTGCTGCAGCTGCAAATTCGACCTTCATTGTGTCGGTTGATTGAGATCGGTATTAGGGCTAAGGGTTATTACAAGGCTGTAGACTATGAAGCGAATGACTGTGAGTTGTTGATAATGATATCAGAAATGGATGGCTAGAGAATCAAGCGAGTGAGATTCTGGAGCGACTTATTGAAGGAGAGGAAGAGCCCGAATGTGTCAGTTTCCTGAAGCAGCACACGACTTATACAGATACTGCTAACGGCCATGTTTTGCTGTGCTGAGGATGTTGGAATGTTGATTAATTGCTGTACATTCCTTGGCCTGGGCAACAAACACACGAAAGCGGATAGACGTGCAAGTCACAGCAACGAGATAAGATTAAATCATGGCACCAGATTATTCATGCTTGATGATATGATCTATCTGAAAGATGTCTCGGAAGTTTTGTACTTGGGTTTTTGAGAGAGGTGTCTCAACAGCGGGTAGTCCACGCGAGGCTATCGAAGCCGACATAATTTTACAAAACAGACGCATCTTGACATTCTGACATGGCACTTGGCGAACACTATGCAATTGCACGAGTCTTGCTATCATCTCACCTCAGTAGTTGTCTTCGTGGCACGCGTCTGAATTCACAGAAGCGGCTTTGAAGGTTTGTCGCAAATCGTTCAAGGGCCACCTCGGAATCGTCACAAATTGCCCATCTCGACTCACTGATCTCGGTACCTCACCAACCTCCGTAAGGACGATCACCGTTCATCTTTCATTATGCATAATTTCGTTGCTCTACATGATGTGAAGCATTGTTCAAAATCACGTGCGCCTAGCTTGACCATTGAGGCCGACTGACCTGAGGCATTCCTGATTCAAGGAATGTACCAATCTTTCCAGCCACTTTCTCTGTATACCAATGGAATGCTAGCCACACTCGAATATTCACCAGCCACCGGCTTGTTCATCCAGTCTGTAGGCCCATCAAACCTGTCAAACACATGTGACCACTGAGCAGAAAGGGAAAACCAGACTATTGTAAATCTCTCATTCCATACGAGCTACCAACCACCCGGAATGCCTTTTACAATCAGGAGGTTGGGTATCTCTAAGCACAATAGCCTTCTTTGCATATATTACCCTGCCTCTTGTGTCGATGTATGTTTTGTTCCTGCATAATCTTGCATTACAATCTACCTGTTCAATCACAATATCCCTGTTCAAACCCAACCATCTCTACAACCATCCTATCAGACCCAAAACCTCAGCCACACTTTGCACAGATCTTGCACAAGTCTGATCTGAGTTCACATTCAACCTATCAGATCAAACATTTCAGCCTTTTCTGCACAACTCACACCTCACACTACAACATGGCATCTCTTAGTCAGCACTACTCTTACCCAATGCGTCCAGCAAACAAAGAGCCCCAATGGACAACCGTCTATGACGATTTGTTCAACCAATACGTCGACACTGATGGGTTTGAATTTGGCACATGCAATGCTGCAGCGACAACAAGCAGTTCAGATGAAGCCAGCAACAACGACATTATCAACTCGATTGAAGGAAACTACACCGACAGTGGAGACAGCAGTTCATCTGAAGCAGCAGCAAGACGTCTTTCCGATGACTTCTGGGCCAGAACACTTGCCGTACTTGAAGAAAGCGCCTCCACATTGGAACAAGAGCAGACCAACACTCACCAACAACAACAAAGAGGAAGGCAACAACAGATCCACACTCTTTCTCCCGCCTCCTCTTTCTACAACACAAAGAACCACCCTCATGCGGACTTTTTGAGTCTCGGCGGTTTCCCTTCACCTCACATCTCGAACACTATTCCATCATCACCTTCAGCAGAAGCAGCGGCCAGGCGCCGTAAAGCACAGAGATATCAACAAGATCGCTCAACAAAAACACCGGAACGCCCTGTGGGGGTTACCAAACAATACAGATCATCTAGCAAATCGCCAAAGATGATGTCGCCTTCGCGTTACAGAGCAGGAGCTCAAGATGCATGGATTGAGAGCATATACCAGACTCCTTCCAGAATGACGACCATGAACATGCCAATCAGAAGCATGCCTTTGACCCCTCCTTCCAGTGGAAGAAACAAGCCAGCAGTAGGTCTCGGCTTCCAAGGCTTTGGTGGTCTTGATGCCTCACCCTTCCAACCATTCACAAACTACGACGAGCAAACCTCGCCATTCACCAGCAATTTTCCCCAGGACAGTCTACCCAGACAACTCTACAGTCCTGAAGCCTCCCCTCTTACAAGCCCCAGCGTTGAACGCGGAGCAATCTTCGCCGAAGAGCCCATCCCAACCTTCCGCGACGTCTACTACGAACAACCAAACGTCGCAGACACCTACAACAAATCCGCCTGGAGCGCAAACTCCTTCGGCGCAGAAGACATTTACGAGCCTTCTCCAACATTCAGCCCATGGATGGCCAGCGAGAAGAGAGAAGCAGAATATCAAGCTTCTCTCGCCGCCGCAAATTTCCAAGTCCATGATAATATCATCCCTTCTGGTTTCAATGACCCCACTTTGGCTCCTGCTTATGGGGAAGAATTGGTAGGTGTGGCGGAGATTGATACGACGCCTTACTACACTACTTCCGCGTACGCAAATAATGTTTTGAGGAGAGAATCGCGCACACCTTCTCCCATCCGCAAAACCAAGCGTTCTTCTTCCTCAAAACCGCACAGCCGCAAATCAAGCTCTGATCACAAACCCAGCAATCGTGGCTCAAAAGCTGGCGGCTTCGTGAACTACACACCTTCCGATTCCGACAAATTACTTAGTGGTGTTGCGCCCTCAGGCAGCTCCAAGACGAAAGCGAGAAGGGAAAGAGAACAAGCAGAACGATGGAGAAGATTCAGTCAAGCTGCTGTAAAGGCAGTTGCTGAAGCTGGAGGTGAGATTGCTCCGGTAGCTAATATGATGCCCGTTGGTCCTGTTGGGCAAGGAGATTTGATCGATACTAGTGCTGGAGGGAGTTGGTAATGAGCCAGAGATGGTGGAAGGAGTAATGGAAGAGGTTGGTGTTTATAATATGTATCGAAATTTGATAATCGTTTCTTCTTAACTCTTGACTCTCGCCTTTCTTGCAATGTAATCGCTTTGGTGTTTTTGTTGGATGCTGTCGACAATCACCTAGACTGCAACCACGCATATATGGCATGCGTCTTACTTTTGGGCAAGCTTTCACCTTAACTATCTAACTTTTGTTCTTCTGTGCCTCGTACATTGCACGAATTGACCGGATACCTGCCGCTTCATAGCTGGAACTGAGACAACTCATATTGGGACTGGCAGATATCTCTTTACACGATATCTATACTTCATCCCAACTTCCCTCTCAAAATCCTCTCCCCAACCACATTCTCATTGCGTAACAGTCCCATTCGTCAACTGCAACTCCCTAGCCGAAAACCTCACCTGCCCAGCTCCCACATCAAAAACAGTCAAAACATTTCTCATAAACACATCCCCCAATATAGTCATCCCACCATTATTATCCTGCACCCCCAGCACGCAAAACCCATATCCTGTATCAATGATCAAATCCAATCTATTGACGAAAAACGTCTTTGCGGAAACGGTGACGCCGAAGCGAGGGACTCGTGCATTGCAATCCACATGATACAGACCTGTTTGTGAGGAGATGGAGGCGGCGGGGGAAAATGCGGCGGCCACTGCGGCAGCGACGGCGGAAGGAGCGTAAATAAGCGATGTTCCTGAATCGACGATGGAGTTGCGTGTAGGTGCACCGAGCAGTGCAACCTTCCTCTTATTTCCAGTCATCTTGACGTCGAAATCCGCAGACCAGTTTGCTGATATGGCCCACCCGTCTACCCGGATGGAGTAGAATTGATACTCGGGCTGGCCGGTGGTGGCATCGATGCCCACCACGGAAATATTCGCAGATGCCCATGCGGTGCCGTGGGGAATGTTTGGGATACCACCGACAGCTAGGACGCCACCGCGGGCTTGAGCGGAGCGGGCGATGTCGCGATCGAGGGCGATGCTGAAGAGTGGTGCGGTGAGTTCTTGGGCGTACATTGAGGTGAAAAGTGGATTGTAAGGGATATTGACGCCTCTGATGTCGGCGGTGGGGTCATTGCCGTTGTATTGATTCGTCAGTGTTGAGTAGGCTAGTCCGAGGAGGCCTGAAGATGCACCATCGCCGTACCAGCCTGCTTCTGTGACTAGGCCCATTGTTTGGTTTTCTACGGTTATGCCCGCGAATGTGAGATCTTCTGTGATCATGCGTCCATTGAGGCGTTCTCCATCAGCGTATGAGATGTTGAAATTGCGATTGTCGATTTGAGAGGCTGTTGAGGTTAAAGAGTAGGTGGGGCCAAAAGCACAATCTTCTTCGGGGATTGTGGCAGAGTCTGTAGGATCCACGCAGGTGAAGGCGCTGTTTATGAGCCAAGTGTCGCTGCTGCCGGTATCGATTACTACATAGAAGGTCTCTCCGCCTGCATCGAGGGGGGCGAGGAAGACGCTTCCTGCTCCTACTGAGAGGAGATCTGCTGTCCCATTCTGATGACTTGATCAGTACTTGTTCAAAGCTGATGGTGGTAGATTTTCTGTCTTACTCTCAGTCGTGAGTATATTCCATCTACGTGATTGCCCGCTCTGATAGCTTGAAGGTATCCAGCACTCAGAGAGTTGCTTTTCGAGTCGGCTCTTCCTAATGAGATCGTGTTGCTGGTGACATGATTCGGACTAGGCTCCTTGATGGCAACAAGACGACGTGGTTGGCTGACTCGGAAGTCAAAGTTGCCTCGAGCGGCGATGGGTGTGGCGAGGGCTACAAGGGCAGCGACTTCAAGAAGACGCATATCTGAGTATCGCGAAAAGCAAAGACTCTGCTTCCAAACAACGGTCAAAGGAAGACCAACAAGCGAAACAATGGAAGAAAAACGAACGAGAAAAGAGTGAACGTTTCTTGTCGAACGGAGACGAACCAAACCAGGTGTCGCAAGGAGAAGCCAGACAGCGAGGGGAGTTACGCTTGTGTTTTACCTCCCTGTCGTACATACTCCCAAACACAATCAAATGCAAGCTTGTGTGTGTTTGGTCGCACTCCCTTGCTTGGTGCAGATTGGTCAAGACCGCCCTGCATTCCTCCTCTCTTGATTCAATTCTCTTGGCTTTGAACATCTCGGTACATTACCTTATCGCACAGATCATTCCTGATTAGAGGAGCAAACAGCATGGTCTGGCTTGTTCAGGCTTGCTCAAGCCTCATCTAGATTTCTGGATCGTCGGTCGAGTTCGGAAGAGATGTGATGTTTGAAGAAACATTATTATGATGAATGGAAAATGTCTATATAAACCTTTTGGTATTCGTACAAGCCTCTCGGTCACTCTTTCTCATTACTGCTTCGATCAATATACCCAACTTCGACTCTGCGTTTCCAACGGTTTGCAAGTGCTGCATGGTCTCAAACTCTGGAGTTTCACTCAAGTTGTACCAGTCTTAAGCTGGTGTGATGGTTGGCGCTGGGACGGGTTCTCGCTTCTTGGTCACCATTGTGGGACAAGTAGGAATGGGGTATGGGCTTGTGTTGCCATCACAGAAGTTCTCGTCATAGCATCTGATATCTGTGTCAGTCTTTGACCCTGCTGCGGCTTGGACAGAAATAACCACTCACCCTCCATAGCGTTTACCGCAAGGACTGATCTTGTCCACACAAATTGAGTGAGGGACACAATCTTCAGGATCTTCAACCTCGGTCGTCAACGCACGTGTTGGCAACGGTGTTGTGGTGGGCTGAGTCGAAACAGTCTTGATCTTTTTGGTGTATGGATATGTTGATTTTGAAGCTGAAGTCGCAACGACGGCGGCAGATGGGTTCAGCTCACGAGCATCGATGGAAGAAGAGGCATGATCGCTGTTGGAAGCCTCGTTAGAACGGGATCCAGCATTATTATCAGAGCCAAGCCTTGCATACCCTGTGTCGCATCTCGGGATGAGAAGCGCAAGAGAAGTCGAGATGAAGATGAAAATGGCGAAGCGCATGTCGTAATGTGTGAAGTTGGTTACACGAAAGGTGGGGATGGGAAATGAATGACGGAGTTTTGTATGAGTTTGATTTGACCTTTCACCACGAGGGAATTCAAGCTGAATATGTATTCGAGCTTTCCGCCTTCTGACTGACGACGATTTTGGGGCTTGTTCAAGCAAAGTTTTGCAAGGAATGCGTCAATGTAAAGTCGTCGTTCAAAGGTGTATGAAATTCAAGCTTTAGAAATCGTGATGGTGTGAAGAAGAAGTGTATGACGATCGAGGGTCGCAATGGGATACAAAGTCGTGGCGAACAATCCTGGGTTGAACATGCATCCATTCCTTCGATCGAGGGTAGCTGAGCAAAAGTCCTGGTTCTTGGAAAGCTGCAAACAGCGCATTGGGATCGCCATGCTTTCAGCCACATATAGCTAACCCTTGCTTTCTTGCGGCACTGTTCTTATCCACTCACACAAGAGGAAGTCAGCTGCGTATCCAAACATCGGCCATTCCGGATAGGAAATCGGCACATGCTGGGCGCCAACTTGGTGCGATATTTTCGGATATTCTAACATAGCCGCAATGCCCTGAAGCGGACTTGAGGCTGATGATAAGGAATGAGTATACCCTAAGGTCTTGTGATTATTGAGGTGAAAGAAGGTTGCGGATGTGCTTGAGATCGTAGATTCTACCCGACGATGCGACAGATAACGATTGAGTTGTATCGAAGTAGCTGTGATTTGGGAATGCTGCGTCTGGGAACAGATGGCTTGTTGCATCAACTGATACGACTCCGAGTCGTAGTTGAGGCTCCAAGGGGTTTGCAAGTCGATCAACAGGCACGAATAGGAGATGAGCCGGAGTCGGTCTCCAAGGTCATGTTCAGAGGACGAACGCGTCTCGCATCCACGAGACTCCTCCACTGGGTGGCTACCACGAACTCCACTATGACGACTCTCAACATACCACGGGAAAGATTCATCAGCAACAGCATGTCACTGCTGGCTGGTTTCATCACCACTGCCATCTTTCCGCTTTGCCGGCAGAGACCGCGGTGGTTACTGACGAGATGCTGCAGAATGGCAATGTTTTGAAGTTGTAAATCTGCAAGCCAGGGGTTGTTGTCTCTTCAACGTTGTGAAGGGCTCGTACGGCGAGATGTCCGAGTGCCGATCCATTTCTTTGACTGTCAATCAAGCTCATGACAGTTATGGCGATTGCTATAAGGAAAGAGAAAGAGGAAATGATAGATCATGACAGAGATCAACGACAGGCAAAAGAAAAGGTGAACCTACACGTGGCATGCCGTCGGACGGGCCGAAACTGAGCTCCTCGGAAGTCCTTCAACTGCTTCTGTCAAGTTCACGCGCCGGGGCGTCGGTCGATAAGATACATCCTCTCACTCACGCCACTGCCTTCTAGCTCGGCTTGGAAGCTCTGGACTGCTCACTTCACAACCGAGCGCGACCCGACAAGGCTTTTGGTGGAACCCGAGCCAGATCTCGGCCCAGAAGGAAACTTGGTGCTGCAGGGCAGCCGCCGTCCCAGCGCCTGGGTCAATTAGACACCAATGGAGGAGACGTGTCTTCCCGGGAGGACCATCAACAGAGCTTCTATTTGTGTGGCTGAAGCCTGGACATCGAACATGGTCTGGCCCACGCCATGTCGACATCGAACCACTCGCCGGGGCCCGGCAGGACCGTGAGCACAAGGTCTGGACTGCCGTGCTTCTCGGCAGATGGATGCCAAAGACAGTGTTGGCGTGTTGCCATGGTACGCGTTTGTTCGGTCATACCGATCATGAAAAGCCAATCGAGATGGTTGCGGCAGCCAGGAAGTGTGTCACAGCAAGGGACATGCTGCATTGGCGACAAACCGCGCGTTCAGCTTGCTCGCTGTGCTGTACGACAGAAGGTGACCGATATGTTTCCACGACTTGACGGGCTCCAACGCCCTCCCTGCCTCGTTCTGTTTCCATTGCTCTTGCTTGACACTGCCCTCTTATGTCAACATGTTATGCCGCTGCTCGTATTCTCCACCGTCTTCGCGACACGCTTGGAACAGCCCAGCGATGCGTCCAGCGTTGGCAGTAATCTCAAGAAACCGCTGTGGTCCTCGGTATCGTGGACATGTAAATCGGACAGTCAATGAATGAAGGAGAAAGCGCGACGTGGTGATCAGGAACAAGAAGGAGCAGCGCCAAAACAAGCAAAGACACGAAACGCGTCATCGGAGGCGCCGCTGTCACGTGTCACAGTCAGGCTACGGATAGTATCCTTTCGGACAGCTATATGTTTACAGTAGAATATGGTGCGGTCGCGTGAACAAGCTTTAGAATACTGGGTAGTTAAGCAGTCGTTACGGAGAAGCGATGCCAGACGAACAGATTTCTAGGCTCATGACGCCGAAATTGGGTTGTGATGTTAGTCAGAGTAGAAGTATTCTGTGTGCTAGGTAGTTGAGCATAAGAGGATTGGATAAGAAAGAAATATCTACTACGTCTGAACGAATGTGTAATATCTGCCAGTTTCTGAGGAGCTACATTGAGGAGCTAGAAAATCAATCATGCGCAAAAAGAAAGAAAAGAAATCAGAAAGAGAAACATCCGCGATAAATCAAGCACTCTGTCTTTTCTTCAAGCAGTCACCACCGAGTCCAGAGACTGCAGTATGGTGGAAGGTGCGTGCAGGTCTTGTCACCTCACCGACCCTCCTAGCAGTCAAACTCACACCAAAGGTCAAATTCATGGCGTTGTCCATTACTGATCTTCGGGCCCTTGTACGCCCAGTTCTCACACTCGTGCGAGTTCCAATGTTGATCACCATAATGAAGAGTGAACGAACTTCTCCAAGAATCAGTGATGAAGCCACTAGGGATGCGGCCGTCGATCCAAAGCTCGGGACCTCTGGTGGTGCCGATTTTGATCTGGTAGTCAGGGTTGGTGGCGCTCCAAGTGCCGACGCTGGACCAGTCCCAGGTTTTTCCAAAGGCTTGGGCGGGGACTGCGTTGTCGAGGAGGTCGATGTTGTACTTGTCGGTGCAAGAGTTGCCACAGAGTCCGTTGGAAGCTATAGCTTTGAATTTAGCAGTCTGGCCAGACTTGATAGTGGAGATTGGACGTGGCTGACTTACAGTCGAGGTGAATGTGGGCTTCACATTTGTTTGTGTTCTTGCGGCGAACGAGCGTAGAGCTCGAGGTATCTCTGTCAAGCACAGTAGGTGCGGCCATGGCAGCAACAGCAAGGATGCTGGAGATGACGATGTTCTGGAAGGCAACCATCTTGGAAGTTAGACTTGATGATTGGTAGTTGTGAAGAGTCGTTGTTGGCTGTAATTGTTATTGCGTGTGAAAGAGCCGATGTGAGTGCTTGAGATGTCTAGAATCTAACAGCTGAATAACCTATCTTTATGTCTTTCTTCTTGCTCTGACTATTCCATCGCATGTTCGTTTCTGTCTCCAGTCAAGGCTGGAGAAGGCTGCGCAAAGTTGTTACAAATCTATTCTTACATGAATCAGCGGTATATGAGGATCCAAAAGGCTGCTGCAGCGTGGGCGTTGCAGATGCCTTCACGCTCGTTCGTGTTGGTCTTTTGACGCATAGGATACTAAACAGCTGAGGCAGAGCAATGCTTGGTTCGCAGGAGTGTTCACGGTGATATCGCTTTAAGTTGCCGCAGTGCATACATTCAGGATGCAGGAAGTCGTATTTAAAGCAACTTTAGCATTCCTTAAGGATTAAGTCTAAGCCATTAAGTCTAGGCACTTTTCAACCAACGTTTCATCTTTAATGAGCACCCGCACATCGAGTAGTAGAGGAATTAAATGGAATGGAGGAGAGCGGTGAAGAAGATCAGAGAGAAGAGCTTCTCCAGAACGGCTGTTGGTAGACGTGAACACGTTGTGGAGGCCGGTAAGCATCAGCCCGACTTCCGGGACTGCCAAGATCATGACGCCATGGAGGTGATGGGGTCAGGGTGATACCCTTAACAAGCAGTTTCCAGACAAACCGGCTCCCACAGGCGCGACGACTACGATGTTTGGTTGTTTGACCAGATAGAGTTGATTCTACCGACGCTATTCCTTGGACCGACGGGAAACCCGAGTAGAAAACACTGGTTGTGGCGAGCTATATCGAAATTCAAGTTCTGAGATGTCGGGCTTTGAAAAATGTTTGTGAATCCATGCAAACATCAATTGTCTTCTGTGATGGAGCTTGAAAAGTGGATCGATCGTTAGATATGTGTCTGATGAGAACTAAAAAGACCGAATTGGATGGAAGATCATATTGGCAAGAGACTCCAACAGTATAGAGATTGTAGAGGTCGTTGCCAGCGTGGAAGAGAGAGACTTGGCCTAGACTTTTGGCCACTCGGGTCGCACATTTTGGCCCCGCAATTCGAGTCCCTCCAAAGAATCGCGTGCCTTCCAAGTTGCAACCGCTGCAAGAGTCAAGACAATACGCACTTCCGAGTGACCGCAAGCATGAAAGCGCATCCTCCAAATGCCCGGTCGCGCTATATGGCCACCATTTCCACAATGGAGAAGGTGCCGGTAGAGGAGCTTGAAGCCGGACCATCAGAATCACGATGGCTGTGGCTGCTAAATGCAGGCGACATGGCAGCGCGAGCGCGTTCAGGTATCACACAAGCAGAGAACCTGCCTGGCTCGCCAGTGCAAATTGTAGAACTGTTAGCAAAAGTAAGTGAGAGTGTAAGACTGGATTGAAGCTGACGACTAAGTTCCCGCAAGCCGTACGCCCTGACCGAGTATGAATCGCCAGAAGATGCGACGAAGGCATTCGAGACGGAGTCGAAAGCGATCTTCGCATACGCTGCGCCGGCAATGGTAGAGCGAATTTTGTTCAACATACAACCGAACTATCCACCACCCACTCTCATCTCAAACAATCCACCGACATATGAGTTTACCAACGGACTGATCCTGATCCACGACTTCATCAGCAAAGAGGAAGAGGAGGAAATGATACGGGAATACCATGTCGTGACATCGTCTAGGGAAGGGCGCGCTCTCAAACGAGGGGCTGTACACTACGGCCCTCATTTCGATTACACCACTTTCGCCGTCTCAAAGTCAGCAAGCACACCCCCGCCTGAATACCTCACGCGACTGCTGGATCGCCTACCTGCCAGAGATGACAGGGACATACCTGACCAGTATACTCTGCAGCACTATCCGCCAGGCACTGGCATACCCCCTCATGTGGACACGCATTCGGCGTTTGAAGAGACGATATACAGCCTCAGCTTCGGCGCTTCTACGCGGATGGATTTCAAACTCTGCGGCGAAAAGGAGTCAAGGAGATTGCGTCTGCCAAAGAGGTCGTTGGGAGGAGGAGTCGAGACACCGCCGCCTGAGCTCGCACCTTCTGTTGATAGTGTTGAGGAAAAGACCGAGGAGTGGGAGTTGGAGTTGCCGGCGAGATCGCTGTTGGTCATGAGAGGGCCTTCGAGGTATGGCTATACCCATGGAATTAAAGGAAGAAAGCATGATCAAGATGGTGCGAGGCTTGTCGCCAGGCAAGATCGATATTCCTTGACTATGAGGAGAATCAAGCCGGCTGAGAGAATTGGTTGTGATTGCGAGTACTCGCATGTATGTAGTTGAAAGTATATCAAGCCAGTCGACTATTCAATCCTTGGGAGGCGGAGGCGGAGGCGGAGGCGGAGGATGTGTGGGATCGGTAAAGAGACGAGGCAATTCCTTGTCTTGCTCGCTCTCTGGTACCACAAGGTCAAAGTTGTTGGCGAAACAAGTTGAGCACATGTATCTTGATTGATTGGACTTCTCCCTCCACCACAGCCTGAGGTAGCGGCTCCTCTGACAGGCGGTGCAATCATGGTCGACTCGAGCCGGAGTGATGACGGGCTCATGCAGCTTCCAAGTCCAGCCCTCTTTGATCCACCGTAGATTTTTTAGTATGTGCGATGCAAGCAACCTGGCGCGCCGTATCTCAAGCTTCTCACGATAATCCTTCAAGTTGGCACTTCTTTTGCCCTCCAGTATGCCAGGTATCTTTCGATTGGATTCGTAGTCATGGATAATTCGGCTGTTTTTAGTTTCCGGCTTTCTGCGGAACTTTCTGTGGTTCCTTTGTATCCTTTCACGGAAGTTCTTGTCGGTGGCGTAGCGGTATCTATGGTAGGCTCTCGAGTCGACTTTTTTGAGAGCAAGCGCTTCTTCCCGAGTCAAGACGGTGGGCGTATCATGTTTACTGGTGCTATAGGCAGCGCGTCCGAGTGCGCAGAGCGGTCGCGCTGTCCATGTCCACGCGAGTGGCCGGAAGATGCGTGGCGCGACCAAGGAAAGAGAGATCATGGCAGGACGTTGATGCAAGAGGTTGGCAATCGACCACAGAGACGAGGAAGGAGCTTGAAGGACTTGGCATGATCTTTATCACAATCGTCACGCTGCCAAGAGGAAAAGATCATGATCCAAATCGATCACTGCGCACTCAGCCTTCGAAGTTTGCATGCTTTTTACGGTTGACCAAGCTGTCAAGCTAACGGGCCGACACTCTAACCTGGATTTCTCGTTGGACTTGATCAAGCTTGTTCTAACTGTTTGCTACAGTACTCATACCCATCTCTGTTATACAAGTCTTCTGCCTGCTGTCGCCTTGCAGGAATGATGGAGCAATCATCCTCGGCACAGCTAAAAGCGGCAAGGACTAGGCTGCATGCGGGAGTGCCGGGCAGAGGCTAGCACCTGCCCCCTCTCGTGTACTTGTATACACGGCGAGAGATGGTCTGACTGGAGCCAAACCTTGAGCTACTGTTGAGCAAGTATTCATCTCTACAGCTATTTGACCAAAGCGACGACCTCGACGACAAGACTGCTGGCGATTGGGAACATCTACACTTGGATGAAACGTTTCATGGCACATTCCTGAGCCCCTCGTCTTATCATCAGCAGAAACACGAATATCGCGGTACCTTCGTGCCTTCCCTCTGTCGATCGGCTTATGCCTGCGGAAAGGAAGCATCCCCACATCAGCCTCTGCAAACCGTGCCTGCCTTGTGAGTGTCGCGTTCTCGTGCGACTTCTCTTTGCTGACTCTCTTCCTGTCGCAGAATTCCAACAATCTTCCTTCCACGATGCGTCTTCTCGCGATTGTCGCATCACTGGCGGCATCTGCCATGGCACAACAACTGCTCGTCTACAGCGACTCGGCCCTTCCGTCATGCGCTCAGCAATGCACAATCCTCCAGAATGCACAAACAGGCTGCATCCCCCCAGCCGCCCCAGTAACCGACGCCGTCATCTACGAATCGTGCTTCTGCCAGTCTGGCTACCTCACACCACTCAAGGCTGCTGGATCTACGCTATGCTCGGATGTGTGTGAAGCGGCCGATGTGGCCAAGATTGCGACATGGTATCAGTCCAACTGTGCCGACAATGGTGTCGCTGCCGCTGCTCAAGTCAGTGCTGGAACCACGACAGACCCAGCTGCCACAAGGAGTGCTTCGACGATTGCTTCGTCACCTCCAACGTCGACCTCAACAGGCGGTACACAGAGCTCAAGCTCCGCCCAGGATGCAGACCCTCATCACGATTGGTAAGTCAAGATGGAGGTTGCAACACCAGACCAACGACTGACCAGCCAACAGGTGGACGGACCATTGGAGGTGGATCGTCATGCTCATCGTCGTATTTGTCGGTCTCGCCATTCTCACCGTCGTCCTCGTCCTCCTACGCCGCCGTCATCGCCGTCGTCAAGACGTTGCAAGAGGCCCCTTCAACTCAGGCATCACCCGCAATTCTCTGCCCGCACTCTCAGTTACACCCCCTTCGCAAGGCAAGGTGGCCAGCAATCATGCCAGCAGAACAAGTCTTCCAAGAGTTAGAGAAAAGGACAGAATGACCGTCACCGACGTGCCTGTACCCCCCTTACCTGCGGGTCATGACTTTGCCGGAAAAGAAAGAGGTGCCACTCCAGATGTTGAACACGGACGTGCGAGATGAGAGAAGCAGAAAAAAGCACATGTTCCGACATTGCCCTTTCCATTGATACCCACCACATAATCATAATACAGGCCAGACACCTTTTGACTCACTGATCTGCTTGTGCATTGTTTTGGACCCTGCCTCTGATCGACTCTGGGGGAAGTGGAGAAACTGGAGAAAGCTTCAGTCTTGACAGCATAGGCAGATCTTCCTTCTCGAAAGGTAACGTCATGGCTGCTACTGAATAGTCAGACGAAAGCGATTGGATTACAGCAACAGCAGAACTCGAAGAGTGCCTGGGGACGTTTTCAAGTTCCAATGTGAGGCAATCATGGCTCAGAACCCCCACAACCCAACGTCTGGTTCACACAAGTAGACCCCGGTTTCCCACCGGATACATTCGATGCTACGACCCTCGCCATCGGACTTCACATCCTTTTCTATGGGATCCGTCTCGGTCTCATCAATCGACGGTGGTTCCTCTAGCAGGAAATCATGACAACTCTTTCGAAATTCTATCCTAAACAGTGTCAGCAACGAGTTCTCGATAGCCAAGTCCAGTTTTCAGTCCTGTATTTCCAAGACGTGTGCATCGTTTCGACAACAGTCGACCAGCATCGAGTCATAGATGGAGCGTACTGCTTTGTCAGAGATATAAACAACGAGGCAATAGTTCGATGGCATCAGCAGCCGCAGATGATGCAATGCTATCGAGATTGGCAAAAGAGTAAATGCAAAAGATCGATCCTCCTCCTCCTCCTCCTCCTCGATACCTGTAAAAAAAAGGAAAAGGAACTCGGAGTGATGATGGAGTTTAGAGAACCCCGCACTATAGGATATCTACCACCTGCGCTTCGATGGCAAACCCCTGACCACGGTAGAATATAATGGGTTATTGTGGTACTTGCGACTTCACTGGACATAGTTGTTGAGTATAATTACGGTGTCTGTAAGCATATCGATCATATCTAGGTATTTTACTGTAGTGTTTGCGTAAGTGGGGTCTTGAAGCGAAGTGATGTATAATGTGAAAGAACCCAGAACTAGCTTTATAAGGATACTTGATCTTTGTACTTACGTTCTAGATTCCTGGATCTAGGGGTTTCTTGCTAATGATGATACTACTTGTATGCTACGGATTTAATGATCATCTGTCATACATCTAGAATTACTCGAAGACCCCTCCCTAGCATCTTTATCGCTATTTCTTTGTCTATTGATATCCCTGTTACTAACCCTCCTCCCTCCAACCGTTACCCCTATCCCTTCTTCTACTCTCCCTTCCTATCCATCTGAAGCCCTTCCTCTAGAGCCTTTCCCCTCCTCCCTCAACTTTATCACCCGTTCTCTATCTTCTCGGCGTAAACTCTGTTCTCACATACGAGTTTCAATGTCATTGTGAGAGGGTTTCCCTTATAACAGTTGATATATGAAGTTCTGGAATCATGGACCGGAGATGAAATGGGTCGGGTGTTAAGGATTCTGCTATTGTTGACGCGGAAGGACAGGTAGATGTGGATATAGATGTGGATATATAGATATAGAGGTAGATGTAGATGTGTATGTTGATATAGAGGTAGATACAGAAGTAGAGGTAGATCATCTAAGTGAATTTCTACGAGATGATCGATTCGGTTTGAAAATTTTATTCTATTTGGCGGGGGCTTAAGAAGCTTGTGGGAATTTGCGCTGTTGTGCTGGAGTCAGAGGATGCTATGAGTGTGAGGGTGGTAGAGATTGTGTTGTTAGCTACGTGATGCAGTCGTGGTCTTTTTTTGCCCTGCGAGCATGCGGATGTGGGGCTTGCAGAAAGTATGCCTTGTGAGATTCCTTGTATCTGTTCGTCTGGGTTTTGAGCTTCTCGTCTAAGGTCTTCTGCATGTTTTTGGAGAACATCAAAGCATTACTTGTTAGTTCCTTATGCTATAGTCATCATCACCATCACCAAAAGCTATGTTCCATCTTGGCACGTCTAATGGCTTCGGACCTGCAATACCCTTAATCTCCTCAAACATCCTCGTCAAGATCGCTCCATTGCTCGAAGCCGAAACATCAAACCGGATCAAATTTGGAAAATTCTCCACGATAGATTGTGCCAGCACTTGCGTAACGAGTGGATGTTCGATGATACGTGATTCGTAGAGATGGTCTTCCGTTTCATTCAAGCTTTGAAAGTATTCGGGGATGTGGTGGAACATTGTGGTGGATTGATTTATAGGGTCACCTACAGATCTTACTCCCCAGATGAGGTCACCGTGTTGACCTGAAAGATATAACGTTCTCATGTCGAATGTTTTGAGCCGACGAAAGAGGGGGTGATGGCCTTCTTCTAGATCTGCTTGGTTCAACCTGCAATCTTGAATTCGGAGGTCGTGGAGTAGAGGACATTCTGTGCCTATTGTGCGGAGGACGTCGCCATCGAAAACGTTACACAGTATAAGTCCCAATTCTTGAAGTCGTGGGAGCCCTGTCGCCAGAGCGGCGATCGTTTGGTTGAAGTCCTGGATACCATGCACATAAGAAAATTCCACCGATGTGACTGACAGCTTTCGAAGGATGCAAAGAGATTGGAGTTCATAGAAATGGTGATCCGTGAGTATTCTAGACTCTTGTTTATCGACGGTCAGAGTCAATTTAGTCAGCCCCTTGAGTTTACCAATTGTTGCAAAGGCGTTTGGTGAGACGTCGGTCAGCCTCAGTTCTTGCAGGGTCGTTACATTTTCGAGCAGTAACGGAATAGACGTTTGATCGAGATGCATATCAAGTACGCGAAGGGCTGGGAAAGATTGAGCAGGAGATATACGCCTCATGGCTGTTGTGATCCTGTCGGCCCCGCAACGGAGACCCTTCAACACCTGGAGTCCTTGATGAGTAATCAAAAAGACAATCGCGTCTTCTGTCAAACATTTACAGTCCATCCGCAACGAACGTAGATGTTTCAGACTACGTAGTAAGTGCAACAGGTGCTGAGAGAACTGCGATGAATACCCACATGCAAACTTGTGTGATAGTCCAAGGTGTTGAACTCGAGGACATGAGTTCAAGATCTTGTCGAGCAGCTGACCATCGAGTTGGTTATCGATTTTGAATGATTGTGGGGGTGTTTGCCATCCTGAGTTGGGTGTCGGGAGACCTGGCATATCAGGGTGCATACCAGGTCCTGCGACTCTCAGAGGACCCATGGAATCGGGAAGTGGTAGAAGATTTGGCATACCGGGAGCGAGCTGAGATTCCTGAGGTAGTTGGAGAGCCACTGGAGTGAATGGTGGGAAGTTCTGCATACCAGGAGGCCCAGACAACTGTAATCCCGCCAAATTGGGCGGCACCTGAGGTCCATGAGGTCCTCTATCATCCTCTAATGAATAAGCCTGCGGGATAATTGTCAGGTGCTCAAGACTCTCCTGCAAATACGCGGACACGTAATGCTCGAGACCATGAGGGGCATCTCCTGCGTAGACACAGCAACTGAGTCTTGCAAGTCTCGGGAATCTCACGTGTTCACACATCAAAGTGTCGTCTATTTGATTTATGGAAAGCTAGCGTATTTTGTCGGCGTAGATTTGCCTTTGTCGGGGTTGAATATTAAGGAGAGCGGAAGGAAGAGTGTTGCGCCAAATGATGTCAGTGCCACAACTGTAGAAGGTCTTATTCACTAGCAGAAGCTGTACAAGAGGCTGTAATTTGAGGCGATCGTTGCTGTGAAGCCGATTACTGGATTCTTGTTCGTAGACTTGATCGAGAATGTCCCGAACGAGCTCAGGCAGATCGAACACCTGCGATGCTGCCGTCATGTTGGTTTGTCTTTCGCAATCACATGCGCAATAGAGTGCAAGAGAGGAAGATGAATCCAAATCAAGCATGTGTGCAAAAGGTTGTTCAGCGTCGGATGATTGACTGGAGCTTGACAGCCAGCCAAGTCGCATTTGTCGACCATCTTAACTTGGTTGCCGTACTCAACCTCGGACCTTTCTATTTGCACGCACTTCATCGAACTCATCAGCCCTATTCCCTCAGGCAAACATGTCAGCAGCGTCACCGGTTGCTAAGATACCGGCATCTCACATTGCGTCTTCACAGGCTCGATTAAAGATCTCTGGAATGAAAGACCAAAAGCGGGATATGAAGAGACCAGAGTCCATGGAAGATTTGTAAGATTATTAGAATTGTGAATCGACAAGAGAATAGATCTCATCCTAATGCTGATGTAATTACTGAAGCAGAAGAAGACAACACGAACCAGCACATTGTCCTCCTCTCTTTCCTCCAAGCGGGTATCCATTCTTCCTCCATAACCTTCCCAAAAAAGAAAAACGCCATCGCTATGCAACTTGCAACAGTGAACAGAAAACATCAATCTCAAAGATCTCTCCACGATCCACCGACAGGTTTTCTCGTGACCTCAGGAGCAGTGGTGTGGTATGAAGGCGGCGCGGCACCAGCATAACTACTCTCATACCCAGGACTCTGCGCTCTAGGACTGTATTGCGCAGCTTGCCCGTAACCGTACTGCTCAGCAGCATATGGCGAAGGTGCAGAGTAACCCAAATCGCCTCCATAAGCACCAGCATTGGATTGATAAGGATATTCCTGAACATGCGCATTCGGTGACTTCGGCAGCATGGGTGCAGCGGCGGAGGCTTGATTGTTGTTGTTGTGCAGACTTCCCATTTCCATCTCATTCACATCATCCTGATGGCGCAATGTGCGTCCTTGGCTCCAACTGGGCATAGCAGGCAGTGCGTCTTCGTTGAAATTTTTATTCGAGGACGGAGCGTCGAAATGTGCGTATTGTGGTACATGTTGTTGAGAGCGGTAGACGGGTTGAGCAGCGGGTTGATACTGAGTGTATTGGGGGAATTGCGAGACGGGAGCCACAGGGGTGGGTTGTTGAGCGTATCCTTGGTTGCGGTGGTGATTGTTGTTGCAGCAGGAAGTGCAGCAGGAGAAACAGGAGAGGCAGCCGCAGCAGCATTCGACTCCGCAGCAGAGGCAGCGGATGAGACACCAGACGAGGGATGCCGCGATTACGACGCCGACGATTATGCCGACTATGACTGGCCATCTGGGGGGAAGGGCATGTTAGTGATGGTGAATAGAACAGGAAGGAGCGACCACTCACTTGCAGTATGCCTTTGTCATGCATTGATCCCATCCAGAAAAGGTGTTCTTGACATCCGACACCTCAGACGACATGTCTCTAATGTAGCGCGAATACATCTTGATCGCTTTGTGTGTTGTTGATAGTATGACGGTACAGATAAGCGAAAGTCGTGTGCTGAGAGATAGAAACCAGAGATCCTCAGAAGCGAAAAAGGTTGAAATTAAATCAGTCGACCAGCGTATTCAGATGAACAGCAATACGCTTTCGGAGTCCGAGTGAGGAGATGCCCATGAGCTGACAGGCAGCAGGGGTGTAATAACAAGTTCAGAGGGATCCCCGCAATGTGAAACGCGTCCAACTGCTTGTCCGCATATGCAGGAGGCTGGTGTGGCTGAGCCCGTTACATGGTTTCGACATCCGTTTCGTTGCTCTTGGCAGTCATCTCTGAAGCTCCTGACTCCTGTCTTCTTCATGTTTCAGCCCGTGAACGTCTGTTCAGCTGTCTACAAAGCTCACATGTCGATGCGGGAGTCATAGTCGTTTGTTCTACGAAGAACGCGATGAGAAAAGTGCCTCTCAGCCGACTCCGCAAGCTTCGGAATGCAATCCTTGGCGTCTGGTATGCTCACTCCCCGTTTCAACAAGGGGCTGGGATATCGCATTTCTTATCGATTTTTGCACAACGTCTTCGATAAGTTATGGCATCTTATGCCGTCATGATGCTCTGCTTGGACCTTATGCCGTCATTTCCACCTGTCTTCATACTTTTATGCTGTCATGATCTTGCTTTGCATCATTTCCCCAACGGCTGTCATTTCTACTTTTGGCATGACTTCCTGAAGAGGTGTTTTGTGGTCATGGCTTGCACAGATATGGTAAAACAACCATTTTAGTAATGACATAAGACTATCTATCGATGGGTCTGTGATCAGATGCTGACGAAAGATCATGCCGCGAACCCTTTGAGCTTTGAGTGTCAGAATCAGAGAAATTAGTATAGAAGAAATGGCTATGTACAATTTGATTCAAACATAGGAAATGTTGTCGATGAACGTCCTGCACAATAGTATCAACCTCCGCCATTAATCATAGATCCGGTCTGTACATCTTCCTTGTGGGTATATCCTGTTTTTCGTTCTCTGCCTGGCAAGGCAACTCGCGAGTTTGTTTCTCGATGGTCGAATGCCATCATAGAGGCAATTTCTTTCAGGGCAAGACTGTTCGCGCCAGCGCTTGTCTTGTGAAGCGAGTAGAACAGGACAGTCGAGAGACGTGGTTGACATGATTAAGCATGAGACGGTCCAGCCTGCGACTCTGCAGTTCGTGCTGCTGCCGCTCTAGCCTGCTGCATGACCTTCACAGCCTCCCTCTCCTTCTTTCTTGCCTGCTTCTCCTTCTTTTTCTCTGCTTCTCTTACCACTTGTGTCTCCATCGACCTTTTCCTATCCGCCTTCCACTTCTTGCCCTTCCGCTTTGGTGGATTCAATTTTCTTCGCTCAGCTTTGGCCGTGAGCCTCTCGCGTCTTTCTTCTTCCTTTATGCGTCTCGCGTGGTCTCTGAGATCTTCGGGCCCCTTAGGTTCCTTTCCTTTACTTCCGTTGGCTTTCCAGACTTGTAACGCTACGTCCTTTTGAGCCATCAGTCTGGCATGTTGTGCAGACACCGGTCTGTTGCCGATGGGAATGAAGGTGGCTTCGAAGAACCCTGCAGAAGTGTCTCTACAGGCATATTGACTGAGGGGTTCATTTTGTTTCCTTGCTTCCTCCGCTTTCCCCATTTCGTCCTCCTTGCTTAGTCGGTCGAACATCTTTTGCTGCGCTGCGGATCGTTGCCTCGAAGGATTGGCCCTCCTCTGACTGTCTTCTGTTGGAGAGTCCTCGGGGAGTGGTTCCTCGGGCATATGTTCTTCCATCTGTATATCGCGGACTCGTTTGCTCGGATCTGCCTCTATCCATCGATTCTCCTCAGCTCTGGGCTTCTCCGTTCGTGCGGCATTTCGCTTTTTGACTGCCAGGTTCTGGCCCTCGATACTCCTCTGCATGTGAGCTTCGGCGCTTTCTCTTTGCAGTGACCTGGGATCAGGCTCGTTGACGTTATTAGATTCTGGAGCAGTCTCGATCCGCGGTCCGGGAAGGGGTTGAGGAATTGGCTCGGGCGTAGGTGCTGCACGCGCGCTGACGTTTGGATCATATCTGTCCCTTCTCCTGATCCAGTCCGCGACCGCTGCTTCGTTGGCAGTCTCTGCTGCCGTCCATGAATCTGGGAATGTTGTGTCACCGACAGGCTTCCATCTGATAAGATACTGTAAACTGCCATCGATGTGTTTCTCGTCGATGATGCGGGATATCGTCATCTCAGGCGATTCGACGACTGGATCAGTGGTCGTTTGAACTTTCGGCTCGGTAATTGGCTCAGCAAGCATACTCACATCCGGCTGTGCAACTGGCTCGGTGACCATTTCCACGTCCGGTTCGGCAGCAACAACACTTGAGCGTTTTCACCTGGGCTTCTTCGCTTTCGCTTTCGCTTCCTTCTGCCGCTCTTTGATCAGCTCCCAATCTCTTACAGCCTCCTCATTGGCATTGTCCGCTGGCTCCCAGGTATCCTCAAATGCTCTACCGTTGATGGGTTGCCACTTGATCCTGTACTTGAGCACACCACCAACGACTTTCTCGTCAACAATATCGATAAGTGGATACTCTTCTTGACTGTGTTCTAACCTCTCTTCTGCCGTTGGGATCGCAGACGACGGGTCCAGTGATTTGCGATGTGCTGCTCTGCGAGAAGGTGCCAGATGAGGTGGGAGCTTGAGCTTTGGCGTTCTGCTGGCTGATGCGCTTGACGCGGGGGTGCTCGATGAGGGTGTTTGAGCCGCAGACCTTTGGGACGCTACAGCGAGCATGGGGTGTATGCTCGTGTACATCTCGTCATCTTCATCATCGGTGATAAAGTCCGCGTCTTGCATGATGGCGCTAGGGAAGATAGAACTACTCTGTGAGGAGATGAGAATGATAGGTTCGCTTTTCCGCGATTTTGCTCGGACGGTGGCTTGAGAGCTTGCGGGCTGCGCTAATTGACCTTCAGGAAGGTCTGGCACATCCTCCATTGTGATATCAACGGCATGACCATCTTCATCGAAAATCGGAGGCTGATCGTTTGTTGCTGTCTGTGGCGCGGATGCCGAAGGTTGATCTTCAGTCGCTACATGTGCTTCGAATGATGTTGGAGGCTGGTCATCTGCCAGGGTATCTCGCTCGAGGGAGAGTGCCTGGCTGGGTTCAAAAGCGAGTGGAAGGCGCAGATTAGAGGCTATTGCGGGTGGTGGTGACATAGATAGGAACCTCGAGTCAGACAGTTGGTCACTGCTGGGCAATCTACGGTTACGCAGTTCTTCCCAGTCTTCGGCTGACATTGCAGCAACTCGTTGCTTCGCCAAACGCTTTTGTGCAGAAAGCTGATCTGGGCGCGGCAATGCCTGTACTGCTGGCTCGTGGGAGTGATCGACTGGGCAATCCATCTGGGAGTCTTCGCATACTGGCTCACGGCTTTCCATAACTTCATGGGTTCCTTGTCTTGTGAGACTGCTGAAGTTCGGTTGAGAAATTGATTTCTGATGTTGTTCTCCGTTCTCGACTCCGTGTTCATCCATTGTCGCTTCAGGATGCGGTGTACCTTGCAAGACAGTGTCGTCGTCGTCATCCATCAAGTCAAAATGCTCGGTAGCTTCTTCAAAGCCTGCACGATCCTGTTGTGCGAGTCGTGTTCGTCGTTGATGATTTGAATACTGGAGGCTGTCGTTGTCCAGGAATGTCGAAGCCATTGTTCCCATATCTAGTCCTTCGAATTCGTGTCCATGTTCCAAGTCGGAGCGATGCCGCTCGTCATGTTGATATTCTGGAAGCGAAGGCTCCTCTGATACCAAAAATGATGGGTCGTATACACGTTGGCTTGGACTTTGGATTGACCATTCGCAAGAGCTTGACAGAGTGTCTCCCTGCTCTGCCGATTGCTCATATGCAAATGGCGAGCTCGATCGTTCACCGTCCGATTCGATGGTTTTTGCGTTTGCGTTTGTGTTCACACTCTGCTCCAACGCTGGGATAATTGGACCGGTCCTTGCTTGAAGACGATTGAGCACATCCTCGACGAAATAAGAAGTTGCATCTTCCAGGTCAATCTTCTTTCTCAAACATGGACCAATATCGTCAGACCAGTCCTCAGCTTTTTCTGGGTTGTTCCTGAGAAACATTTTGGTTATTTCCGTGTCGCTAGGCAGAGATCGTCCCTTGAATACCGTGTCCAGATTTGTCTCAATAACACTGACAAGGAAGAAGTGTGAAATTTGTTGGAACATGTTTTCTGCTTCGGGGTCAATCACAACAGGGTCCTTCAACTCCGGAGGTATAGGAAGACGTCTGATAGACTCGGTGAGCCATCCTCGTACGATTCTCCGTCGAGGCTGCTCTAGAACCTGTTGAGGATCGTCTCCCTCGACTCCGTACACGGTCTTGGTCATATCGATAGTCACTTTCACCAGAGCCAGGTAAAGTTCATGCGAAAAGATCCATTCCCGCTGCCGTCTAGCCTTGACAAAGAGTAGTTGGCGTTGTTCTCTGGTCATGTCGGGTGTTTCAGTAGACATCAAAATCAACTCGTGTTTCATTTCGTCAATCAGATCCTCGGCGGCTCTGATGATCTGGACATGTCTGTCAAATAAAGTTTCTGACTTGGCACAAGCTGGCGAAAGATATTCTTCCGCATGTTGCGAGAATGATGAGTCTTGCTCATCGCTGTCCCCGCTGATTTCTGGTGCTTGGGATAATACCCTCGGTGCGACAACCCTAGGCGTGTTATCATTCGTGCTGGACGATCGACTCAGACGGGGAGTCCTGAGCTGTCTTGAGAGTAGAGTAAAGCCGCCCGATGATGGTCCAGCAGCAGGTTGAGTGTGCATGTCGCTACGTGTAGCTTCAAGACCTTCCGAAGCCGCATCATGGTACAAAGGAACATCGGAATGCAACCCCGCATGCCTCGCATCTAGCGCATCCAGATCCATGGGGTCGCTGGTGGGGATGTTGACATTCGTACTTCTTGGAGTCGACGGTTCTCTGAGAATTTTGCCAGCCGGAGACAGCTGGCCCTTCGCCATGCTGGTAGGATCGTGGGAAATTAAAATTATGTTGTTGTTTCACGTGCGATAGGCGTTGCAGATTGGGCAAAATCTTCAAGGTTCAACCACGTTGAGAGGCGGGGCGTGCCCCTGCCAAGGATTTCGCTTGTCGACTCCGGGTTGGTTTGACTACCCTTGTCATTCTCCTTGAACGTCAAGTCTCAACTTACATATCTTTCGTTCAAAAGAATGTGAATCTCAGTGCAATAACCTTCAAACAGAGTTGGCCTCTTTGATGGCAAGAAAGGTGTCGTTGTGCGGCTATCCATAGGGGTGATGCTTTTCAGACAATTAAGATTTCGATTCCAAGGTTCTTTGTAAAAAAATCTCTTTGCATATTGCTGGACGTACGAGAAAGACAATAACCTCTCGTGGACTCATGTGCTGCGCAATAGGGAAGGTGAGCAAAGAGGTGGTCGATTGGGGTGATCAACTGGATCGAACACAGGCGCATCTCTTAGACGCTTTGCATGGGCGACTGCTCTTTCCGCTTCTCGTCACAGTCAAATTGCGCAAATCACCTTTCCGAAGGATGACGGGTTGCTATTCGTGGAGTCTTGAGCCTCGACACCGAAGTAGGGTGCTGCCGCAGAGGACCCGTGTCGTACCGCTGATGGTGACTGTTGTCACGGTAAATCTGACAACGCTCGGAGCGGACCAGGCACTGCGCCCCCTGTGCTGACGCTTCCCTCCAATGGCAAAGGAAGTACCACGTTGAACAGTGTCAGTGGCGGGCTGGTAAGCTTTCGTGTTCGGGGAAGTGATACTTTCTACCTGCCTACAGGTCCCCTATGCTCATCGTCGTCGGTCTTGTGAGGCTCTGCAGTGGAAGCAATACTGTTGGCGAGAGCAGAGTGGCCTTTACTTCCCTGTCCGACACTCGACATCGCATTGGATGTCGCTGATTTGAGCGAGAGGTTGACTTTGGTGGAGCTCTGATATAGTCTAGCAGAGCGGTAGGAGTAGTTCTACCATGATTTATGGAATGGGCAGGTGCAACACAGCGGCTGTTGATCATGACTTGTCTAGTGTTCGTCATATCAGTAAGTGCGCCTCGAAGAGTTCGCCATCGTTTTCGGCATCAAGCAAGTTGACTCTGAGAATCATGTTTCGCGTTCCCGATCTCTGAGTATGAGCCCGACGATACTTTCAACTGCCGAAATTCGAGTGAGTGCCGACCCTACCAATGGAACGGACTGTCGCATTGTAATGATATTGTATGCTGTTCATGTGACTGTCAACCCCAGGATCAATCTTGTCGTATACAGTTTCGCACGAAATCTGACTTCATCACGACCAGTGTAACTCTTGGATTCAATCTCGGAGGTAGGCTTGTGTCTGTGGGCGGTGTACTGGTATCGTTGTGTTCTAGGCAGAGGTACGCCTGGATAAGGTTGGAAAGCAGTCTGATGGATCCAGCTCCCTCGCAAGGCGTACTGGAGATCAGCGCAGTGGAGTCGCCGAGAACTTCACGTAGCTTGTCCGCATAAGCAATCGCAACATCGGATCGCAAAATGAACTTCAAGGACGAGGCCTAATTGGCAGCGAGGTCATTTGTCTTGATCGAAACGCCGAATGTGAGAGCGCCAGCACCAATGGGTGGATCGAATCCAGTAGAGCGAGGAGGGTTAGAGCGATGAGGGTTTGAGCGGACGAATTGATCTTGGAAGTTTGCGTATTTTCTTTGTTGGAAATGTCCTCCCCAGCAGAAGGAGATTGAGATTTGGAGAGCTGGCTCGGCTGTCTCGGGATCCAGTGGGAGGACTCTGATGTGATGAGTCCGTATTGTACTCGACCGACCACAAGCCGAGCAGGGTGATGTGGTGGAATTTGAGCCCCATAAAGGAGCCGACCACTTTGAGAAGACCGGACGGGACCTGATCGCCACGGCGAAGCTTGAAAAGATTGAAAAAAGGAAAAAAGTTTCTGATCTCCCTGGCCAAAAGTACAACCCACCATACCATTCTACAGGTACCAAATGGTGAGCAAAAGGATGGAGTAGCTGGGAATCGAACCCAGAACCTTCTCCACTCAGTAATGCTATGGAAGCAATGCTAAGAAGATGTCATACCACTAGACCACAACCCCAATTGTTGGGGCAAGATTTCGGTGTAGCCATACAACACTCTCAGCGTGCTTGGCATCGACGAGGAGCACGATACAGTTGCAGGCCAGGGTAAGTAGATGTGTGCAACGGAGGGAGAGCAGAAGGAAAACTTCGACAAGTGGTAATTTCCGAGGATTTGCCGTGGGTGGTGGAAAAAGGTGAAACTATTGTTTGACAGCAGTCAATGCTCGATGAAGAGTAAAGACTTCACAAAGATCGATACTTGCTGGTGCCTGTTTGCTTGTCCTTGAAGATGACGTGCCTGGAATGCAACCACTCGAAGCTTCATGAAAGACTGTGCTTGTTCGGGGCACCAGACCTCTTGGGCAAGCATATGTATCCTGTCGCACTGTTTGAGAGTTACTCTATCGAATCAGTGTGGATTGGCGTTCGACTTGTGGCCGGAAGAGAGCTGGACATCGTTTCGGTATCGGCATCGGAAGACTCACGATGAGCCTTTGAAGCAGCGGATACTTGAGAGCTCGTCCTGAGTCCACCGTATGGATGAAGAGCGAACAGACCTTGTGTTGGCACATAACAGAGGACGGACAGAGAGCCCGACTGTTGAAGACGAGCACGATGAGAATCTGTTCTGACTCTTCCAAGGCCTATTTGATGCTTCCAAGTCTAATCGCTTGTGGCAGTCTCTTGTCCACAGGTTCATAAGTCCACCGGTTGGTCGCACCTCCATCAATTCATCACAGTTGATCAGGTCTCGTGGTCTAGCGGTATGATACTCGCTTAGGGAGGTTATTCCATAGCAAACCTTGAAAACTCTAAGCCAATTGCGAGTGGTCCCGGGTTCGATTCCCGGCGAGACCCTTCCTTTTGCTTGTCCTGATGTTGTTTTGGGTTATAAAAGGGGTTGGGATGAAGGTGGTGGAGTTTCGGGAAGTTTTTTGGAAAATTTTGGTCGAAAGTTTTTCTTGTTCCAGAGAGATCGGTGAGCATGTGAGAGCATGAAATTACCTTCTTCCTCATTCAGATGCCATCTTCTGCCCATTACCAGTGTGTTGATAGTGATTTTTTTGGTTGTGTGGTGGACGGGAAAGCTTCGGAGGGAAGGGGCATTTTTGGCTGAGTTGGGTTGATGTAGCCCGAAAGCTGGGGTGTCGGAGCAGAGTGCACCGAGCACATGAGATTGTGAACATGGCAAAGGCAGAGAATACTAGCGACAGCGATGAGTGCTGGTGAAGCAAGTAGTGGGATGTCAGAAAAGTTGCGGGACGGGAACGAGAAAGCTCAAAGTCAAGTGCCTCTTTCCTTTTGAGTCCGCTCATGCGGATTGCGTCATGAACATTCCCGGCCATCAGGGTCCAACCTTCTCCACAGGCATCCTCCAGCCTCCAACGACATGCCGCGACGAGATCAAGAATTTTGTGCGAAAAACGCATCCGTCAAATCATCCTCGACTGTCGAGGACTGCGAAAGCACATGGCAAGATACAACAGACCTCTTTCTCTTGGTTACTCGATCGAAGGACTTGCAAAGTCCGGCGACTTCGAACATACTGACATGTTCCCGGGCATCAACCTCAACCACAATGTGGAGAAGAGCTACAGGCAGAGTTTCGAAGACATGACGGATGCAAAGGGTCAAGCCCTAGCAGATTCACCAGCCAACCAATTAAGAGAGTTCGACGCCTAGCTTTGCGTTCTTGCTGCAAAGTTGGATGCGACTCACTTTGACGGCACCATCCTGCTCTTCTGTATTCGCTAGTGCTTTGCTATAAGTATCTTGTTAAGCGTTAGAAGATTAAGATGATCGATCTTGTCCACGATTAGTGCATCTAAGGGACACATAGACTATCTTAGCTGTCCCCTAATAAGGGCAAAGACAGCCGACGGCTTATCTACTATAACTTTACTAGTTTTAGCTTACTATACGTTATTGGTGCAACGACCCCGTAGCCGCCTAGCTTCGTAATGATAGTGATAATTGATTCTGTGACATTCTAGAAGGAATTCTGCCTAATGTGGCTCTTAGACATATGTTATTGGCGTGGCTGTTAAGAAGGAGAAATGTGTTCTAGCGGGAGAATTGAGCACCTATCTGATGAATCTATAGCGTGTTATGAACTTCCATAGCCACAATACATGTTACTAGTCAAGTCTGCGTCATCCGATCATCATCTATCTACTCGTATAATCGATGCTGTCCTTCAACATACTTGGCTGCATGTTGGTTGCACCTCTTTCATCCCTGCTTATACCGACACAATACGTAGTAAAGGCGATCCTGCTTTTAGATGCGGTAGCTCTCCCGTAAGACTACCTTAATCCAGTGTTGAAGCTTGTGTTCCAATCCCATGCGGGCATATAGGACCCCTCGTTGGCATAATCTGGGAACGAGGATATGACCTCTAAATCCATGAATGGTGGTGCTATCTCTTGGTGCGATTGAGGCCTTGTAAAGAACCCGTTCGAGATACAATCTATGTTAGGCGCGTCACCAAGAGGGTTTTCCAACTTTTCTTTACCAGCTAGGGCAAGGAAAGTTAGCGAAATCGGGGGATGCAAGTTGCAAGATGGTGAAACTTACACGATCTGATGTTCGCAAATCTCGAACTGTACGAACGTCTGAATTCGCACCACCAAAGACCGAAGCCCTCTGAGGATGATAGTATGCTATCAATACCTTCATCTAGGGCAGAAAGGGCCTTCAGTGCCGTAAGAGCTTTATATAACAGGCGAGAAAGTTTGGAGATCTCAAATCCAAGAACCAGAGTTAGGCTGGAGCCAAGGCCATACCGGCTGCTAATAGCTTCTATGACATTTAGCTTTGTTCCAAGACGAACGCCGGCATCTAAGCGACGCTCGTCGACCACATTTGTGTTCATCGTCGCCAGGAAGCTTCGAAGATGCTTTCCAATCTTTTGTATAGCCGGAACACAGTCGCTGAGGAAGCCGGCGATTAGAATCTCTTGCTTCGACGACCAGCCACGACTCTTCTCAAAGGCGTGAAAGTCGTCTGCGAGTGACATGCAAGAGCACACTAGCAATAGTCGATCGTAAAGCTTGATGGACCGCGCCTTTCGCTTGCATTGGAGGGCCAGAATGGGATGCAGATGCATGATTCTAGGATCCTGAATGAGGAGGTCGGGAGTTTGGACTTGGATGCTCAACAGTTCCGGTATGTACGGCTCGAATTGCGCAATAGCTGATGTTAGTAGATCCTTGACAAGTTCTGGCTGTCTTGAAGGGTGACTCTGTATCCTATTCGAAGGCAAGATGGGAAGAAAGCTCGTTGATTCCTGCGATTGAGCTCTGATCATCAACGCATCCCTCCAGGTTCCTGATTTGCTTATGTCGGAGAGTAAGGCTCGAATGTGATCATTAATCGCCGTGATTCTGTCTTGGATGGGCAGCAGAACTTCGTGCGGACTTGCGAGAAGAAGGCTCGCTCCTTCGTTCATATACATAGCAGCATCGTTACAAGATTGAGCGAGATTGGCGAGAGAGCCTGGTTCTTGGTCCATTTGTAGTAGTGGTCCTGTGTTAGAGGCCTGGAAGTAGTATAACATAAAACCAGAAGGTGCAGGAGTCTGATGGCTGAATGCCCTACCTGGATCTCGGCGACTATAATTCTGGCAGATACCGCTGCTATCAGCGACGGAAACGACCCTCCGAGCTCTGCGATGTGACCTCGCCTCTCATTGTCCTGGGAATAAGGAGTGGGAAACTCGTTCCAAGGGTTTAGGATCATCTCTCTGTAGTCGCCGGTAGTTACATGCATAGCTTGCAGACGACCACGCTAAGAGGCCTAGTCTACAGTGTACTGTACTGCTTCGATATTCAAACTATCAAACTTTCTATCTAGGTCAGAAGCCCCTCGATCCTGTCCCAGGTGCTCGGTAGCCTAAGCTGACTGATCGTCAAGGTGTTCTTGCTACAGACTTCGTATTTGCGAGGATTGAGCGGAAAGACGTCTATCCCTCGTTAGAACAGTCGTTAGCCTCTCATGCCTAGCTTACGATCCTGCTTAGATGATCGTTCGTCTCGAATTTTCACAGCTTCATTGTGCGTCTTTGATCTATGCCAACATTGTGTGGTCAGGGTAGATGAAGCACCGCGTATAGCTACAATAGGAGATTTGGCGTTTAGCATAGCTTCGTACTCCAGCCATGTTGAGTAGTGAACAAGTACAGAGATGAATTCAGCAGTTTTCGAACCGTATCAGGGTTAGGGGTAACAAGACAATCCTTATATAGCTGAAAGCGTAAATCATGGCGCCACATTCCTGCCATGGTCTACCAAGAAGATAAATCGCGCGATGATCTGTTTGATCAGCCCTAACGGCAAGTTCGGCACGCTACTAGTTCCGCGGAGCTCTCCGCCGACTGACGCGTCACACCTAGAAAACGTCATAATTTGTCTCCATGTGATTGTTTGAATCGCGTACCCGCATGCATGGCGTATTTCGGAAAGGAGAGAACAAGGACATACTGCGCACCTTACTTCTCTTGCTCGCGTCTGTTTTGTTCGCTCAGCATCTAGCACCCAGCATCCACAACAGACCTTGCATAACACACTATGGCAATCGAGAATGTGTTGATTGAAGGGGACGAAGGTCTTACCGCTGTTTGTTGCACAAGCAACCTCACACTCCAGGTACGAACCGCTCAAAAATTCTTTGTTGGATCACCCCTTGATAAAGCATCTCTTAGGCTATAAACAACTTCCTTGAAAGAGTCAAGTGCCAGGACGACAAGGAACGGCTTCCCCATACCCTCACCTTGATTCTAGATCTTGGAATGACCTATAGCGGTGCCTCTGCAGAACTTCGAGGAGAGGATCCAAGTACTTCTGTTCGAGGGCCATTCTTAGGCATGGGCTATTTTCGCATACATGAGGTACTTAAAGAGATGATAGAGCATACAGGATCTGATCTCCTGGAGAGCGACTGGTTCCTCGTCCTGGATGAACGCTCTGACGAGACGCAATCTGCTGTCATGGTCAATGTTGGAGACCTGGGAGTTCGTTCGTTGCGGGTTGACTACCCTGTGTCAGCGCGATATCTGGCTGCTGCGGCCATTGCCAACCCTCCAATCGACGAGTTGGCAGAGACGGTCGGGGAGGGTGGAATCTTGCGGGATTGAATGACATTAGATCTCCCATGCTAGTTGGCCTTCACAGTTCTTGCAGCTCCCTAGCTAGGCGACGGGTAAAGTAAGCTTGATGTTTTTGTGATAAGAAATTGAAGGCTTCATCTATTTGAGAGTATTATGACCCAAAAATTCACGAATCTTGCCACTTTGAAATTAGCTAATACACGACAACATACCATCATCTGGGTCCCGGACTCTGGTCTGCGAAATCTGACACCATAAAATCATGCAACAAAGGACGCCGCCACCAGAGGCCTCAAAGCAGGGGACTTCTCCTGTCCAAGAAGCTCGCGGATCACGACTTTTGCGTCTCCACTAGTGGCTACCATCAAACCCGAAGGGATCACCATATCCAAGTCCGTGGTTAGAAGCATGATCCGAGTACCATCATTCATCAGAAACTCCCTTCGAAGGTGCATCGGGAAGGTACCATTGCCATCGGGAAATGGAGCGTAGATGTCCTTATCACTTAACTCTGATGATCGGGTCAAGTTAGACATCGGCTTTTGAGATTCGTGTATGCCAAGGATGCAATATACTTACCTCTCTTAGCGGCAGCATAGCCACCACCGCTGAGTTTCTTGAATTCATGACCGTCGTTCAAAGGCGATGTTCCGGAGTTCGCACCTGAGCACAGAGGCCTAGCATTACAAGTCAGCCCTGTTGTGTCTTCTGAGAGGACTGATAAGATATGTACGAGTTTCCAATAGTATTCATGTCGACTGCGACGGTGAATGAACACGGAGCCACATTGCCACAACCCCCATTGGCGATTGGTTTCCGGTATAGATTCCCTCTGAGGTATCCTCCTTCAGCACTATTGTCACTGCGGCTCATACAGCGTAGTGTGGCACCAGCCATGCCTCCTTGCGATGTAGAAGCGTAAGGGTACTCGTCGCAAGTTGGACCATCGTTGTTGTACGGAGAGACACCTGAATTGGCGTTGCAAGCTGAAAGTCCATTAGACATCGTGCATCCTGACCCGCGGCGGCGATTTCGTTCGACACTACTGCTCGGCTGGTCCCAAGTGAGTGATGACGGTAGTCTTGGCGGACCGTAGATGCCATAACAGTCATTGTTGCAAGATTCTGGAAAGTTAGTACAGTCGAGCACGATCATGGCGCCAAAGGTAAATTGACCCAGTGCCAGGATGACAGCGAGAGAGGAGAAAATCTGCATTTTACCGATGGGAAACTTGAGTGTGCTTGTCAAAATATGCCCTTGTTACGACTCGCGACGGACGGCTTTATAGAACATCTTGTCCGGTCATCAGATGTAAGTTACCAAGCTCGGGCGTAAGAGGTCGATCAACCTGGCGAAGTATGCCGCAATAGCGATGATAATGAAATCACCATGATGGTGACGATTCACGCGTATCACTAGCTTGCCGCAGTGAGCTGGAGCCACACGGGCGTAGTCCTCACGCTGCAAGCTACAAACAAGTCTCGCGTACGTTGTACATATTCGTGTCAGACGATTGAGCTTTCGCACACGCAAAAGCTCGTTGATGCTGATTCGCCACAATCAGCGTATTAAGTACATAGCTTTCGGAATGATCCCTTGTCGCAACCTTACTCGCTGATGATTTTTCCTGGCTTGGTCGAAGGCAGATAAAGGTCAATTGGAACGCACCCCTGGGTCAACTCTTGAGAACAAAACGAAAATGCCAGCCTATGCCCTCTTCTTCCTAATCGTCCAGTCCATCCTGTCCGCAGTTGTGGGCGCGGATGAAGGTACCTGCCAACTCGTTGGAACCTACGTATGTAGCTTCCGTCTTCGCTTGAATAATGACTGGTACCGGACTGATCGATTGCCTGGTGTAGGGATTCTGCTACACCACTATGTATCCCGACGGTCAGCCTTGTTTGTCCGATGCTTCCTGCTCGGCGCCCAACGACTATTGCAACGCATTCGATGGTTCGGCTTTCTGCGACTGAGGAAGGTCTTTGTGGTATACGTAGTGCGTGGGGCCGGATCCTCGAAACTGTGGCAGCAAGTGTGAAACAAGGCAGGGACTGGGAGCGGCTCGAATCGAATATGTTGCTTCCTATGCCAAGTTTGGTAACATGGCAAGGGAGTCTGGGCGGCGTTCTGTGGGAGAGACCGGCACCAGACTCCGCCCTTGGAGGACTACTAAAGCGTTGTATGAAGGAACGATGTGGTTGGTTGACTGTCGGAAGTTGGCCGTTCGTTCATCTTGTTATCGTGTATCAGCTTTCTCAATCCTGCATGGACCGGACCCAAGCTCTTGCGAGACTCGGGCGCTTTCTCCAGACCATCGAAATGTCGCATGTTTTCTTTCTCAATAGAGACACCCGCAATTACTCTGTTAACATTTCGACGCTGCTATTCCGAAAGTCCTCTGCTACGACTCCTTATTCGCATTCTACTGTAAATCACCTTGACAATTGCTCCTTGTGACGCAAATTTTAACCTTTTTGGGCTTTGCCGGGAGCTGACCGTGCGGTCAGATCCGAGAAAACGGTGATATGTACCAAGGCATTTCGGGGACCTAACGGCCGAATGAGCTGCACGTGTCACCGACGTCTTCTTTTTTTTTGGCAAAGGTAGGTTTAAGGTTTCAATCATCTCGAAAAATCTTTTGTTAGAGCAAAAGGTCGATCAGTAACATCAACTAGTTGCAATGACTATGGTCTATAGGATAGTGAAGTGACATTCAGTGTCTGTTATGGTGCAAGTATAATCACGGAAGAGACATCACAGACGAATTATGATCAAAAACGACTTTTGCTAGTATAGAGTAGACACCGAGTGGCACAGAGATACACTGTTACTCGTGGGACAAGCAGTAAACATTATTGGATCCCTAGCATTCGCTTAATCGAGGGAACTCAATCGAGTTTCTTGGCTCGTCATGCTAATATATAAGATCTGATAATGATGCGTTTGAATTCTCCTAACCTGAACAAGAGCCTCCAAAATTCCGATCACGCAACTCCGTCACTAAACATGAAACTCTGCAATACTGCGATTGCGACTCTTTTAGTCTTCTCCCCGTCGGTTCTCAGCTCCGTGTGTCCTGCACCACAATGTGACACATCCACGGGCTATCTCTGCGGTGTTTGTGATCCCAATGATCCTCAGATCTGCACTGTTGGAGGCACACAACACACCTGTCAAAAATCTGTGGATGGAAACGGCGGCGGGGTAAGTTTGTGCACAGATCATCACGACACTGCGTTGCTGACTTAGCATGCGACCGCAACAGAGCTGTATCTCAGCTGTGAGTATTCTTTGTCTATTTCTTCCATAATCGATATCTGACTATTGGTAGTGTTACTATCACACTGCTACAGGTGACAGCATTGGTTACGAAGCTCCGTACACTCAGGTATGGGTGCTCTATCGACACTCTACCTTTGATTGACCGAAAAGCTTACATAAATATATAGTGCTGCTAAGCAAGACTTAACAGCCCCTCTGCAAAGAAAGCATCGACCATTCGAACATCCTGACCGTTCCTTTGCTGTGACTCTGCAGTGTCAGAATCTTCCGAGTGTAGACAGTCACATATCATCTGTATATTTTTGCACATATATCGGTCACACCATACTTTCCGAGCTATCTCTATCTAGGAATATCATCCTCTATTGATATTTTTTGTCACCCTTCATGGACGCAAACGTTATCACGCCTACCATGTCTCGCTTTATGAAGACTAGCCAAATGCTCATTGCAATGATAGTCTTTTCGGCAGGCGCAGATGGCAAGGCAGACGACCCTTGCGACCTTCTTGACAATTTGCGAAATAGGATTTTCAACCATGAGACCTCAACACTATCTGAATGAGTAACTCCACTATGCATGCATGACAGAGAGTTACGAGATATTGCGACCTGCCTTGGGTATGTTAGCTGCTCGATCAGGAGACTGTCTTAAGTGGAAGTTTATTGATGAAAATTCGTGGTTGATGTGCGTTCGAAGATACACGTTCCTGCGTCAGCCGACGGCTGAGAAGGTGAGGAGAAACGGGGCTTGACACTCGCGGATGGTGGCAGAAATTGTTCGCTAACAGACGAATGGGGTATTAAACCCTGTGTTCGATATCAGACGGACAAGTAAGCAGTAAGGAAAAGTGACAGGGTTACCAGGGAGTGATAGGAGATGGAGACATGGCTGAGGAGAAGACATGTATGGTCTCCTCGCCGAGTTGATGGCTTTGAGGTAAGTTTTTGGGGGTGTGCTGTGTTCGACGTGTCTTCAACCTCCGTGTGGTGGTGTGACATGTCAGTGTTGCTGGAGACATGAGGAGGAGAACAAGTATAGGGATCAGGCCCAAGACTGCGAAGCAGCGCCCCAGTGGAAAGGGGACCTTGTTAACCGTGACCAGGTAGTACACGTTGACACCATGCTGCTCGGTAGTGTACAGCTCGTGCATCAAGACATGATACCTCAGTAGAAAACAAATCAACAATCCACATCATCTCACACCATCTCCCCTTCACCTCCCAAAAACAGGTTAACCACACAACCCCAAAAAAACCAACCACCCCCAACGAAACCAGCCGCAGTGGCTCAATGGCAGAGCGTTGCCCAGCACTATCCCCTTTGAAAGTGTGGTACCGATGATTTGGAATACGAGCGTCTTATTGGATAGAATTTGTATTTATGGATTACACCCCCCCGGTATTTCACTCGAAAAGGTCAGGTGTTGAGGCAGAGATTCGGAGTTCGATCCTCCGCTGTGGCGATTATCTTTTTTTTGCGCTTTTTTTGGCGGTGGTGATGGGATGGTGTTGCCTGGTTTTGGATTGATTGCTGTTGGCCTTGGGGAGAGATGTATGGTGATTCTTTTGCACGACTGGATCACCTGGCTGTCTGAGCAAGAACTGATGTAAACACAACGAGGAGGGCTCATGGCTGGCGCTAGTTTTGTGTTGTTGAGCCATGGCGGAGCCCAAAGAGTGGGGATCCACGTTGCTGTGAATGCGCCTAGCTATCCAAGCATCGAGTCAGAACATCCAATGGAGGGTGACATCTTGAAGAACTACCTTCTCGTCATCAAACATCCAGTACGCCTATATACATGTCTTCAGGAAGGGCGATAGCTCAAGGTATTCGCTGACATCTTCTCTCTCTCAGCAGCGAAAGAAGCGAAATCAAAAAGCCATCTGCTCATGTGTAGTTGTCCGTATAGAGGAACCAGCTTGATCGGAATCCCATGCTTGGAGCTCGACCTTACATACCATGAGAGATGAGTATGAAAGACCTCTATGTCAGACAGATCTCAAATACCGCGCAGAGGAGCATAGCAGAGAAGTTTGGATATAACATATCACTCCGGGCCATGAACCCGCCGTATCTCATCACCTGGATTTGCTCGACGCCGCCCGAGTAGCATAGAATCAAGAGCCAGAGAGGCCTCACCCCGAAAGTTAGGACCAAGAAGAAGGCTACGAGATCCACCATGTCAGACGCTTGAGAGCTCTACTTATCTTGAAGTCGCCGGTGGAGAAGTAAGGGCAAACTTGGGCTCGGAGAGATTTTGAAATTCGGACAGGCTTTGGATAAAGAAATAACGAAGTACAATGATTGACACTTGACACAAGACGGAGTAAGTATCACAGTAAGATGGTGCTCACGACGGATTCATCAATTGAGTGGGCATTTCCCAATGTTTTGCATTTTCTCGATCTAGCATTCTAGACCTGGTGAGTTCTTATGAACAGAAGGGTGATTGCAGCGAAGATCCAACTTTCAGGACTCGTGCTTTTCGTTATCCAATATTTCTTGCTTGATCGCTGTATCGAAAGTGTGTAATGTGTGGTTAGTGGAGTGCGTTCATCCTTGTCCACCTGGATTGATTCACCATTCGAGGTCTTCGCTTGAGTCTTCTCGGAACGCAGCTGAGTTGAGCGGTGGCTCGTCGTACAGTCTTCCTAGATATGGTGTAGGCTCACTGGAACTTCGACGACGCTTGTACCTTGTGGTTGGCAAGTCGTCGTCTGCTGGGTAACCGTCTTCTTCGGATGATGTGGCAGCAGTGCCATTTTCACTGCTTTCAGTGTGAGTGCCATTGCTGCCTGATGCTGCCTCGCACCCCGAGCTCATGCCTTCGCTTCCGTCATCTTCACCTGCTCCCGACTGTTCGTCGGAGTCTGTGTCAGGGCTTTCTGCATCCCGAATCACAGTATCCTCGCTGGAATGGCCGTCTTCGTGAGCTAGCTCATTCTGCAGAGTCTGCTCCTCGCGCTCTTCCTGTACCGTGACCGCAAACCAGTAGAGACCAGGGCAAGTCACTTCCAGACAGGTTTGCATGACATCCAGCTCAGCCTCCGAGAGTGGTCTGTCCTTGATGATCTGCTTGATATGGCCATGAAGAGGACCAATGCAGTCTTTGATCTGAAGAATGACCAAGACCTGATAGACTTGCACAGAGAGACAGAGGTCGGCGGGTAATTCGAGGAAGATCTTCTTGCCGTTGCGAGTACGGTTAATGGCGCAAAAGACATATCTCAAGGCGTTGGGCTGCATGTAGGGATGGTTCATGGCTGGGCCGAAGGCGAGTTGGATGAATCTTTTTGCTGGGCTGCGGTATGACCATGTTAGGGGGCATACCGACATCGAGTAACGACCGAATGCCGAGTGCTTCTGGAAGGCGATAGGATCCAAATCACGGAAGATGGACTCGGAAGTTTGGCCGGTGGGGTCCATCTGGTAGATGTCCAAGGTGTATTTCATGATCAAGACTTGCCTTTGCGGAACGGGTGGGTATCCGAGAGGCGGTCCGTAGAATTGGGAAGGTGCGATGGGTGTTTGTTGAACGGAATAGGAAGGAACGACGGGCCGTGGCGGGCGCCTTATACTTCTTTTCTGCCCCATGTTCAGGCTTGTGCTTGTCATGGGCGCGGGATCTGATCAGAAGTCGTTGTCGAAATGTGATGAGGGAGGTACTGCATAGTCTTGCTGATGACAATGAGGTGAGCGTGGTATAGCGTACTTACACGTGCTGTCAGGTGCCAGGTAGGTTCGGTCGATACTATCTTGCGTAAGAGGTGTGCGTGCGTGTGATAGTCGGGCGTGCTGCTGAAAGTGTCGAAGTAGTCGTGTTGTCTCAGAAAGTCCCCGGCAGATGTTATCTTGTGCAAGAGGTAGATGTTGGTGTGATAGTTGAGCGTGCTGTCAGAAGTGTCGAGGTAGTTCTCTTGCCTCAGATGACTTTCAACTGATGTTTGTTGGAGGAGAGCGAAGTTGTGGGCGAAGTTGTGATGGTCAAAGGTGAAAAAAGGACAATACTATGTCTGCTGATTGTCTCGATGGGAAAGTTCTCTTGATCTCTCTGGTCCTTCCTCAAGATGTGGATTTATTCTTGCAATTGGATGGGGTACTTTGAGGTGCGAGGACTATGTGAGGAGGCCCCCAAGTAGTGTCGATAAGGTATCAGAGTTGCGGGCTCTCGATGGACGTCTTGGCAAGTAGCAATAGACTACTGAGTTTTGATGTGCTGGTGAGAGCTGTTCTTGCGTAGCTGGAATGTCGTCGGTATTGGATGGTTGAATGCTGTGATTGACTCTCAATGGATCCCTCAGGTGACATGGAAAATTCTCTGCATCAACATGTATGTCACCTGTAGCCGCGCATCAAGAGGAGATAGACGACGTGTTGGTAAGTCAAGCGGTGCCCGAGAAGAAGGGTGCTGGTGCTCAAGAGTCGAGAACACGGAAGGTTGCAAATCACCCAGTAGTAATGCAGCGTGGGGAGTGTGTGGTCAATGACTAGTACCGATGGAGTAGTCCGAAACACTCGTTCGCTTAGTAAGCCCAGACGTGTTTGGAAGGCATATAAACAAAGCTTTCACCCGGACTGATCTTTTCCCTGTGTTGCAAAAACATTCAAGAAAACGTGAGTCACTTCCTAGATCATCTCTTCACCCCTTCTTACCTCTTCAGCATGCCAAGCAACAGCAACAACAACAACAACAAGGCCACGGCCAACAACAACAGCAACAAAGACCCTGGGGTCACCCACGGGCACACCCTCTTCCGCCCTCGTGCCGTCGACACCACCGACGAGGAGATAGCTCATCTCCGTGCAGAGGGAAGGGAGAGGGTGGCAAGAAGAGAGCAGGAGCAAGCAGAGACCGAGGCCGCCAACAGGGCCGAAACCAGGTCAATGGCCAAGGCCAGAGTAGAGAAGGAGTCTGCTGCCGCCAAGGTCAAGCAGGAGGAAGGGGTGAAGGTCAAGGAGGAGGAGAAGTAAAGTGTGTCATTGTTTCTATACTATCATCTTGCGCATGTTTACTGACAGCACGCAGCAACGACCAGTATTCTGGATGGTTCTGGAGGTGATGATGGCTCTGCTATGGGCGTGTAGGAGTAGCTGAAATGATACCTTGGATGCTCACTGCTTCTTTCGTCCCTGTGCAATCTGTGAACTCGTGAATGCTCATACATGGATGACAGGAATCCCCTTTGCTCAGAGATGACAGGCACAGATTGATGACCTACCTGCAGCCCGAGAGTCCGACGATATCGTGTATCCAATCGCAAGCTAGCCTCTTTCGTCAATCGACGTGACGACGCGGAATTCCCGTCAAGTGAAAATCGTTCACCATCCCACGTGAGATAGTCCTGCGCAACAACAAATTTTCCTTTCTTCCATCAACTACAACCACACCACCATCTGTAGATATGGCAGACCACGCAAAGCAAGTAAGTCTAACATTGCCTCTGCCTCGTTTCAATCTGCGCCCGGCACTGACTTGCGATCGTGCAGACCCCCGAGTACTTCCAAGCAGGACTCAACGCCAGAGAAATGGCGCATATCTACCACGACAGCGAAAGAGACACCAAGTACTACGTCCAGCACGGCACGCTACCTCAAGAGCTTGTCATCCCAGCCTGGGACCATCTCGCCATTGGTGAGCCCCAGGCTGAGCCCAAGCATGAAGACTTTGCTTCGACCGCCCCCGAAACAAACAACAACTCGCCTGGTACTTCTCGAGGACCTGTTCCTGCCCTCAAAAACTCTGCTAACCCCCCTTCAGCTGCTGACCCCAAAGGTCCTCGCAGCATCACAGAGCTGCAAGATCTGCGCAACATTTCCGATCACGGCTCGTCAACCTGAGACATCGTGTGGGAGTCGCGGCTCATGATACTGGGGGCATGTACTATGTCTTCCGTGGCAAGAAGGATGTGCATGATGGCAGGAGAGCAAAAGGGAGAAGGAGGAGCATCGGGAGTCAGGGGGGAGCCTGTTGCAAGAGACCCGATGGCCTGGCTCGAACGCCTCTACCGGCTCAAGGTCTCTGCTGGCAACAAGGCTGATGGCTAGAATTGATGCGTTGCTTCGGATCGTACAGAAGTCGAAGAACCAGAAGAAGAATGGATGAACGAAAGGATTGATGAATACACGGCGAAGGGGACATGGGAGAGGACTCAGAGACACCGCGAGAAAGGCGATGATAGATAGCACGACAAAGCAGGTAACACTTACCACTGCCTATGATACACGAATACCAACACTCGAAGCCCGATCGTCTCAACGTACTATGCAGTCGTGCAAATGCATTGTCTATCGTTCTAATCGTACTGCGGGTCCTGTCCTACTGGATACATCCCATCCTACCCGCCAAGGCTGCAAAGGCTGCAGAAGCATCATCAAAATGCAAGATAATCTTGTCACCGGCGTAACTGTCCACAGAGAGTACCCTTTAGTCACCACTCTCAGCGGCAATGGATCCAGAGCATCGAACTCTCTTGCATTCTGACAACGAGCTAAGCGAACAAACCGTCTGTAGAAAGCCAACATGAGCCTTTGGATCCAGCTTCTCCCCTACCGCTTGCAAGGCGACATTCGTAATAAGAAAGAAAGTCCCCTCTTACTCTACATTCCATCTTACCGCCGAAGGATGCACTACCTCTCAGTCACCATATATCCAACCAACAAAACATCTTGCAATCCCACAGCTAACTGACCCCACATTCTGCATATGTGAAATCATCATAAGCATTCGAATCCAGTGTAAGTCCCCTCTGTCGATGTTATCGCACTCGTCTAAGAATTGTTAGCGCATGCGTACAGCGAGGGGGCGGCAGGGTGAAATCAACTTACCCATCCCTCCGGCATCGAGATGGTACGTGCAGCGGAAGCACAGGAAAACGAGCATGACCTCAACAGCACTGATCGTGTCACCGGCGAGGAAGCTAGGCTCGGGCGAGTGGGCGGGGGAAGGCGAAAGAGAGCGGCATTTGAACACTGAAAGTCGCTGCGCTAAGCGGCGAGCTTCTCTTCTTCACGACGGCGACCACGATTGGCCTTTTCGGCCTCTTCAGCAGCGCGCTGGACAGCATCAGCGGCTCGACGCTCACGGGTGCGGCGGTCGAGGTCGCAGGCACGACAACGCTTCTTAGAGTCAGGACCATAGGGGCGGCGGGTGCGGTTTGCCAGCGAGACACAGTCGGACGAGCGAGGGGTGACAGTGCCACGACGGCGGCGAGCAAGGTCAGCACTGGAAAGCAGGTCATACTCCTCCTGGTTGCGACGGAGGGCGGCGAGGCGGTCCTCCTCGGCAAGGCGGTGTGCACGACGCGGGAAAAAGAACACACCGGCATACCAATCCTTACCACCTATTCTGCTATCGCAAATTTGCAAACATACACCCACTTCCCTCGTCCCTTTGTTTTCCCAACCGCCCTCAATATTTGCCCAGAGTAAGCGCTAAACCTAACGATCATCTGCTCGATCCCTCTTTTCGACACCAGCGACAATCTCTAGGCCAGAACCTGGGTCCCATGCATCCGGTGTCCTTGACGTCAGTGATCGGTGAAGGTGCCATCATCATAACTGCGTACAAACCCAGCAGTAAACTATACATCTCACTCCCTAGATGTCTACCACCACCACCACCATACCCCGCACCCTCCTCTCCCTACCCTCCGAGCTCGTCGAGCAAATCCTCGATCGCATGGCTCCCTCCACCCTCCCTGCAGTCCGTCAAACCTGCAAAACCCTCGCCTCGCTGTCCGCCACCTCCTTCGGCAGCAAAGTCTTGGCTCAGGTCTCTGTCGTGATGGCCAGGGAGGCACTGGAGGGCGTGATCTCGTTGCTCTCGCACGAGGTCTTCGGCACCTTTGTGCAGAGACTCGTTTTTTTTTTCGCCGCTAGTGTGGAAGAGAGGGTTACGCTGCTCATGGCGGAGATCAGGGAGAGGGGGTTCAATAGGCGGAAAGGCATCGAATTGCCTTTTCGAAGACCACACTGTTGTGACATAATTTAGAGCTGCGTGACCATAGAACTCCGAGATTATCGAGACATATCACAAGTCGTGGAAACCTGATCTTTGTGGATTTTGTGTTTGTGTGACCGAGGGGAGAGAATTTGATGTGGTCCTCGCATGTATGCAGGATTTCGGGAGGAAGCGGATTGTAAAGGTCTTAGGGAGGAGGGGTGTAAATTCATTGTGGGTTAAACTCGGCCAACGAGCCAGATCCTCGTAGCGTGCGCGGTGACATTAGGAAATCCATCGGAGCGAACGATTATTGCGACAGCGCTCGGCATACCGATGCAAGAAGTAGAGAGGTGGCTGACCTCGTAGCGAAATCTAAAAAGCGGCTCCATAGTGATGCGAGAAGTTGCTACAAAAGGTGCCGGGGCCGAGACTACGGAGAAAAGGAGCGAGGCGGGAGCATCTGAACTGACTCCAAGATTGTAAATTGAGAAGTGCTCTTGCAGCAAATGAGGGTCTGGCGAAAGATTGTGCAAGGAAAGTGATTGAGAGGTCTTCGAGCAGCAGAAGGTTCGATGTCGTTATGGATAGCTTTGCAGACGTGGGAAAAGAATAATGGAGACTAGGCAGTCGGCCCTCTTGAATTTCTGCGTCGAGGACATAGGTTGATCGAGTGAACTTGAGCCTGGGCATCTTCTTATGAAGTGTTGATAACCAGGGAATAGAGGAAGAGAAACAGTGACTCCTGTCCTTCAGGCATCATTCCAATTCGCATCCTCGCTTGACGAAGTATCAGCGGAGCCGTCTCATTCGAATGATCTCGAAGACGTGACTGATCCGTGAGTTGTCTTTGAATAGCTGGCCGTAGACCATCAGCCGTTGTTCCGACGGCAGAATCTTGAGCGAGGTAGTATTGAGATTTGGATCCGACATGTTTGGAAGCATGAAGAAGGAAGGCGGGTGTGTAGCAGCTTGCAAGGGAGATAGTGAGGTAATTGTGTTTGTAGTTGAGTTCGCGGCGTCATATACTCCAGCGCGGATTCGAGTCTGCAGCGACGACCGAAGTCCCGTCAGACAAGAATGAATGCTGTGCAGCATCTGCCCATATCAGAATCGAGGTATCTTAAAGTCTTCAGGAAAATCTTCTTCTCCTTCCCTAATTTTCGCCCAGTACTCCATCACTTTATCCGAATGAGCCTCGAAACCGACCATAATCCTGTCAAGTCCTTGCATCGAATAGTAGTCCAAGTCGGCCAGCCAATCTTCTGTCTTTCTTTGGTAGTATTGAAACCAGGCCTTCTCTGTCATCTCGTCCTTGTAAATACGAATCTTTGCTTTCTCTCGACGCTTCTTGGTGATGCATGTTCCGATATATCTGCGATGCGACAAAGTGATTTGATCAAATTGATCAAGCCAAGGTGAATAGGTTGATCCGATGAACGAGAGCCAGGGTATCTCGATATAATGAAAGGTTGAAGATTTGAAGAGGTAGGAAGTGGAGAGGACCTCATCCCGGTTTGCGACGAGAAAGAGATGAACCCGTCTCAGCAATACTGGAGTGGCCTCGTCGCGAATCCTTCTCGACACGGATCGTATGGAATCGTGAATATTTCCTTTGTATGGACAGATGGGTTCGTCGGCGAGGTGACCGTAGATCAAGAGTCGCACCTCTAGTGGCAGGACGAAGAGAGATGAGGCGGTGGATCCGTGGTGTGACATCTTCGGGAACTTGAGCGAGGCGTGCGACGAAGAGAGATAGAGAGAAAGAAAGGGAAGATCGAGTTGGTGCGTCAGGTATGGAATTTCCCGGTGCGATATTGAGCAAGTTCAAGTTGTTTGCTGAGTCACAGCTTGCAGCGCAATTTTGAGATTGCGAAGCAAACATCGTTAATCCGGAGGTGCGAACATGGCGCAGAGTAGTCCTTGGTAAAAGTTTTCTGAATCGAATTAACCTTCCGAGACGCAATAACCTGTTCAGTGCGAGGGTCAAACTCGGCTATGACCTTTTCCACACCGTTCACCGACCTAAGGATGAAGCCAGACATCCACTAGATCATGGTGGATTTGAAACGCTCCCCCAACTCATTCGGCTGGGTTGGCACACAGGTGGCGACATACAATCCTCCGTGTAGTGATGGAGGGTAACAAATTCAACTGCACACATTCTGTGGATGAGAAAACAGTCGAAATGGTCAAGTCATGGTGAAAGCCGTGACTGGTAGAACGCTTCCAGGTTATCCTGGTGTCCGTCTCGTGATCTGGCCAAGCGGGGGCAAGATCGAGGCGATAGAGATGTACTAGCGGTGGCTCCCTTTCGAGTTCGATCGTGCATAGTAGTATTAACATAGCTTCTTCGCAAACAATCCTCGAGCCTTGTCGTACCGGACGTTTGACGGTATTGGTATTTTCGGAAGACATGATAGACCACAATTCGAATTTCTAACGTCAAGACCATGAAAGACGAAACTAGTGAAACCATGCTTAAATCTCACGTGAGCCGGAGTGTTGACACGCAAAGAAAGTGCTAACGTTAGAACGATTGGCTGTTCACTTGCGAAGAAGGTGCATTGACATTCCGAGCACGTTCTCTCCAGATGATAGTCACGTTGCAAACTCTTGGTCAGAAGGCAAGATGCTTCGTCTGTGTGGATGGTAGTGGTCATGACTCGTAGTAGTTCTAGGTTTACCTCGTCATGGATGTGACTGCATACGCCGCGCAAAGGATGTTGCTCGATGCGCTTCAGTGGATCGTCTAAAACATGCCCGTAGATCATCAGGCGAAGCTCGGGTGATAATACAAGGAAGGCTGGAGATAAGAATTCTATATTGGAAGTCTGCGTACCATCCATAGCCTTGGGCGTAACGATGCCATTGATCTTGAGGTCAGGAAATATGAGAAGTCGGGAAAAGAGAAGGAAGACGACAAAGTGGAAGATCATGTAGTAGTGGCAGTAAAGAGTGATACTGCATGAATGATAGTCTTATGCGTTAGCATCGTTATGTTGGGCATGACCAAAACTTGTGCATTCTTCCAATTCCGCGCGAGATCAATCCTAGCATCCGAGGGCAGATGAAGCAAAGCGAAAGACTCATGAGTTCAAGCAAAGCAGCGTATCGTAACATGAAGAGCTTTGGGACGCCACATGTTGATTCAGTGCAGCTTCCAGACAATGAGTTGTCGTCTGGCACAAGTCTCTGATTCAACCATGACCCTGTTGATGCCTTCCACCGAATCGATCCTGAGATCAAGTGGCCAAGCGGCAAGCATGCCCTCGAAATCCCTCACTGCTAGCATTATGATATCGTCCGAGGGGCCTGGCTCAGTCCAAAGGTCCCAGAGATGGTAGAAGTTGTAGTTGGCTGCCTTTCCAAAGCTCAGGGACAGGGTGAATGGAATACGACATGGATTGTCGTTGCAAATCACCAGGAGACCGAATTGTCGGATACGGCCTGCTAAGCGAGTGTGATTTTTGCTGAATTCCGACCAAGAAATTATGGTATTGCTGGGGATGGGCCTGACGTGGTAAACGGGACGGCAGGTGCGAACAGTCTGGTCGCCAGAAATTGATTTGTAAACCACCATGATCATATAGCGTAGTGCCAGTGGAGTTGCTTCGTCGTGGACCAAGTGTGATACGTTGCGTAGCGAGTGACTCCGTGGCAGCTGGGTTTGATCCTCGAATACACATTTATAGACCATGACACGTAGTTCAGGCGGCAGGCTGAGGAACGGGAAGGTCTTTTGATGCGCATCCATAGTCTTGATGTGTAGCAATAAGAAACGTGATGGGCAAAGTGGTTGAGGATGAGCTGGCGTAGTCGCTGATGTAGATGTAGATGTAGAGGGCTGTGAACGGGAAGACGAAGTTCTCACAAGACTCACGAGCATCCAGCGCGAGGAAGTCGCGAGGCTGCCCAGGCCCCAAGCCCCACGTGGGAAATGGCCGAGATGGATCTGTTGCCCATGACCGACCTATCTCTTGACGATGAGTCCCATCGCCGGTCGGATGTGTTCTTGGAGGTCATTTCGACAAGGTACAATATTCCACTGAAAGACACAAAAGTCTTGCGAGCAGTCCTTTCCATGTCTTGGTTTCAGACGAGACAGATGTCACTCTGTGCGGTGTCGAGAATCGAGGTCGAGATCAAGGTCTCATTCTTGAAGCTGCTTGGCCGTCTGTTCGAATCGACATGGTTGAACAAGACACGTTGATGTCGAGTAGAGACAACAGGAGAGGACGAGATGTAGTCCAAGAAAGGAAGGAATACGAGTACGGGTAAGGCTGTTGGGCTGTTTCTGCGTGGCTACGTCAAGAAAGGTCCGTGCATTGACAATTGGCTTTGATTGTGGCAGTTGCAGCTTCCTTTCCCATTCTGGATTGCACAAAACATAACACGAGACTTGGGAAGGTGCGACACAAGCAATCTTGGACGGATATAACACCTCTCTGGCTCCTTCCTTCGAACCTGGATTTACTGGATCCTCGCATCATCGAACGCTCCCACGAACAATGGTATCAACGCGACGAGCGCAGACGAGCGCGACACCTCCGACGACGCCGTCAGCCGAACGAACAGCCCAAGTGTCGGCATCTGTGCCTGGAAGCAGCAAGAAGATGAGCAAGGAACTGCGTCGCCTGACGATTGATGCCAACCCCAGTCTTGGAGGAGTCGCCTCGTCATCGTCGGCAACGAGGAGAAGCCGGCGCAGCGGAATGCGACAGGAACTATTGCCCGAAACACAACAAGATCAAGCGCCACACCAGCTACTGCCTGAAGGAGGAGTCCTGTTGACACCGTCGCCATCCGATTCGCCAAACTCTCCCCATCTACGGCCGACCAATGAGACGTCCAACACCGACGCCGTTCATGAACGAGTGCCTTCTCCTGCCGTCAAACAAACACAAGCCCCTGCGCAGACCAGCAACCCTCAGGCCACTCCTTCGATCAAGTCACCAGCTCTCACTACCAAGTCAGCCGGCAAACGCAAGATTACCCAGTACTTCAGCGCCGTTCCTGCCCAGCTCAAAAGCAACAAGCGTCGCAAGATTGACGACTCGAATCTCGATCCGCCAACTCTCCAAGACACCCAGAGTGTACCCGAACTTCCTGTCACGGCACCTGTGCCAATCCCAACAGCTGCCAGTGCACCTGAGATCATACCTGATGTTGTGGAAGAGCCGGAGCAAAAGGCTGAAGAGCACAAGGATGAGCCAGTCGCAGAGAGGGTAGTGCAAGCGGTAGCAGATACCCCAGAAGAGAAAGAGCCGGACAAGCCACGAGAAGCAGAGCATGAACAAAACCACGCCACGGCTGAGGAGGACACTATCAAGGCAGAGGTGAAGAGTGAAGCGGACGAGAAGAAGGCGGCAAAGCGAGAACGCGAGTTGAAGCGTCTACAAATCGATGCCAAACCTGCTCTGATCGACAAACGTTCAAGAAGACAGACGACGCTTCCACTGGCTCGTGAAGTTCGCGACGTCAGTGAAGACACGCGACCTGTCAAACGTCAACGTCTCAGTCTCCCTGCTGTAGCTGGCCCTGCAACCGCACCCGAGCCAACACCCACTCCTGCAGAAGTGCCGGAACAGATACTGGAAGAGGTTGCCGAAGAAATCAAGGTCTCTGAGAATGTTCCACCGATCGAAGAGGTATTGGCCACTGCTCCAGAACCCAACCCACCTGTTTTCCCTGCTGGCACGGATCCCAAGCTGCTTGCATCTGGCGAGGTGAACGATAAATGGCTCACGAAATGGTTGGGTTACGTCGCCCATATCACTGGCGACGATGATACCTCCAGAATCCTCACCGAGGAAGACGCCAAAGAACTCATCAAACCCGATCGCAGTGAAGAAAGCGATCAAGATCGACACAAGAGGATCAGCACTGAACTTGACGTGGTGGCTGGCTGGGATAGTGCTGTGATTCCAGAAGAAGCCATCCAGTCAAGTCCTGAAATGCCTGAACCTGTCAAGCCTCCAATTAAGAAGGCGAAGAAACAGAGATTCAACCCGAAACCCAAGGGCCAGCCTTATATCCCAAAAGCCAAGAGGAAGGCCATGGAAGCCAAGGAGGCAAAAGAGAAGAAGCTGGCGGCCGAGAAAACAGAGGAACATGTTCAAGTCGCGCAACCTGTCGAGTCCACTTCCAAGGAGGTGGCAGCTTCTAACATAGTCTCGAAGGCGGAGGAGGTTGTTTCCACGCCAGTTTTGAACATTGAAAAGCCTGTGGCGAAACAAGTCGAGGCAGACTCCACTCCAGTTCTGAAGGAAAAGAAGCCGCCAGCAAAGAAAGAAGCCGAAGCTGCACCAACCGACTGGCTCACTGATTTGATGAACGCCACAGAAACCGTCAAGCCGGAGGAGGAACAACCCAAGAAGCCTAGGAAGACTTCCAAAGGAAAGGGAAAGGCCAAGGTCGTTTAAGAGATGATGATCTCCTATGTACTCATCGGATGGATTGAAAGCAGAGGAGTCAAGGCATTGTGGCATGAGGCGTTGTATTCTTACATTTTTGCGTAAGCATTGGCATTCTCTTTTTCTTGAGCAGCGGCGTTTCTGGCGTGCTTTCATATCATTGTTATCTAGCATTTCAATACTTGAGCATCTTTCATCACTCAATACGATAATATTCGACAATCCACTCGACTGTGCAGGGTCTGTCCTCAACCTGCCCACAATTGGCAGAAGGCATTTCCAAAGGTTTACTCTCTTGCCTCCTCATACCATCTTCTCATTCTCACTGACATGTCTGGCTAATAATCAAGCGTGAATGTTTGTCGAGATGGGATGTAAGGAAGCAATCAAGTCAGAAGCGGCCAAAAGATGTTTCCCGAGGGACAAAAGTCTTGGCTATTCTCAGGGTCAGAAGTCGTGGGGATTTCGACGCACCCGCTCCAAACTTTTCGAAAGTTGTAAAACTTCGTGTTTTTTGCGACATTTCGACTAATTGCGCAACACATAGTGGACTATATCATATTAAAAAGATAGTAGTTAGATGCTTGTAGTATATTCTATCATTGCGCTCTTTTTTAGCTTATCTCGTATTGTCGTTACTACGTAATCTGTACAATTAAGTAATGTTAAAATAGTCCAATTTGTTTGGATTTTGGCGAATTATTTGCCGTGCAAAAAAAGATTAAATCAAGCCGTATATGTCTTGCAACATATTTTCCTTCTATTATAGATAACCGCCGCAACAATGGCTAAGATCTAACCTAACCTATATAAGACTATAGAGAATACTATAAGCTATTATACACTTGATTTTTAAGTAGATATAGCTTAAGACCGTCGAGCTATTCAGGTGATAGTAGTCTGTTTCTTGTACACGAAAAAATGCATAACAAATCACTAGATATCTTTGTACATAGAGAACCTATACCTACTAAATTAGCACTTAAGGATAGAGCTTTCTATAAGCTATCGATGCGTAGAATTTGTAGTCATTAATCGCTGTTATGCCTTAGTTATCCATCAATCTTTTGATGAATAACCTAAAAGCCGTAAGTACAAAGTTGGAGCGGACGCGTCGAAATCCCCACGACTTCTGACCCTGAGAATAAGCTCAAAGGTCTCCCCACAATCGCCAGCAGCACACGCGCATCGCGACTTCCAGTCTCGAATCATCAAACAACTATCGTCGCATACCCGTCCAGGAAGGAACAAAAAGCAAGCATGGACTTCGACGACCAACTCATCGCCCAGCTAAACGCGCCCGAACATCGAACACCCACTCCACCACCTCCACCTCAAGATGCGACAACGACCTCCACCCCGCCAACCAACCCCACCACCACGCCCTCCCTCCCTCGCCCAACAATGACAGCCAAAGACGGCGAATCCTACTACATCAAACCCATCCCCAGCGGCCTCCGCGCCCCCTCCCTATCCGACCTAATGCAACTCTGCCACACCCACACCCTGCACCACGGCTTCGACGTTGTAAAAAAAGCCGGCGTCAAACCCACCTCGTCCAAAAACGGGAAAAAGACAATCGTCCCCAACGCTGCGTACTATAAATGGCACATCACTTGCGTGTTGGGTGGGAAGCCGAAGAACACCAGACATCTGACGGAAGAGCAGAGGAGGAGGGATAAGGGCAGTTTGAAAATGGGGTGTCCGAGCCGGGTGTGGGCTTGGGCTGTGGAAAGGGGGGAGCCGGATGGGGCGTGGGAGATTAGATGGGGGGATACGGATCCAGCGTTGCATAACCATCCGCCTGTTGACGTGCGCACGCTGCCGAATCACAGACGCAGAGCTAGGGAGGTTGATGGTGTGGCGGAGGCAATCAAGGAGATTGCGGCGAGTGGGGTGGGGAGGAAAGAGGGGTTGCAGAAATTGAGGAGTTTGTATCCTGATGGCCTGTTTAGTGAAAAGGATGTGGCGAATGAGTTGCAGAAGTATAAATTGCAGTTGAAGCAGCAGAAGGCTGTGGAGGAGGAAGAGCAAGGAGGTGGAGGGGAGGGTGATGAGGGACAGGAAGAGGATATGGAGGATGTGGATGAGGCTGAGATGCAGTTGCAGCAGCAGTTGCAGGCTCAGACGCAGAGGGATCATCAGCATCGACTTCAACAACTTCAACAACAACAGCCGCAGATGCAACAACCATCAATGCAGCATCAGCCTCAGATGCAGCATCAACCACAACATCAGCATCAGCAACATCATCATATCTTCACTCCTGGAGTTCCTGGTTATTGGTGAAGCATATCTGACCACGGCAAATTCTGCTTTCTGCTTACACCTCGATTCGCCCGATTATTTGATCTGAGGTCCCATCTTTTCGGACGCTGTTCGTGTTGCTTCGCCAAAATCAATTTCACGGCTCGTCCCTTACTGCAACTCAACCTCTTTTTGCCCTTCCCGCGGATACCCCTGCCAATGCACTGGCTCTGTTCTTTTCAATCACTGAGATACCATAGCTCAATATCGACGACTTTTTTACTCGCTCATACTTTTTCTTGCTTTTCTCCCTTTCGACGGGCTCGATGGTCATCACATCTGTCGTGCTTTGTCAGTAACTTTGGGATCAACAGCGAAGACTTTGCTTTCAAAGATGTCATATGCACAAAGGATATAAAGACACTGTCCTTTGTCACTTTGTTGCCATTTCTCTTTGTGAGTCTTCTCAATGCCTTGGTCGAGTAGAAGCTGATTGTTCTTCCTCTCCTCTTTGTGTCCACTTCAGTGGTTTTATAACAAAAGCAGCAGCCCATGCGTCTACCTCGGACATATTCCACCCCATACCATCAATTTCCAACCACTCGCTAATCACTCGCAAAGATATTCTCTTTCCTCAACAACTCAAACAACTCTCAGCAACCAGAGCTGACACAGGCAGGTACTGTGCCATGCGCTCCTATTGACCCAAGCCAGAGAATAAGAAACTGCTATGTATGTGGTTGGACACCTCCTTCTAACCCTGACCTACCCAGACACTTCAATGAAATGCACGCCGATGACGCCAAAAGCCTAAGGGAACAACTCGCCCTTGACCTCTATCCACTTCCAGACAACACTACACCTGAACAGGTCTATGATTGCCGAATCTGCCACGAAGAATTCACAAGACTCTACTCATTACTGCGTCATCAAAGATCGGATCACGCTGCACTCGCCGCAGGGCTCGAGTTAGAATTGAGCGAAGGTCTCTTCGACTCCCAATTTCCCCGCCAGCCAATTTCTCAACAGGCTATCCCCCAATTCGTCCAACCACAATACATTCCCAGATTCTCTCAACCTCCCTACGGTCGTGCAGCTAGATCAGTGGATGTCGCCGAGGATGTCGCCATGACTCCTACTGTTGATGTCAGCTTCGCCGAGCTACAACTTGTCACGCCTCAGCCCTCTCGTGTGTCGAATCGCGAGCTTGCTAATTCTCATTTGAGAGACGAGGATGCTGATCGTCTGTTCCTCGACTCCAGGTATGTTGCCCCACAAGCCCATGCTAAGCTGACTGTTCCTTCGTCCGTTGCTCTTCCCATTGCGATTAATAATGATGATGCCGAGGATCTCGCCCTGACTCCCGACATGGACGTTAGCTTCGAGGACCTGCGAGCTGTCACACCTCAGCGCACCGGTCCCTCCACGAACAAGCCTGCTCCATTGAAGCTTGTCACCAAATCCATCGAGGTCGCGGAAAGCCCTGATATGAACATGACAAGTAGATTACCTCGCGTTATCGTTCGCTTCTCAGCCCCTTCGCCTGTTGATCATCGTGCGACACCTATTCGCAAGAATGGCAAAGCTCCTGCTGCCAAGAGCACCCCTTCAAATCGACAAGCTCCCTACCAGTCATACTCGGACAAGTGTGCTTCCAACATTGCCGACGCTAACAAGCAAACAGCCGCTGAGAAAGAACAGCGATCCCTAAGAGATGTCACAAGTGCAGCAACATCTTCTCCCCAACCCCCTACCACCTCCACCACCTCCACCACCTCCACCACAAAGACCCAAAAACCCACACCCACCTCATCAACAAAGCCCAAACTCTTCAAATGCGACGCCCTCCACTGCGACCGCGCATTCGTCAACATCAACCAACTCTGCAACCACATTCAACGTTTACACCCCCAGGATAGTGATGAACTCGTCCTTCTGGCACGTAATCAGAAACCGTGGCCTTGTCTTGTTTCTTGTGGAGTTAGGTTTACGACTCGTAAATTGAGGACGGAGCATTTTTATAGGGGACATGGGGATATTTGTGATGAGGATAAGGAGGTTATGATTGAGAATTGGTATGAGGATGGGGAGTGAGGGGGGAATTTGTGCTGTAAGTTCTCATTTTCCTTTCCTCACAGCTCAAAATCTCACTTTTCTTTTTTAGTACTTGCGTTTATTATATCGCTATCCTAAGTACCTGTTGGAAGTACCAGCTTGCACGTTGTCTATTTCTAACTCTATTTGTTATGCTCCCTTCTTTCCACTCTCCACTTGTGCAACACTCATTTGTGTAAGCTATCTCTTTTCGCCCATTCGAATTATCAAGTCTTCCGAACTCATCGTTCATACAAAGTTAGTTTTTCTTCTCCTTCTACTTTACGCCTCTCTATTCCATCGTCACACTGCCAATGATCATCAGACGTGAAAATGCACTATCCTCTGTCTATTCATATTAGCTAAAAGCCGTAGACGATTGGGTACTATATCGTGAACGACCAAATTTCTTCTGTGTCTCCATAAGGTCGAGTCGATCTCGAAGCCAAGCACGACGAGACGGCACAGAATGTCGACGATACATGAAATGACCTACTCCGCTTCGATGGCGGTGCACAATCTGTCCTGGCCCGTTTCGAAACAAAGGTGATAAGTGGCCCTTTCAAAATATTTTCCACCTCTTTGTTAAGGCTTAGTTTCCCATTGTGTTGATGACAATGGCATTGTTGCGACTTACTGACTTGATATCAACTCGCTTGACGGTGATGAATCTCGAATATCTATATAACATCAGTGACATCTTGCACTGATTACGAATTCACTCACCCATCTACTCCCACATCATCAACACGCTTCAACAAACAGCAATGGAGAACCGGATGCCCCGATTCACCACTGTAGCTCTCAACCACGCAACCCCCTCATTCTACTGCCCTGCATGCGGTTACATGTTAAACAGCAAACCTACCATGCACATCCACATCTGGCAAAATCACGAAAACGCAGTGGATGTCCTGACACAATTTCAATTCGACACAAACGCTCACGTCAAAAAAGCCTACAGATGTCACGGTTGCAACATCCAACCTTTCTTTCACGCTAAACGCTTGATCCAACATATTCAGTCATCTCATCCTCAAAACGTTGTGGAATACACAACTAGATTGGACGAGGAGATCAGGGTTTGGAAGAACAACCCTACAAGACCGAATTTACCTTGTTCGCTGCCTCCACCTCCAGCTAGACCTACTCATTATTACTGCCCTCTCAGATGTGCTGGTCTCAATCAAACACTGGACAGAAATGTAATTTTGAACCACATCATTGCGGAGCACTCGGATGCTAGAGATGGTCTTACTGCTGTTTTTAACCTTCAGAAGCCGTTTATTTGTCCTCTTGGTGGTTGTGATGAAAAGTTTCACAATGAAGCTGGTCTTCGGGATCATAGTGCTGGACATGAACGAGATGCTGCGGAGGCTTTGCTTGCTTTGTATGGCTAGACTGTATCTTCTGCTCAATGAACAGGATGATTTTTATCACTTCCTTGACTGATCGGTTAGTTGATACTACTTGTTTCACTAGCATGGACTCTGAACAACATGTTTTTGGATGCTGATGGCGCATACGCGATATATATTTCTTCTTTTCTTTGAAACACTTTTTTCTTGATTTCACTGTGTACTTACTCCTATGTGATGTTTGTGATATATTGTCTTCTTTTGCCATTATCTGCTGCTAACGTACAACTTTGGGTATGGTTAGAGCATCGTGAGGTGAGTGTTTGATTGCTTGACAAATTTGCATTGGACTGAATTTCACGAATGTGCAACCCTATTACTGCTACAAATGTGAGATTCACCCCCTGTTCTCCATAATTGGGCTGCTTTTTTACATGATTCGCATAAGGCAAACGAATGTGAAAAGAGGCTTGGGGAGTTGACCTGCAAAACGATGGACATCATGAAACGATTTCTTTTAGCTTTGCTTGAACCGGTTGTTCGATGTACTTTCGCTGTCGATCAACTGACATCACTTTCTTAATTGACCTGTCAAAAAGCCATTCAATTCAAATGCCTTCTCGTGACTTGTCTAGTTTCTCTGTTCTACGATCTCTGCGTGACTTCTTCGGATGACTAATTTGATGGTCGTATGATTGTTCATCAAATGTCTGCTTAGTGATCTCAAAAGACCCCTACGTGCATATAAATCGTCACTCTCATCATGATGTGTGGTCTTGTAAAAGTGCAGAGATTCGTCGACAGCGTTTAAAGCGTAAAACAATGGTACANACAATCACAACTCGATCACTAGAATGTCTTCACCTACACAATCACCAAAGAATAGTCCGCCCACAGATAACACTCTGGCTCAGAGCACAGCCTCGTTGCAACTGACCTGGAGACACTCAACTCCCCAAACATTTTCCAAGACGCTCATGAAACCTCAAATCCCACCCAAAAAGCAACATCTTCAACAGAAGCTTCTTCAACAGCAACAAGCAAGGAAAGCCCGAAGAATTCAGCAACCGTCTATCGTGCCACAGATCTACTATTGCCCATCCATCGCCTGCGCCAACTCACCACCGACTTTTGTCAATTTGCTATGTCTCCAACATCATGTTCGAGCTCATCATAAACTGGCTGAGAGACAACTGATGCAGAAATTCAAGCAGCAACGTCCGTTCGCTTGCACCGCGGCCGGATGCTTTCATAAGTCTCATGTTCGTAAAGAAGCACAATCTCACATCAAGTTGGATCATGCTCAAGATGATGAAGAGATGGTTCGTCTTTTGAGTGAAGTTCAACCCACGGCACTTGACTGATGAGGAGCAGAGGGTCACTCTCTCTCTCTCTCTCTGTTTTACCATTCAAAATCCTTATATACAATTCGCTGACTCTGGTAGTCATGCTGACACAGTTGCCATATAATTTGATGCACTAATCGGTACATTTTCTCTCTCAATCTTCTTTACTATCGAGATATTTCCCTCATCATTGCATCTCCTCGCTGTTAGATTCTATTCTGTGATACACATTTTCTTCTGAAATTCTTTCTCGTACGTTCTCTCGCATTATACACGTTTTTCTACTGTCGAATTTCGAGCATCTTCGTCATTCTGCAACATTATCATTCGAATTTTGCTCTATATCGTAGTCGCTTATTCTCTCCGGCACGATACCACTAATTGAAATAAAGGCACTCCGTGACTATGCTGTTCGAGTAGACATAACTCGGACGTGGTACGATCTCACTCCTTCGACGGTAACTCACTGTCACTAATTCGAGGGTCGTCGCATGATAGCTTCGCTCGTACTCCGCCTCCGGAGTTCCACTAGTCTCGTTCCGATTGTGTCCACTGCTTAAATCTTCATGTCATGTTACTGGAAAGCATAGTCAATCCGAACGTGTTGGCGTACCTTCGGATCATGGTACACAAAGAAGGAAGTTTCCCCTCGAATGATCTGCATAACAATGGCACAAAGACTTGGACCACGATATCGTTCATTGTTTAGTCTTTGCCTTTCACCATTGACAGGGTAGTACGTCTTTGTACCATGATAAGCCCATTGTCTATTCTGCCTTGGAGTGAGAGGCATCATTCCTACACATAATTCTATATAACACAGCATCTAGCAACCTCGAGAGAACTTTCTAGTCTCCATCCACAACACCACAACCAACAACAAGCCAAACGCACAATCAACACAGCCAAGAAAATGTCTTCTACTCGTCAACAAAGGCAAAGATCCGCTAGTCCTGCCCCTCCTGGTGAGTCGGACAGTAATATCAATGTCACGCAGCGTGGTGAATTCACCTACCTCGAGATCAAGAAGATGTATTCATGCCCTGCAAAGTGTGGTACAGAATCAAACGACAAGAGTCACATGCTCAGACACATCTGGGTAGATCATCGCGAAGAAGATGGTCTAAACTTGATGAAACAGTTCCAAATCGACTCCGGTGGTAAGTCCGTCATCCCTTACAAGTGCTACGGTTGCGACAAGCAGCCAGTCTTTCGCCCTTCCGCGCTTTTCTCCCACTTCCTCGAACACATCAATGAAGCAGAAGAATATACCGAAAGGCTTGCAAATGAGGTTCTCGAAGAGATCAACGCTAAAGATTTGACCCAGAAGCAAAAGACTACTCAATCCAACCTTCTGCGTAAGCAGAGACTTGACTTCGCCGGACCCGAGAAAATTGCTCAAGCAAAATTGAAGCACGAGCAAGCCGCTCAGCACGAACAGTACAGGTTGGAGCAATATCAAGCTCTTTTTCCTGGCTCCACTGCTGGCTCATCTACTGCACCTCCTACGGCATCCGCACCCTCGTCCCCATCCGCTCCATCCACCCCCCTCGTCCCAGCTCAGCCACACCGCTCGCCAAGAACTACACGTTGTCGCGTTGCTGGGTGCAAAGAGTCTTTTCAAACTCACGAAGACCTCGAGGCCCACCTCAGTACTCATCATCACCCCGCTCCACCATCTTCGCCAAAATAGTGTACGACTGCTCATAAGCATGACAAGGACAACTCTCCAAGCTAAATCCGTGGATCACAAGCTGTGGTGTATCATCCCGCAAGCACAGGCAATGCGTAACTTTTTGCCATGCTCTTCCATCCACGACCTCAATTATCATCCTGTCTCATATATAACAACATCGCGCACAAAGAAGTTGACCCTTTTCACAGACTTTGCACCATGTACTTCTATCTACACTTCTCATCCTAGTGATGGTCACATAATAGAAACCCCTTAACTCTCGAATCCTCTCCCTCCGTGATCTCTATATATACATGTGAAATGCTGCTAGCTCTTGAAGATTAATTTACCACCTGATGTTTGATTTGAAGTGTCGTTGCCTCGTAAGGATGATAGTCAATGGACCATGTCTCCTGCATACATAAACTAGACTCAGTCTTGTAACACGCATGAAGTGTTTTCGATATGAAGGAGGTATGTGTGGAAGGTGATTAAACTACATTGAGAGTCCTCGAGATCTGGATTCTCGCCGGATATTTTAACAACAACGAAAAATATCGTGTGCTCCGAGGGCTGTAATTTCACAGCGTCTGATGCTTTGAAAGAGCCAGCGATTGTAGAGCACGTTTACGCCTCGTGTTGGCAAGATTGTTAAACGATAGTAACCAAAATTTCGTCATCATCTGGTTCTGTGGTGTAGTTGGTTATCACTTCTGTCTAACACACAGGCGGTCCCCGGTTCGAACCCGGGCGGAATCATTGCTTTTGCTTTTTGTGCATAATTTCTACGCAGTACTGGCAAGGATACCAATGCCGTTGTCCTTTTTGTCACGCGGAAGGTGCGGGTGCAGTTTCTTTCGCGACGCCGACGACCAAGCTTACAGTCCTTCACGCATTTCCGCAGAACAAAGTCGGCAACACAAAGGACATTTTGGACAAAGAATTCAGCATTGAAAGCATGGTATCATTACTCATTAATTATTGCAGACTCACCTGGAAACAGACCTGATGTGTACGCTGTTCATGTTCACATCACTTACTGCCATTTCTTCGTGTTCAGATCCAGATGACGTCCCATATCCGGCACGGTAACATCCCTCTGCATCTGAATAGCAGTAGTATTGGCAAACGTCTTCATCTCATCAACTTTACCGAACTTTCTGACCAAATGTCCAGTCTCTGCATCTTTCCAATTACGGATCATACGTCTGTTTTCGTCGATGCAGAGTCTGCCGCATTGTGGGCAGATCTTCTTGTCTAGCTCTTTGGCGATGATCTCTTGATCGAGTTGGGCGCAGATGCAGGGTTGGGGTTCCCAGTGTTTGGCTTCGTGGGCGAGAAAGTCCTTTTGCACTTTCGTGCAGAAGTTGCAGGGGAAGCCTACGCAGATGTGGTCAGGCTTGATTTTAGTCTTGTACGGGTTGAGTGTAGGAACATACTGCTCAGGCACATTAGAATCGTGGAAAATACCAGGATAAGCAGTCATAGCCCAAGGGGTGAAGGAATGATAATCTTCGCGGATGCGAGCGCCGTCCATTATGAGTTCTAGAGGATGATCAACATCGTCCAGAGTCAAGTTTTTGGTAGCGGCGATCATGTCTTGAACGGCCTGTTCAGAAACAGACCATTGCATGACACGGAAGTGGTAGCCGATGGTGGCGAACAAGTCGGCAGACTCATTGATGAAGGAGTTGGGCATGGGATCACCTCTCAAGACCCAGCTCTCGAGGATCCCTGCGACGGCGGCAGCAAATTGATCATTGTGCTGCATGCGGGCTACAAACAGAAGGTGGTTGATTAGCTGTATCATGTCAGTGAATTGACGACGCTCTAGAAGTTCATAAGAGGAAGCATTATACGTCTCGAGACAGGGCGGGTTCAGTGAAGTCGAAGCGGTCAAAAACTCAAACATCTCCAGGACGTTCTCATGAGTGGGGCTGGTGTTGACGCTCATTGTTACCGGTTTTTGGGGGGGCCGTTTTCTTTTTTGAGGTGCTTGGATCTCCAGGATACCCGGAAGAAGAGGAGTGCGAGGGTTGAGTGAATCATATACTCGCCCAAGGGAACAAAGCTTCTGAGATCTGACCGAGATTCCCATTGTCTGTCAAACAAGAGAACAAAGCATCTTGTTCGGGACATCTTTGTTCACCCTAACATATTTCCGATCACAACGATCTGTGAAGAAGAAAGAAAGTGCTCTTTGTCTCCAGATTAATGAAGCTGTCCATCTCGCTGGCCACGTGAGCCTGAGGGGCAAACCGTAGCATTGAGATGCAAGATTGAAATTCCTGGATGATCGGTTGTCCACCAAGTGCTGCGATAACACTTCCGAACCAAGCGCACTAGTAATGAGTCTGTCACATTGGGTCTTGTCTTTCTGGGGTAACATTGAGATCAGCGACGCCGAATGGGAAAATATCCATCTACTGTGTCGTGCTGAGCCATTGTACCTTGATATGATGAAATGCTCGCCTTGTTGGTTGGGCAGATATACTGGTCTAAGCGGCAGGAGGGAGTAACCTGGCCTGGTGGCATCAACACCCATCAAAGAACACAGAGATAGGCAGAAACAGAAGAACAAGGCAAACAAAACTATTTCACAGAGGCATCATAAACATATTCCAATCGGGAAGCTCTGTTGGTCAAAGAAGAAGTAACAATCATATATCGAAGCGAAGCACATCCAAATCTCTGTCAAACACTCAAGACACACATCTGCGCATCTCACTTCATCCTTAAACTCTTGTTCCCATCCATCATAGCTTAAATGCACTGAGAGTACCAGTCATTCTGAACCTTGCAAGTGGAGCCAGAGACACAAGCAGTGGCGCCAGTGAAGCCCTTACCACCACATTGACCGTACTTGGCAACACTGCCAGAGGAGGAAGCAGCGGAGGTAACAGGCTCAGCAGTCTTGACAATGGTAGACAAAGTGGTGGGAGCCTTGGTAGTGGTAACAGGAGCGGCAGAAGTCTTGACAGCAGAAGTAGTAGGAGCAGGAGCAGCCGAAGTAGCGACCTTTGTAGATGAAACAACAGGAGCGGCGGAGGAAGCAGGCTTGGAAGAAGCAGCGACGGAAGAAGCAACGGCGGAGGAAGCAGGAGCACTGCCAGCACCGCAGCTGATCACAGCAGGGCCGGGAGCCTTGTAGCTGGTGTAGATGGAAGTGTCATAAATGTTAGCAAGGATACCAGCATCAGTGGCCGAGTAACCGCCAGGGAAAGCGATCTGAGCGGATGATGCAGGCGAGTACGAGCCAGATCCAGTAACCTTGATCTGAGCGCAGGATTGATAGAACTGGGCCTGACCTTCGGAAGAAGCGGAATGCAGAGCCAAAAGCTCGACACGCATGAGGTATTGTCCAGGAGCCACACAGCTGGGCATGGTGAATTTTTGCCAGCCGAAGCCTGCGGAGTCGGTGTTCTTAATCATGTCATCGACGCCCCAGACGCCGGCGGAGGTGACGGCGTCGCTGGCGATCTTGAACCACTTGAGACCGGTGGCGGATGCGGTAGTGGCATCATCGACTTTGGCGAGGTAGACCTGGGTGGGGCCCTTGTGGGAGGAAGCAATGGGGTTGTCACCGTCGCCAGAGCCTTGAGGGCCGCCGAGAACGTGAGCCCAACCGGCGCCGATGGAAGAACCGGCAGGGATGGTGATGAGCTTGGCCGAAGTGGAGGAGCTAGCACCGCAGACGAGATCGTTCGACGAGACATCCTGAACGGGGTTGTTGGTGGAAGGAGCACGGATACCAGTGAGGGATCCTTGGTCAACGCCATCGACGGTGACGCGCTGCATGATGGCATGAGCGTTGACGGAGGCAGCAAGTGCCAGAGCGGAGAAGAAAGAGTACTTCATTGCGACTGTGATTGTAAAGATGATACCTGCCAGAGGATCGAAGAAAGTAGGTGATATGAACGAGAGTGGTGGATTGAAGATGAAAAGGTAAAATGAGCGAAATCGAAAAGAACGTCGAGAAGTAGAGTTGATGCTTTGGGAGAAAGAAGAAAGAGAACCTACCTCCAAGAAAGATCCATCTCTTATATGTATCGAGGGCTGTTACCTCCTTCTTTCCAGGGCTCACCTCAGTCCCATGGTCCATCCTTACATCCAAATGTTCGAGACAGACTGCAGCGCCACAAGCGATAGGCTAATATCCAGCCAAGGCGGGTAACAGATGTCGTTCATTGAGCAGTGATACGCCAAGTGGCCATGCCTGGATTTGTTTGGTATAGGGCAAGGTTCGAGTGGTGGAAGCGATCTGAATAATGTGACAGCGCAGCTCGCGTATCATCAAAAACGTTGATGCATGGATGAAGCACGAGGAAGGGATGATGTCTACTCGAAACAAAGTAGTTGTTGCCAAGTCGTTCTGGGGCGCTTCATCCCGTCTGGACTTTTGAAGTGCGGCTTGCCGATGTTGAATAATTCAGTCATACAAGTCGTGCTATAGATTTGCGTAGGAGAGCAGGCCCGTCAATCCGCGATTAGAAGCTTTCACCGACGAGTGACCTCTGTCTTGACCATTAGTTTGCATACCATTGATATAACCAGACCAATCGAGGAGTTTGCCAAGTCATGCATCTCCATCAAGTCACAAAGTTTGTGCAACATGCAAGCAACGCCAATTGTGGGGGAGGCGCCGAGAGGAAAAACTCTACTTTAATCTCGCTTCAGCACGAGGCTCGCTGGTCACCTGAAGCACGCTACCCAAGTGCATGCGTTTCATCGTTTAGGAAAGACCAAAGTTGTAAGCGACATCACGGTCGCACCGTCTTGATCGATGTCTTGATCCTCCGGTACCGCCTTGCAATATGGGATATACTCGAGTAGAGTGTGGCCTCGACCGTCGAAAGGGGCATTCGTGTTCTGCCCTCTTTTTGATTGTAATCATGCTATTCTGGCGGAGGGCATGAAAGGCTTGCGGCTCCTGATTTAGACGTGCAAATGATCTGCTCGATCTGTTCGCGCGAGCGCAATCTTGTCTTAGATCGGTCGCTTGCTCCCGAAAGTCATGTCGCTGGCTGGCGTGATGGCGCAAAGCTGCCTGAGTCGAGATTGAGTCAAGTCATGAGGGGCAGGAGATGGTCAAGATGACAGCCGCGTGACTTGTGACTGCCTGAAGCTATTGGTATGGCCGTAACAAGCGCTGACATGGTTGACATTCTGGAGGCTAGGCACTATAACAAGCAGCCATCGCGCTGTGCTGACAATTCACCCTCCAGGCTGTTTGCAACATGGCTTCAAGATTGGCTTGAACCCCGCAGGAGCTGGCGGTCGACTGTGGCCGAGGAGACAGGTACTGCCTGGAGGTGATAGTTTGGGCTATCTCAATTGCACGTCGTTGTCTAGTCAGCCTACTTATACCATTCGGACATATCGCTTGCATTAGACTGTGTTCTGTGTTGTTGTTGTAGATGTGTAAGCAAATCAAAGAAATGGCTGGCTGGTTGGTGCATCACACGTGAGACAGGCGAACTCCGAAGCTTGGTATACTGACAGGGTAGGCCCCTCAATCACTGTTTAGAGCAGTACATGCAGCATTACGGCAGCAACGTGAGGTATAGTACGTTGCCAAAGATAAGCATAGGAAACAGCACTTTTTCTGGAGGTGTGCCCGACATTTTGTGTTGATGTGATCATGATGTGGACGTCGGTGTCCGTGGAAGCGTTTTCAACATTCCTTTCCGAGAAAGGCAGCCCTTGGAATTCACGGGATCGGGTGTGCCTTCCAAGACAATGGACAAAACAAACATCCCTCAAACTTCTCGACGCTTCATTGCCTCGCACACGTTCCAATCATCGACAGCATCTACGACGATACCCTGGCTGTAGGCGATGTTCCTGCCACTGCTGACGGTGGGCCGGGGTTCATGGTACGTGCTTGACCGGAAGAATCATAAATGCTACCCTCAGATCCACTTCCATCAACGGTGAGATGGCCGAGCGGTCTAAGGCGCCAGCTTAAGGTTAATCCAATTCGCTGGTCCGAAAGGGCAGGGGTTCGAATCCCCTTCTCATCACTATCTCTTTTTGCTCGTCGTATAGAGATCGTCGTCGATAATGAAGGAGAAAGACGAAGGCCGAGGGTGAAATTTTGGCATTTTCAAAATTTTATTTGCGGAGAAACTTTTTTGTGCAAGAAGTCTGGCTGCATAAACTTGCTTGGCGGCTTTGTGGAGTACACAAGCATCTCTTCAGGGTGCTTGGGGTAAATGCACAAAGGTTGTGTGTGTTTATGGGTGTTGATGCCCGGGTGGGTTTTCGGGCATATCGTATTTTTCGGACTTGGGAAGGCCAATGATTTTCTGCTCCAAGGCGATGGATTGTGTCAGGTTTTTCGATCATTCATAAACTTTTTACAAGCAGAGAGATCCGAGCTGAGTGTTCGTAATGCCCAAGAAATCTTGTTTGCTGGGTGAGCGAATGGGAGTGGAATACTCACTCAGCCAGAAACATGACAGCAGCCTTACACTACAGCATCAAAGACGCTCACGAGGCCTTGAGCAACGCGTCATATAGAGTAGATACATTCGTAGGTAAGAAAGACATCATCTGATAAATGTACAGCCCGAGACAATTTGCTGGGCAAGAATATCCCGGGCAGGTGCAACACAGCCGCGTGGCAGGAGCGATTGACATGCTTCTTACACAAAGATCTGAGAAGATGGTGTGAAGAACTTCGTACAACCAACAGAAAGTTACAAGATCATCCTCAAGAGCCGCGGACAGTCGGGACAAGAAGAAGTCTTGACACCGACGAGGCTGTGAAATGTTGGAAGGCTCGGTGGATGCATGGGCCGGAGATATTAGACGTCACGGCACACGGATGGAGGCCTCGCAATGCGCTTCTCAAACCCACCGAACACAAGGAGAAGGATTTACAAAGGTTCCTTGCATTTGTGTTAGATGAGGAAGGCGAGATGACAGGCTGACGGAGGTTGCTCTGGTAGATCAGCAAGCAGGGCGGATGCGTAAACACCGACACCCCCGACTGTGGATAGAGTGAGACGTCAAGAAATTCTCCGAACCATCACCATCATAGCAGCTCCGGTCGAAGAGGTAGCATCATGGACAAGATCGCAGACTTCCAGCACAAAGGTGAGGTTTTGGGAGAAAAGTTGCTGGTGACGTCTGGGTGCTTCGGGCTACCCCACGGAAAAGCTAAACCCAGAAAGGAAAAGCGTTCGGACTTTGTGAGGCAGCTTATCCTTATTTTTGTTTCTGCCACTTTTTGTTCGCCCTGCTTTCATGAGCTGCAGCAGCAAAAGACGTGTCCGAGGAGCGCGCGTGAGCGAGGAGTTCGGAGAACACGCGTCACTGCAAGTAAGAAGGCGATGCCAAAGGGTTCAGAATCCGCGACAGGGCTGCATGACGCGGCTGTGCGACAGAATCAAGGTATATAGGCAGAGAGGAAGGTAGGTCTTTGGATGCAGCATCTTTCCAACCACACAAACCCCCTCCCCATCCAACCACATACCAAGAAAATACGCAAACATTCAAGATGAAGTTTGATCTTTCCATCATCGCCGCCGCTACTGCTCTTGCCGGCTCAGTCTCAGCCGCTCCTCAGAACAGCAACAACGGTAATAACTGGCAGAGCTACGCTTCTCAAGCAAGTTCTTACTGGCAGTCAGCCGCTCCTACCGCAACTGGCGAGTGGTCTTCTTGGGCCAATGCCGCCTCATCGTACTGGAACAGTGTAAGCCCTAGCGCTGCTCCCTCGCAGTGGTCGTCCTACGCCTCTGCCGCATCTTCATACTGGGCCTCAAACAGCGGTAGCCAGATCACCGCCGCACCCTCCGCTTTCCCTTGGGCTGGCGGCTACGGACCTGGAGGTCACGGCGGCCCTGGAGGCTGGAAGGGTGGTAACGGATATGGTCCTTTCGGCGGCAACGGCAGTGGCAGCAATGCAACAAACTCCGGCTGGGGTCCTTGGGGTCAGAGCGGTGCTTGGACTTCCGGTCCCTGGACTTCTTGGTGGGGTGGAAGCAACTGCCCTGATAGCACATGGTCTGGTTGGACTTCCGGACCTTGGGGCACAAGCGCACCTTGGACTTCTTGGTCCGGCTGCCAGGCTTCTACCACTGCCACTTCTACCGTCACCACTACTGTCTCGGGCACACCCACCACTTCTCTTGCCTACGGTGTTCAGGTAGCGGCTGCCTCTCAAGTCTCAGGATCCGGATCTGGTACTGCAGCCACTGCTTCGGCAAGCGGCGCTGCTGCCCATGTTGGAGTATCTGGCGCTGGTGTCGGTATTGGAGCTGCTGTCGCTGCCTTGTTGATGCTGTGAAGCGTTGATGGGCTTGCATTGATATGACTTGCATGATTTCTGACATGAGAAGGAGAACATTGAAGGTCGCTTGTATGCTAGATTGACATTGAGATGAACAAATGCAACTTTCGTACAAAACCACGCTCTTTCTTTGACTTGTGAAGTGTTTGCCCCTCTTGCAGGCTTCTTCATTTTGCATGCGAGTATCACAGCTTGACTTGGCGAGGTGCTTGGACGTGCATGTGCGACATGCTGAACCGCGATGGATTTCCTAGACGTGAGTTCCTTGACAGATTCTTCTTCGAACAGTATCGAATGCTTTCATGTCGCAAGTTGTCGACGTTGTTTGGCTGTTTCAAAGTTGGGCAGATTCCTGCTTTGTCGATGACGCCAAAGGCTCTCGGCGTCGGGCGCAATCTGACGACGCCAGCGGAGGTGACTTCTGTCGTTCTGACCTCAACAACGACCTCGAGCAGCGTGTATAAGCTCCATATACTGTTGTTCACCATTCTGACGGGAAGTGGAGGATTCTGATGTCCAGCTGAGCGAGTCGAATCGGTTTTTGGCTGGCAAAAGGTGGTATGGCGTGATGCCTGCTTTGGCAAGCTGTCCATCTCAACGCTCAATAGTAGCTTGTCCCACGAGTCGACGCCTTCGAAGAGCACCGTTCGGTATCTTTGTAGCTCTCACGATGCCGTAGCAGCGAGTGAGGAGGCCGAGAGGGTGGAGGATCCGCTTGTTGTTGCGAGCACAGACCGAGCGCGCAGGAAGGGCAATCTTCCACCGAGCTGCTACTTCATTCCTCACAGCATCCTCTTCGTCGACCACAACACCGATCTTCTCGCTCTCGCCATCAGCATCACCTCTGTGCTGTGTTCTACCGTATGCTGAGCTCTTTGACGCTGCTGCCAGCACTGGTTGAGCAGCAAGGTAGCCCGTTGACGCCTACTGACGCCTAACGCAACGAGAATGATTCGCCGGACAGAGAAGGTGCGACCATCTGCTCCTTCCAACATGATGCATGCTGACGATGATGAACAGTACGCTCCTTCCTTCGGCTGTCGCCGCCTTCGTTCATCGTCCCTGCCGTTGCGCGACCTGCCTTCGCGGTAACGGCGCTTCATCCATCTAACGTGGGTGATGCGTATCACCATCCATCATCAACCCTCATTGTCATCACCGTCTATCAGTGCCCGTCTTGAACATCGGCCGTAAGATCGTTGGCGCCTGCGCCTCAAGGTCAGATACTGTTGCCGGCGCCGCAGCCTCGCCGCCTCTCCATTTCCACTTTCATCAAGAGGAGGATTCCAAGAAAGAGACACACACCGGAGCCATTCTTGGCTGTCCGAGAAAAGACCCAATCATGCATCCCTTCCATATCCAGCAGTCCATGACTGGTCTGATGAACTCCTTCCACTTTCCTCCGGCAGCCATGTGCTGGTCCGCTGAAGGCCTTGAGCCTGCTTTTTCCTCTTTTCTGCTCTTCCTCTTTCTCTTCCCCTTGCTCTCTTTCTGTCCTCTTCCCTTTCTCTTTCGTTGTTCCATCTTTCATCTATCATCAGGTATTGGGAGGGTCGATGGACTTCTCTTTTTTCAAGCTTGACCATGCGATGGGTGAGCATTCCCGCGTACATACAACACAGCTGACCATCGTTGTCTCTCCTGGCGGAGAATCTTTATGCTCCGGTAAGATGTGGCCGAAATAATTACATCGAGGTAAGGCAGGCAAGTCGTATCCATATTATTCCGGAAAGCCTCTGGGTCGTTCGTGTTACTATTCCGGCAGTCCAGTACTGGTCCGCGTATACCACCGGCAATCCTCAAGATTGGTCCGTGTTTCATCTTCTTTTCCATTGCTTTCAAGCAATTACAATTTGTAGTTCTTTGTCGTCATTTCTCAGGGCGGCGAGTGTCAATCCTCTGGTAAGAAGCCGTCAAGATATCCGTACCAAGGTGAAGAAAGTAATTCATAATTTGTTCCTCCGAGGGCCTTTTGCTCGTTCGTGTTTTCCCCTCCGGCAGTCTCTCGAACTGGTCCGCGTATACCGGCAATCCTCTGGGCTGGTCCGTGTTTCATTCTCTTCTTTTCTCTTTTGCAAGCAAATACTATCCATAAGTCTTTGTCCTTGTACCTTTGCTTTCATTTTCTCGTGTATGGTGTGAAGTGTCTGTTGTTCGACGCAGCCAAAGGTAGACAATTGCGCTCTCAGTCCAGCAACAGACTTTATCAACCACCCATCCAAAGGCGCAGTGCTTTTCGACTTAACCTGGTTGTCCAAAGAAGGTAAGGAGCAAGTGCCAATCTCAGCGGACAAAGACCCGATTGAAAAAACCACCTCGCCTTTTGACAGATAATTTGATGGAGCAACTAGATGCTTGGAGGCGTGTCTGCTTCGTCCATACACGAGTATATCTGCTCCTCCATCTGCGCTTGTCACAAGCTTTTCTTTCTCATCCTTTCATCCAAGTCTGCTACAGAGTAGATGGCGGTAGTGGTGTTGTCATCATCATGCTGTGTTTCCGCGGCTGAATCTCAGGCGAGCCACGGAAAACAAAATGTCGGTATCGGGTACATGTCGCCGCTGCTTGTGCTTGGGGGTCCGGGTAACCTGCTGGCTAGGCGAGAGCTACTGCTGCGTGCTTTCCGTGGGTTGGTACACTAGCTTGTTGTCCAGGAGCGATTGAGGGGGACTGTTTGAAGGTATACGGGGCTGGCGACTCGGAGAGATACTATTGAGCAATGGCCGCTTTCCTGTGTTCGAAAGTTTTCGAAAGATCTTGCAGTATACCACGACCGCCGATCAATGACTCGATTGACGAGAAGCGGTCGAGAAACATTGTTTGTGGTTGTGCAGGCCTGGCGATGAGCAGAGGTACCGTGCCAAGAACGGGCGCCCCCATATGCTCTATGAAGGTTCAGAAGACCTTGCGGTATACCACAACCGCCGATCGTTGACTTGATGGGCGGGAAGTGGCCAGAAGAATTCTTCGCAAGTACACGCGCCCGGTGATAAGGAAAGGTACCGTCGAGGGACAGGCGCTCTCCCGTGCTCGACAGTGCTCAAAGGATCTTGCGCCATACCATGACCGCCGGAGTCGACTCGGACCGACAAGCGAAGCCCTGCCGACTCTGCCCATCGTTGCGGAGCCCCATTGGCGACTCGACCGGCCTTGCCGCCACCTCATGTCCCATATTCGCAGCTCGAGGACGCTCTAGGCAGCCTTCTGTCTCCATTTCCAGACATTCTTGGCCAGCTTGGTCTTGGCTTGGGAAGTGTGAAGTGGTGGTCCGGTATGGTGTGGGGTACAGCTGAGGTTGAAGCTCTTGGCGGTGTTGCGGAAATGGCGAGATAGGTAGTATGGTCCTCCAGGATCCCGGTGAAGTTGGTGGAATTGCTTCTTGCATTTTTACGATCAGCGGATGGGAAGGCTCGTTGTTAGGTGGGGTCAATCTTGATGTTCGACGAGAATGTGGAGAGATGCACAGTATTACCCTCCAAGAATCCAAGGAGAGTGGTTGAAAATAATCTTGCAATTCGATGGGCGCTGTTGAGCTGATCCAGAGGTTTGTGGAGAAATCAGGTTCTGCGGCTGGGGAAAGAAGAAACGATATGCGCAGCACGACTCACAAGCGCTCGATGGAATTGTATCAATTGGCTCTTGCATCGCGATGGCCGAAGGCGAGTCTCTGATGAGTTTGAAGATGTCGACGGTCTGTTGATTGGACATGGTGGTCTGTGAAGCATTTTTCCGAGGTCCTCGCGCGGATGGATGCATTCGCTTCGGCCTTTTGATAGCAGAAGACGTGTCATGTCGTTGATGAGCTTGGAGAAGTCGAGTCACTGCTGCATCCCGAGCGAGGGCATGAAGTCCGTGACTGTGCAGCAGTTGCACAGTGTGGGCTGGTCTTGTTTCGACATCGTAGAGGTTGGAGATGGCGCGCAAGGCAGGTAGGCGAAAGACGTGTCCATCTTCTTCTCCAAGAGGGAAAGGTGTCTGTAATCGCCATGTAATGGAAAGAAGATGCGGAAGACGATGATGGTGATGGGAAATTGCACATGTCCCCAGCCGTCGATGGTGAGAATGAGGAGATGTTGTTCGAGATGGCGGTCCAGGGGCACGTAAGGTCGTCTTGATAGATGATCTTTGCAGAAGCGAACAAATCGAAGTGATTGTCGCGATGGTAAGCTAGAAAGGGACTAGCTCTCGATGGCAATCCCGTCGTTGTCGTCGTCGTTGCTCGGCGCGCGCTTTGCAACGCGAACCAAATTCCTTCCCCCCCGTCTTGTCTGATTGTTTGCTAAACAACTGACGACACAGTTGTCCCCTTCCTGCGCGCCTCTATCTACCCCAAGTAACCTCATTTACACTCCAGTAAAAGTCCAACAATGGTTGCTACCAGAGCATCGGCCTTCGCCGAGGCCATGAGTACCCGCAGAACCACCAGAGGTATGGTGGGCTCGAATACCACCTTGACAGCCAGCCAAATCAGACAACTCAAGAAGCAGACCACGATGCCCGAGGGCTCGAAAAAGACTCCCAACATCAGAAACCCTGCGACCAAGGTCGTTAAAGCCAACAAGAAGGAGCAGACTAGCAGAACCTCCTGCCCGCCCATCTTCAAGAGCCCTGCGACTAAGGTCGCCAAAGCCGACAAGAAGGCTCAGATCCCCAAATTCTCCCACCCCCTTCCCTCAAGAAGATCTACCAGACTACCAGGTATGATCGCTCTGGAGCAGTAGAGACATTGATCTCGTGCTACTGAACACGACTACAGTCAAGCTAACAATTTCATCACAGCTCGCAAAGCACCCCTCCACCACTCCATCGGTGAAGTTCAGGCTCCCGGAGTCAACAGCGAGATGACTACTGTTGTTGACGCCCTTCGCGAGGTCGTTGATCACGACACGGACCTGCCACCTATCCCTGACAACTCTGCCGAAGGCCAGGAAGAACTCGACACCACTGGCGAACATCCTCCGACTGCTAACGTCCCTGCTGTGGAAGAAGAAGAGCAAGAAGACGCCGACCAGGAGATCGTTGATCACGACACGAACCTGCCACCTATCCCTGACAGCTGCGCCAAAGGCCCGGAAGAATCCGACAACACCGGCGAACATCCTCCGACTGCTAACGTCCCTGCTGTGGAGGAAGAAGAGCAAGACGACGCCGACCCGGAGATCGTCGGTCTCCTTGTACCCCCATTCCAGCACAACGTCGGCCCGGTGCCCTACGACGTGGAGGATCCTGCCGACATGCTCTACAACACCATGCTCATGGTCTGGGATGAACTATCAGTCGAGCAGCGTCTGAGCGTCCTGAGAGTAAGCGAGGCAGTCCACTCTGGTGACGCCGCCGATATCCTCGAATACAACGATCTGCCATTGGGCCATAGAGCCAAGGTTAACCCTCTTGTCGCCAACACCTTCGTAAGTAAAATCATGCAGAACGGCAAGAATACTAGACTGACCTTGATGTAGAACAGCATCCGCGCCGAGAAATACTATCGCGGTGTAGCCGCTCTTGGACAGGGCTTCCGCTTGAGATTGGGCACCTCACTGCGCCCCCTCACCCACTTCCAGATCTGAACTGGATGCAAACACGAATACGGGCGAGGTATTGAGACATTGAAAAGAGGCACATAGACTCGTTGGAACCGCTAGTCGCTTGTAATCATACTATGCAATTGTACAACACCCATTCAATGCACCTTGTCCTTGAGAGAAACATTATATCCATGCTGAAGTGTGATCTTTGTATACATCATCGCCTGGTGTGAATAAACTTCTGCAGTTCAATAGCACCTTTTCAACAACGTGAATCATCCTTGAGCCAAACAGCCAAGACTCCTCTACCCACGTTCCCACCATAATCCACTCCCGTCCATAACGCCATCACAAAATCATCATCGCAATCCTCACCCTCTACCCTGCCATCAAAAATCACCATGACATCCAGCGACGCCCGCGCCGTCGCCCTCATCATCGAGTTCAACTTCGTCTGCCTGACCCTCGCGATCATGCTCTGCTCCCTGGCCTGGTGGGGCCTCGTGCTCCGCATCTGGCATCCACGAAACCTTTCTCCGCGCGAGATGTTGGAGATTTTTGCGGTCGTGTGTTGCGTCTGGTTTGGCGCCTACTTTGTGGTGCTGTGGGAGGCCTCGTATTCTCATGTATGTGTCTTGTTGTGCCTGTGTTTTGACAGGGGAAGGCTTACTGACGAGGGTGTATAGTGATAGGCTCCCACGAGGCCGGCATGGTGGTCAAAACAGCGGTGGAGATACAGTATGCTTTTGTAAGTGGGCGAGATGACCAGTGAAAGTGTTTGATCTGCTGTTACTGATTTTCTATATACACAGCTCTCTGTGGACCTCCCTCGCTTTCCAAATACAATCGTGCCTTTTTACCGCACTGAAAAATCCAAGCGCTCGCTCTGTGGAGTTGTATACTTTGTATAAACAATGAATCAAAGTTCTTCATCAGGAATCCCCTCAACCATAGGCTGCTGCATCTTCTGGTGTCTTTGCCATGCTTCCGCCATTAGTTTCCTCATAATTTCGCTTGCAGATGTACGCGGCTTGACCTGTTCTTTGCTGCCAGTCGGTGCCACTGCTTCTTGCTGCCCGAGAAGTGTTTCCTTGTGAGCTTCAGGTGGTGGTGCACCTCTGATGGTTCGTGCCTCACCCCAAGTCTCCTCCACTGTAGGTTGCATCTTCTGTTTTCCTCGCCTTGCTTCCGCCAGTGATTCCTTGAGAGCTTCGCTTGGAGATGCATGTAATTCCCCAGCAGTTCGTTTGACCTGCTCCGCACTTGAATTTCGTGACTCTTCTGTTTCCTTGAGAAGTGTTCCCTTGTGAGCTTCAGGTGGAGATGCACCCTTCTCCTCAGTAGTTGGCTTGACCTGCTCCTCACTCGCAGCTCGTGCCGCTTCTTGTTGCTTCTTGAGCTTGAGACTGGTCTGCAATTGGTCTTCTGCCAATCTGGCTTTTCTGATCAGTGCTTCTTTCCTGACCTGAAGCTCTTCTCGCAAGTCTTGTTGTTCCTTGAACGTCTCTTTCTCCAAAGCTTCCCAGGCTTTTTCCCTGTGTGGTTGGCCTGCTTGTTCGAGTTGCCATGAGGAGAAAGCGTTTGCTCGTTTGAGACGAATGTCTTCGAATTGCTGTCTGCTGTGAGCTATCTCGGTATCGATCGTGGTTTGTACATCTTTCCTGGGGATGTGGAGCAAGTGGGGGGCAGGTCGAGCGTAGACAATAGGCGTTCCGCCATCATGGGCGTTTTGGTCTGGCTCAGGGATCGAGGAAGTGGATTGAGTCGGGCCAGTGACCATCTCTAGAGGTTGTGCCCATTGCTCTGGCTTGGGCAACGCGGCAGTGGATGGAGTGACCAGCACCTTTGAAGCGTGGCTGGGAAGCTTCATATTTTTCTTCAGCTTCCTAATTTCGTCGTTTTGCGCCACGATGGTCTTGGTGAGCTTGGTGTGTGCCCACCCCGCTGCAAGCCTGATGTCCTCAATCTGCTTATCTTTCTCTTTCAACGTGGCCAATTGAGTTCTCTGGATGAGAAGGTGGGACGCCTTCGTCTTGGGCTGACTGGTCTCTTCGACAGCGCCAGCTGTGGTTTCCTTGGGCTTCTTGACCTCGCCGGTGTACTTCCGCAGTTGCTTCTTTGTCTTGCGGAGCTGCGCTTCCAAGGTTTCGAAGTCTTTTCTGCCCTTGAGTACGGTATCAGAAACATCAACCTCGAATTGCTTGTATGTCGCCAATTCCTTTCTGAGACGGATTGTCTCTGCGATTGAATTGGCCTTTTCGTTTTCAGAGCTCTTGAGCAACGCTTTGGCAAATATCAACTGGCCTTCTAAGAGGGTTCGAGATGGGTCGGAGTTAGGTTCGCCCTCTTTCGTGGAGGAATTTGCGGTGTTGTTCAGCTTGGCTTTGAGCTCATCGACCTCGGTGCGGAGTCTGAGTATCTCCATATTGACCTTGGAGTTCGTGGTAGATGCTTCAGCAGTAGTGGCGGTGGTATTATTGTCCAAGTCGACACGAAGCACATCGGCCGTGGCACGAAGCCTGGCTACTTCATCCTGTGCCGCCTTTTGGTTCGCCTGAGCGTCCTGAACCTGTTGCTCCAAAGCGGCAACGTCTTCAGGATTCCTGTATCGAATGTCAGCAAGCTGAGAGCGCAAGTCTTCAGATTCTGTTACAGCTGCAGTCTCGCGACTGATAGCAGCTTGCTCTGCAGCTCGAGCGGCATCCAGATCGACCTGGTGTTGAGCGACTTGAGTGTTGAGGGCTTGGACTTCTGTCTCGAGCCTCGAGAGTGATTCGTCCTTCGAGCTTTGAGATGGTTGCTGGGCGGTGGATTTCTTCAAGTCATCAAGCTCAGTCTGTAGGGTTTGAACTTGTGTTTCGACCTCGAGCTTCTGTTTGATGGCTTCCTGCTCTGTCGATCGAGCGGTCGAAAGTTCAGCCTGAACTTGGATGGCTTGGTCCCGTAGAGTCTTGTTGTCAGACTCGAGGGCGGTTACACGGGCGTTGGTCGCACTGTCGGCTGAAGTTGTTGAAGCGGAAGGTTCTGAAGTGACTGAAGTCTCTATCTTAGAGGTTTCCAATTGCTCCAGTAGAGAAACCTCCTGAAGCTTGGATGCTATTGCGTCGTTTTGGCTAGCCATGAGTTCTGCCTCCATCCTGGATAGCTGTTCCCGGAGCTCTTTGTTGTCAGACTCCAATCTTGTGATGATTTCAAGCTCCGCATCGGTAAGCTCCACATCGGTAAGCTCCACAACGGTACCAGATTTCGGGGGTTCAAAAGGGATAGAGGCGGGATTTAATGCTGTCGAAGTTTGCTGTGGCGTAGCTTGCATGGTTTGAACAGGCGGCGAGCTCTGTTGTGGCTTTTGCTGATTGTTTCGAGGGGCTGTCCAGTTATTCTGCTTGCCTTTCTGCTTGTTGCCAGTGTTCCATCGACTTGCGTTGACTCCAGGTCTGGCTTGAGACGGAAATGCAGAATGGTCGTTTTGAGCGCGCCCTTGGTGGGTAGAGCCAGTTGCGTTTGATGCGTTGCCGGCTGGCTGCTTCTTGGGCTTGCTCCCACGTCTTGACGTGTTGCCATTCGAATCTCGAGATTTGGCGGCATTATTGTTGGTGGTATGGTTGTTGACCATCGCTGCGATTACTGGACCAAGTCGCTTTGATTGAAGATCAGACAGTTGTCGCAATGAGTGGATATATCCAATCCGGTTGGGTAAGTGTAAGCAATAGAGGTGTGAAAAACTCGTCGTGGTTTCTAGAGAAGAAAGAAAAAAAGGGCCAGCCGGACAACAAAGCGGGAAAAGGCTGAATTTGGCCCAGCGCGCATACAATGAAATTTGATCACGGTCACCACGGAAACAAAGGGGAATTAGAAGATCGCAAAACGAAAAAGATTTATTGTGTACTACAGACTAAAAGTCGATGCAAATGACCTGTGAAAGATCTAGATTCGTGGATATGGTTATGGCTACCAGAGCTCATATGTGTATAATGGTCAGTGCGATCGTGATGATTCTGGTCGAAGTCAGTGATAGGTTAGGGAAGAGACGCTCTAAGGTCTCCAGTGATTATCAGAATCAAGTTGTTCCGCCCTCTCACATCCATTTCTCCGTCATACAAAGTCTTGATTGACGAAGCCCACCCAGCTTCTGTCTCGAGGAAATCGGCATTGGCGAATTCTCGAAGGGGGATCAAAGCACTCTCCTCTAGCCAGTCTTGCATCATATCATAATATCCGTCACGCTCTGGGCGGGCTCTAAGAGGTCGACGTTCGAGGTATCTCTCGAGTTGGTCCATACTATGCATCATCGCCACTGGAACATGACGATCCAAGTCAGCATCGAGGCGGGCAAATCGAACAACTCTCATTGAGAAGCCGATGAAGCCAGGTGTCGTCCCTCCATTCAATCGCGCAAGATATTCACGTCCCATGACCATGGCGACAAGGAGCCTGTTCAACAGGCTACGGATTGTCTCGGTGTGTTCGCCATGATTGATGTTAGCGTCCGCAGTGCTCCCTTCGCAACTAGCTCGACAGAGATTCCAGTCTCTTGCGCAAAGAATGCAAAAGTGATGGTCGCACTTCACGCAGATCATGTGTTGACATCCCTGGTGTCTTTCGACCAAGTTTCCGCACACTGAGCACTGTTGGGAGTTAGCTGAGTCGACGAATTCGCGGGTTTCCTTGAACGGATCAGCACACTCGCCTTCATGAGCAAGACACTTGCATATGCAAATCTTGACGGCGCAGAATGGGCATTGATGACCTTTGTAGTCAGATGGATGAATGAACTTTGTGCATGCGGTGTTGGGGCAGTAGAGTCGCTGGGGGCCGGGGACAGACCATTCGTGAAGGTCGGCTTCGAGCTTTGCGTAAAGGTCTACTGGAAGAATGGATCTGAGGCTGTCAAGAGGAACGGCGCTCGAGCAGACTAAGCAAGTGGCTGGTCTAGACTCTGTGATGTTGCTGAAGCGCCTGATGGTGCACTCGGAGCAGAATGAGGCGTGCCCACAGGGCAGGACGATCAGCTCTTTATTGTCGAGGCAGGCCTGGCATTCCCCGGACTGTTTGGCAGGGTTAGACATTACGTTCAAGTTTTTCTGACTTACTTGTGTAGCTGTTCGAATTTCGTGATCTTTGGAGTGGTTGTTGATCTCCGGCGGGCTGGTTGACTGTTTCTGGAGTTTGAGTTGCTAAAGAAGTGACCCTGCTTGGTATTTGTAGATATTGAGAAGAGGTAGCATATCATGCCTACATCAGATCTTTGCGCGTGCAAGGCTTTGTCCGAAGTGCAATGCACAAAGAATGGCGATCGGGCATGAAGAAAAATGCCACAATGGCCATAAAGGAACAAGGCACTCCCCCTTTCAGAATTCATGGCCTGCACGGAACGTCTCGATATCGCTCAATGCTTCTTTCATTCCGGTCTCATAGGTTTTCCCATTCCATTCGTGCCTGATGAATGCTTTGTACATGCTTTGTACACGACAAAGAGCATTGTACTCACCATTCCAGCACTAGGAGGTACATATACTACCAAGTCCCAACACAACCTTAGCCCCATCAGCAACTACCTACCCATCCTCGAGGTCTACCGAAAACCTCTCCAAAACTCCCAACTAAAACTACTCGAAGCAAAAAACCTGCTAGATGCAGAAATACAGCTTTGAATACGACCTCGAGGACTCCCTCTCCTATCAACCTCCCCAATCACCTCCTCTGAAACCTCTCCCAAAGCCCATCAGATTGGCTCCTAATGCTCAGTTGCAACCTGATCCGGCTCGTAAGTACAGCTTTGAGTTTGATATGGAAGATAGTCCTAACTATCAGTTGAAGCCCATGACTTATGCTGGTTGAGAGAGGAAGTGGAGGATCGATAACAAGACTGACGACAAGATGGACAGCAAGGCTGACAGCAAGACTGACACGATTGTACGGTAAGTTAGACGTTTAGAGATGAGGTAAGAGGTGGAGAATGGAGAAGGTGGTGATGTCTAGATGATATTCATACAATGAGGAAATCGTTGCCGAACAAACATACTTTGCAAAAGGGCATGAAAATGTGACGACTACAGTACGTGAGACAAGTGGAGATCAATGACGAATAAAAAGTGATTTTGAGGAATTCTGTTAGAGAAAAGCGGTGATGTTTGATTTCTTGGCCTCCTGTGGTAGAGGCAACGGCTCCGTGATACAGAGCATCTAAACTACGATAGAGAAAGCCCTCCATGGCTGAGCCATATGCTTGCATCAACAAAAACTAACAGTACAATGAGAAGAAACAGAAACTGTTTCACAACTGCCTCGAAGGGCCCTTGAAGAACGATCACAATTCTCGCCCTGAGCTGGATGACCGGTAGAACCTCAATGGAAAGCTCCGAAGAGACCAAGAGGAGTTACATCCTCCAACTCCAGAATGGCCTTCTGGATGGTCTCCTTCTGCCACTCTGGCAGGTTCTGAACGTCTTTGGCGCGCTGCAAGAGCTCCCAGCTCTCTTGAGCGGCCTGTCCGCTCTTGGTTTGAGCTCTGATTAAATCAAAGCCGGCAACCTGATGTTCGTACCACTGCTGCCAGAGGCCATCGAGTTCGACCGTGTGAGCCTCAGGGCGGCGCACATAGGCGTAGAAGTTGTGAATGTCGGGCTCCCAGAGAGCCTTGTTGTCGGTAAGTGCAGCGAGAACGACTGCATCAACGCCATCGAGGTTGGCAGTGAGGATGCGGAGGAGGGCCAAGGTCTCCTGCAGGTCGTCTCTGGTGTGGTGGGTCCAGGAAAGGTCGACAGCCAGGATGGGATCGACAGGGGGATGAACTGGACGTCGAGGCTGAATGCGGCGCCATTGAGCGACAGGGGGACCTTGAGCAGCTCGGTGGGCGGCTTGGGCAAGAGCGACAGTAACAGCTCCACCTGGCACACGAGGGAGTCCGACTCTGATGACAGCATCGGCAGGGGCGTACCTGCGCCAGTGGACCTTGTTGCAGGGGATACAGCCGCAGTTGATCAGATCTTCCTTCATCATGGAAGCGATGTGAGTACCGAACTGGACCAAAGTTTTGTAAGTAGAACCGCTCGGGTGGCCATAGATCTTGATATCTCCACGGTTCGATCTCATAATCTGGTATCCCACGGGGAACATCCTGATAGAGAAGAGCCCTCCTAAGATATATGTCAGTAAAACGTCGCGTCTGAGTGCTGGTCGTTTGACGTACCACAAAGAGCTTGGAGATCTTGCTGGCCGCAGAACTTGTTCGCGAATTGCTGGGAATTTGCAACATCAGGTGCCTCGACATGGTACCCGGGGAAGTTAGGTTTCCACTTGGTGGCATCACCGTCCGATGGAAGCAAGTCTAGGTAGAGGACAAGCGGCTGAGGGGGATGGAACACGGGCGCGGGTTGAGGGTGATGGAAGACGGGAGCGGGCTGAGGGGGATGGAAGACAGGCGCAGGCTGAAGGTGTTGGGGGATGTGAGCAGGCAGGCGAAGTTGGCCGACAGTGGGTCTGTCCAAGTCCATAGCCTGGTAATCGTCCTGTGGCTGTTGCTCGTTGAAGATCCGCATGACGAGATGAACGATGAATGTTGTGGTTAGTTTTGGTATTGGTTGAGGATTTTGAAAAACAAAGTAGTCGGTAGGCGTGTTGGTGTCAAGAAGGGGGGCTTGTTGACGCCAGAACGCGTCGCTCGGAGAACTCTTCACCTGACTTTGTGATGGTGAATGATGACTCTCGCCTATGTAGTAAGCGAGCGCCGAGGGGTCTTGATAAGGACCGCACCGCAGCAATTATGCTTTTCTCACTGTTCACAAGATTTACCTTTGAACTCTAAGCAGTCTTGTCGAGTCTTTAAACAGTATTAGAAGGACAACATCGCAACTATCTACATCTCTAAAAGTATCCACAGTCGAAGCCATCTACCAACATGCGTGCAGCTCAAGAGAGTACGGTCTTGCTCAACCGCAGACTCATCTCCCATCACAGCTTCCAACCAGATAGGCAAACAGCCAGACAGCCAGAGACTGAACCTGCTCCCAATCGAGGGCAAAGGACGTTCGTGAATCACCCATAAACATGGTCTCCACTTATCGATTCGATTGCGGACCTAATCTAATCGTAGGTGCGGTAGTATGGCTGGTAGATCTTCAAGCAGCCAAAGGGTCGACTCAACTCGTCGCGTCATCCGCGGGCTTTCCATCTGCGCTGGTGATCTCAACCATTCCCGTGCTTCCACCTCCCAAATCTCATTGACCACATTCTTACAAACACCGCACAATGTCCACACATACATCATTCACCACCTCGCACCAAGATACCGTCAGCCAACTACTTCTGTCATCATGATCCTGCGTTCTTCACCTTGACTGGAAATCACTGACATACCGCTTTTCTTTGTAGAGGCGGTAAACAACTCGACCAGACCTTCGAAACATATCAACAGAAGCAGTGCAAGGCGCCCTTGAAGGCCTTTGCGTCAGGCTTGTCAGGATGCCTCAAAGCTCCCTCGAGCACTTTCCATATGTTTGCGGCGCCACTTCAGATGTGCTTCAAGCGCCGCCAGAGTGATTGTCATCTCCGACGGTTCGAATCTCATATGCCTACCATCGAAGATTGTTTCGAGCTTTACTTGGTATAGACGGCGGAGGCCATCGTCAGCAGTACCTCTACCAGCAAGGTCGCATACTCAGCCCTTACAAAAAGGTTACTACGACGAGAAGGACGACTTCTACCACGTCGACCGCAACTCTGATTACAACCGCCGTGGAAGTCTTTGGAGATTGACGCAATCCCTGCGGTAATTGAGTACCAAGGATCTGGGAGCGTGATGAGCATGCAACCCGCACAGGTCAGTGATTACTCTGTTCTTGAATAGTGTCCCATCTCCTGACCTACAGCCAGAAGTCTACGCTCTGCGCCAACTCACACGCACTATCTTCGCTTGAACCTCAGCTCATTCTCGCACTGCCGACTCTTATTCGTACCGTTCAGTAATATAGCCTTTGCGGCTGGTATCCTTTCCTTCAACCTACGACCGAAAGTCAACGCTCTGCACCAACTCACGCGCATGTCATATTTGCTGGAAATACATCTATGTCGAGGTTGTCTACCACTATCTCCAGAGGTGAGCGATATGTCACGTACCAGCTCGGGCTTCTGTCTCTGACTTGCGATTAGAAGAGAACACTCTGGGCCAACTCGCGCGCAAGTCACCTTTGCTTGGAACCCATCTGTTCTTACCCTATCCATCAGGCACAAGTCAGTGATGCTGCACGTGCTAGTTGATATCCCTATCACTAGATTGCGAGCAGAAGTCATCGCTCTGCGCCGGCTCGCGGGCTTGTTATCTTTGCTTGAAACCCATGTGCTTTCCATATGATCTGTTATACACGGGTAACCAACATTGCTCGTGCTAGCGCTTTTTTCCCTATCACTAACTCACAACCAAAAGTCAGAACTCTGCGCCAACTCGCGCGCAAACTGTTCACGCTTGAAGATTGATTACTCGCATCTGTTTCTCACATCACCTATCGTGCAAAGGTAAGCAACACTGCATGTGCTAGCTCTTGTTCCTGTCACTAATCCACGAGCAGGAGTCACCGCCTTGCGTCAACTCGCGCGCATGTTGTCTCTTTACTACTCTACGGGGCCAGCTACGTCTTCTCGGCTGTAGAAGACATTGCCAGTGTTCCATATCTTGCCATCATCACAGCCTGTCGCAAGCACATTAGAGACTCCCATCTTCACCTGCAGACATCTTCCTCTACGACGAGTTCGAATCCCATTTTCTGATTGCGAAATCATGCGATCGAGAAACACTGGCCAGGAAAACGACGCATCGCGGGACCGAGTTGCTTTGAACGAAAACGGATTCGACACATCCATCACTTCGCCTGCCTTCTAATTCGCTTACACAAATTTCAAGACCGGAAGCGCAGCAACCACATTCGCGCTGAGCAGAAGCGCCGCAACATCATCAAGCAAGACGACAAAGATCTTTATAAAGCTCATTCCCATCCTTAAGACTACTCTACAACTACTACGACGTCTTGAAAGAGTCCTCCATCTGACTATGTGGTAGAACCTACTGCAGAAAGGACATGGAAACTGCCAGCATCTCTATCTCTTAATAGCAACACGTATACTACTCGCACAGGCTAGCGTATCTTGATCGTCCATGGTTGTATCCTATCTCTAGACCGTTCGTGAAATATAACGTCCCGCGCTAACTCGCGCGCAAATGTAAGGGGTTGACTCTTAACAAGTGTATAGGGAGGAAGCAAGGGGAAGATAGGAGTGTAGATTGTACAGCCCCTTGCTGCATCTCTAGCTGCCTAGCTGCTTTGCGAATCTATTGTCAAAATGCAAGATGGTTTTCGGTTTTTGAGATTTGTCCAAAGAAAGACGATATGTGAACTCCTCTCTTTGGACATTTGCAATTGTCAGAAAAACTTACTGCATTTTAACAGGTACGTCTCGAGGTCTGATCGGCGGAGGAGAGCATACTCATTTCTTCCAATTTGATAAAATTACACTTTCTCATCCATCATTCTCATAATCTCAAGCCTTCTTGAACCCAGGATTCTGCTCCAAAGTCTGCCCGATAAACCCCCTCAACGCAGCCCACCTGTTCGCCGACCCATCCGTCTGACCAGCAGCGGCAGCACCCGCAGCAGGCTGAACACTCATACTAGCCAAATTCCTCCCAAACCGCTCCTTCTCACTCTCCTCCATCTTCTGCTTCCTCTTCAAAGCACCAGGCCTGCTCTTCAACGTCTTCAATTTCATCTTCCCATCCACCGGTTTAGCCTTTCTCATACGCACTTGTTTGCGCAATGCCCCTAACATTGTATCTTGTGCGTCACCATCCTCATCTATCCCCTCCCATTCATCTCCACTGCCCTCTTCTTCCAACTCTGGCAATGCGTCCGCCAGCGAGTCCAACGCGGTGTTTAACTTCTTCCCCGGACGACGTCGTTTCAAAGGTTTCTTTTGGGACTTCTCGATGCGGGAGATGAGGGTGTCGTGTTTGAGGGCGCGCTTTCCGGCTTTTGTGTGAGAGGAAGATGTGGTGATGTTAGGGGATGTTGTTGCGGGGCGGGTGGCTGCGGCGACTTTGGCGCGCATGGTGGTGCGTTTTTTGCCTGATGTTGGGGCCTTGGGTTGTGTCAGATGCTGGCTTTTGAAGTGATGGGGGAGGCGCGTACCATTTTGATGTGAGGGATGCGATGTTTGAGTGTTTGAGCGACTGAAATCAGGAAGGAGCGATGCGGCAAGGTATTGTGGAAGTTGCGATGCGACAAATGGAAGGCGCGATGGTCAAAAAGTCGCGACAAGCTTCGACCGACTTTCTCGAAAATCTTCAACATTGATGGCGGAGGTGGCTCGTGCTCAAAGCTCTTCCCGACCGTCGGCTAATGAGACCACTCCGCATCTATCGGAATTCGCCGAATTCTAATAAGTCGTTAGCAGTAATAATCTCAGTCGTTAGCAATAATACTCTCAAAATACGTCAGTTTCACGGTCTGTATAGCTGCAGAGTAGTAAGCAGAGAAGGAAGCATTTTTTATTCTCTTGCTCTAGCATTAAGGAAACCTAGCATTATGACCTCTAAGTTGTTTATACAAGTCTCTACTGCTACGCGAGTAACAATCTCTCTATTAAGCATTATAGCGAGGCGAGCGATCTCGTTATAAAGGGGGATAGTAGCGGCATCGATAGCCGGCTAGATAGCGGTATTAATAGCTAGCTAGAAGGCGGCGGTAAAGGCATTAGCGAAGCTAAACTTATTAAGTCTAGGAGCGGTAGCTATATTGTCGTTAAGGTCGTTAACTTAGTCCTTAAGGGCGGCGACACGAGCTTTAAGAGCAACATCGGTTATTACTTAGGGCTATAAAAAAGTATTAGCAATTTGCTATAGAGTGTGCTATAGATAGTGCTATAGAGAAACCTACATCTTCGGCCTTAACTTTAGCAGCGTTGCAGCTACTATAACCCTTTAGTCTATAGAAGGCGTAAGTAAGACTCTAACTAAATAAGTGCTCGCGGAACATATAACACTCCCTCTTTACCTCTCCCTTCTTCTTATCCTAGCACTACTTATAGTGACCGGCGGGGGCGGCCTTACTAACGTCCGAGGTCATAATAGCTTAGGCGTCGGTATACTTAATAATAGTTATAACGGCGGTAGTTCTCTTAATCTTATTGTTACTACGAGCATTAGATAGTAGCTCGTTCTAGCGGTTAGTAGTTATAGACTAGAACTCGTACTGCTCGGTAGGCCTATAAAGGCCGCGGATCCTAATAGGTAGGTCCTTACTATATGTTATAGTTAGAAGTAATGTTAGAAGTTAGAAGTTAATGATTGTTACTCTTTAAGCTCTAAGAGCGAGGAGGAAGAGATAGAGGGGGCGTATATAGTATAGTAGCGCTTAATGTTTTAGAGTTTAACGAGCGTACCCTCGTCGTCGTCGTTAATGTCGTTAAATGCTAACGGCGCATACGATATAGCCTCCGAAGAGACTAGTAAGGACGGTTAAGCGGCCTTATTCTTACTACGTTAAGAGCAGCGTAACGAGCTACCCTCTAGTATAGTAGCCGACTAAGCGGCCGAGGACTTTAACTTCTTAGTAACACTAGCACTAGACTTCTTCTTCTTTAGCGCCTTTAGAGGCGAGGGCAGCGAGTAGTCGACGAGGTTTCTAGTAGCGGCGATAGCTACCTTACGCTTATAAGCGCCTTCGGAGCGAGGTTCTCCTACTATAATAATGTCGTCGTTATAGTAGTCGTACGTAGAGGAAGAAAGGTTAGTTAGCTAGCTAAGAAGTAATAAATTCGCGCGTCAAATTGTCATGTAATAATAACAAGTAAATTAGCACCAAAAAAACACGAGAAATCTAAAGTTTTACTGTAGCAGTAACTATAGCCACTAAGGTAAGGAATACTAAGATTTTTATTAATATTATAAACTGAAAGGGAGATAACATAGTAGATAAATAAGAGAACCTTTTAACTAAACCTTTAAACTAATATATAGACCTTTTATCTTCTTCGAGAGCGAGAGGACTAGCTAGATCGAGCAGATAGTGTATACTAAACACTAGGACTAGAGGACTAAGTAGCTTAAGCTATAGTAGCTATAGCTCGACGAGTAACTACTTATAGAGGAATAGTCGGCTAGCGAGGACGCTTACGAGGTCTCTAGTTTAGTAAGTTGTTCTACTATGCTTAGGGTTAACCTTACTACTTATGCTCTTAGGGTAGATTCTGTTCGGTATTCTATATAAATAGACCTTGTTCCTCCTCTTCCTCCTCTACCTCCTCCTCCTCCGATAATAACGACGACGAGGCTTCCTCTTTAATTAGCTAACGACTAAGAAGAGAAGGCTTAACAGTTACTAGATAGGACAGCTAAGTAATTAGTCTAAAATCGAAAGCTAGCTCGTACGGTAGAGGAGGGTTTCTCTTATGCTCTATCTCTAATCTTCGCTCTCGATCTTGCTATATGTCCTCGATAACTCTATCGCCTACTACTATAGTGTTAAATAAGCGCTAGAGTCTCTAAGCAGGTAAGGGAGATCGAGTAGGCAATAGAGCTAGAGCTAGAACTAGAGCTAGAACTAGAGCTAGGGTTCGGTTGCCCTATAAATATTAGCTTTATTCTATAGACACTACTATAGCTACTAAGGCAACAAACTTATAGTATTTATTAGCGAAAGCGACGGCAGCGACGAAGAGTTACTTCTTATAACTAAAGGATGACACGGTTTAGCCCCGATTCGAACCGTGGTCCTCGGCTCCGGCCGAGCACCGCCAAGACCCCGCGTTGCGCACCCCGCTACGCACCATATTANATTTCTCGTTCAGAGCCCCCGGCGCATTTGACGACTCCATACTCGACCAAGACGCCCTCGACCACGCACCGCACTTCGAAAACAACAACGACAGCACCCACCTCGATGGGCACAATCATGACGAGCATGACGACGCCCGCGGAGCCCACGTTGATGACACACTTCTCGACATTACCCAAGCCTTCGAACTCAACCTCAACGAGATTGTCACCAACGCCCTCCGCCGCAAGAGCAATACCCCCATCGAGACCCTTGAACAATTCTCCGCTCTCGATGCAGAGGACTTTGCCGCTCAGGTGGCCAAGTACCCTCACCAATGGTTCCGCGCCGTAATCGCTACCCAGCAGAGCCACGTCCGCGCAGAGGACACTATTGACGAAATCTCTGATGAAAACAACATGCTCGAGAGTGAACTTGAGCAGATCAAGAAGACCGCAGAACGCCGCGGGATTAGACTTACGGAGTGCAAGAAGATCATTGACAAACAACAAGAGACGCTCTCTGTTCAACAAAGCGATGTCGCTGAGCTGCGCCATCAGCTCCATCAGTTCCAACAAACCAATCGTGGTCGCGAACGCACTCGCACGCCCTCACGTCGCCGCCTCCCCTCGCGCGACAAATCCTGGTCGCCGTCTCAGTCTTTGAACTCTCGCCCTGATCCTCGCCCTGACATTCGTTCCGAGCGCCGTCGTTTGTCACCTGCACTTCGTCCTTCGGAGGCCCCGACTCACCACACCATGAACACCATGAACACAACCTCGTCTACAGCTCAACGTCGATCCATCAAGGTCCCTGAACCCCCAGAGTTCGCCAACGACGACAAAGTCAAGTTTGCGGAATGGAGCACCAAGATGCGTATGAAGTTGCGAGCTGGCGAGTTCGACTCCTGCGATGAGATGACAAAGCTCCACTATCTCCTTAGCCGTACCAGAAACGGTCCCTTCATGCGTCTCAAGGTTCGCATCACCCAAGACGAATCTGACCAACCTCCCCCCAATGCTTTCACTACCGCCGTCCAGTGCCTTAGCCAGATGAACGAGTGGTATGGCGATCGTCACGAAAAGTCTCGCGCATACTCCGACCTTGCCCATATGACTCAGGGCTACAACGAGCCGTTCGCCGACTTCTACGCCAAGTTCGAGGAAAAGCTTGCATACGTCAGCATGGACGAGGAACAACAGATGATTCAAATCATGGAGAAGCTTAACGGCCGTTACCGCACTCGCATTGACGACGGCACAGACTACCTCGACGTCAGAGCTATGGTCAAGCGCTGCTACGCCCTTGACCGTTCCTTCGCCTCCCAGGACAGCAAGAAGTCCGCCACCGACAGAGAACGCCGCCCTACTCGCAACGGCCGCACCGCCAGCGCCTCGAGCCAGAGCTCCAACGCCTCTTCTCGCAGCTCCAGTTCTGCCAGTACCGCTGCATCCTCAGTCGCTCCCTCCGTTCCCAAGCTCACTGAAGAACTTCGCCAGAAGCTCCGCGCTGAAGGTCGCTGCTTCCGCTGTCGCGAGAAGGGCCACACCTCATTCAACTGCCCCAAGAACAACCGCACGAACATCAACCATCTGGCCATCATGCCCGCCGACACCGAGAACGATGTAGGCGGCGTCCCCCTTGCCGAGCCGGAAAACGAGTAGTCTCTGAACAAAGTCGCGTCCAGAGACCCACATCGGTAGATACTCAATTGAATCAAGAGAAGGGTCACAACCACAAGAAGGGAAAGAAGGCGGCAGCAGTCTTGCAACTCACAAATTTGAACATCGACGAAGACAGCTTGAGTAGCAAGCATTTCTTAATCGACTGTAGGTTAGCTGCAAATCAACATGACCCTGCCGTCACCTCTACCAAGGCCCTGTATGACCCTGGAGCTGATGCTTCTTTCATTGATAAATCCATCGCGCACCACTTCACCATTATTCCCTTAACCAAACCCCGCCGAGTTCGTCTCGCAGACGGTCAGATCTGTGATACAGCAATCACGGAAGCCGTCCAACTAGACCTACGAATCGGCCATCATCATGAGCAGATTGTCTGCTACGTAACCGACCTCGGCAAGAAGCGAGATCTCATCCTCGGAGTGCCTTGGATGGAGAGGCACAACGCATCTCCCAATTGGAAGGATCGCACCATAACCCTGAATTCCGAACACTGCCGTCATCACTGCCTGAAGGCGGGAGGCGGCCGGCCCATGATAATTCCCTGCGCCAACTCCAATACCGCAGGACCAGTCACCATTGCCGAAGCCAGCGCAGAGGAATTTGCACGACTGGCCCATAACGGCAACGACACCTTCGCCATACTACACATACCACATTACGTCGACGAAGAGGCAGAACAGGCAGTGGCCCTCCACCAGGCCGCTATGAAGCTCGTTCACGGAGAGGCGTACTCCGACACGCATCCCCTTCAACTATCCGCAATCTCCCAAACAGACATCGACAAATTCATGGACGTAGACAACAATCGCACAGATCCGATGACCGTGCTTCCCTCTCATTATCAAGACTTCGCAGACGTCTTCTCCCGCAACTCCGCCAACCAGTTGCCCCCTCACCGTCCTCAAGACCATGAGATACGAGTCCACGAGGGCAAGCAACCACCATACTTCCGCCCTCGAGGAATGTCTCAAGAGGAACTGGCAGCCACAAAGAAGTACCTCGACGAGAACCTCGACAAGGGGTTTGTTCGTCCCTCCTCTTCGCCAGCCGCTGCTCCCGTCCTCTTGGTTCGCAAACCAGGCGGAGGGCTCCGTTTCTGCGTCGACTACCGCGGTCTCAATGAAATCACCATCAAGAACCGCTACCCTATTCCCTTGATCCGCGAGACTTTGGACAAACTCGCTAAAGCCAAGTACTTCAGCAAATTCGACATTATTGCTGCCTTTAACAACATCCGCGTCAAACAAGGCGACGAGTGGAAGACCGCTTTCAACACTCGATACGGGCAATACGAGTACCTGGTGATGCCTTTCGGGCTCTGCAATGCCCCTGGCACCTTCCAGTCATATATCAACAGCACTCTGCATGAATACTTGGACGATTTCTGCACTGGTTACTTGGACGATATCCTTGTGTTCAGCGAGACCTTGGAAGAGCACCGCGAGCATGTCCGTAAAGTTCTTCAACGGCTCAGAGAGGCTCAGCTCTTTGCAGACATCGACAAGAGCGAGTTCGAGGTCACCTCTACCAAGTACCTCGGGCTAATTATATCAACCGATGGCCTCAAGATGGACCCCCAGAAGATTGACGCAGTGCTACATTGGCCAGCCCCACGTGTTCTGAAGGACGTCCAAGGATTCCTCGGTTTCTCAAACTTCTATCGCCGATTTATTGAACGCTTCTCCCTGCTCGCCAAACCTTTGACCGATTTGACTAAAGACCAGGGCAAAGGCCGATTCAAGATGACCGACCAAGCCACACTCGCGTTCGACGAACTGAAGCGGCGATTTACAGAGGCCCCAGTACTGGCGCACTTCGACTTCGAGAAGGAAGTCGTTCTCGAAACAGACGCCTCGGACTATGTCACCGCGGCAGTGCTCTCTCAGTGGCACGACGACCCAACTCACGGTCGCCTTCTTAGGCCTGTGGCGTACATGTCCAAAAAGATGAACCCTGCTGAGTGCCGGTACCCTGTACACGACAAGGAACTACTTGCAATTATCCACGCCTTCGAGGAGTGGGAACCCGAATTACAGAGCGCCTCCCCAGAGGCCCCCGTCCAAGTCTTGACGGACCATAAAGCACTAGAGTACTTTACAACCAAACAGAGGCTCAATCGCCGACAGATTCGCTGGTCTGAGTTCCTCTCCGAGTTCAACTGGAAGATCAACTACCGCCCAGGCTCCAAAGGAGTCAAACCAGACTCTCTGTCAAGAAGGTCCGCAGACTTCCCTCAAACGGCAGACGACGAAAGGGAGCTGGACCGTTACCAGGCCATCATCGGCCCTGACAACATCCAGAGCAATCCTATCAACGAGGTCTACTTGGCAGCCCTGTGCAGCGTTAACCTCTTTCCGGCTGACACCGAACCGGAGGCGGAGTCACCGCTAACGCTAGAGCAACAGATCCTTCACGAACAGTCGCAAGACCCCGTTGCTGTCGCCATCGCCACGGCTTTGGCGCAAGGTGCGCAGAAGCTTGCGCCCTTCCTGTCCGCGGAACACAAATCCACCACTATCTCACTAGCAGACTGTGCCTCCCAAGACGGCCTCATTACAATTGCCGGTCGCGTCTTCGTCCCGAAGGTCTTGAGGACACGAGTCATCGAGGCTCATCATTCAACACAGTTGGCAGGCCACCCGGGAAGGACAGGGACGCTTCACCATATCCTTCGGTCATTTACATGGCCAGGAGTTACCGACGATGTTCGCCGCTTTGTCAGGAACTGCCACACCTGTTGTCGCTCCAAGACACCCCGCTTTACGCATGGACGAGAAAAGGCCCTCCATGTGCCAGAAGGACCAGGAGCCTCCTGGTCTGTTGACTTCGTCGTGGCACTGCCTGAGAGTCGCGATCACAATGGCACGACATTCACCAACATCATGACGGCTACCGACAGGTTCACCAAGCGCAAACACTTCGTTCCGATGAAGACCATTACTACAGTTGATGCCGCTTGCGCCATGTTACAGATCATCAAGCTACATGGTCTTCCTCAGGAAATGGTCACAGATCGTGGCACCCAATGGGACTCAGAGTTCTTCCGAGAGCTGTCAAAGCTTCTCGGCATCCAGCAGTCAATGTCCTCGGCCTGGCACCCTCAGTCGAACGGACAAGATGAGAATACCAATCAGCAGATGGAGCAATATTTGAGAGCTTTTGTCAACCTCTCCCAAGACGACTGGGTCAAATGGTTACCTTTGGCGGAATTCGCGCTAAACAACCGCGACACTGAACCAACAGGAGTATCGCCCTTCTTCGCTGACTGTGGACGTAACATGCGGATTCTTCCACCTTCTTTGGGCCCTTCATCTTCACTGCCGTCCTCAACAGAGCGTGTGCCTGCACCAGCTAGGCTTTTGAGGGAAGAGGCCCATGCCTTCGCCAATGACATGCGCAAGTTACACAAAGAACTGAATGACGAACTAACGTGGATTCAGAACCAGCGACAAGACCGCAGATCTGCCGACACCACCGAGGCCCCTGCCTTCCGACCAGGCGACCTGGTCTGGTTGAGCACCCGCAACCTTACCAACCGCCTTCGCCCTACGAAGAAACTCGACAACAAGCGCATTGGCCCTTTCCAAGTCGCTGAAGCCATACCCTCGCAATGCCCCCGCGCATACAAGCTTCTGCTCCCGTCCTCCTTCAAGCTTAGCACCAACACCTTCCACGTTTCGCTCCTGACCCCCGTCGCGCAAGATGCCCTACCGGGACAGACACAAGCACTCCCTTCGCCAGTGGTCGTCGATCAAGAGGGGGAAGAATACTGGGAAGTGGAATCGGTTCTTCAGTCCGAGTGGAGAAAGAAAGGCCGTGGAAGACAACTGTTCTACCTCGTCAAATACGTTGGCTTCAACGACCCCCAGTGGGAACCATGGCAGAACCTCTCTGAAGGCGCTGAAGAGACAGTCGCAGAGTTCCACGCTGATGAGCGTTCGAAGGGCCAGCCTGGGCCATGGAGAGGATTCAAGCTACCTCTTCTCAGCGAAGACGACGTTGTTACTACAGCACTGATGCGAAAGCCTGTATCTGAGGAGACGGCGCACGCGGCCGATCCGGTGAAGAATCAGGCCTCTTCTCCTCCTTGCCTATGGCCACCGTCGTCCGAACTCGAGCAACGTACGCCGAAAGTCACGCAATACGCCTCAGACCCCGAACCGAAGAACTCTACGCTTGGAGCAGCGTGGACGGAAGGCCGAGTCGATGGTCATGGTCTCGGAAGGGCCGTCCATGAAGCTGCTCCAAAGGCCGAGTCGATGGCCAAGGAAAGGACAAACAGAGCAAACATGATGGTTTTCACAGGTTCCGGGTTTATTGCTGATTCGGAGGATTCAAGAGCTCAACGGAGTTCGCTTTTTACAGGGGGGGGTAATGACACGGTTTAGCCCCGATTCGAACCGTGGTCCTCGGCTCCGGCCGAGCACCGCCAAGACCCCGCGTTGCGCACCCCGCTACGCACCATATTANAGTTAGAAGCATATAGTTCCTTTTGTCGACAGGGTTATTGTACGGCTACTAGTTCTCGGCGCCAAGTAGCTTCTAAGACTCGTATAACGTTAGCTCTATATTACCGACATGTAGATAATTAAACATAGCGCTTCGGAGGAATAGATAAGCTTAATAATAGAGGCGGCAGTATACTCTATTAACTACGACAATCTAATTAACTTCGGTAGCCTTAATAATGCTATCTATGCTAGGGAACTAAGCTACTAACTTAAGGCGACACTAGTCGAGTACGTATAGCGGCAGATATTCTTCGCTATTGTAATCCTAGAGATACTCGTAATATAGTGTAAGGGTTTTAACATCTATGTCTAGTCCTTGTTCGCTAGCATTAGTAAAGAGCTCTAGCTAACGGAATAGGGCCTTAGGAGAACCGGGAATAGTGTATAGGCGGTCGTTCTAAGCGCGGATAGGGTAATAATTCTTAAGGCTAGCGAAGGCAGATCTAGAGCGGCGAATAATTAGCATATAGATAGCAAGAAACGCGATAATGTCGAATAAATGGCGACTATTATATAGTAGCGTATCGAAGAAAGCAGTCTAAGCACTAATGCTGCTAGTAGTTATTTAAAACCACTATAATTTAATGCGCTAATTTGCCTTATTCGTACCGTACTTAAAGTAGTCCTTAATTATAAGCTTATAGCTAATCTAAATTTGATGTAGGTCGTAATGAGCACTAGCAGCTATAGCAGTCTTAGCTCTATAGTCGGTACGGATAAATAGAGGTAGAATACTAGTCTTATCGACAGTCTTAATGTATTAATTAAGGACTAAGACGGCAGAGCGCGTAGAGATGCTAGCGTAGAACTATATTATACACCGAGAGAACTAGTCGATAGCGGCATATATTTAGATGCCCTAGCGCTTAAGCTTATAGTAAGCATCCATTAACTATAAGTAGTTAGGACCTAGTGTATTAACTCTACTACGGCGCTATTTAACCTTCCTCTGCTAGCGAGATAGTCCTTAACTATAGCCTTTAAAGTTAAGCTAGCGTGCAATGCAGTAGACTCGGTCTCTATAGAGAATAATGTTAGCTCTAGTCGAGATTATCTATAGAAGGCACTATAGAGGGCTCTATAGTAAAGTTCGGGGAGATTTGTTATACCTTCTAACAAAATGATACTTCTCGCGCATGTATATATATAGCATACCCTTACTAAGGTTGTTAATGTTACCTCGCCTATATTTAGAGATAAGGGCTTCTCTAATAGCCTCCTCTAAGGCCTTATCGCGAATAGGCACCCTCTTTAGCATACTAAGTTCTCCTCTAATTCGTTTAATACGACGTGCGTTAATCGCACTATAGCTATTAAGCTATAAAGTGGCAGCTATAAGCTCGTCGCTAAACTAGAACTCCTAGAAGAGCTCCTTAATACGTATAGCGATAGCATCATTATTAAGGCGTACTTATATTCTAATATCCTATTACTAGAGCCTTACTTCGAGTGTTCGCTTCTTAATAATAACGCGTTACTACGATAGCTTCTTAAGTACTTTAGCAACTGTGTTTCCTTCCTCTTAAATCTAACTCTTAACTTAATCTTTCTATAGCGTAAGGTCGATAGCTTTACGAGGTATGCGAGCAGTAGTAGTAGCGTAGTATAGTAGTAAGGACGACGGCGACAACGATAACGAGCGCGAGCGCGAGCAATTAGAGGACTAGTAATAACGGTATAACGGTACGGTAGAGTAGAGACGTTAACGTAATCGTAATATGGTAAGTTAAATGTAAATAAACAACAAAATAAACAAGAATTTTCGATTTACTAGTCTGCAGCCACCAATGCGGAGAAAGCCGAATTTTCACATGTTAGAATTAGCTGAAAACGCGGAGTGGTCTCATTAGCCGACGGTCTTCCCCGCCAATGCTGACGGCATCACCCCGGGTTTGGATGTTCATCTTGGCGGCAACTTTGACGACATGTCCTTTTTCGCGACCGCTTTGACTCGTATCATTGCAACCATCTGGAGAATTTGACGTACTATCAGACCACCAGAATACGATACTCGTGTCTGAGCCAGCCCGAAGTGATGGATGGCTGCTTTCGGCGTTGAACGCCTATCGTTCCGTTTTCGGACATATCTGCATTCCTCGAAAGATGCTGATCCGCCCACCGTGACTAAAACAAGACAGACCTCGAAGAAGCCTTTTCCAGCCACGGCATTTTCTTTGTTCAATTTACCATTGATTTCTCAGTCATCAACAATCCATTCCGATCATGTCAAAGTCCGCGCCTCAAACAAAGCGCCCAAAAGCCACGGCGAAGCACCGCAAAATCGTGGTCCAGACAACTTGGCCATTCCAGCTAGTACGGAGCACAAGCCGACAAAGAAAGCCACGAGAGCCCAATGAGAGACAGATTTATGGACAGGGAGAACTCGACTTGAGATTGAAGTCTGCAAGGTAATGGCATTGCGAAGATGTGGAGGGAGAACCTGAAGCGGCTGGATCCATAACATTACCACACAATCAAACCCAAGTCCAACAAACTTCCAACTCTAGTTCCTGTTCAGAAACCGAATAATGAAGTCCGGATTCAAGCTCTCCTGGCCGTTTAAAACAGTGTACAACAAGACAGCTGCAACCAGACCAGAAGGCAACATCCCAACCAACCAAGTGAACCACAGCAGCGGCAATCTGGCCACCCATGGGAGCGTCCACAGTGCACTGAAAATCCAAAAGCCATATTTGGGGATCCACACCAGACCTTTAAGCCCAATATCCTTCATCACTATCCTAAACATCTTAGGAATGCGTAGGTAGAGTTTGAGAATCCATTTTGCCACCTGTGGTTTTGTTAGCAGAGTGTCAGCAGATTGCATGAGATGAAGAAGGAGGTCTTACATTGTGGAGGCGGACGAAAGGTGCGATCCAAGCTGCACATCTAAACACTTGACCGGAGCGAGTTGTGGTGGTGCAACTGTGGGGATCGTAGATGATGGCGATGATGTAGTAGACGCCTACGATGGTTGCGAGGTTGAGAGGAGTGAACCCTGTCCATGCCTTGAAGATGTTGGTCCAGAGATCTTCGGGCCAGTCTGGAGACTGAGAGGTTCTTGAAGACATGCTTGAGAGTTGATGGGGTGGCTGTTCAAGTGAGTAGGAGTATGAGATTGAAGAGACGAAAATGATGCAAGCTCGCTGGAAGAACATCGTGTCAGAGACATAAGTGGCTGTCGTTAGCCGAATGCGGAACAATCTTTGCTTTGTCCTTTGCCGAGACTCAACTCAGCATCGATTCTCAATTCTTTGTCCATTCTGTTTCCGCTTCCAGATGATCAGCTTCGAAGTACAGCAAGGCATTGTTACTGCCGTACAAGTGGAAGGTCAGATTACCAAGGAAGAGCCATTCCATACTTCGAGGTGATCGCTCGACCTGGACCCTCAATGATATGGATCCCATGGACATCGACAGCGACTCGCTAAGCAGCTTAGCAAGCAGTGACGACAATGGCAGCGACAACGGCTTCGATCAAACGATGATCGATAGCAACGGAGACGTCCAACTTCGCGGCTACAGCACACTTTATCCTCCTGCACTGCCATCATACGCAAACTGGAGTCAACATTCTTGGGCATTCACCGCAAGAAGAGATGCAGGCAATGGTTTTGAAGTTCGTCAGATGAACATCCAAAACGTCGGCGAGACTGAGGACGATCCACTAGGGCAATGGCCCGCAAAGTACATGATGGGTCCTCCTAGCATGGCTCCGGACTGGCATCCACTGCTCGAAAAATGGGGATTGCAAGTTTTGAAGAAAGCTGGGTTTATCAACTACGTCTCCAAAGATCCAGATGACTACGCCCGGCCGAAAGGACAAGCAGCAGAGGACAGAAATCCGGGAGACATCGAGAGCCTTCATATCCATCCAGTCTTCCGAAAGGCCATGTGGAAGGATCTCGAGGATGAAGACTATAAGGTGATTGAGCCAGCATTACTCATAGCAAGTGCATATCTCGACGACGAAATCACTCTGACCTATTTCCATGCGATGGCTGCTGGTCCTGAGGAGATGGGCACATTCAGCGACGATGTTCTCGGTGAATGTAACATCGCAACTATTCCTGAGACGCTAGCCCGAGAAAAGCAGATCGAAGCTTATGCGAAAATCAGAAAGATGTGTGATTTCACTACCTGGAAATTTGAGTCGGTCCACAGAATGTCAAAGTCTCACTGCACCGGTATGATGAAACCTCGTTATGTGAAAGGAGACGTCGACAAGAAGGGGAAAGGCAAGGTCGAAAAGGAAAAAGGCAAGAAAGGAAAATCTAAGAAAAAATCAGATAAATTTCTTGTGCAAGCGGGAAAAGAGTAAGTCGCGCGGAGCAGAGAACCCTGGTGCAATCGTTGACGTCGAATAGGTTCACCTATCAAACAGATATCGTAGTCAGTGAAGGTTTCCTCGAGATCCTCCAGCAATTTGACATGGACGTGTCAAATGGGACCGACCTCCACCTGGAAGATCTGAAGCTTCCCCTACGGACAGGATGTGTACCCAAAACTCATCGGATCAAGATCGACATTGCGTCAGCTGTTGAACGTACACATTTTTTACTGGCCGAAACCCTGCTACACGAATTTGCCCATGCCTTCATAGCAGCCTGGCATGTTCCAACAGGGGAACCAGGTGAGCCTTGGATCAACGGCAACAGAAGCAACGAGGCAGGTTTCGCTTTCACCCACTTCATCATGGGAGGCTGCCCAGAAGGACTGTCGCAATATCTGCCACCCATGGACCGAGATGAAGATCATAGACAGAGGCTATGTGCGCCATTTGGGATGTACTTTGCCAAAAAATGGGATCAATGGGAAGTTGGGTCTCTTCCTGGTGGAAAAGGACCCACCCGTGTCATGACAGAAGGTAAGGACCAGGCTTTCAATACGCCGCACACGTTGTATCCAGTGCTCCAAAGGTTCGTCCACGACTTGAGCACCAAAGAGACATGGGAGCAGCAGGTACCGAGATACGGACTGCGGTCGCTGCAATTACCCAGATTCGATGACTGGGCAGTGCATCGATTGAATGATCTTAGGAAGAAGGGGATATGGTCTACTGGTCAGAATAGATGGGGAGATTTTGACAATGGACCACAAGCACCCACTTGGATGTAAGAAAACGGCAAAGGTTATGATGAATCTTGCAAGACTCCGTAGCAGCAGAAAGTCAAAGTTCGTCTGATGTACCGTTCCTTTGTTCATGACTTGGGGTCACCAAGCTCACAGCCATTGTCGAGACAGAATCTTGAGCTTCTTTGTAGATATGATACCCGCATCCGGTGCTTTACGCTATTCACCAATGAGGGTGATCAGGAGTCTACTTTTGTGGAAAAGTCTCCCAGAGTCCTCGCTGTAGTAAATATCATAACGCACATCAACAAATGGCTGATCCAATCGGCATGAACTTGTCAGGTGCTTTGGCTATCGAGCCGCGTGACTATACAGTAGTACAAATCCCACCGAGCCTGCCTCAAGATATCGAGCTGGACGAGGCAGGCAACGTCGCCTTCAAACACTGGTCTAAACAACCCGCAAACTACACTTCTCGCCTTAGTGCAGATGGCACCTCCTTCGAAGTCAGACCCATCAACCACAACGATACTACCGGGGAGGGTAAATTCAGACCCGATGATTGGCCCATCACACATCATCTGGGTCCCCCAAGCATGGCACCAGACTTCCACCCATTGATTGAGAAATATGGATTGCAAGTTCTAGAAGCCGCTGGTTTCATCAATCAGAAGATTCCGCGCGAGCCTTACAACGATCTACCCATCGGTCCACTCCATTTTCACTATTTCCGGAATCCTGGAGCCGATATCAACGAACTCATCCATCCAGTTTTTCGAAAGCATTTGTGGAATAACACTAGCGATGATTTATACAGACTTCTGCTTCCTGCTATATTGCTCGCGACGGCTGTTCTCGACGACCCAACAACCCTTAGCTACTTCTTTGCTCTATCTGAGCCTACGACGCAGGTACAAAGTACCACTTTCAACACCCCTTGCCATATCATGATGCAGCCACCTGCATTGTTGGATGCTCAACTAGTGCAAACGTACAATAGGGTGTGTGCCCTACAAAATTGGACAAATTGGAACTGGGAGGTCTCTGAGGTCTCGAAGTTCAATCGATTCGGTGTGACCAAGTCAACAATAGTGAATAACGCCTTCGTCCAAGCAACAGTACCGTAAGTTTTCCAAACCGAAACCGATAGTATGACACCTCCTGACACAATCAGCAATACTCACCAATCAGAAATCTACCTGAGCGATCAATTCGGTCCTCAACTGCTTCTGTACGAACAACAAGCAGGAGCTGGTAATAGGACATACGATACACTTCAGCGAGCCGCCGGCATACCACCAAACAAGATGATCACAATCCTCGCCGAAGGAGTACTAGCTCGTACAACCGTAACCCTCGCCATCACCATCTTGCACGAATTCGTCCACGCGTTCGGAAAAGCCTACTTCCCAAAGCCTGTCCTGGACCACCCTTTCGAACCTTGGTTTCCAGGAAAAAGGACAAACGAACAAGGTTGTTCATTCGAGGAATTCGTATTCGGTGGAATGATCAAGTCGCTGAATATCTGGGTGCCACCTATGAGCTTGGGCTGGGATGGCTGGCAAAACATCTCGCCAGCATTTGGACTTTGGTTCGATGAGAATGAAGATCAATGGTTTGTGCATGATCCCGCGGGGGCGCAAGCAATTATGAATGATTACCTGCCTGTTGATAGAAGTCGGCCGAAGAAACTGTGGCCCATACCTCAGGAATGGTGTCAGCGTTTGCTTACTGATGGCATGTGGAATGATCAAGTGACGAGGTTTGGGCAGAGAGCTTACAAACTGCCACGGCTTGAGTATTGGGCGACGTACAGGTGGCAACGTGGTGGTCCGGGTGTGTGGAAGACGGGGCAGGAGAGATGGAACGCTGTGCCACGGGACCCGGTGTCCGACACCGCGCCTACATGGCTGTGAGGAGAAGCTGTGGATAAAGCTTTGCTGCTGGATAAGACTCTGCCGAAAGACTGAGCCAGAATGCGATCGTGCCTGAGACGCACAGTGCTTCTCAATTCAAAACAAACTCGACCATCTATTTGGAGCTACAAGGCAGTGTTCATTCTGCTGCAGAGATGTGACAGAAACACAAGGTAGACGAGTGTCAGCATGGGAACGAAAACAATGATGTACATGTGACAGGCGCAAGAATGAAGCACGAGAAGATGATGTTATTGCTGCTACGGAAAGAAATGTCCACTCCTGGTCGTCTGCTGCGCCAAAGTGGAAGGCCAGCTGGAGAATACCAAGAAGAGTTATCACTGTTGCAAGCAGTACCATACGACAGTTGGTATAGGAGAACCAATGTCTTCGTTTCTGCTGCTCAAAAACCAAAATTTACACTTGATTATGAATGCAAGAAGAAAATGTGAGAACAGAAGGGACCTTTTATGTCTCGAAAGGCATGCGCGGGTCCATGCTGAATCACCAGCCAAGATGACATCTCCAGGCAACCATCGGCCAATCATGCCCTCGAGCCCGCAAGATCACTCGCTTGCTTAGTAAGCGATTCCCTTCCCCCAAGCATATGCAGCGTCAATAGTTCTTTCCTTCGACGCATAACATGCTGAAACTTGTAGTCTCTAGTTTGTCCCTGAGTTAAGCAATAGCAGAGGATCTGGTGAGACTGAAACATCAATATCTCGTAATGTTTGAACCGTTTTGCTTGATGTCAAAAGCATTCTGGCTTCATTCGTGGGCAAGTACGAGGACATCTCCATATAATGACATGAACGTGATATGTTTGCGCATAGATTCGAAGAAAAGAAGTAGGAAAATGGAATCCCAGATGGCCTATACCAGGAAAAATCGATCACATCAAAATGCAAGAAGTTTTTCTTCGCAGAGTAGTTGGCCACTGAGAGCTAAAACGCAGCTTCGAAATAGGGAGAGAAGACTAGACGACGTGTCATCCCCGCTGCCCTATACCAGGAAAAAATGTGCCCATCAAAATGCAAAAAATATTTCTCCACCGAGTCGATGACCACTGAGAGCCGAACTTCAGCGTCGAAATAATGACAGAACACTAGACAAAGTGCTTCCTGGTGCCCTGCGATAGACAAACAACCTCCCATCAAAATGCAGAAACGAATGTTCTTCTGCCTCGGTGGCCACTAAGAGCGCCAAAATGTGCATGCAAGGGATATAAGTGAACATGCAAGGGACAAAAGTGCATGCAAGGGATTGCAGTATTAACATGTGCATGCAAGGGACACAAGTGAACGACAATCAGTCATTTGATATCACATTCACTGTCGTCTCGCTTAGTCAGCACGTGTCAAGCTTTTCCAGCGTCAGACCTTATCAAAACAACACCTTCTTTCTCACCTCTCTTCCTTCATCATCATCCATTTTTATCCATTATCCGACAATCCTGGTTATCACCTTATTACCGGCTTTCCTGTATTTTATACTTTACTGCCTTCTGGTGCGTGCCTTCTCTTCCTTCAACAGAAGAGGAGGCACGCGCCAACTTGGCCTTACAAGGTATGTGTGCACCACGAAAGTTCCTTTGTTATCCACTTCCTACTCCCCATCTACGAACTTCGTTGTGCCGCAACTCGCGCGAGAGCTGCTTCATACCAGAAGTTCCTCTGTTATGCATTTCCCACTTCCTACTGCCCATCTCCGAATCACGTTGTGCCGCAACTCGCGCGAGAACTGCTCTACACCGGAAGTTCCTCTNCTACGAATCACGTTATGCCGCAACTCGCGTGGGGGCTGCTCTATACTAGAGTTACTTCCTACTTCCGCAGCACATCATGCCGCAACTCGTGCGAGAACTGCATCTTCGAAAGTTCCTCTGTCATCTACCTCCTACTTCCAGACTTCGAATCACGTTGTGCCGCAACTCGCGTAGAAGCTGCTCTATGCTGGAGTCACTCTTTATCTCGGCAGCACATCATGCCGCAACTCGCGCCAGGACTATCTCTTACTGCAGCCATTCGCTACTTTCAAATCACATCACCCCGGAATCGCACGAGTGCTGCTTCAGACTGAGGGTACTGCTCATTTCCGAACCCACATCATGCCGCAACTCGCGCTGGGACTATCTCTTGCTGCAGCACATTCGCTGCTTGCGAGCCAGATCACGCCTCAACTCGCGTGGAAACTGTCTTATCCTACAGACACATCCTGCTCCCAAATCACATTGCGCCGCAACTCGAGCAAGAACCTTCTCATACAAGATTCACTTCCTACCTCCTACTTCGAATTCACAACACCATGCCGCAAGTTGCGCGAGAACTGTCTCTTGCTGCAGAAACTCTGCTTGCAAATCACATCACGCCCCGACTCGCGTGAGAGCTGTTTCATCCTGCGGACACTTCCTGCTTGCGAATTACACCAAGCCGTAACTCGCGTTGGAAGTACTTCAAGTACTTCAAGTACTATGTTCTTCAAGTACTTCTTGCTGGTTCGCTATCCATTGCAACACATCTTCCTTCCAAGTCACATCACGCCGCAACTCGCATTGAAAGTACTCCTTGCTGGTTCACCATCCCACCAGATCTTACTTCCGAATCACATCACGCCGCAACTCGAGTTGAAAGTACTCCTTGCTGGTTCGCTACCCAAATTCCACTCTCCACTTCCAGAGGACATCACGCCGCAAGCCGCGCAAAGACTACCCACTTTGCGTCCGCTTGGCAGCAGGCGCTGTCTTCAATTGAACTGTACTGCGCTTTATCTCACGTGGAGCTTTCAGATTACGCCGCCTATACCTCTCAGGGTGCTCTTCCTCAGAGCGCATCTCGCCGCAGATGTCTTTCTCTGCTTGAGGTCTCTCCTGCCAAAAGCACATCACGCCGCAAATCGCGTTGGACTGGCTGGAAATTGCAGCTACTCCTCCAATCACTGCTCTCTACCAACGAATCAACCCGCGACATATGTCACGTTGAAGCTGCGGACGCAAGCTGCCTCTCTCGACCTAAACTCCCTTTCCCCACAACACCCCGCCACAACTCGCGTTAAGATTGCTGTAGACTGCAGACACTTCTCAGTTGTCGTTGTGTACTACCGTATCACGTTACGCCGTGTGTCACGTTGAGAGCTGCAGACTTACCTGGTCTATCTCAACCTCAAATCTCTGCGTCCAACACACACCCAGCCGCGACTCGCGTGAAGGCTATTGTCAGAGGTATCTCCTCACCAGACAGCACTTTCTCTGGATGACGCACGCTCTGCCGACTGTCACGTTGGAGGCAGTGAAGCATGGAGAGCCGCTTGCGCCGAATGTCCTCGAATATGACGGTGCTCTTGCCCAGCTTGTTGGAGAGCTACTGTAAGATGCGCCTCTCCAGCCTCTTCTTGAGACTTCTTCGTCCAACTCTCACCCTGCCTCAACTCGCGTGGATTTGATTGAGACTTTCACTTTCCTCCTGGTCCGCATCTCACCCTGCCTCAACTCGCGTGGATTTGATTGAGACTTTCACTTTCCTCCTGGTCCGCATCTCCCTCCATTGGAGCATACCTCACAGCTTATTAAGTTGAAGAAGTGCCTTCTTCCTCCCAGAACTTCTATTGTCCAACAAATCACGCCGTCCCATCGTAGAGAGTTTGTGGCATTGAAGACCTTCTTCGATCTGGCAAAGTCGTCTCTGGTTTCAGGCCTTGACTCTTTCCGAGTTGATGTCACACAAACAAGAAGGTGCCTCTCCGCTGTGTGTTTCTTTCGGTTGGCTGCGCTCTGCCACACCTCGTGTTGCGATCCTTCTCCATCGAAAAGCCTCCTCACCAGTCATGCGCCTCAAGGCGCGTCGAGATCTGCTTGGGTTTGATGGCTTTCACCGACCAACGTCTCCTTGACCGAAGTCACGCTCTCTCGCCCTTCACGTTGAACCTCATCCGGACGTTTTCCCCTTCCACGCTCGGCACCTTTCTTCTCAGACATACGCTCCGCCGAGTATGCTGAGGAAGTCTATTCGACCCAACACCTCGTTCCGGATGGCGCCTTGTGCACCCCGGTAGCATTTTGACTTCCCGCCGCTTTGTGTTGTACTGGAACTTCCAAGCCGGCATCTTTCTTCTCTTAGAAGAATTCAGGCTGTTCCATGATGGCCCCTTCCCTCGTCCCACGCCTGACCATCGCTTTAGCCACATCTCATGTGGCAACAGAACTCAATGCTTCGGCGGCCTTTGCTTCGCAGTCTTCTAGCTTGCAACGTTTTCATTTCCACTTCACTCTCTTTCTCCGCACCAGGCTTCCACTGATTCCTTCCAAGAAGACATGACTGACCATTGTTTTCCAGGGTGCCTCGGGCTCGCTCGCCTCAACTTTTGGGGACTTCCACACTCCCAGCCAGGGTAGTGCTATGAAGTTCTTGAACGCCGGTTCGACTGCTGAAGGTTCTTCGACAAAGCGTACGTCTTTGTCACCTGTCAAGCCTGTCGGATCTGGCTTTTTGTCGCCCTCCCGCGTGTCTGCACCTCTTGTTTAGGGCCTCGTGTTCAGCACTGACACTGACACCGACCCCAACACCTCAGAGACACGCTTTGTCTGCTTCGATCTCATCCCTGAGCAATGGACCCAAGACTCTGCTGAGGGCTGTGTGCTCAACAGAGCCCTTGAATACGTAAGTTCTTCCCTCTCTGCGTGCCGAATACTCTCTGACTTCTTGACAGACTGGTCTGATCGGATTGATCGACACTGCTGTGGGTTCTCCCAGTGAGGTTCCCGGCTTCGTGAACATCTTCTGTCGCTTGGGCGATGTACATTTCCAGACTGATAAAACAAGACTCTGTTCGAGACTGTTCTTACCACTGTCGCATTCAACTTCATCAGCCATCATGAGTACTTCGGTGCTGACCACACCAAGGTCCGCACCATGTCTCATCTGCCCACCAAGATGGAGCGTCAGGATAGCGGTATCCCCGCTGACAACCGCAAGACTCTCCAGAGCGCTGTGTCAAGTGCTTGGTTGATGTACACTTCCAGACTGATAAAACAAGACCTTTCAGCCAGTGAGTTCTCTTCTTGACCCTTTCTTCTGATATACTTGCTGACCATCGTGTAGACTGGCTTGATTGGTCTCCTCGACCTGATGGTGTCGCCCTCGAATGGAACTCAACCCTCAACACATTCAGCCGAACACAACCCATGGACCTTCGGATCTGCAATGATCGCTGCCGACTTTGGCGAATGCTTTGATTACGACATGTTCATTCGATGCCTCGGGTCCCTACGTGCAAGCGCTTCGGATACATGACGAGGTATGTTTCTACTCATCGTCCGCTACCGCTGCAACTTTAAACTAACACTCTCGTGTAGGAACGCAATGCTCGTTTCCGAGGTCGTCGTCGAAGACGGGATACCGGTTTCTTCGCGTCTTGAATCCAGGAGTTTAGGGCGGGGTTCTTGTTTGGGCGTGTGACAAGGTATGTTTTAACACATCGTCCGCCACCGCTGCAACATTGAACTAACTCTATCGTGTAGTAACGCAATACTCGTTGCCGAGCTCGTCGAGAACGGGGATAGCGGTTGCATCGAGTCTTACACTAAGACATTTAGGGCGGTCTTCTTGTTCGAGTTCGTGACGAGGTATATTTCTACTCTTCACCGACTCCTTCTACATCAGAAAATCAACCCTCTCGTGCAGGAACGCAATACTCGACGCCGAGGTCGTCGGGCATAGGAATAGCGAGTACCTCGACTTTCGGAGTACGGGGTTTAGGACGCTTTCCTTATTCGTATCCGTTACGGGGTGTGTTTCTACTCATTGCCAACTTCCTCTACGACAGTGAACTAACACTCTCGTGCAGCAACGCAATACTCGACGGCGAGGTTCCCGGTCTCGAGAGCAAGGCAACCTTAAGAATTCAAAGAAAAGTACGGTTTTACTCCATTTGTTTGCGGGTAGACGAGAAGGTATACTACTTCCTTGCGCTTCATTGTTCAAAGACAAACAACTAACTCTCTTATCTAGGATTGCAGTACTCGACGGCGAGGGTGTCAAGAACGGAGAAGACATTACCGGCGAGTCTTGGAGGGGAGAGTACGGAGTGACTCCATTCGTTCGAGGGTGTCAAAAAGTACGAGTTGACTCCATTTTCTTGCGGATGCATAAGGTATGCTACTACTTCCTGCTTCATCCTTTGGCAACAAATCACTAATCTTCTTGTGCAGAGCTGCATACTTGTCAAGAGCGCGAGGGACGCGGAGAGGGAAGCTATAGGAAGTCTCGGAGAAGAGAAAATCATGGTTCTTTTTGTTCCAGGTGTGCGTAGCAAGGTAGGGACTCGAGCTACTTTCTTGCAAACCCTTGAGAGGTCGTTGGCCTTTCTCGCAAGCATCGTAACATTCAGAATCAGGATAGAAGTGGTACCGACATATCCTCATGAGCGGAAAAGCGTATGTTTCTTTCCGTGCCAAAAATGAATGCAAAACCAGAACTCTGTCAAATGCTTTCCTCAACGTGAACAACTGTGGACTGGGTTGTGATACCATACATCTTCCGAAAAGTGCATGATGCAAATGTTTTGTCGTGCGTGAACAAGGGCTCTCCACCGTAAACCAACCTTGATGGACAATGAGAATCTCGTCGAGAAGCACGGATAGCGGTAGCAACTCTGTTATGTGCCGAAGCGGCTGTCATGCAATCAGCTATTTCCTCTTTGATATTTCTGCTTTGGTCGTTGCATCATCGTCTCTGGACTGAGATAGAGTACCAATGTGACTGTGAAAAGGCATGAAGTTTTTAGCGGCCCACTACTCGTCCATTGAGAGTAGGTGGTCACTGATGCCTTCTTCGAGCGTTGAGACTACTTGGAAAATCATGTTGCATTTTCATAGCTAGATACCGATATCTATCCGCAGGCCGAAAGCCCATCTCTGTTCTATCTCTATCTGGTACCGAAAGCCTTACTTCCATCCTGGATCTTGCCTTTCCTCGCACTCTACGCCTTGAGTAGTATGACCCCACGCTGTATCTCATCAAGATCACAATACCAACCCCATCGACGACCTGAAAGCTCGTCTCTACCGCAGCCACATTCGTTACCGGAGACTCGTATCCACCGACCTCAAAGCGAGATGTGCTATCTTTTCAGCAGTGGCGAGTTGCCCGATAAGGCGGTCGACTGCGGTTTGTCTGATCTCGTTCGTATCATCCTTGTGCTTTGGGAGTCACCTGCACGGCAAAAGATCAATCGACCCATGCCAGTTCGCTACTGCTCAGATTCGTGTGCCAGTCCCTCCGTGGTGAGAGCACGACAGCGAGCATGAGTCGACCCGTGCAGCCTGCATGAAGGTTGGAAACAATTCGATGCTCACCACGCAGACGGGCTGTAGGCGTCCAAGTACACATTTTGGCAAGTTGTTGGGTGAACCTGAGCTCGAGAAGGCCGTGGAGGTCGTGGGAGGGCAATGAGGTCGTGAATGTACGTTTGGCGGCGGCGATGTTTCGTGAGAGGGCGAGACTCTGGGATGGTGTCTTGCGGAGCAGTTTGCTGGGGCACTTTCGTGAGATTGTCGTAGATGGTGCCTGACAGGCGTCTTGCAGAAGGTTGTGCTGCCGCCGCTGCTTCTGGATGTAAGATAGGCTTTGTGGGTGTCGAAGCGAGGCTCGAGGGTGTTGGAGCTGATTGGGGAAGCTTGAAACCATTGTCAACCAGTGGATGTTCCCCGAGAAGGTGATTGAGATTCGGCAGAGTCCGCAAGGCTGTGTTCTCGTCTGCAGGTCGGGTGAGCGAGCAATCGATCGAGGCAGAAGAATGTATGCACTGTAGCGACCCGCCGGCGGGCCCTGCAAAGGTTCATCGAGGCCTTATCGACTTTGTTCGCTTCCTTGGTTGTTTCGAGAACGGAGGTGCGAAGCGAGATGAGATGGACGAACCAGAATCGAACGATATACCACACATTGACGGCATCGGGAGAGAAATCTTTGACACTGTCAGAGGAGGGTTCAGAGATAGGAGCGTGAGTGATGTTGAAGATGTCTGACTTGAAATATCCTGTTGGTTCCAGATGTAGGGATGAAGAGTCACTGTCGGGATTGTGGTGCTGAGAAGAGACCATATCATCTTTGAGATACGCTCCTGACTGCCCAGACGTTCCCGGCAGACAGTCGCTCACATATTGATATCAGTCGGCGATGATCTTGCTTGTCGAGGAAGCACGTTTGAGGAAGCACGTTTCAGAGACAACACCAACCTCTGTTTACCCCGGACAACTTGCCCGACCTACACTCCTGCTCCGCGCATGGTTCATCAGCGTCTTATACTTCGGAGGCTCGAGAGGGCGGGTGTCTTTGAGACAAGGTCTGGTTCTTGGGATCTATGCAGCTGAATTCAGGGACTATGTGATCATGTCAGACGAATGTCGTATATCCTCGTTCAGCAAACCGAACATCTCAAAGCTGCCTCGAGGCCCAAATTCAGGAAGGCCATTCCAGTTCTCGGATTAGCTTCAGGGGTCACTAGTCCGCTTTGGGCAGTAACAAGGATGGGCGAGTCTCCCGTGGACGCACTCGGCAAGGCGACCACCGCAAGCGAATTTACCGCAACGTCTTGGCATTATCAGTGATTCTCACACCCACACGCACACACCGCATTCATTATTTAACCTGTCTGCTCCTCCGATCCTCTCTCTTCTTCTTCATCTACAATCCATCGCAAAATATGGTCGCCCTCCTCCTCCACCATCCGCCATCCACCTTTGACTTCTCCCTCTCTACTCCTTCATCATCTTCCTCCACCACCAACACCAGTCGCTCGGCGCGCCATCTTTCACCTCTCTCGCCACCACCAAGATCGCTCTGCTTCTCGAAGATCTTCTTCACCATTTGCCGTAAGTTCTTCTCTCATCTCTTCTTCTGTCTTCCATGTCCTGACCAATCATCAGGCGCATCTCCCTCTCCGTCCACTCAACAAACATGAGGCGCGCCTCTATGTCTCTGCACACGACGACCATCAACACCCCCGCTCTGGCTTGCGCAAACTTCTCCAATGCCCACCACCGTAAGTCTCTCTTCCAATCCCTCTTTCACTTCCTTTTTCACTTTGTCGTTCTCTTTTCTTTTCTTTTCTTTCCTTTTCCTTTTTTCGCCTTTTGATTTACTCTATCTCTTTTCCCTTCCTCTTTCGCCTCCTTCCTTCTGCCTTCCACCTTCTTTTCCTTTCGTGTCATCTGCTCCTTTTCTCCGACGTCTTTCACCTCCTTCCTTCTGCCTTCCACCTTCTTTTCCTTTCGTGTCATCTGCTCCTTTTCTGACGTCTTTCACTGCCTTTGTTTGACTCGCGCTTACACCTCGCCACAGAAATTGCATGCGCAAGCATCGGACAAGTTTCTCCGGCGCCCTTCGCTGCTCTTACAGATGGCAAACGCTATCTAGCGCTACGCCAGACTCGTCAGTCGAGTAGCCTTGTTGTTATTGTTTCTTACAGAAACACACTCTTTCTGGAGCACCGGAACGCCAACCCTCTTGGTCATCAACCAGGAGGTCGCCGCCATGAAGAAGGCCTTCGCCAAGATCAACGTTATGCCCAGATTCTTGGTCATCATCGCTTCCAAGCGTCATCACGTTCGCTTCTTCCCTCAGAGCGGTGGTGACAAGAACGCCAACCCTCTTCCCGGTACACTTGTTGAGACTGGTGTCACTCAGCCCTTCGAGAACGACTTCTACCTCTGCGCTCACACCGCTATCAAGGGTACTGCTCGTCCCGTCCACTACAAGATTGAGAAGATCAGGGACACGGGCTACGGTGAGCGCTTCAAGCACCGCGCCACACGCTCATCTACGAGCACTCATACCAGTACATCCGTGCTACCACTCCTGTCTCAATCTTCCCTGCCGTGTACTACGCCCACATATCTTGCCTGCCGCCTACTCGGTCATCGCCAGAACAACCCGGGGCTACGTGGCAATGACCCAGCAGGAAGTGGAAAACCAGGAGGGGGTTTTCAGGAAGGCAACTTACCAGTGCCTACACCCCGAGTGTGACAATAAGAAGGTGCAAGGGTACGCCAGCGAGGTCAGCCGTGCTGAACACTGGAGAAGGGCCCACGAGCCAGGCTACTCTCAATACCTGCAGTTTACTACGCTCACATCGTTTCTCTTCGCGGTGCTCACCACAGCAAATGTGCTCGTCCTGTTCACTACAACACCAGTAGCCTCAGGACAAGATCCACATTCTGTCCGGTGTCCCCAAGGCCCCCATCTACCAGTACATCCCTGAGTTTCACCGAGGTGCAAGGCAACGACACCGGCCGCCCTCAGTTTCACTCTTCCCTGCCGTTTACTACGCCCACATCGCTTCCCTGCCGTGTACTACGCCCACATCGCTTCCCTTCGCGGTGCTCACCACAGCAAGAGCTTCGTGCCACTTTTCCCCCAGCGAAGTTCAACAATGCGGGTTCACCATCAACATGTGTTTCGGTCTTCCTACTTGCTCTGAGTCGAGCACCCCCTCGTCCTCCTCCAGCGACTTCAACAATGCCCGCCCCATCAAGACCATTGGTCGACCAGCAGCGCATTGAGATCACCAGACTGCAGAACCAGGGCAAGTTCTACCAGAGACAGTTGAACGATGCTCGCAATGGTAAGTGAATCCCAAGCCTTCTTCTCACTCGTATACATGCTGATAACCTACTATCAGGTCCTGCCAGTAACGTCAACACCAGAGGTCGTGGCGGCTCCGGCTTTTCCTCTTCTGGTGAGGACACCCGCCGCCTCAAGATCGTCCTCACCGCTCTCAAGGAGTACGATCTCGAACACAAGGCCTGCCTAGACTGCAGCATCAACTTCAATTCCGAGTGGCGCGGAATTGTCGACGACATGAGGTGGAGCCAGCCGGGCAAGGACACTGATACCACTGGGAGCGACCCCCTGACATCGACTATAACTGTAGTCGGTGTCAGGAAGTTGTTTCCAGTGGTGGATGGTGTCTTGTCTTGCTGGCTCAGAGGAGGAGGAGGCTTTGGGATGGAGGAAAATGGGTTGAAGGGTCTTGGGCAGGAAACCTCTCTTCATATTGCCAAACATAACAAATCAATCCTCTCGCTCTTCTTCACAACTGCTTTCTTCTTGTGCTTTTTTGATGACTTCGAAATGTCTTCTCAACCTTGACATGTCAGCGGCGCTGCGACTCCTTTCTGTTTGTCTTTTTCTTCCTTTCTTCTCGCATCATACTGACACCACGACAGCGGGCTGTTTCGTCTACGAAAGACGCGGTACTCTTCCTTCGTACCCTCAAGGTGGACTCGTCTCACCCATCTCACCCATCTTGCCTATCCATCTCGCTCACCATCCAAAGCACCACCTCGTACGATACCGCAAACACATCTCCCGAGATTCCCTTCTTCCGCCGCCTCTCTTCTCCTGGAGACCCACATCTTTTCTCTCCCCAGATACTCCGCCTGCGACAAGCACGACACGCTTTTCCTACATCTCCATCGCCTAGTCGCAGAGAGGATAGCACGAGCAGAGAAGCGCACGGCAGACCTGCAGAGGAGCACAAGAGCATAGCAGCACATCAGAGCACCAGCCCACGAGTACACGAGCGAAAGGAGATACTCTCAAAAGAGCAGATACGCAAGCGAACAAGCCAGAGGACGGATAGACGAGGGAGCCAGGAGATGGGCACATCAGCACATTAGGCAGGAAGATGAAGGCAAGGAGATGGAGAACGAGCAGACGGCCAGCTGAGCAGTCCAGCAGCTGAAAAGAAGCAGAGCAGACGATTGAGCAAAGGAGAGGATTGGCTAACGAGCTGAGCAATGCGAGGGCAAGCCGGTGATCGTTGGTCTACAGGGACCGTGCCGCGAACGAGTACACTGATCGCTCAAGGGCCCGAGGCAGCAGGGACAGTCTCGAGGAATGCTCGGTAGGCGTATGTCATACTTCCCGCGCGAATAGTCATGGCTGACGACTTCCCAGAAGAACAATTACACGAGCTCCAGCTCATGAGGGCGAACGAACGAACAACCAGCCCAGCAGACGTTCGGCTGGCCGAAAAGCAGAAGATCGTGGAAGCAGATCAGCAGAGACGACAGGAAGAGCAGAAGAGCGCTAACCGCTGCGTGTCGCCCTCAACGACGTCTCACGGTGCTGGACAAATTGGCATTTCCAGGAGCCCAGGAAGTAGGCAGCCTGAGAAAAGAGTAATAAAGAAGTATCTTACACCGTCTATACAAACATATGAAGCTAACAAGCCTTCCAGATGAACACCCACCATGCATCTCGTCCCGTAACCTTCCTTCCTCGCTCACATACCACGCAGCTTCAACTGCTGAGTAACAGTATCTCTGATCTGCTCCTCCATCTCCCTCCACGTCTCAAACCCAAGCTTCTCTCTCGCCAGCGTAGTATCCACATTCCACGCCTCCCCCGTAATCGCCTCAGCCTTGAACCCAGCACCAGGGAACTCCTTCTTCGCAAACGCCAACGCCTCTTCCCAAGATCTATCCTTCGCCGACAACAAGAACGAAGACACAGGTGCCTCGGGCAAAGTCAAAGCCTTGACGTGGGCTTCTGCGACATCCAAGACGTGCACGCCACGGTAGGGAGCGAACATGGGCTTTTCGGAGTAGAGAGAGCCGAAGAGCATGCCATTGGTTCCGGCGATCTCGTCAGCCTTTGTCTGCAGCAGGTTCTGGCCGAAGACAAAGACGGGGTGGAGAGTCACAACGCTGAAATGAGGTTTCTTTGTTGCGACAAAGTCCAGAGTTGCGGTGTGGGCGGCCAGCTTGCTTGCTTGGTATTGGCCGAAAGGCTCCAGAGTAGGGACAATGGAGGTGTCGAAGCGCAGCTTGTCGGTCTCGATGTCCTCTGCAAATTGTCAGTATCCGTGCTCTGGACGACGGAAGACGCGGAGACTTACCTCTCACGGGAACACCATCATAGCTGCCTCCAAGAGGAATCAGCGAAGCCACCGAGGCAGTGATAACGACTTTCTTGATCGTTGGAATGTTGAGAGCAGACTCCAACACCGACGTGGTACCCTTGACGGCAGGGGTCAGAAGGTCCTCGGCGCCGCCCACGAGTGGAGAAGCGACATGGATCACATGAGTGACATCCTTGAGCGCAGCATCGAAAGCGCTGGGGATGGTGTAATCAGGAACAACAACGTAATCCACTTTGTCGGCAAAGCTGTCGAAGACGCGGCGAAGATCCTGGATTTGCGATTCACGGCGAACGCTCAATCTGACCTTGTAGCCAGCTTCAAGGGTATGTTGGACGACTTGAGCGCCGATGAAGCCAGTAGCTCCGGTGATAAAGACGAGAGAATCAGACATGTTTGAGAGGTGAGAGTCGATGAGTTGGTCGTTTGTTTGATATTTGGTGTCGCATTATCGAGGGCCGTCCTCTGGTTTTATTCTCCGTCTTACTCATACCGGACGAATGGGATTGGCGACGGTACAACGCATGGTCCGACAGCTGCTTAACAATCGCCTTTTTGTTTCTCGAATTGTCTCTGTGTTGACTGAACACGTCGTTGGGAATCGGCTGTTCAGTCAACATAAAGCTTCGGAGTCGTGTTCCTGTTGAGTCAACAGCCGAGGCTCGTTCTGGAGGTTTCGTCGGGGCATGATGAAATATACGCCTCCAGATCCTCCCGCACACTTTGCAACTCCGCAGGATTTTGGCAGGTCCTGACATCCAAATTCATCGCAGAGTCGACGACTACACGTCAAGCTACACACTGCACACGACCGGAAAAGTATTGCGAAGAGGCATCGAAGCGAGAACGGTGTACAGCCTCATTCAAAGCAAAACAATTCGTGACAGCCAGCATACCAATCAGCACATCGTCACAGTCTTGGACGAGCTCAAGAGCTTGGAAAGTCGCAACAAAGTGCGGAAGGTGGCACATTCGTTTTAGATATCCCCGGCAGTTCTTTGTGAAGCTTTTATTTACTGATCTGTGAACGCTTAGACACGCTCGTCATACAGTTTGCGGTTTTCAGGACTGGTATCATACCATCATTGGGAAGTTGAGTTCAGTCCAGGTTGTTCCTTGTGTCTAACCACTCAAGCCGCCCACATCTTCAAGTTGCGAACTTTATCCTGCGCAGTTTGAGGAATGGACAGGCTGACGCCAGTGCGCTGTTCCTGACATTCCAGTTGCCATGAGCACTGGGTGATAGACACTACTCTCAAGCGCTTATGACGGACATGATGGCAAAGACAACAACTGCCGTAACGGTGACAAGCAGGCCAAAGGAGAAGCCGGTGGTGTAGTAGACATAGAAGGTTGCAAGGCAAGCAGCGGCGAAGAACCTGCTGTCAAATGGTCCGATGGGCCAAAATGGATCCGGAGACAGAATGCTTGGAACACTCATATTCGAAACGTGACGATAACTGGCGGGGACCGATCCGAACTGCAACCGGTGAGAATTTGCCAGAATGGCGAATGAACGTAAGGTGGGTGAGCCAAGCAGTGAAGTGGAAACAAGAATCGGCAAGGAAGAATAAGATACACCAAACTGGCGAAGCAATAGCGGGATTAAGAACTGATGGCGCGAGCCATCTTGGCGTCGGCCCGCGAGTGGGTGAGTGGGGTTCGACGTTCCATTTGCCAAGAGAATGTGCATGGACATGCGATGTCAAGATTCGGCAAAGCGCTATCATTTCCGTCGTCAAAACATTTTACCTCCATGACTTTTCCCTTCGTTCTGACTCCCCTAGTCTTTCGGTTCCACTTCGTCTCCAAAGCTGAGCATGGGGATAAGCATCAGATCCTGGGACTTTTGGATCCACGCCTGTAGTAGATTGGGTGTTTGTATGTCAAGCATGACTGACTCAAGAAGCTTTTCAAAGCCGCCGCCATTGACGAAGTTTCAAGTAGGTCAGGACATGGCTTAGCAGATGTGCGTGCTATACACGTGCAGTAGCATGTGGTTGAGCACTTCTCCTGATTTAGTCTGAATCGAAACTCCGCGGATAGCGGCACAGAAGAAGTGGGACGAACGTCAAGTTCTTTAGAAGGATTCTACGCTTTCGTAACACGAGGCAAGTGATCTTCTTTGCATGCGACAGACTAGTGGAAGGCTTTTCTATGCTTGCCTCGATATCGACTAGGTCGAAGACATCGTGAATGGTAATCGGGAGCCAATTCACTTGGAGCGACGTCCTATGGGCGTGATATGCTCGATCCTTCGTGCTTCATGATTATGATCAACATTCAACTGCATCATGCAACAGATCAGATGTTCCTGATTCAACGTCCTAGGCTGCTAACAAGGCTGCGAAGAAACTCCTATATAAGAGGCCTCTCCTGCCTTGGGAAGTTGAAGCACTCATCCATCAATTGGCTTGATTTCATCGACTCTTACCCTCATCATGAAGTTATCCTCCATCACTCTCATATCTACCATTGCACCCCTGGTGGTGTTCGCAACCTGGAAGCTTGACGCTCGCGTTCTGGCACCAGCTCTTGGTGCTATTGGATACGTCTGCGGCACCGGCAATCTTCCCGGCTGCATCATCACCGCCGTGTCTGCAATCATCTTGACCGCCATCTCTGGTATCAACCAAGGCACGCCCTCAGGCACCGATGGTTCTCCGGTACGCCGTGGTGAAGGCCACAGCATCAAGCACTACCACAGCGACGGCAGTGTCTTTGACTTTCTCAATACGACCGCGCTGGAGAAGGGCGCCTGGCATCGCATCATCACCAACGGCGTTGAGCTACTGGCTTCGAAAGGCGACGACGGCAACAACATGATCAAAGCCTCATTGATTCCCAAAGGCAATGTCAAGCGTGCCGAAGACCCCAATGCCATCCAGGAGGTCACCGCGCAGTGGGGTAACAGGAACTGGCCCGTCTCCAACCAGTGGTCTCAGGAAGAGATTGACAACATGGCTTCTCAGCTGCTCAACACCGACAACTTGGACGCGCAGGAGTACTGCAGCACCATCTCCGATGACACTGACGATGACCGCTTCGACCTGTCATGGACTTTCGACACCACGAACCATTACCATAACGAGTTCCCTCCCCCATGCGGCTTCTAAGCAGTCTCTGAATTTGCTGGATACTATAACCTGCCAAAGCATGCATGATGCAAGCTAAGGTTATGCTAGACGCCGTACCGAAAGACAAAGAGCGCCAGAGCGTCTGTTTTGTGAGGAAAATAACGTATCGTTATCTTGAAAGCTTCCCTTGATCTTTCCATGTTCGTGTTTATAGAAGACTGGTTGTGCCACAATTTGGCCTCTTTCGAATTATACTATGCTAGGTTACTTGAATTTATTTCTCTGCATTAGATTTTCGAGCGCATTACTCGCGACTCTCTAAAAAGACAACTTAAAGTCATGCGCTGTTTTCGTTGTCAAGTTCGAGCGGGCGGTAGTGTTCACCTGTCGTAAAAGGGATTTTTGTGCTCTTGGAGTTTCTATCATACTCCTAACAGCGATGACGGTATGCAAAAGCTGACAGAATATCATTCAAGGTTTCAAGGGCACTCGTGATGGATATACCACATCTGGGTTTCTTTCCTAAATCAATAATGCTCGGGGTAGAGCAGTGATCATCATCTTGCGTGGTGAGAAAAGAGGTTGAGCCTCATGACAGGGTCATACCCTAGTTTACCTCGACTTGACAAAATCCGCATGCGGTTGTCTTCCTTTGGGCTTGTCAATCAGCAACTACGGCATTACCGCCGACCCGGAAGACGAAGAACATCCTTTTGATCAGTTCTATGGAGTCAAGAATGTTGTTTTGAAGCGAGGCAGACCTTTGCAGTTGAGGGTACCTGGAGGCCAGACGCAGTCGCCAATTCAAGGAGCCGAGTTCACCACCGCTTACGACGACATTCTATTCGCATCTGTACGAACAGTAGCGAAAGTCAGCAATGTGGCAGGAACATGCCATGGTAATTCATCCACTGCCCACCAAGTCTTCCGCAAGAAACTGATCACATCCCAGGCTTCTTCTTCTACAAATCCGACACCCAAGAAATCGACATAGAGATCCGCACATCCTTCCCCACCACCCTCTTCCTCACAAACCAAAAATTCTCACCCAAAGCCCTAACCTCAACCTTTGACACCAAATCACCCCTTGACATGACTTCCGACTTCCACGAATACAGATTCGACTGGTTGAAAGGTGTCACCAAGCTCTATGTGGATGGCAAATTCGTGGGGTCGTTGAGGAAGAATGTGCCGACGATGCCTGGGTCGATGGTTTGGAATAACTGGGCGAATGGGGGCAGTTGGAGTGGTGGGCCGCCGGAGAGGGATAGTGTGCTTGAGACCAGGTCGATTGAGATGTACTATAATAGGACTAGTGTTATTGGTGTTAATTGTAAGTAGATGATGTATGTGGAGACTTTGTCGAATGCCAGAGGTATGCGAGATGGGGAAAGCTGCCATCTACCGCTATAACCACACAAGTAGGCGGAGTGTTGTGTGATATAATAAAGCGAGAAGACAAAGCATGCACATAGAAGTAAAGGGGGAAACGACTCGTCCTTGTGGTATGAGCGTCAGGAGACCAGGAAGACAGAGATGACTACTAGCCTTCGCGAAGACCAAGACCCACAACTATACCCGCGCGAGTGGCGGCATGACGCTCTCTCGTTTCTCAATCCAGAGAGCCAAGGCACGAGCCAGTACATGTGAGTACGCTTACCTGTACAGATAGAGTAGACAGATGGGGAGAAGACCGTGTATCGTCCTCTGTCTGCTTACCACGCTAGTTTTCACGCCCATTTGGTGAGACAAAGGATGGTGGTAAGAAAGAAAGACCGGTGGTGGGACGAGGGAGGTTCTTTCCACCCAGCTCAGATTCGGAAGCAGGGAAGTTTTATAAGCGGAACGACTAGCCAGGACTATCTCCAAGACTAACACCTATCACCCAAAGCGTGTGATAAGAAGAAGAAAGCACATCTAGAGGATGACAAGATTGATTGGTAGGCTGGGACGTGGGGGAGCGCAAGAAAAGTCATTGTTTTTGCTATGTGATGGGAAAGCAGGTTGCGCAGGTTGAGCTCCTTGATTATGAGACATTATTGAGGCCTATTGACCTTTAATCTCCTTCTCATCGCTCGCGATTCGTTCTTGTCCGTGACTTGCCTCCGTGACGAGAGCCTCCTTTCCTATGACCACGCCACGCTGATAAGCCGGCAGCCGTCTCCACGCAGGCCTTGCTCTCCGCCTCGAAGTGCTGAGCAGCCACATGCTTCCTCTTGACCATATAGGCCTATGCATCCATCGACGACCTTCAACAATGGTTTGTTCGAGATCAGTATTCCAAAGAGCTCTGTCACCATCTTCGCGCCAGCCTCTTCGCCCAATTAATCAGAAGAGCAGTGGTGGGGAAGAGTCGAGGTGCGATGGAGAAGTTGTCCCGTACCATCTGGGTCCCAGGAGCAGGGTGATGAGAGAGTTTCATGCTCTGTGTCGTGGTCAGCGTGTGGCTCAATCGGGTCTCAGGAAGGTGGAGAAGAAGGGGCCTCAGGTCTGGGGTCACAGAAGGAGAGGGTCCTGAAGCTCCAACAGCAAGGGAGTGTTTGACTTACAGTTCACCAAATGACCATGAGTGCTTCCACGTCTACATTATCTCAGGATGGCTTGGTGGTCGGGATTGATTGGAGAACTGGCTGGGCGTGATACCTGGCCCTCTTAGCCTCGAGCTTAGCTGCGCGAGCAGCAGTCGCACGAGCCAAGACAGCAGGGGGATCGCTGATCGGAAGCTGATAGGCTCTAGATGAGAGTTGCAACGTGGATGGTGGTGCAGGGAATAGGTCGAAGAAATCCTTCTTCGCCTTCTCGAGGGGCTTGATCACAGACGAGGCGGACATCATGTATTCCCTGCCTTTGTGTTGTTGAATGCGTTTAGTGACTCCCAGATCCCCCATATGACCATTCCAACGTGGGTAGTTTTCAGGGTCCTCATCATTGATCCCCATCCTGTCTTTTTGGGCACGCTTATGGGGATGTCTGTCGATGAACTCGGAAATGATCGTGTGAGAGGTGCGCAACGTCCTTGCGAGATACGCGTCGCCCTTGGAGCAAACACCGGCGGTACCGATCTCAGTAGTCGGCCCATTTCCGCCCTCGCTATGCGACAGTCAGCAATGTATGGGTATATCATCCCAGGAAACGTACAAGTCAAGGCCAAGGATGTATACCTTGGGACCGTTCATCACCGACATCCCGAGCTCAGTGGCTCTTGTCTCTACCATAAAGATCATGGAACCACTTGTCACCCATGCATCGTCTTGTGCGTTATGGTGCAGTGGACGGTCGTTGGGATTCTGGGTGATTTCAGACTGGGTGGTCATCTGCCCAAGGCCGCATACCTGGTCAAAGGTCTGGTCGAGAGACCACTTTCGACCCTTGCAAGGGTGTGGCTTGAAGTATTGTGCTAGCGTCTGGGTGTCGACGACGTGCCAAAAGGTACGGTTTCTGAAGCACAGTCAGTGGTGATACAGGTACATGTCTGAGTCACTAACATCTCGACACCCAGTGCCCTCAGTCTCTCTTCATCACCACCCTTAGTTCCACGGTCGTGGACCACAAGAATGGTGGGTACCACCCCATCCTCGAAGTTCGCGGGAGTGCAGAGTATGTTCACGAGCTGATCCAATGATAGCTCCTTGCCGGTATCGTTTCCGTAGCCTAGGCTTGGAGTTGGTGGGGAGGTCATCTTTGTGATGATGTTTGAGAGAAGAAAGACAAAGTTGCGAGAAGTGGAAATCCTAAAAACATCAACGCAAAACGCCAAGCTTTCGACATCGACAACCATCTCCTCTTTGGGTGTCCTACTAGACAATATCAGGCTTGGACTGACTCTTTGTTTCGACAATTCACCTATGGAGAGGAAATCCACCGAAACCATAACCGGATGCAATGGAGCAGCTGGCTAGAGATCCCTTTGGCCTTGCAACTACTGTTTATTGTCTCTTAATCTGTAGGCTTTCTATGCTCTATGGTCTGTCTTGCTACCACATCGACTTATTCCTTCCTCCACCCTGCGTTATGCTATTCTTCTATCGCTCTCATATCTTATCTTCCCTTACTCTCTTTCGCTGCTGCCTCTACTTCCTAACATCTTAGGCTGTAATGATACGAGATCATATATCCATCGGTACGATTACATAGAAGAACGTTGTCCAGAGAGAGCTAACATTCTAGCTTCTCCTTCTAGATAGCACGATGCCTTAGAAAATCATTGTTCATTTTTCTACTCGTTATCATAACTCCGTCTCGGACATGAGAGAGCAACATTTCGTTTGGGTGTTTTTAGTATCTTACTATTGTTTTTGGAATCTATATAATGCGCATAAGTGACGTAGCGAGCACTTTCTATATAGATGTCTTCGGTTTCCTTTATGCAAGGGATATATGTCCAGTCTCATGTGCAAAGCAGCATTTGCTACTCTCGCGTGAGTTACGGCGGAACACATGATCCATCTACATGTCCCTTAATAAGTTCTCAATATTCTTGGATGATCTCTCTCCTTCCAGTAAAGTGCTACTATCTTCGCGCGAGTCACGGCGGAGTGTGTTTCTAAGAGATAAAAGCAGTAGATGTTATTTGTGGTAGAGCATTTCAACTCACTTGCCTCCTCTCTCGCCTGTTTTTCACCTCTGCGTATCTGCCATGTCGTTATCATCTCAAGCAAAAAAGTCGATCTCACTTCCGCGCGAGTTGCGGCGGAGCGAGTGTCTCCAAGAAACATCTCGTCAGGCAGCACATGTGTTTTCTTCACGCGCCATCTCACATGCATCTCGCTTTCCTTTGAGCAGATCTTCCTTCGCCATCTGACAGCTTTCCTTCTTCACCTGTTTTTTTCACCTTACAACAATAACTCATGGCGGGGCGTGACTCTTTCCACCTTCTGGTCAGACAAATGTTTTTTCACTTATCATTCACCCCTTGCTTCGTTTCTTACTCCTTGCTTCCTACGTCATCAGCATCTCATGTCATTCTCATAACACAGTGCACCTCGAATTGCGGCGCAGCGTATTACATTCAAACATCTGCTAAGACAAGGATCTTTTTCTTCTTCGAACGTCCCTACTTCATCGTCCCTGCTTCATCGTCCCTGCTTCATCGTCCCTACTTCATCGTCCCTACTTCATTATCATTCGCATCTCATGTCACCCTTAAACCACAGCGTACACCGACTCACGGCGGGGCGTGTCACTTTTGACCATCTAGTATGACAAAGATCTCTCTCTGCCAGTGCTTCACCCTTTACTAACTACGTCATCAGTATCTCATGTCACCTTCATAACGCAGTGCACACCGACTCACGGCGTGGCGTGTCACTTGTGTATGTCTAGTAAGACAAAGATCCCTCACTCCCTGTCCATCACCCTTTACCAACTACGTCATCAGTATCTTATGCCACCTTCACAACACAGTGCACACCGACTTACGGCGCAGCGTGTTACTCTTGCACCTCTAGCATGTTCAAGATCTCTCTTCCTATCCATCACCCTTTACTAACTACGTCATCAGTACCTCATGTCTAGAGATCTCTCATCTCCAAGACCTGGGAGTGCAGTCTTAGCCGACGCAAGGCGGGACTGCACTCCCATTCTAAGGGCTCGCCGCCCTCTTTCCCCGGCCAAGGCTTTCTCGTCCATGAACACACTGTCTGGCTGGGGCGGGGTAGGCGCAAACATTTTCATCACACAATTTCATCATCACAACACCAAGGTAAGATCTCACCTTCCGCGCTTCATCGATATCTTACTCACACTCTTCCAGTTCCACACCAAGGGCTCGCCGCTCTCTCTCCCCAGCTCATCATAATCAATCATTGCTGAGCTGGGGCGGGGTACGCGGAAACAAACATATTACACGACTTCATCACCACAGCATTCAGGTAAGATCTCACGTTCCGCGCTCCATCGATATCTTGCTTACACTTTCCTAGTTCCACACCAAGGGCTCGCCGCCCTCTCTCCCCAGCTCATCATAATCAATCATTGCTGAGCTGGGGCGGGGNCTCCCACGAATCCGGCTACAGCTGCGGAAGCCGCAATGGCCGCCGCAGCTGCCAGTCTCTCCACGCCTGGTTTCCGCGACTTCAGCGAGTGCTTTGATTATCCAGATGCCATTGAGAGGGTTGTGTTCAACACCTCCAGCTGAACACAACCCTCTCACTCGGCTTCATCGGTCACAGTGCGTCCTTCCGCCGCCGCAGGCATCCGAAGATCTTCGTTCCTCAGCGAGATCAAGTCTGGAGATCTGAGAAAGGCACCCGTCTCTGGAGCCACAATGCCCTCTAGTGGATCTCAACCCTCAACACCTTCAGCCGAACAAAACCCATGGACCTTCGAGTCTGCACTCGGCCGTGTTCCATCAAATGGCTCCAACGGGGGGTCTGGGCTACGCCCCACTCTATCTGGGGCGCAATTCCCAAAACCAATCGATCCCAGTCGTACTCGAATTCAATCCATATTCATAACGAAAATGAGAGGGTTGCAAAAGACCTTCCTGTTTTCTGTGTCTCCAGTCGAGCATACGAAAAACTTTCTGGCAGACTTCTGAAGGACAACGCCGTCCGTGGGTTCACTGATGTCGATCAAACCGAGGTGAGTTCCATGGTCTTTCATTCGGCTGTTCACTGCTAATTTACTCTAGATTCCTGCCCTCAAAAGGCACTGTCCTCTCCTGCCTTTGCATCTCAACCAAGTCCAGGCATCATCGATCAAACCGAATCGTTTCCCTTCAATAATGCTTTGCAACCAACCATGAAGACACATCGTTCCCAGTCGTACTCGGTACTCAGCTCCAGACTGAGCCAGATCGCACAGGTATCTGCGCTGCTGGCAGTCTTCTATCATCTCGACTGACTGCTGCTGCCGTCAACTACTATGCGACGCACGGCGGGGTTTTACAAACTTTGGAGACACAGAGATCGCAGTCGTACTCGGTATTTAGCTCCATACCAAAAACGACTGCAGAGGTACATGCGCTGTTGGCAGTCTTTCATGGTCTCGGCTCGCTACCGCTGCCGCTAACTACTACGCGACATACGGCGGGGTGTAGCAGAGTTTGAAGACACATAGATAGCAATCATACTCGTTTCTCTGTTCCTTCTTCCATCATCTCGAGTGGCTGCTGCTGCCGCCAATCACTACGTGATGCACGGCGGAGTGTAGCAGAGTTTAAAGACACACAGATAGCAAATCATACTCATCTCTCTACTCCTTCTTTCATGATCTCGACTAACTGCTGCTATCGCCAATTACTACGCGACATACGGCGGGGTGTATGAGAGCTTCAAGACACATAGAAGGCAATCTTACTCACTGCCCATCCTGAAGGTGAATGGGATGCTAGGGCTTTAGACATTCTTTTGCCATCTCGACTCGCTACTACTTGCAACGACTACGTGCGATACACGGCGTGGTCGCTCTTAACTCTGCTTAGCTGGCAGTTGAGGAGAATGGGGGAAACAGACTGGGTTTCTTCTATATATATTCTTGGAATCATCATTTGCTCATCCCTTGCATCGTTGTCGCAGAAATGCATCTCTTACTAGACTTTCCAATTTTGTCCCTTGCATGATCTGCTCCGTATATATGTACCTCTCGCGAGTTTAGCGAACCATCGAAATACGCTGTAGAAATGCACGATCATTTTAAGAATACAGAGAACGTCCACTGAGATTTTCCCACCTGATGCATGCTTTTTGGATCATGGAGATCATCTAATTGTACGCTTCTTGGGCATTCCATCTAACCTGAAAACCACTGTGCCTTTTGATGACTTGTACCTGAGGGTCGGTCAAGTAGAGAGATGTCTTTCGATACTCTACCTAGAGCTAGATTCTTGAGAGCCCGACTCTCTGAAGAGATATAGTCATTGCTACTTGTACAGTTAGCGTAGGAGAGAACTGAATTTCGAGGCCAAGTTCATGTTAACGTTCCCTAGTAACATGCTGTTGTAATTCTTTGTGCCATTGACGAACAGCAGATGGCGATATCGGTTCTTTCAAAGGCCTATCACTTGTGGTTGGTGGTCATGTCTTGGCGTATACTCGTTGCCGAGTGGAGCACGGTATTTTGAAAATTCTCAAACCCGGACCATCTCAAATCGATAAACTCCCACAAGTTCTTGTCGCAACTTTTCGCCAACAACAACACAAACATCCTCTTCCAAAATCATCAATCTCACAAGATGAATAGAAACGGCCAGATCAACCCCCCTCGCCCCTCCACTCGCAACGTACGCACGCGTATATCCCTTTTGCTTCGCGCATACTGACACCCGCAGGCCTCCGTACGCGCCCTGGCCGAGATATCAGCCTCCCGCGCCGCCCGCTGCGAAGCCCTCGACCACCGCAACTTCCTCCTCGTAAATCCTTGTGCACCCATGAACCCTATCATACCACTGACACTCCCTCCTTAGGACCACGAGGATGTCGGCTATTACATGCAGGCCAGTGTTGAAGAAGCAGCCCGCAGGATCAATGAGGCCGCAGGCGCCACCGTCACCAACGTCATCCACCTACTCAACCGCTCTGCCGCCGCAGCCGTCGCCCAAATGACCGCCGAGTTTGCGCCTGTCGCCGCCAGAACAAAGGCGCTGGTGGCCGGTGTGGCCAGCAGCAGAGAAGTCCAAGCTATCAACACTGCTTTCGGGCTTGCTGTTGACAAGACGGAGAAGCTGCAGAAGGAGCTGGAGGAGGTGAAGAAGTTGCTTGCTGAGGAGAAGCAGAAGCGTGAGGAGCTGGAGAAGAAGGTTGAGGAGATGTGTGAGTGGATGAAGATGAATGCTTGATCATCTCGTTGAGTGTGACCTGACTACGTCTCCCTGGCATCATTGAGCCTGGGGAGAGCATAACACTTGAATGAAAGCAACACTCGCGTATCATCTCTTCCTTCTCCTACTCGTTGTTTGATGTGACTGTGCTCGTGTCTGACCTGAATAGGCTGACGCTTGTAACCCTATGTCTATTTCTGTACCTGCACGTAGCCTGTCAGACTGTCTATATCAATGCAAGGTTGTATTTGCTTCCATCTAGTTGTCTAAAGAGAGCTTGTGTTGGTGATACTTCCAGTGGACAATTAGCTCACTTTCAGTTACGTTCTTGCATCTTGAGGTAGGCAAAACAATCTATCCAAAGGCAAAGTAGTTTTCATTTCCGTCTGACTGTCCAAAGAGAGTGTAGAGAAGATATGCTCCCAGTGGACAACGAGCCATTTCTCCAAATTCCCCTGCGTTTTGACAGGATGGTTGGAACACACTTCGTCCACTAGAGAGTTCGATCAATAACCCCATCTTCGCAAATACCTATCCAAGTTCTCTCTAATTGCCTTCTTCGCAGCAAATTTCTGCTCGTCCGTCTTCCTCGCCAACCATCGTGGCAAATTGAAGAATGGCGGACAAACGTCAAGCAGAAACCAGTAAATATCGGCAAGCTGAGTAATGTTCTCGATATCCTTGGGGCTGGCCACATGATGCTTCTCCAACGCTGCTTGCCATAGTCTTGCGACTGTCCAATCGACTGATCCGCTCGTTGCTTCTTGAGCGGAGGGAGTACTTGGGAAGCCTTCAGTCTGATAGCGTCTGAGAAGCTGCAAGTCTTCGTCTTCGAAGGGACCGGGAACAAGTCCGCAGAAGCTGGGGAAGGAGTAGAAGTACTCGTCTGCTGGCGAGGCGATGTGAGAGAAGTCGAAGTCGAGCAGGCCGGTGATTTGTAAAGTGCCTGGATCGATTAGGATGTTCTCTGCTCCTATTCTGATGTCAGCTATTGGGTTATCCATGGCAGTCGTGATACTGTCGCTGACCGAAATCTCCGTGAACCAGTGTAGGCTGAATATCGCCAGTGTGTGCCAGAAGGTTTGCAAACCCGCCAGAAGTGCTGAATCTCTGTAGCCGCTCTTGCAGACCAGTACCTTTCCAACCATCCAATAGCGGTGTTGCTTGCGTCAACTCAAGCTGTTTGGCAAAGATAGCCTGGTACATCTCCGCATAAGTAGAGAAGGGACCGACAGACCAAAGCGATGACCGACCAGCGACTACCTCGCCATTTACATCGAACCTCAGACCTCCAAATCCCTTTACGTCATGCTTGGAAGATTGGATCATCTGGAAAACTTGGCGACTTGATCAAGCACCACTGCCTTCTTGTCGGTCTGCAGATCAGAGAAGTGGAGACTGAGCTGCTCTCCGTGAAGATACTCCTGTACTATCCAACCAAGACCGTGCTTGGAGCCTTGCCAGGCAAAAACTTGCGGAACGATCTTGCAAGGGTAGCTTATCAAAGCTTTCTGTACAAGAGAAATTGCTGCGACTTCATTCTCCACTCGGACTTCCTCGTCAATCATGGCGTTGGGGTTTGAGAGTCGTACCACAACTTTGATCACAGATGAATCGAGTTTAGCAGTACCAGGCTGTGAAGCTGAGGTGTTCGTTCCACTGTGTCCTATGGCTTCGGCGAGATCCACTAGATGCACGAAGTTGTTCGAGTCGCGACCCAATGGAGCTACAGATATGACCTGGACTCTGTCAGCCATCATCTCAATAAGGCAGATATGAGGTATTTGCCTTGCGACCACAGTTTTCGAAGATGAGTGCCTTGATAATCTCTGTTCGGTGCTCCAGAGTTGCCAGACCTGCAGGGAGGGCGGTAATCGTGTCGGACATGCTTGGAGTTCTACTTGAACGATGGGCTTCTTTAAATTCGCTAACGTGATGCTTAGATGTGTTAGGAGGGAGGAATTGGAAGAAGTTCATGGTATCTAGACATGTGTTGTGTTGAGTCGGGTTGAATCGCGCTTATCTCGTATCGTGGCGCCATCTCCCGTCGCGTGTCGCAATCTAAACCACCTTCCTCAAACGGTATACCATAGCAAGAACTTTTCGTGCAGCGTGAATCAACACTCCACGATGACGAAGCTGCTTCTCGGGGCTTTGTCGTCAAGACGACAAAACAGCATCGAGGTGCAGTGCGGCTGGGGTAAATGTTGGAAAAAGAACAAAGCAGAGATAGCCTCCGAACGTAATCGCACCTCCACTGCAATACGCTAAAGGATCTTGGATCGCTGATCTTGACTGATCCGGGGATGATACACTATCACAAGACCTTACAGAAGAAGATTTGGATGATTAAGAAGAGATGAGATTGATGGACAGGGTGATAGTCTCAGCGACAAAGCGGCTTTGTTCCGCGACGGCCGCGATCGGGCACGGAAGCGGGGAAGTGAAGCCGGGGTACGGCAGGACCTTCCGAATCAAGTTTAGCAGGATCGAACGACTTTCTTTGTTCTCCAGATCTCGTCGCGTCCATTTTTTCGTCGTTGTCAATTGTACATCGTTATCATGAAGAACGACATCGCTGGCGGCGCGACAGTCACTATGACCGAGCCAACGCCAATGCAAGCTGCAGCTATCGCGTCTGGAGGTGGTATCTGGGGTGATCCGGCGGTCGAGCTCAGTACAATGGGTGATCAACGTCAAGCTTCACGCGTGAGGAGTATGGAAGTGTCGCAAGAGGACGTCAAGCTCATCTCCAAGAAAGGCAATGCGATTGTCATGGGTTGTATCGCTTTCAGTACTGGTATCGCATCTTTCTTGGCCGGTGTCATCACGATCGCTATCCCAATCATGGCCAAAGACCTCAACATACCGGAGAACCTGGTTTTGTGGTGAGTGGAAAACCACCAAGAACCACCTCGAGTCTAGACATTGGATGCTAATATAACATCCAGGCCTGTAACAGTATATTCTCTGGCTTGTGGTTGTACACTCCTGGCTTGCGGATCAGTCTCAGATGTCATTGGAAGCAGACGAATGTTCTTGTCAGGCTGCTTCCTCCAATGCTTCATGACAATCGCTTGTGGTCTGTCGAAGAACACCGCCCAGATAATCGCCTTCCGCTCCTTTTCTGGTATTGCAGCCTCTTTTTGCTTGCCCTCGGCTGTCAGTCTCATCAACGAGGTGTTTCCGCCCGGCAAGGAGAGAAACATCACTTTCGCCATGATGGGCGGAGCTCAACCGTTCGGCTTTGGTATCGGTATGGTTCTTGGAGGTGTCTTTACCGGAACGATCGGCTGGCAGTGGGGCTTCCATGTCGCCGCCATCATCAACTTCTTCATGTTCATCCTGGCTGCATGGCAGTTGCCCCCCACTCCGGTTGCCCACAAGCAACGAATCTGGTCTCGCCTGGCTACCGACATCGATTGGCTGGGTCTCATACTTGCCAGCGGCTTCCTTGCTATGCTCTCATACGTCATCTCGTAAGTCACCAACTCCAACTCTACTCGAAGCAGACAAAGACTGACACGTTCCTAGAGCATTAACTGGCGACTTGACTGTCATGAAGAAGCCCATCAACATTGTTTTACTGGTCCTGTCTTTCGTTTTCCTCCTGGCTTTCGTACTGTGGGTCGGCCGTCAAGAGCGCCTCGGACGTCCAGCTCTGATCCCAAACTCGCTCTGGCAGCACAAAGGCTTCTCGTGTATCTGCTTCAACGTCTTCTGTGTCTGGGCAGCCTTCAACGCTTTCGAGCAATACGCCAACTTCTTCTTCCAGGATGTACAAGGAAACAGCCCTCTCGGCACTGCTCTTCGCTTCTTGCCCGCTCCCGTCTCAGGCGCTCTCGCTAATGTTGGGGTTGGTTTGCTTGTTCACCGCATTCGTGGCGATTGGATTGTAGTGCTTACGAGCATTGTATCCGCCCTCGCTTCGCTGTTGATGGCGATCATTGACCCGAGCTGGTCATACTGGCGCTGCGCTTTCGTTGCTCAGTTCTTCAATCCTGTTGGCGCTGATGGCATGTTCACGGTCGCCAATCTCCTCATCACTTCCATGTTCCCGCCCGGCGAGCAAGGTGTCGCTGGCGGTGTGTTCAACACCATCTCGCAGACTGGAAAGAGTGTTGGTATGGCTTTGACATTGCTGATTGCTCAACAAGTTACCGCCAACTCGTCGTATGCCGACAAGACGTCTCCTGAGGCCTTGATGGTCGGCTACCGAGCTGCTTTCTGGTTCTGTGTTGCTCTGATCGTTGCGTCTCTTCTTGTCAGCGTCTGGGGTCTGAGAAGGATCGGAAAGGTCGGTCTTAAGAAGGATTGAGTGTGCTCTGCCGGATAATCTGTCGCTACTAAAAAGTTTGCTTTATCCTTACACATCTTCAATATACAAATCACTTCCCTCAACCTATACCACTTGTCCAAAGACAGTCGACAAACTCGACATCCCAGCGACACGCTGCCTGATATACTATACGTCAAAACGCAAGGTTGAGTTCATATCAGCTGCCATGTCCAAAGAGAGTGATGCCTCTGTCAGCTCTCACTGGCCATTCATCCTATCCCTAATAACCTCTTGCATTCTGATGTACGAGAATACACATTGGTGGGCGTCTGAGGAGGAGAGAGAGCAGCTCATCCACTGCGCCGAGCGGTGACAGATTATGTGCATCAAAATGCAAGATGGTATTAAGATCTATCGTGTTGGCCAAAGAGAGCATGGTGTATCGTGACTCTCGCTGGACATCCCACGAATATCTAATACCTTGTTGCCTTTTGACAGCTATCTTCTGATCCCTCGTTGATGCTGTGGAGACCCTCACTGCCCGTCATGATCTTGTGAACGCCAAGACAACCCTTCACGTCGCCAAAATTCTACTATATATTCCACCCCTCGTTTCTGAATTTTCCATCAAGATCACTTACAAAATCCCACCATCACCACAGTAACTACACCTCTTGTCTCATATCAATGTCCCCTATACTAACACCCGCGAGCAAAAAATGGCATCAACCTCCGCTCCCGCGCGTTCTCCCGGCGCGGACAAGCCTGGCGCCGGCAAGCGCGCCGCCACCGCCGCCGCACCCGAGGCTCCCGAGCCAAAGCGCCGCAAGGTGGAGGTCGGTGTGAGTACTACTAGTTTGGTTTGCAAGGGGTTTGATACTGATATGTGTCATGTAGGGCCTAACCCGCGAGGAGCGTCTGGAGGTCATCGTACGTGTCGCCAACATCATGCATCAAGGGCTTCATACTGATAACCCTCTTGCAGGACCTCACCGTTGACGACGAAGATGACGAGGATGAGGAGAAGAAGGAGAAGAAGGAGGCTGTGGCTGACCCCGAGGTGTTGGCCAAGCTCACTGTATGTTCAGCAATGTACAGTGATACGTAGATACTGACTGTTAATTAGATGACCCCGGAGCAACACCGCTCCTGCATGGAGATCATCCGCAAGGGTGAGCTGGCCTTCAAGGTAAGCTTGATACCATGCACTATATGTGGTGAATTCGCTAACCCTCGTTCTAGGCCATCCTCGAGGGCAAGCCCGTTCCCAAGGAGTAGGAATTTTGATAGTCCAAATCTGATCATTTTGCTTGTGTAAACCTTCCCTCATCTCACTCTGTCTGTGACTTGTGTTGTAGTGGCTGCCAGCATCTCTTCCGCCTTCGTCAGCCATATCAACAATTTGTATACCGGCAGCAACGATCCGTTCATCAGCGACGACGGCAGTAGCGACACCCTTGAAGCTCTCAACCTGGATGCCCGGTGCCCGCGTCCTTGCGCTCCAAGGCGTCCTCGTGCCCCCGAGTGACGAGATGGCACAACTTCGTCTCCTCGCAGCGTAGTCCATAGATCTTCGCATCAAGCAGGACGTCAAAAGCCCTGTGGATAGGATGGCCGAGCAGGTCAACGTTATGAAGAGGGAGATCGAGAGCCTGAGAGCGTAGATCATTGGCCTACTGCCTGAGCATGCTTGAAAGGGCGTCTGATAGCTGCTGATATCCTGGATTGACAAACTGCATGGTGCTCGCAATCGAAGGTGTTGGGACTACGGGACTGCGAGAAGATACATCATGCTGGAGGGGTAAAAGCTATATAGATGGTCCGAAGAAGATGGCTTATCTAGGCTAAAGTGTGCTCTGAAGATGTAGAACAGGCCCCAGACAGCAGACATGCTCAAGAGCGATTATCCAAACAATCCAAACCGCATGGACTCGCACGCGAATCAGTGATGTAATCGTCAAACGATCGTGCACCGAAAGCTTGTGTTGGTGTTGCAAGCTCGGCGGTCGGACTCGGCTGGCTGGCTTACCTGAATGCTCAGCTTTGGGCTCTCTTCCTTCTCTCCACTCACAACCAAAATCATAACACGCAACTTTACGCGACAAGCTATCAGCTACACATTGCATCCCCTCACAGAGGCTTGGTACGTGCTATTCAGACGTCTCAGGTGTCTTCCCTAACGTTTCCGGCTTCCAGAAGTTGTGTTACCAAAACCAAAACAAACCATCTCATCCCAAACACGCGTCTACATCACTCCACCTCACCTTCTTCTACCATCTATCCATCCATCAAACGTAAGCACACGTCTCTCACATACCTTCAAGGTCAGGTTGCTGACCTTCCTGCCACAGATCATGTTCTCCAACAACAAGATCATGTCCTCCAACAACAAGATGATGTCCTCCAACAACAACATCAAGTCTTCCAACAGCAAGACCAAGTCCCTCGTCAAGCCCTTCGTCCAGGGTTTCGAGACCATCGATGACCCCTTCTCCACTTCCCCTGAGCCCACCAAGGCCGAGGAGAAGGAGGAGGCCGCCAAGGCCATCAACAACCTTCGCTCTCACGGCGTCATGATCGTCAAGAAAAAGGATGATCTCACCACCCTCCAGAACGACTTGAAGCGTATCGTCAAGATCCTCGACGACACTGCTGAGACTGCTCCCGAGTACCAGCACGTTCTCAACCAGGCCTGTGACTGCCAGGATCTCCTCACCGAGACCGAGAACGACTTGGAATTTCTCTGGCGCAAGTACACTTCCATCGCCCTTGGGTATGTCTACTATTCTTCCTTCCTTCCTTGCTCCATCTTTGCTGACCTTGAACCACAGCAAGGAGTGATTCTAACCCCCTACCACAACTCGAAGACTGAAGGAGCTGCTTTCAGCATGCTGCCTGATGGTCCCGGTTGATGATACCCATGATTCACGTCAAACGAACCAAGGATCCTGCCCTGCCGCGAGGCACAAGTGGCGGATCACAACAACCAAAAACAGAGGTGATCAGTGTTCTTTACATTGACCTCAATTGAAATCAAACTACTCTCTCTTGCCTCCTGTCTCTTCCTTCACGTGTGATGTGATGTTGCTGTGTGTCTGTGTATGTGTCTTGGCGTTGTGAAGATAGTCGTGACGCCCACGCCTGAGATACTGCGCGCAAGCCTGCCTCGTTTCTTCTTCAGCGCCCTACGCAAACAAGAACTCTTCCCTTCTCCTGCTCCTCCTGCATAGCATACCCGGTATATTGAAGCACTGCACTACCCTCGTTCAAGAGCTAACATAGTGCCAGCAATGACTACCACCAACGCCTCCGCCCCTGCCGCCGCCAACCCTGGCGAGCCCATCCCATTGCCTGCGGCCTTGCGTGCTCAGACCCGACGGGAATTCGAAGAACACATGAAGCGTGACAACCGCCCCGTCACTGTCATGACAAGCGCTGGACTGGTCACCCTGAGCTTCACTGAGGTGGAAGGAAACGATGCCGGACGCCCTCAGTGTCTCAAGCCGGGGTGCGCCAACAACCAATACCAGGGTTACCTGAACGAGAAATCGCGCAACAGTCACATCTCGCATGTGCATGACGGTGACTGGTGGCAGTGGCACGATGGCAAGAGTGAGTTTGTGCTCCGTGGATTGGGAGAGGAAGCATGTACTAATATTTCAAATACAGGGGGCAATGACTACTACCGTGTGCTTTAAGCGGCCGTGGGCTCTTAAGAGCAAATTATTGTGCATTTTGACCGGAGGCTGCGCTGCTCTACATGGTGCCTGAGATAGGACAAAGAAAGAAGATAGCAAGCAGGTTGAGCACAATCGATTCTAGCAACCAATACCTGCACAAAGAGCACCATCCAACTGGGTTTCGTCGTGCAAAGCCTTCTGCCATGATACGACGATGAAGCATTCCCATCAGAGCTTTCCATGTCTCGATGGACAAGAAAGAAGCATATCGTTTGGTGAATGTAAAATCTTTGGCCCATAGCATAGAAGTCAGCAGATGGTTTGCCATAGCAAACAATGTCTTTGTCTGAACATCAATCTTTGTGACGGAGTGGGTATATAGACGTGCTTCCATATCCACTCTTACATGGCACCTCCATATCACTCTCAACAAGTTTCGAGCCCGTCCTCATGTTGTCTCCAATCAAACCCCGACTTTCAGTCCCAAATCGCGTTCTGCTACTTTCTTCCATATACTACATACCTATTGCGCGGCGCAGACATCTCTCATCAACAAATTTGGCACTTCCCCCTCTAGCGAGTTCAACAATGCGGGTTCACCGTCAACATGTGTTTCAATCTTCCCACTCGCTCTGACACGAACACCCCCTCGTCCTTCTCTAGCGACCACAAAAATTCCCGCCCCATCAATATCGCGAACATCAGTCGTTCAGCTCAGCCTCTTGTCGTAGCTCGTTGCATTGCCCGCACCCCTGATGGGTGACAGTCAGTTACACCCAAAGACACTATGCTACATGACACCCTCGTTGCCTCTGCCACTCGCCTCCACCGCGCCAGGAAGGAGCTGCTGCCGACCCCCTCTGGCATTCGCCAGTCTGAGTTCGGATCTTCGGCGCGCCGCCACCGTCAGGATCGCTCGCTGTCTCCTTTCCGTGCCCTTGACACTTCCTCGCGCCGCAGTCGCAACGAGCCACCTTTAGCTCGTTCGACTCGCAGCGTCCGCTTCTGGATATCATGGTCTTCAATAACATAATGGACAACTTACCCATAGGTATCGGGGTCGACAGCTATAACTCCGAGTGCGTATATATATAATGGGTATCACAAGCGTCAGGAGCTGGATTACGTCGAAGAGAATCATGTCGAGTGATCTCGCTGCTGCTGTGGTTAAGAAAGTCGGATCTAGAAGGCTTGTTCCTTACCTGGCGCAGCTGTTGCTTATGCCGCCTTGCGTGCTCAGATCCGAAGGGAGTTCGAAGAACATATGAAGCGTAATAACCGCCCCGTTACCGTCATGGCAAGCGCCGGACTTGTTACCCTAAGTTTCACCGAGGTGAAAGGAAACGATGCCTGGTTGTGCGAACAACCAGTACTAGAATTACCTGAACGCAAGATCTCACAACAGCTACATCTGCACGATGGTCGCTAGTAGCAATGGTATGATGGCTGCATGTTAAATTGGCTCCAATACAGATATTCCCAGGCAGACATACGACTAGACAGTCGTGATACTGTACAAAGTTCAAGCTCGAGCGAATCGACAAACCATGATATCCCATCGAAAGCAAATCTTGCTATATATTAGAAGTCGACTTTACAAGACGAAGCACTTAGTTAAAAGTCCCTAAAACCCTAGAGACTATGCGGATTGTTGGTTCACAAATCTCGCTTCTCGAAAACATTCCTCCGATTGTATATATTCGCCCTCGCTACGCAATGACTCTATCGAAACTCTGTCTCTAGCATGAAAGCGCTTCTTAAGTATGGAACGCAGTGCTAAGATCTCGTTAGCTCCTAGCTCCTAGCAGCATCGATATCGACTATAATGGCCAATCTTGCGTAAAGAAGCAGAGGTTACGCCACATTAAAGGGCTCTACGACGACAAGGATACCCATTATCTTCCCTAAGTCCTATAATGAAGCAAAGACGAGTAAGTCTACGCCGCGTTAACGTCCTCGACCTTATTCGTAAGGCTTAGTAAGGGCATCATGGACAAGGATCCGTTAGTGCTAGTAGGTGATCTTCTAGCGAACACGGATAGAGAAGTCCCTACCATAGGTAGGGATACGAAGGGACTAATAGTTAAATTTAGAGATGATGCAACGATGCGTAAGTATTCGAGGCTCTAGCTTAGCTTTATCGGCAAGCAAAAAGTGCGCCTAGACGCCTATCATTAAGGAACAGCTTAGAAGTTCTTTATGAGCAACGTCGGCTCGTATAGGGGTAAGGAAAGGTAGTCTAGACTACGAAGACGTAGGCTATTACATGCAGGCTAGTGTTAAAGAAGCAGCACGCAAAATTAACGAGGCCGCCGGCGTCACCGTCGACAACGCAGTCACGTAGCTTAATCGCTCCGCCACTGCTGCCGTTGCTTAAATGACTGCCGAATTCGCACCTACGGCCGGCATAACGAAGGCGCTTGTTGCCGGTATTGCTAGCAGCAGAGAGGTGCAGGCCATCAACACTGCATTTAGGCTTGCTGTCGACAAGACTATGATGACATGGAAAATGAGCGGACAACCAGCAAGATGATTCTAGAAAGGCTACACACCAATCTCTGCCCTTTATAGCGACAAAAAAAAGGACAAAGGCTATGCTAGCGTAGTGAGCACCCACGAGCACTGTGCCTTCGTCTCGATCAAGTACCTGACCCATTAGACCTCAAATGCGGTTCACCGGAGACCCTTCGTGCATGGCTCTAATAAGCAGCATTCCTGTTGCAGAACAGGCTTTCAACTTCTAGGTCGCTTCTACGATGGTCATTGTCGACTATCCCTATGCCGCTGCAGGCAAAGTCTTGCATCTATCGTATCGGGCAGATCAACCAAGCCAAGATCCTGATCCTCCTTGCACACAACATAATCGATTGGATCATTGCCGCCAGGACGGAGGCAAAACACATCCCCATCCTTGTCGGTAGCGCTGCTACCAACGCACAGCTGCACGAGGTCGAGACCGCCATGCGGAAGGCCACCATTGCCGAATCGCTGTAGGTCGAGAAGTACGAAGAGTACGAACAAAAAGTGGTCAACTCCAAGGCTACGAGAATGTACCGCATGATTATCGGGTCCAGAAGCTCGCACATCGGTTGGGATGACTTCAATGTCGACATTGTTGACTTTCTATCGGGGGGCCCGTTCGAGTACCAGCCCGCTCAGATGAAGTTGTGCAAGGAGCAATGGGACAGTGACTCATCGACGGAGATCGAGATAGCTAGCAAGAAGGAAAAGCAGGTCACTGTAAAGCGCAAGTCAATTCGATTACCGGTCAGCATGAAGATGAAGCATTGTTCGAGGTGGCAATCGGTTGGCACGGCCCGCAGATCAACCAACTCCTTCTCATGAAGATGCTAGTGTCACTGGCACGTCACGTTAAGCATATACCTTCGAATGGAAGGTTTCAATACCTCGACACAATCTGGGCACAGCCAAAGTATACTATGGTGGATCTATGCCATCGTATCAACGCTGCGGACGTTACTATCAGTCATAACACTGATGACCTGTAAAATCTCAACTATACAGAGCACAGCTGTGGCCGGTACACTCGCGGTTCTCACAACCCTTCTGCCAGAGTGAATGACTACTTGTGTAGATTATTGAAGTCATGATTCAACTACGTGCGCGAATACGATTGGCGCAACGCCACCTTCGTCAATTAGCCTGGGTATGGGTTGAACCTACGCCCAACATATGCTGAAACTGACATAGTACAGAAACCCTAGTGGCACCATGGGCCGCTTCGTCACCGAGTGCGAGGCCATTGCGTGAGTCTCAGCATACCTACAACTGACGTTCAGCATATGTTGACTTTTCAGTGCCGCCGACCCCGTCTACCGCGCCCGCTTCGGCTCAAAATTCCACCGCAGGGTATGGCTTCAACCTTAGTTTAGCATACGCTGGAACTAATCTGAATCAGGACCCTCACCACGTAGAGACCCCTGGCTCCAAGCGCAAGATAATTCAGCATACTCACGTTTCCCCAAGGGCACTTCCGACTAAGCCCATCTCTGCAAATCAAGATCAACGAGCTTTCCATTAAGATGCGGCAAGTTCTGCCATGATGGGCTATGTTAGACAAGAACGACAAGGACGACGAGGATAAAGAGGCTGTAGCTAACCCCGAGGTGTTGGCCAAGCTCACTGTATGTTTAGCAATGTATAGTGATATATCGATACTAACTGTTAATTAGATGACCCCGGAGCAACACCGCTCCTGCATGGAGATCATCCGCAAGGGTGACCTCGATGTTTAGCAATGAGGCGGCGAGGAATACCAACTTCTCTGCAGGATACGCCTTACAAAGAGATGAAGTCATAGCCACTCTATCCACACGAATCCACCGCACAAAGACAGCAGAATCTTTGTAGGGAAGTACCTGCCACAGTAGCTTTGTTAGGGAGTAAATGTAAGAACCTCGTCGTATTCATGATACATAAATTGGTCTTCCTATATATACGACCAGGTTACGGGTCTGGCTTCGTCCCTAACAAGTTCAGAGAGGCTGGTACAATTCCTTCTGGGCCTTGCTTTCCACTTACAAACACATCACATGCACGCGACGAAGGTTTACAAGATGACCGAAGATCATTCAACAATGGACTCGGAAATCTAGATCTCAATTTGCGGCGCTGGGTTCATCCGGGTTGTGGATCTCGAGTTCCATCAGTCTGCTCACGATGTTAAGTTCATGACTCCTGGAATGAACAGTCTCGCCCAGCTCACAGATGAGCATGAGCGCGAACACGGTGTAAATGTCCACCCGCTGAAGTTCACAGACCCAAAAGTCAGAGATCAAGATGTTAGAGCCCCAAAGCAGACCAGCCAGATGACTGCACCTAGTCAAACCCCCATGGATCTCCCACGTCCGCTGCCACCGAGTATAAAGATACTGCCATCACGCCGACTTCGAAGGCGGAGGCTATGACCCCAAGCCCAACTTTAGGCCCATCTAGGGTATGTTTCTTCGCTTGTCAACGCGTTTGCTTCAAGGAAGCACTTCCCCAGGCTCACGATTCTCACCCCGGACATTCCCCGGATTTTTGTTTCATTAGTTCCACTTTGCGGTATCTCCCCTTGATATATACTCGCGCTGTCGCACAGTGTTGACATCGCAGCGACCATCCAAATGCATATCAGAAAGTAGGTCCTCAAGATGAAGCACATGTTTAAAGTCCACAACGTCGACAGCACTAGAGAGGACTCGAACAGCGCAAAGAGGGGCAGAAAAGACCTAGCCGGACTTCCTCGCGACGACGACCGACTTCTCGTCACCCCCGATCCGGAACACCCGCACAAGCACCACTACTCCCATCGAGAGGACATTGAGAGTACCAACCCTGCTGCTCAGGACGACAGAATCAACGATAACATCCTTGAGATCGACCCGGGTGCAGACCAAGAGGCCCCGAAGGCCGACGACTAACCCATCCTTCTCTATGCTACATACCTTAGTCTTCCACTATGTTGTCTTGATGAGAGTACACGCTGGGGTTTGGACACTGTCTCGAGTATAGAGTTAGAACCAAATTAGTGTAACAAATGAGCGAGAAACCACTTCCCCACGCTCACGATTTACACCCCGGACTTTCCCCAGATTACATATTGTTCCACCGATCTCACTTTGCAATATTTCCACTTCATATAACCCGCGCTGCCGAAAGACAACAAGATTGTATCACCACAAAGCAACTCACCGTGATGAAACGCAGGATCGAAAGTCTCCCAGTCGTTCGCAACGTCGACAACGCCAACCAGAACCACAGCAGTGAGAAGAGACGACAGAGAAAACGGGCTGAAAGTCCTCGCGATGAGGACAGGCTTTTCGTCACACCTGACCCGGAGGATCCACATCGTTACACCTACTGCCAACAAGAGGTCATTGAGAGCGCGAAGCACGTCCGTCAGAACCGCGGCATCAACGAAAGCAACACGGATACGACACAAGAACAGTCAAGCAACGTACAAAAACCCCTCAACATGGCACAGCTCCTTGCACTTCCTGCTAGGCCTATTCCCGCACCCATTGCCTACCCCGTCATTGCCAGAACGACTCGGGGATACGTGGCAATGACCCAGCAGGAAGTGAAAAACCAGGAGGTACACCCTGAGTGTGACAATAAGAAGGGGCAAGGGTACGCCAGCGAGGTAAGCCGTGCTGAGCACCGGAGAAGGGCTCACGAGCGCAGCTACTCCCAATACCCTGGGGGCATGAGTAAGTAACCCGTGAACTGTTGTTTCATAATCCATCATGACCAAAGCTAACTTGAATTAGGAGGCCTGCAGCCGTTCACAGTTCTATGAGCGTTGAGACTGGCATTTGGTCGTAGCGACGATTGAAAGAAGGAGAATAAGAGCATCATGGGAGTAGGGGGCTACCTGATCTTTGGCGGGAGTGGACTTTGCAAGCATCATCGTTGAGGAGTTTTTGGCTACTCGCGTACCATGTCGAGCATGGGACAAGATGCGGACAACTTCAAGGGATGTCGCGATGGTTAGGTGGTAGTACCGCCGTTGGCTATCATTTTTGCGTTGTCTCAAGCGCTGATAGATTACTTTGGGCTTCCTGATAGCGTTTCTGTTTTTCGAGTCGATTGTACATCCATTTTCGAGCTTCAATTTCTCTCAATCTTAGTGATAGCAGTCTTCATGTGCTATAAGCGAAATGACACAACTTGCCAGAAGGCAATATGCCTTTGAGAATATCTGAAATGTCCAACGAGAGCTGCAGTTCCCATTCAGGGCCTAGCAAGAGCGAGCTCCAAGTCACAACAGGGATGTGGAACGGCTTATCAAAAGGCAACAAGCTTTTTGGGATGCTGTAGGTACTCAAGGGGAGCTGAAGCAGAACAATATGCTTTCGAAAGGAACGAGTAAGACTATCAGAGAAGCACTTCACACGGCAAAGCTTGCGTAGATGCTATAGGTGAACTTGTGATATGCAATCGAACAGGCATCCGGACGGCGTGCGAACATTCACTCAAACAGATGTTCGACGCAGCAGACGTTCAAAAAACCCATTGGGTGGGAGATTCGCTTCACTCGGTGACAAAACTTCACGCCGAGAAGACCATTTTTTCTGCAACTCGCTGCGGCTCCCTGCTCTTTGTTCAGGCTAATTCGACACTCACGACAACTCAGCACGGCACTCGAAAAGTGGGTCAACAGCGCGTCTTTTGCATCCAAATCTTCATACGCTTTCTCCAGGCAAAAACCACCCAACATGGTTTCCCAAAAATTGCAACAGCAAATTCTGGATATCCTGGCGCGTGAGCGAGCCCTATCTCGCTCGGTTTCTCGACTGGATGAAGAGAGCAGAGGCTTTAACATTGATCAAGAAAGGTTCTTCGCAAACTTCAATGCTCAAGGTCTCCATCACCGCCGGCGTTCTGCACCCGATACTCGTCGCCGCCATCGCCTGGTCACCGACGCTCTCTCTCACCACTCAACTGAGTTCCAACGTCCTTATACTGAGGTCCAAGATGACATTGAAGCTACCTCCGACAATGAATGGGATGCTCCTGGCCGCCAGCAGCCGGATGGTGACGATCTCACCTCTGACTACTCTCCTCGGGTCGTACAGCCTCGTGCTATCGTTCAAGACGGCCCTGGCCCTGTGATCGTACACATCAATGGCGAACAGGCTGACTTCTGCCGTCAGCGCCCTGCACTCGATGCTCGTCCTCGCACGTACCCGGACGCCGACATCCCCACCTCTCGGATCCTAATCCGTCGTGTTGCCGTCCAAGGTGACCTCGCAGTCAAACTCGACGACGAGCAGGCTACGCAGATCCCCGAGGCTGTTCCTGAGCCCCAGGCAGATATAGATGCTTCAAGACGGGCTCGCACTCACCAAAAGCGCCGTCGTGTTACTTTTTCCGAGGACGACTACATCATCAATTCTTCCGACGACGTCTCTTCTTTTCCTGGCGTCCCAACTGACGATGCCAACATTCCCTTCACCAGATCCGCTTACACCGGCGAAGGCCACATCGTCAAGCGCGCCCGCCGCAATTCTCGCGAACCAGTTCCTCTTCCTCAGCCTCCCACCCAGCACGAAAGCAGCCGCGCAACCCATCAACCATACGTTGGCATCTGGAACCCGAGACTTCCGGCCGGTGGTCCCATCAAGCCCATACTCAGAGAGGAGTACGACGGTCTGAACGCCAGGGCAGACGAGGTCGAAAGCCGCACCCCTTGCCCGTATCCCGACTGCGGCAAGATGTTCGAGGCGGTTCAGTCCAAGGACAGACATCTTAGACGTGATCACCCAGATTGGTGCATTGTCAAGGACCAGGCCAACCGCGAGGCCATGCATTGAGGGTATGTGATTCTTTATTCTTTCTGATGTCCTCCGAGGCTCCGACTGACGAATCTCTAGATTGAAGCGCGAGACAACGCTGAGGATGATGTGGCATGGACGTGGACTGCAGTGGAGAGGGGCAGACATGGCATTGATACATTGGCACTGGCTGGCAGCGGAGGGAAGCAACAGAATGGCCAGGTAGCATCAAACTTGTGCGAAGAACAAATGAGGAGGCGAGGATACCAAGTGAGAAGGTTCGGAGGAGTGGAGGCCGCAAATCACACAGTCTAATTCAACAATCAATCATACCGTCAACCATCATGCCTTGAACCTTGAGCTATAGTGTCTGATGCTTTTTTGTTCTCCGGGCTTTGGGAAGCTCTGAGTCCTCTGGAAGCAAGATCGACTCTTCATCCTTTGTTGAACAATGGAACTATGCGACCTGCTTCTTGCTATGTTCGCTACGATGCCGGCTCCTCTAATTGTCTCTTGTTCTACTCCAAGGTTGAGGAGCCTGACTTGTGTTCTTCGCCTTTTCTGTGTGACTGATATGCCTTGATATGATACTTGAACCAATGACCTGCCTTGGACGTTGCCCGAAAATGATCTCGATGTCCCATGGAGGATGATCAGGTAGATAGTCCCAAAGTCAAGTACACTTGATGCGTCAGGGGACAAATAGAATGGTGAACTACCTGCGCCTACTCAAGACCGAGGAATCACTACCTGGAGAGAAGAGTGGACGACTCAAAAGGGTATAGTCCCATGGGTGTCCTGGCTTGGCGTTCATGCAGAGGTTCGAATTTCGCTTCCTGCACTGACGCTGCCTTTCTCCTTGACATCCCCAAACCCTGCACCACAACAACCGCCGGCATGAAGTCAACAAACGAGACTCTCATGGAGCTGGCCTATGAGATGTATCTCCTCGAAGAGATGACTTACAATTTCCGCCACGAGGTCCTCGAAGTCATCTGTCTGGGCAAAGATTACGATGTCCACGAACAAACAAATACCGCTAGCGTCCAGCTTATGCAGCGAGTCAAGCTCAAGGCTCTACAACTGCTCAGCACCATCAGCCAGAAGCTCTCCCTGTGAGTATCCCTTCTTCTGACTAACGATTGGCAACAAAGCTGATAGCTCGATAGCCTTCCCCTGATTATCCAGAACAACAAGCAGCTCAAGGACTGCATCAAGATCACGCTCGCTGCCGTAAAGGCGTTCTGCCTCGCCGCAGAGGAAGCTATGGTCCTCCCGACTGTCGTCCAAGATGATAACACTTACGACAAGCGTCGCGCAATTTTTGCAGCAAAGCTCAAGAAGGAGCTGGACGGTCAGGCTTTGTGGGCAAGCCTTGATCCCATGTGCACAGAGTTGAAAAAGGCTGAATCGATGATCAAGAAAATCAGGTTCCATGAGTGTATCCGCGCTGGTCGACAGGCCTGATCGTGGAGCTTTGGGGGGAAGATCATTTCACGCACAAATGCACGACAACTTTGTGGTAATTCTACACTACGAGGCGCACAAAGAAGGGGTACTACAGTGACTGAGGAGGATCAGACGCTCGAGACAAAGGAATCGAAGTGTCCATCAAGATCACCCGCAGCAGATAGAGAACAAAGAAATTGTCGAAGACTCGCCACTTTTACCACGTCCTCCTTTGATTCGAAACATCTCGAACTCGTACCTTGTGTGAAAATCAAAATGCTCAATGATGTCACAGGACGATTCGAACAGTGGTCGTGAGCACCCTGAGTGCGACGCCAAGTCTTTGCCGCGTCCGAACGTGACATGCTCGAGGGACGTGAGCTTTCTGACCAAGACTCTCGCGCCCTTCTATCCATCTACGTTTGCTTTCCAGGCACGACGTCCTTGATCTTACATTGTTCGGCCTCACCCTCGCGGATTGAATCTCTGAAGACAAAAAGAATACTTCTTGATCATCTTCTCGTTCTTGCAAGCGACTGCTGAATCGACCAGCATGTTGGATCCCCTCAATAACACGAGCTTGGATGGCAACCACTCCTCCATCCAACCAGACATCCGACCCATCAAATCTCTCCGTCCGAGTAAGTTGATTGAGCATGAGTTGGCAAGAGAGTATACTAATACATCTCAGAACTTCCCACCAGCCGTGAAAGAAAGCAAGTCGCCTTTGTTCCCACCATGAAGATCCTGAAGGAAGAGTTTCCTCGCGACGAGGAAGAAAGCAGCGTCGGCGCTTTCTCACACAAGGCAACCCGCAAGATCATCGAGCCTTCGCCCCTCCCTCACAGCATCTTCTCCCGCATGAAGCACAACTACGAACTCAGCAAAGGTTCTTCGAGATCTGGAACGACTCTCCCTCAGCACACTGAAGACAGCTCTAATTTGGATATTCGCAACGCTGAATCATGGCGCTCGTTCGACAACCGCTTCACCGAAGAGTTCTCCAACCACCGTAAGCAGCCTTCTCGCATGTCGACCAAGCTGGAAAGCTCGGCACCTGCCCTGAGATCCCTACAGCAATCGCGGCGTCACCAGCCTTGCTCTTCGAACTCGAGCAACTACTCCAACGTGGCTGTCCATGGACCTTCGAACGCTGCCATCTCCAAATCAGAGGCCACGCCTTCTCACCTTGATCGCTTTGCCTTCTACGGTCAGGATCCTAGCCGTGTCTTTGGTTCTTCCAACGGTGGAGAACATACATCTGTCTCTCCAGCTGCCCGCAGTGCAGGCGGCCCTGTCACCCCTAAGGCTGTTCGTCGCAAGCCCGCAGTCTCCAACTTCAGTAGGATCTCGACCTCCGCTGTTTGGGGCTCAGAGCGCTCCACTTCCCCTGCAGCTGATCTTGATCGTTCTTATGGCAAGCAACCTCCTTTGAGAGACATGCTTGGTCCGGAATGGTATGAGTTGTTACGAGACTCAGCTGTTGAGCCAGAGCAGCTCTGCGAAGACCTTATCGAGTACTTCGATGGCCTGGGTATCTCTGGTAGATTGGTTTACTGCTTTGGCTTCTGTGCCAACGAGTCTGCTATTCGCCTGGAGCCCCTCAGAGACGGTCACAGAATCAGTAACGGTAGTTACAGCATCGCTCCAGATATCCGCACCATCACTCTCTTTACTCGACCTGCTCAGATGCTTCTCTTGGACTCTGACGAACCTGCATGTTCGCACATCCAACCTGTCCCTTGCATTGAGTTGACCGACGGCTTGACGAAAAGTATCCACCGCCTTCAACATGAACAGGACGACCGCGGTACTACGCAAGGAACTATCCAGGCTGGCAGTCATCACACTTATGTCGACGACTCTCTCGAATCTGTCGCCGGCAAGGAGGTCTATGCTGCTGTGGAAGTGTACTGCCCCAACTGGTTCAAGAACAACCGAAAGCATCCTCACATTGCGGTTCGTGCCGGAACCTGGCACAGGAATTACCGCGGACCTGACAGCCCTCCTGCAGGAGGTGATGCAGGAGCCTCCCCATCTACACCAAACGATGATGCCGCTGCCAGTAGTGCTGTCGGTCATGGAGCCGTCAATGGCACTAGACGCCACCAGTCGACCTCTCAGGCTCCTACCCGTCACACGGCAGCAAAGCACCTCACAAGTCTGACCAACGCAAAGTCACTTTCCATCCCTAGCTACGACTCTCTCCACCCTCGCACGAAGCCAGAGGTCACGGACAAGCCCACCGTACAGCCCCGCGTCTCTCAGGCCCATGATCTCGTTCCGCGCCAGGCCAGTGCTTCCAGCAAAAAGCGCATCGAGAAGATCACTGGACAGGAGGCACAAAGACTTTCTGGAACCAGTCCCAAGGTGACCTTTGAAACACAAGCCAAACAGGGCACCGTGAAGTCCGCCACCAGTCACACTGAAAGGCCTGCCCGTCCCGTTGAAGGACCTTACGACAGACCCGCCCGATGGGTCTCGCCTTGCACCGGCGGAAAGCTCTTGGGCAAGCTTTTCATCAGAACTGAGACAATGTTCGTCCACCGTCGTGTCGCTGCTCAGTACAAGCAACCGCGCCCCTCTCTTCCTCTCGCCGATGCACCTGTCCGCAGGCGTTCCCATCGCCACAAGCTCGACGAGCAGCACAGTACATCGCTCGCGGACGAGCCTTCGCCGAAGGATCATGGTGTCGGCGGCAAGAAGAAGAATGGCTCGCCTAAGATCAAGTATGCTTTGCCCGCCGCCATGACCGCTCAGAAGCATCGTCCTGCCAGCAAGCAGAATCGTCGCAATGAGTCGCCTCGGGACAGCAGCAAGTCTGATGCGGTCCAGGATAACGTCAGCTGGATCGCTGAGCACTTCCATACTTTGTTGTGAGCGGGTTCCAAAGCTGCAGGGCAATGGAAGGAGGCTGAGCACGACAAAGGTCGACCTGACAGACGGAAAACCAGGGGATTGTAGCCAGTGGAAGGAGCCCTAGTATTTGAACGTGTAAGATAGTGAGATAGAAAATACCAAAAAAACGCTATGCGATTATACCAGACCTCATATTTTTCTTCCAAACGAGCATATGCTATTGATGATGTGTTTTGTTGTGCTTCTGATATATTCTGACGCTAGTTGTGCATACGGAATAGCTAGTGAAGCTCTCTCACTTGCCATATCTTTCAACCTCGCTCCGGCTAGCACGCTTTCTTCTTTTCACGACGAACATCCTACAACTTTCTGCGCAACATTTCTCAAAACCGCACATCATCTCTACAGACCACGCATATTGTTATACATAGAAGCAGGCTTCTCTAGTATATCATCTATATCTGTATCACCGACTTGTCACGACTAACGATGCCCAGTATCGCATACTGCACATCCTGCTACAAAGCCCACACCACCCACTACCGCTACCACTGCCACTACCGCTACCACCCACCATCTACCACCTACCACCACCACAATGCCCAAACTCACCCTCCGCCTCCCCGGCAGCCTGCACGTCGGCCAATCCATCGACACCGCCGCCCTCTGCCAAATCAAATTTGTGAAACGTTTTTTCTTCGCCCTCTTCAACGACCGCAGCCACAACAAGGCTAAAAGCCACACCACCGCCTCTACCTACACTGCCGCATCAATCCAAGCCGCCGTTAACGAATACATTCGCTTCGAGGACTTTTTGCGCAGTGTGGGTAGAGGGAACCCGGTCTTTAAGAGTTTGTTGGGGGATATGCAGGAGTGCGCTAGATTCGCTAGCGAGATGGAGAAGAAGGAAGGCTATAGCCACGAGGATGAACGTATGGAGGGTATGGAGGAGGAGGTCGAGGAGGTGGGACGTCAGTTGCAGCTTATGGCTGTTAGCTCTACCGAGAGCGAGCCTAAGGGCAAGAACAAGCGCAGTAGAGATGATGAGGATGTCGAGGTAATTCTTGAGGCTACTAAGAAGATGAAGTTGTAGAGAGTAGGAAGGATGGGCTCTCGTGTTGTTGAGAGGGGCGGCAAAAGGGCCATAAAAATGCACGATGAATTTCGCGTTTGCTGAAATGTCCAACGAGAGCGTGAATGTGATATTTCTTGAGTAGATATCGTGTATGCTGCTGACCAATTGTTGCGTCGGGTTCTCATACCGCCGAGAGGCAGATATTTCCAATCATAAAAATGCACGATGATATCTGCCTTTCCTCAAACGTCCAGTGAGATTGCGGTTACATCTCGCTCTCAGTGGACATCTCATCTATTGCCAATTACTTCTTGCCGTTTCATGGGCACGGTATAGCAGATCAATCGATTTGTGAGATCGAACAAGGAGGCTGCGGATTTCCAAACGGTATAGACCCTCGTGACCCAATACCACCTTGATACTCCATCCATCAAGATGCACGATACTTTTGGCATTTTCTCGAATGTCCAATGAGATAGTCCTCATGTCGCGCTCTCATTGGACGTCTCCTCTATCACCAATTACTTTTTGCCTTTTTATGGGTATGGTATAGCAGATTGATCGACTTGTGAGATGGAAAACCAAAAGCGTACGTCGCTCGGCCTGAAAATTCTTTGTGGCACCATCTCTTTGTCCTTTGGGAACAGTCTTCTGTGCTTTCATCGCCAACAACGTGGCTTTCAGTCTGTTGTAGATCTCTTTGTTTTCCTGAACATTGCATTGTTCGACCTTGCACCTTTGTGATATCTTGAGCGGCATCTTGATCTTTCCAGGAATCTATATAAATCCACAGATCTACCAATTCTACCCAACTCACCCAAGATCAGAAACTCGAGAACAACCCAAAGGAACCGGCCTTGCTAACAAACAACTGCAGAAATCTATTCAACAAGCTTTACATATTCTTCAGGCAAGATGTGTTGGGGCGAACAGATCATCTCCCGTTGCCCGCATTGTCAGGTTCTCACCACTCTCACTCCTACCTGGCTTGGTTGTCCCTTTGACCAGCCTCTCGGCTCATGTGATGATGCTTTCGTCACTACTCATCATACAATCAGGCCTCATTATGGTTGCATCATCACCTCAAGCTCGAACAACGTCCCTCGTCTGAGAATTATCACTGAGCTCGCTGAGCCTTGGGATGCTGGCTCGCCTCACTGGTCTCCGGTCTCTCCAACGGACAACACCAACGCTACAACTCAATTCCCCCAGACCGAATCAATGCCTGCCTACGCCCTTCCTCTTCCTCAAGGCTGGACTGCCGATCATCGCCAACAGGGCCACCAGTCAGAATGCATGACTATGGTTACTCAATACCGCCGCGAACTCGTCAGAGTCTTTCAAGACCTCGTCCAACCTGTCCAACAGCTCCGCAACTCCGCCTCTTTCACCAACCCTCGCCTGAACCGCACTGTCATGTGGTGTGAGGACTACATGGCTACCCTCCTCGACACAGCTGCCATCCACATTTGGCTTGTTCAACAAGCCGAAGACCAAATCAACAATGGCACGGTCTTCACGGACGCCGCGAAGGCCGACCTTCTCATGTACAGCAATGACATCAGGAATGCTCAGTATCCCTTCGAGGTCCCTCTTGTCTGGCACCGCCGCTTCACCGACCTCTTCATTCATCTTCGTCGTGTGATCGGTGAGCTCACACCTCAACCTGCTCAGAACACTGCTTTTCTACCTACTCATCGTAGACGTGGTGCTATTTCTGAGGGTGATGGTACGTTCCCTATGCTTCGTCGTGCTTATCCTTCTGCTGACGACTCTCCTACTAGTGAACAAGGCAGTGACAGTCGTCATGCATGAGCGCAAAGGTGATTCTAACAGTGGCTTACGCAAAACTTCTTATGGTAACTCTTCCCGGTCAACTCTACTCGGTGTACCTTTCGCTTCTACACACGCTCTTCTGATTCCTGATCTTATCTCTTTTTGAATTTTGGGTGGTTCATAATTAAATACAAGCTGTTCTCCCTCTACCTGAATCTTCTTCTCTGTGTCTCTTCTCCAAATGTGATATAGCTATGCCCCATGATATCTTGTGAACATTATTCTGTCATCTCCATGCACATCTCCTACGGCCATCATAGTTCTCTATCATAGCAGTCACGATGCAAGATGCTTTTTCTTCTCTGTCAAATGTCCAAGGAAAGCTGACTGCTTGGAATCCTGAGCCCTGCTCTCTTTGGCCATTTTGTCAGATACCAAAAGCTTCATGCATTTTGACGTGATGATCTGACCCATGATCTTACCAATGGGATACGGTCCACTCTCATTCAAATCATCGCTGGGTATGTCGTCTACGATCTTCCAGCCGCAGTTTGCTTGCTCAACTACTGCTGTCAAAATGCAACATGATTTTCAGCTTTGCGTGAAGGTCCAGAGAGATGATGATTTATTTGTCTGCTTATCCTTCTCTCTTTGGACCTATGTTGTTACTTGAATATATTTGTGAATCGTTGCAGGTTTGTAGAATGGTAGCGACATGCAGGAGAATTTACATTCGACTATCGCACGTGACCTGGTTATGGATGCTTGGATGACCCTGACCTCCATCCACGATACCGATCTTGGTCTCTGAACAGTGCTGTGCATCTCTGTAGGATGCTGTTTCGATCTCAAGGGGTTGATGGAGTGTAGCAATGCGTTTGTTTTTCCTATAGTAGTGCCGGTGAACGATGTTTCCTTGGTGCGGATTGAACATTTCCTCACGTCAAAATGCAGGAAGCGATTCACTCAGCTCGACGGGACCTGGGAGCACTTTTGCATAAATCATCTGGGCTCAGTCCAGACAACATCGCGCCAGTCACGTTTCCAACTTTCGAAGACACTTCTGCATCAACTCATCTTCAACATCGCAATGTACGTATTCGTATGAAGACGTGATCACCTCCGCCTGACCACCTCATTGTCTGGTACCTGAGCTGACTCTATTCTTTACGTGCAGCATGTCAGTCAACAAGATGTCCCTGGAGTACATCCTCGCACCCTCGTCCCCTGCCCGCATCAAGAAGGAGCCTGAGAACGACACCGCCGCCGCCATGCCCCTCAAGCGCGAGCCAGGCACCGACGACGAAACCAAGCAGGTCAAGAACGACGCCGAGACCGAGGAGCACAAGATCGCCCTCAAGCAAGAGAACAAGCCCGTCGAGGACCTCGCCCGCACCGCCCCTCGCCCCTACGCCAACATCCCTGACCAGGGCGGCAGAAGCTGGACTTGTGAGTGGTGCGAGTTCACCTACACCGACATCAAGGAGCTATACGCTCATTGCTACGTCCACCTCGGCTACGAGACCACCAGGTGCGTGGCTTGCAATGTCCGTAGCAGCGACAATGCTGCTGCCAAGAAGCATGCTACGGGCGGCAAGCACACAAACAACCTGCGTGCCCTGGGTGTCCAGCAATAGACGAGGCTACTACACGGCCATAGAGGTATGCTTTATTACCGATGAAGATAACACTCGCACTAGCTCTAACGTCACATAGGCATACAACAATTGAGCACTAGCGATAATGAGGAGGGAAAAGGGTGGCTACTTGCGTTACATGATTAGAAGATGAGATAACGCGGTATGATGACAATAACGAATGAATGCACCGCTTGGGCTGGTTTGGCCGCTGCCTGACAGATGACCTCATGAAGTAATGTGACCGTGAGTGAATTGATATATTGTCGAGACGGTGCTAGTGTCGTAAGTCTTGGCGTTGCAATGCGAAGAACAACAACATTTCTTCATGTCTTTGCGGAGGCTCCCTCTCCTCTTCTTTTTCAAGAATCAAGTATCGTCAAAACATAACCACAAAACACACAATACGATGACTCTCCTAACCGAGTACCCTCGTGCTCTCTCTGCCACCCACCCTCAGGAGAACCCCAAGAGTAAGTGTCCCGAGTGTCCAACACGTGAGCAGCTCTAACATATTGCTAGGCTGCACTTTCATCCTCGTCTCAAATGAATGGATGCACCAGAGAAGCACCAACACCAAACTGGGCCTGAAGATCGCTCCTGAAGAGAAGGTCGTGTACCTCCTGTCATTCTCCAGACACGAGCACGCGTTCCGAGTCACGAACCCCAGCCGCGCCAACCTAGGCATCATATCCTTGGTCAGCGCCTTCTGCAAAGAAGGTGTCTCCCACAACACCACTGCTGTTGAATCGGACGACAAGTTGAGCTTCACCTTGCCGTTGAGCCAGGTCCATGACCGCTGCGGGGAGGACAACTGCGGTCTGGTGTTGCCTGAGCTCCGCAAGGAGGATGCATCCCTTTCGGTCACCTTGACCATCATGACCTTGAGCAAGGCTATCCAGCTCTACGACTGGAAACGTGAGGAGTTTGGGTACGTCACAGACCTTTGGAAATCTGGCAACACCGCTGACTTGTCGCATAGTGATGGTTCCGGCAACGAAAAGGTCTTCGGTGAGGGCCTGGCCGCCCAAATGCTCACCAAGGAGCTGGCCCTTGTCCGCGGCGTCCTTTGAGATGTCCCTCCCGCTCCTCAACCTCAGGCCAACCAGGTTGTCATCGTCTGGTTGTCGAACCAAATCAGAAGCAATGGCGTTGGCCGTGTCCCCAACATCGTTGGCTACTTGCAAGTTCCGGCCAATCATCCCATGTTTGCGCAATTCTTGGGTAATCTAAACAAGTCTTTCTGTAAGTTGCTTTCCCTTGAGTGATAGTCAGACAATCCACTGATGACTCTACAGTCGACCAGTACGGCGTTATCTTCAACATCCGAGACCTTCCTCAGGGTTATACTGTACGCCTTCTGGTGGAAGGCTCGCCGCGGTAACCCGACCAACCAGCAGGGTCAAGTTCAGGGTGCTTTCTATGTCTGGATCCCCTCCATACCTGACAGCACACGCAGCGCTCTCCTATCTGATTTACGAGGTACAAGATATAGCTCTTCTCCTATCAGACAGGGTTCCAAGAAGAACAAGGAGACTACTATCAAACTGCATCATGGTCATCGTCTCTCTCGTGCTTCATGCTGTGTACCTGTTTGTGTGAACTTCTTTCGTGCCTCGTGATACTTTCGTTCAGATCAGCGTGACGAGCTGGATACCTGCTGTTCCAGATTGTGTACCTGAGGAATTGCTGCTAATGAGCCCATGCACGCCTGGAGGCTGAGGAGTAGTATAAGGATGAAGAGTAGGCGTTCTTCCAAATCCAGCAAGAGCTTGAGCACTCTTCAGTGGCATGTCAAGGCAGTTAGGTGACTACTCCCTAGATCAGAAACTTGTGCAGATACATAGAAACCCATCAAGCCATCTCTGTTCGTAACAGTCCATATTCAGCTCCTTTCAGCGTGACCCCCACCACGTGAGATGATCATGCTCGAGAGATCTCGTGAGATGCTCCATCCCGAACCTCTGGCGTGCCTCTGACGGTGCGAGCTCTCAAACACAACCACTTTGCGTCGGCCTTGATTTTGTTCCTGACCGTCCACGCACCTACGCGCCTTCTTCTTCATCAACGTATGTACACTGATTACCAATACTGCACCCCTCTATCTGATTGACCCTTCAGCATCACCATCATCATGTCAGAGAGCGCGGTAAACCGCAGCATCTTCCCTTGCCCGGTCTGCGAGGAGACTTTTGCGTCGCCCGAGGAGGTGATCCTACACGGCGAGGGCGACGACCCTGCGCTGACCTACCAGTACTACGTGCACGAGGCCGGCTACGTCACGGAGTTTGCAGAGGATCCGGCTACCTGGACCTTCGTTGCGCTCCGATCGTGGACGCCTGCAGAGTTTTCGGCTATGCAGGCCCTCGAAGCCGCTGCTGCCGCCGGTGTCGCCCAGCCTCCTACCATTGTCGCCCCTGGCCCGATGGCCGCCGCTCAACCTCCTGCCGTCGCCATCGCTGGCCTGGCCTGTCGTTGCCGTTGGGCTGGCTGCAACGCCGCCTTTGCTGACGACGATCAGCTTTACGTAAGTTGATTACGCTCTCTAGTGGAAGCAGAAGCATGATGACTGACTCAATAACAGAATCACCTCGACCAACAGCACGTTGGTGCAGTCGGGGTTCGCCCGAGGGTGAAGGTGTGCCTCTGGAATGGCTGCACCGTCGGCTCCCACAGGGACAGGGCCGAGATGAGAAGTCATCTCCAGCATCATGCTCCCGATGCTCGTCCCTGGTTCTGTAACGGGGGCTGCGGTGCAAGCTTCAAGCACCGCTATGCTCGCGCCTCTCACCACAGTGTTTGTGCCCATGAGCAAGCCCGCCAGGCTCAGCCTTGAGAGTGAGCTGCTTTGGTCGGGTCTTGAAGGGTGACCTAGGGTTGATCGTCGTGGAGACCCCGAGGGGTGTTGTAATTGTACATTGTAATATCATCGTTTCACTGCTCTGCCTGTTCTCTCCGTGATACCAAATTGATGCAAGATCGTTTTCTGTCAAGTGCAATTGTCCAAGGAGATTAAGTTACTATTATCTCCTGCAGAGCTCTCTCTGCACGCAACGGCTGGCCTGAATTGGCATCTGCATTTTGACAGATGACTTGACCCAGTCGAGGGCCATTGAGAACCACTGAAAGTATCCTTGAATATAGTATATGCACAAGCTCCCGTGGATTCTGTATACAAGACTTCAAACCCAGCAAGATGCAGAAAGTTTGTCACTCCTTCGATATGACCATTGAGAGAGGTATTGCGTAGACTATCATTAAGAGAAATATTCTCGCTATCAGTTCGTATATTCGTAGATCATTCAACAATGCATGAGCTGTATCTGAGTGAAAAATGAATGCTCGAGAATAAGCGAACCCGTAAAGCTTGGCGTTGGAATAGCATTTTCGATAAACACCAAACACAACGCGTGTACCGCTTGCTTTCTACCACACTGAGAAACACAACATCGCGCAACGAAGATTGACTAGATAATCAACGATCACTCGTCAACAATGGCGTTCGAACAAGAAGTTTATTGCGCAACTTGCGGCGCTGAGTTCACCCAGCTCAGGGATCTCGAGTTTCATCAGTCTGTTCACGACGTCAAATTCGGTACTTCTGAACTGGACAAACTCTGGCATAAAGACCAGACTGGTGCTGAGGAGGTCACAAAGATCTCAAAGCCTTGTCCTAAATGCCGCGCACCTCTTCAGAAGAACAACACCGGCGATCAGATGATCTGTAGGTCTCTCAGATACTCCTGTTGCTGCTTTCGTACTGACGAGACGAACAGGTCCCAGATGCCCTCCCCAACATGACGAAGCTTCCTACCCCAATCCTATGGTCCGCCACGGCAACTACTACGATTACCCTGCCATCAACAACACCATGCAGGCTAGTGGCGCCCTAGTCCATGGCACTGTCCCTCAGCGCGGCCATGAATCCACCGCTGGCCCTACTGCCTTCTGGCAACTCCCTCCTCTTCTTCATAACGACACCACCAACGGCCAGCAGCAGCAAGTCTACGCTAGACCCGAGGATGTGTATCATCTTTATGGCTCCCTGCCGCGACAACTGCCAGCCTTGGAGGCACCGGGCGATGCCGGAGTTGAGGATTCCCCTGATCAAACCTCCAACAACCAGCATGTCAGCGAAATGGACGACGAGCGCTCGACAGAAATGGAGTAAGCGAGAGGACCAGCAAGCGGAGTTCTAGCTTTACAACAAGAATGCTGGACTCTCAGTCGTGGCGGAAGTTTGGCGAGCTTCGGCAACTTTGAAAGCAAGCGACTGGACCATTGCCGATCACACAATTGGATGTTCCTTGCCACAACGCCACATCGAATGACTGCTCTTGAATAGAAGGAATGAGTATTGCTCTGGAGAGCGATTGGTACCAGGGAGGAAGCATAAGATTGCAAAGGAAAAGGATAGTGGCCATGGGAGTAAGAGGGATTGGAGCGTTATGCGTTTCGGGCACACCAAAGGACGGAGAGCAGGAGCACGAGAGGAACAAGAAAGAGAACACCGGAGCCCTCGATCATTTGAGCTGGTAGGTAGTTTGGCAGTTGCAGTAACAACTCGAAATACAGCTCTCGTACTGCTCAATAACATTAGCTTCAAGTGCTGCAATCTTCGTGCCAATTCGTGATCTTTTCGTCGTGCCCTTCCTCTCTCTCTATAGTCCACCATATATGTTGCCAAGTGAATGCTTTCAGAGCGGCAGTGAAGTATTTCTAGTCGTTCCGCACCCCACACAGCCTTTCATCGTGGTGTAGCTTTACACGCAAATTCCGACTTTTCTTACACCACACTACAACATCAACATGACCACCATCAAGCGCACCACTAGGTCCTCGAAGTGGCCCTACAACAGCCACTTCGAGGACGCCCTCCTCACCATAAAGAAGCGAAACCGCATCGAGGCCGCCAACGCACGCATCCTAAGGAACTATAGGGATGCCCTTAATGCACGTGCCATTATCGAGGCCGCAGAGTACGTCGAGCGCATCACTAAGATGGCTCAATTCAAGTAAGTTGGTATACAGTATAGCAGGTATTCTCAGAAAGACACTAACAGCTGTATAGGACTACTCTACGCTAAAGCGGCGGCAACTCGAGGCATCCCTGGCCCCTCGTCGAGGTCCTTATAACCTATCAAAAGGCAGGAAGGAATTGGGAGTTGGAGCGGCGTCCATAGAAAGACTGTACAATGAAGACTCTCACTGGACCAGTTGATTGGAACGAATATCATCGTGCATTTTCACAAGCGTAATATGTTGAGCAGTGGTCAGTAGAGATTCGCCGACCTGTTGTCAGGGGTCAGACATCTCTGATACCTGATCGAGGGACTGGTATAGACATCAAAAGGCAAGAAGCAATTAAGCATCAGAGTAGTGTCCAGAGAGAGCATGAGCAACTGTCTAATCTCACTGGACAGTTCAATCAGACTCAATATCATCGTGCATTTCGATGAGCATGATAAGTTGAGTGGCGGTGGATTGAGATCCAACGTCCGTACCTTGAGATGCTGACGTTTCCGAGAGAACTGACCACTACATGTTCTTTTAGCCGCCCGAGTAGTAAGTCCACAATACCATACGCCTGTTGCCATTCGAAAGCATTTCTCGGAGCACTATCCGCTTCACGTCTACTTCAAAGTCGACAAGCTGAGAGTTCCCACGCTCGAGGAAGCGATCCGTGAATATGAGCTCGCCAAAGCAGCACTATTCGCCCATCAACATCAAGAGGAAACGTCCCTGGTCAGTGGATAAACTCAAGCTCTCCTCGATCGCTGCCACGCCGCCAAAGCTCTTATTCGCCACCCTCGCTTTTGGGCCGAAAGAGCCCACATCCCCGGCGCAATGCGCACCACCGGGGAGAGACGCGACCTAGAACGTCGGCTTCTTGAGCAACGCTACTATCACAACCTACGCTACTTTCGCAGCTCTACATACCACAGGATCAGCGCCAGACGATTCCGTGAGATGCATTACGAATACCAAAAAAGCTGCCAGCCAGCCCGACAATGCTTTTGAGATGAGGATCCGCGAGCTGGTCGCTTCACACTCTTCCTCGTCCTTGCATGCTTCCCTCGGCACCAAGTCGAGCTCCACCAACAACGTCTTCATCCTGCCATTCAGATAGGCTTTGACTCCTCATACGCCCACCCTTGGATACCGACATCGTCCCAGAGACATTACGAGGGCTGCGGTTCGTTCATCGAGTTGCAAAAAGGTTTCGACAGGCGGATGGATGGCAGTTGAGAGAAGAATGACGTGTCTGGAGATCAGAAAGAAAAGAAAGAATGGCCCGCATCATCAGCTCCAAGCTCTCGTCATCGCTCTGGTATACCTATGAGACTGCAAAAGGGTAGGCAGGAAAAGAGAATTGTCCATAGAAATACTGTCAGCCCTTCTGCTGGATGAAAAGTGTATTTGAAACCCATTGTGCAAAATCTATTCATCCCGGCGAAGCTTTCGAACATCAGAACAAAGCAGTCAAAAGCCAAGAAGAAATTCAGGATATGCTGCTTGTCCACGGAGAGAGGAACAGTTTATTCGTCTCACTGGACATCCCAGGAAAAACAGAAGGTATCTTGCATTTGCATGGGCGGGAATGGCTGTCGTTGGTGTAGAAGAGCCTTGGATTCACAGACACATGGATCATACGATCCAATACGTCTTTGCAGAGACTTGCTCTCAGTGGGCATCTTGAGCAGCCAACAGAGCAGTCGAAAGGCAAGAGAACATTGGGTAATCGCTGGTCGTCTAATAAGAGAGCAACTATTTGTTACTCTCAATGGGTATTGTGTGCTTGACAGAAAGCATCTTGCATCTTCATGGGTAGACATGCACCATGGTTGGTGTACGAGAGCCTAGTTTCCCCAAATACGTGGTGACATGCGAGGCTCGAGATGTCCAGGTAGATGCTCAATCTCAATGATCGTTCAGAACGTTCGTATACACATCAAAAGTCAATATATCATTGAGTGAGGTGGAGACGGCCAAAGAAAGCATCCAAGCGGTCTTCTCTGGTTGGACATATCTTAAGAAAGCAAAATCATCTTGCCTTTTGATGAGTACAATTATACCGCAACTGGAATGGGAAAGCCTGCTCTTACAAAGAAGGAGTGCTCATATCTAACATACGAGTCTTGAAGTATTCAAGTAGATGCTCCATCTCAGTGGACGATGGGAGGATTTATATACACATCAAAAGTCAAGATGGTATTAGACGAAACAAGGATGGCCAGAGAGAGTATCTTATACCCCGGTTCTCGTTGGAAATTTGGTGAGAAAGCAAAACCACTTTGCCTTTTGACGAGTATACATATACCGCAATGGGGGCTGGAGAGCGTGGGTTGTAAATTCACGGGTCACTATCACCTACAATTTGGCACGGTATGCAGCTTCAGAATGGTTGTTATTTCCACGTTCATATCATGATTCCGTCTCCTCCCCATTGCCCCTTGCTTCGCTTGACACACCTATTGGTGGTCTCTTCTCTTCTTGTGTCTCACAAGCTCTCTAGCCTCCTTGGTGCTGTAGTCGCACTGGTCGCATTTCAGAGGCTTGTAGTCGTGGATGTGCCTGACCACATGAGCCATGAGCAGGTCTCTACGGCCCTTGCGGGTCCAGCCGCACGAGCCAAAGTCGCATCGAGGATTGTAGCCGTCGTCGTGACCGACGTGGTCCTCGCTGATGTGGTTCTTATAGAAAGTCAGTGTCGGCATGCAGAAGATGGGGTGGGAGATTGGGATCAAAAGCAGGAGTAGGGTACGTACGACCAGATCAGCAGCACCATCGACGCCGGTGTAAGTTTGACGGCAGGCGCCCCAGTGACAGATCTGAGCGACTTCAATAGCCATTCTGGGGCTCATGCCCGAGAAATATCCGGCGTGGCTCCCAGGGTCATTGGTGGGCTATCTTCGTGTCAGCTCGTGTCACCATGGCTATATAGAAGCATGTACTTCAGGGGTTATAGGCTGCAATGCCATGTTTTCGTTGATGCCCTTGGGCTTGTTGGTTGTGGGACCCTTGGCGGGGGAGTTTTTTCTCTTCTTGGACGTCATGGTTGATGGTATGTTTTTGAACGAAAGCAGCGCAAGAAGAAAAACAACTAGAGGTGGAAAACCCGGAGCATTGGGTCGTCAATAAGCTTGGCGTTATCAATGGTCGTGCCCGGAGTGGAGTGAAAGCGCACTTTGGTTTTGCAATTCTATATCATTTCCTCACGCGACCTCTGTCAAAACATCATTTTTTATGACCAGTTGTCAAGATCTTTATCACAACTTCGACTCCTATCAGCAACAGCACAAGAATGCACAGGCGCTGGAATTCCATCGCAACTGACGACATCCGCCATCAAGGCGCCATGTTCAGCGCAATAACATCAGAAAAATCCCTGTATCTGGAACAGTATGTGTCCGCTGCCCAACTCTCGCAAGACTTCTTCTAACTTCTTGTCCACAGTACAAGGACACATATCATGTGCACGGCGCGCTCAACAACTTCTCTGGCCAGGATGACCTCCACCGATCTCTTCGTAAGTTCTCTCCCCGCAGCTCCGCATTTTCCCATTCCTTTCCTTTTCCTCTTCCACTCATTACGACTCATACCATCCCAAGATCTCTTGAGTTATGTTCATCTCTTCTTCTTTCTTCATCTCACTGTTCGCCTTTTGATTCCAACTATTGCTACAACATGTTGGCTAACAATCAGACAGGACTACAGGATCGTGTGGATGGTCTCGGCCAGATGCACTTTGTTTGCCAACAGCTCGGCTAACATCGACGACGGGTTCGAATCTCAAGACTTCAGAAGTGAAGATCTCTTCTCTTCATCGTCATGGCAAACGCCAACGAGTGAAGCGAACGTTGGTTATGCCTTCGTAAACTTCACTCACCCATGGCTGGGCACATCACCAACTTTGTCAAGGTCTGCGCTCTCTGCGGCCTGTTCAAGTGCTTTGGAGTATACTGCGCAGACACTCGAGGCACTGACGTCCTCCTGGCGGAGTTTCGCAACTCCGTCATCATGGAGGAGGTCTTGGTGACCTTGAGGCTTGACAAGAGCTCCTTCGGACACTACGACTTTAGCTACCTGCGCATCGACTTCAGCACAGAGCTGAACGTTGGTTATGCCTTCGTGAACTTTACTCACCCTGAGGACATCACCAACTTTGTGAACGCAAATATTGCTAAGCCTTGGAGTCTTTCCGGCTCCACCAAGCGCTGCGAGGTTTCCTACGCCACGATCCAGGGAATTGACTGCCTCCTCGCTCAGGTCCGCAACCGACTGGCTGCTCTCTCAGCGGCACACCACTGCCGATTTTGGCACGCTGCGCCGTGACTCGGTGGTTCAGACGGTTCGTCTCCTTCTCTCTCAGCGGCACACCACTCTCAGCTTTCGCACGCTGCGCCGTGACTCTCGTGTTCAGCCGGATCTCTGCTTCTCTCTCAGAGGCTCGCCACTTTCAATCTTTGCACGCTGCGCCATGACTCGGGTGTTTCACCAGTTCGTCTGCTTCTCTCTCTCGGCGACTTACTACAGAGAACTTCTAGGCGCTGCGCCGTAACTCGCGTGTCCAGCCAATCAGCCAATCTGCTGTACAAGCTCATCACCGCTCTATGTTGCCCAAAGCTCCAGTACTACCATGAGTCAGTTGATCTGCCTGACACCAACGCCATCCGCCCAAGGCATTGCCTGCCTACTTTCCAAGTTCCGCAAGTCAGTCTTCGTTGCGCAACAGTTGGCCGGAGGTCGGAGACATGTTTACTCACGGCCACCTTGTGCCGCCCCAAGCTCTGGTACCACCATGAGTCAGATGACCTGCCCGACACCAGCACTGTCGGCACCGAGGCTCCATGCCCTGTGTGTGCTGACGTCCGCCGTACAGCGTTTCGTGCACGAAATTCCATGTCCTACGCGACCGATTTTGTATGGGATTCGCTATTGCCCTCAGCGCCAGTCATTTGCGCTCGAGGGCGCAAGCGTTCCAGAGACAACGCAACCACCATCGGTCTCTTCCCCTCTCGCCACGGCAAGGGTACCTACGGCCCGGGTTCCCATTACCGCGAGGGAACTCACCACCAACCGTTCGGTGGTGGTTCCTGGCGACTGGGGAGGAGGGTCAGCACGAGGAGCAGCGCCAAGTCCGCTTCGAGCGTCGCCAGACTCTACGACGGGTTCGAATCTCAAGACTTCATCTGGAGGAAATCCCCTCCAGGCTGCCACCGTCAGCAGTACCATCCTGGTCGCGGCGGTGGCGGCTACTACCAGCAGGGTCGTATCCTTGGCCCCTACGACAACGACGACGAGAACCCACCACCAACCGTTCGGTGGTGGTTCCCGGCGATCGAGGAGGAGCGCCAGCACGAGGAGCAGCGCCTGGTCCGCTTCGAGCGCCGCCAGGTCGGCTACCGTGGCAACGGCCAATATCAGCAGTTCGGTAGAGCCCGCCACCAGCAGTGTGCCGTTCTCCTGGGCTATGAGGAAGTCAAGAACATGACGAACGCTGAGAACTTTACAAAGTAAGTTGGCAACTCATACAATAACTTTCTGGAACAAGACTGATAGTCCCCATAGGTACGACGAAGCTGCCTTCAGAGCAGCAGTCTCCGCAGACCCAGAGTTTCGCTACTGCATGTCTACTACCTGCAAGTCCGGTCAATGCCACCCAGCCGGCATTGATGAACCCACATTCTGTTGCAGAGAATGCGGCCACAACCATTGCGTTAGGCCAATTGGCACGAAGGTCTGACTTGTGCTCAGTACCAGCACTCCCTTCAGCGTGCTCAGGAAGAAGAGGAGTCCCAGCAGGACGTCGCAAAGAGCAGTACATCTGTGGGTTCGAAGCTCAAGACTTCACAGGGAACATCTTCCCTCTGCCGGGCTTTGCTTGGCCAGTACGACCGCGGCACCTCCTTCGCTATTGAGGAGGTGCGCCAGCATGAATCCAGTGGAGGTATCGCTTCTCCCGGCAACGACACCTCCACTGGATTCTTGCCTCTCTCACCCTCATCCAACATCAACCAATTCACCTCCTTTGGCGGCTTTGGAGGCGGAGGTGCTGTTGCTCAGATCAACAACGGCCACTTCCCCGCTGAGAACTACACAACCGCTGGAATGGACATGAGCGCCTGGTGAACATCAGCAGTTCGGTAGAACCCACCACCAGCAGCAGTACGAAGGCGCACACCGCCAGCAGCAGTACGAAGGCGCACATCGCCAGCAGTACGAAGGAGCTCAGCACCAGCAGCAGTACGAAGGCGCACATCGTCAGCAGTACGATGGAACTCACCACCAACCGCAAGCTGGTGCTTCCCAGCGCAAGGCCATGCGATTCGTTTAGTTATTATGAATCATCTCGACGTCGGCAATTTGGCAGAGGTCACCGCCAGCAGTACGAGAGGGCTCTTCGCCAAAAGGGGTCTACGGCGAGTTCGAATCTCATGACTTCGCAAGCCTTGCTACGCGATAGACGGCGGAAGGTGTTATTGGGTGTTGGGTGCGGCTTGATGGAGGTCATCGGTGGTGGTACATCCCCTGTTGTGGGAGATGGGTTGTCACTTCCTGAGTCGGCCTTGTCATTGACAGAGGTCGGCAAGATTTTTTCCTTCGAGTTCAGGCATGGAGTTGAAGATGGAGGGTTGTATGGAAAAGATAGTTCTCGGCTTTTGATGAGAATGAAACTATACTTATCTTCGCACAACTCTTTCTTTGCGACCACGGTGTTGCGATGTGACTTGTATGAAACAGATGCGAGGAGAGTGACAGGATGGGCGAGATACTTACGACAACTCACATGCAATCACCGAAAATTACTGCACCTTGATGAACATGTCACGCCAGCATTCCTGCCTCAAGAAGAAGCACTTTGTTATCACTCTAGCTCTCTCCATACCTACCGCCTTGTCTGGATTGTTTTTTGAATTCATTGGCTCTGTTGCTACATCTACTTGCTACCTCACGCAACGAGTCTGCTTTCTCAGCCAACTCTCGTCGGGTATCTTGCCAGGTCCAAGAATTATCTTGATTTTTGATAACTCCCACGAGTGTAAGAAGCACTCAATCGTCGAGGGTGAGGTCAATGGTCTCGTGTACTTTCTCCGGTCCAGCCGGCAACACTTTGCTCTCAATGGGAGCTTGCCTGGCCATCTGCTCAAAATGCTTGAGTCGTGCAGCGGCGATTTGCTGTCTTGGGTCCAGCGGCTCTGGTCGGACAGCAGATTGCGGTGGCTGAGCGGGAATGTTTGATTGAAGAGCCGGGATGGCTGATTGAACGTGAGGCTTCGGTGCAGGCGGTACTTGAAGACGCGGTGTGTCTTCATCGTCATCCAGCAAATCAACAACTACAGGCTCTTGCCTGTTCGGCAAAGGTGGTGCAACTGGTCGCTGCTGAGACTTCATCTGAACAGGTTTTTGCAAGCACGGCTGGACAGCAGGTAACCTCGTCGGCTCTGGCGATGGTGACCACACCAAGCCGTCAGGCGGTGTAATCGATCGCGCTGTCCAAGACCCAGCTTCTGGATGATGTTGGCTGCTCGGCGGACCGTTCCTTGCAAAACTCATCGGTCTGGCAGCTCGCGAAGGGGCGGCTGACAGATCCAGAACGTCCTCAAAATCAACATCTTGAACTGAATATGACAGGCCATTCGAGAAGCTTGTCGAGGCTGTGAGACCGGATGGCTCTCGACTCAGCATCGGAGTAGACTCGACTGACTGGTATGAAGCACTTCGAGACAAGTGAGTCTGACTGCTTTGAGAGGACATCTCGGAAAGCATAGATGGGTTGCGAACGAGTGCTCGTGGTAGTTGGAAGCCCTTCTTTACTGGCGGTGGCGTTGGGTCTGGGACTTCTTGGTCCGCTGGTACTGTGGGAGGAATGTCTTTGCCGTGTCTTTTGGATGGCTTTCGCTTTGTCGGAGGTTCTATCGTGGTTTGGCTCGTTGCCACTTCTTGGGTTGAGGAAGTCGCAACATCTGTTGTACTTTTGGCTCGCTTCTTCTGCTTCTTCGCTGTTGACTGACTTGTGGCGTCTGCCGACTCAGCTGCCGTCTGACTACCATCTTCGACTTGACTGTCTTGAGTCTTGCGCTTTCGTGGCTTCGGCTGGCTGGCAGCCTCCTTCAGTCGTTGCATCTCTGTCTCTCCAAGCGCTCCAGCGAGAACATAATCCAGAAACTCCACTTCAACGGGAATCGTCGGATCAAAAGCACCACTGGCCTTTGTCGCCAGTGCTTCCCAGTCCTCATTCGGTGGTTGCGTCCAGCAATTTTCTTCAGTACATCGTTTCGGATTGAATGTGACCTGTCGCTCCAGGCATTGCTCATCGTGATCTCGTCCTCGTTTGTGGACCAGCTCGATCTCGAACACCAAGTTCTTGCTGACAGTTTCCGGTGTGGTTGCGACAAGTTCCTTGATCAACTGAACAGGGAGAATATGCTTAATATACTCCCTGGTCGTGAAGTTGAACCTCTCCAGCAAGAAGACACGGAGCTTCTTCTCGTCCACCGGTACATTCCAGCCCTTCTTGAGGCCTCTGAGATCGTTCGCTTGCTCTACTGTTGATACCTTTGGCTCGCGATAGTTCTTGACATGCAGATCTCGCGGATAGCCAGGCGGCACGTAGACATTTCTGCTTCCAGGCATTTGAAAGTAGGTTCGTAATGACTCGGTGAAACAATGTAGCTGTCGCAGTGGTGTTTCGCAGAGTATCTTGCCCAGTCTGCCATTGTCGAATTGTGCTGCTTCCAGCGCAGCCATTGGTCCGCATCCTGGTAGACCTTTGGTGTCATAATCACCACCGCTCAGCAGAGCAAACAAGATGAGGCCTTGCCGGTTAATCCGGTGCTTCTGCTCAATGACATCTGCACGGTAGATTCGGACCAGGTTGTCACTCTTCTTCGCAGTCTTACCCTCTCGGTGCTCCTTGATCAACACCTTGGCTCCGAACATCAAGGCATCACCATCATCGGTCCATACAGCATCCACAATGCCCAACTCATTCAACCTCGCACATTCCGCCTCCGCCTCCGCCGGTGCTCGATGATGGGGAATCTTCAGATGGTCCAACGTCTTCCTCAACAGATCAATCTTCTTCCAATCAATTCTTCCCGCAACACCACCACGCTTCCATGGTCTCGAAGGTCCGTCAAAGATAAAGATTGGTTGAATATTCATCCGCATGAGCTTTAGCACTCTCCAGAGAATGGCTTTTTCTATCGGATTGGCTTCAGGCACCTTTTGACGAATCGCAGCAACTTGGGCGTCGTTCAAATTGTGGAAACGCCATCCTGCTTCGTCGATTGCTACGCGGAGAGGCCGGTTGTGCTTTTTGTAGTGCTCTGTTGATAGCTGTGCAAGAGATTTCACTTCGCCTTCGCCGAGAATGTCCCAAAGGCTTGATAAACCGTCAGCGACAATTCGAGATAGTGAAAGATAGGCTTTCTGTACCCAGGAATACCCATAGCGGGTGTCGCATTGATTGTTGGTTGACGGTGGGAAAAGCAGGAGGTGAGGTTGGAAGGAAAGACGCGACGCGCCCGAGATTGCGGGATGCTGTCGGCCCGAGGTCAAACTCTTTCTCTACCTCATTCCTTGCAGTCCGTAACTAATTCCAAACCCACAATATGTACCTAATACCGTGCCACACTTCTCAGAGACTCAATCAGCAGAAGTATTGGATACTTCATGACTATATTAGAGTGTTTCATGAATTTGGCTGCAAAAATGCTGAGGCTTTCGAATTTTCGCCGTTTCCGGAATTGTGAAGTCGGCTTTGTTGAGCGTGTCACCCTGGATCTGGAAAGGGGGCTATACAAACCGCAACGACGACTGTCTGTGGTTTGGGTCTCTTGTCCATCCACCTTGTGGTATCTTATCCTAAAATCTACGAGGGTCTTCGTGGTCGCAAGAAGCTATTTGGCGTCTGATGCGGCAATGGGCAACATTCGAGACTTTGCGGTGTGACATGGAAGCAGATGTCCAGTCAAATCTATCTCATGCGAACATCGATCGCATTCAGATGGCACCTCGGATGCCCAAATTCAAGGTCAAACATAGAACGAAACGCATTGCAATACAGCACGAAGTAGGAAAGTGTATTCAGAGAAGTAATTTGGCATTAATGTCAGATGTCTTTCTCCATGAACATTTGTTCATGTCAACAACCCCCCCACACAAGTTGCTGCCACAAGCTGCCCGACACAGAGAAAAAAGCTTTTGCAAGTATGTTAGGGTAAAACAGCATATTTATCTCTGCAGATCTACTCACATCGAGAGGAGCATTGGGCTGTTGGATGTAAGGGAACGCTCTTTGACGCAGACTACAAGATACTTGTTGGCTCTGGAAATTGAGACACGGCAGAGTACAAGGCAAGGAGCTGCATGAGGTAGAGGAGGGTGGTCCAGAAATTCATGCCGGCAGACAGAGATTGGGTGTTGGAAGGGATGGCGCAAGCGAGCCCACAATCGGCTGCTAGTCATACTGAGCAAGCGTGATGGTCGTCAATGGCCCCAAGAGTTTCGTGGGTAAAGTTCGAGAAGTGAAGCTGCTTCACGGGCCACGCGTCCACGACGTTTTATTTCTACCCGTCTCATAATTCACTTCGCACCAAAACATCCCTCCAGACATTCCACCGTTCATATTCTACTTCCAACACACTTTCTTGAACCTCATCCCTCTTCCAACCTCGATTTCAACATGACGCGCACCGACAAGCAGGTTCATGATGAGATGACAGAAGCTTCTTTCGACCAAACAATTTAATTCTCAGAACTCGATTCTATGCTTGCCCTCACGATGAAGGACCCTACGTCATCTCCTTCGCCGGTAAGAAGGGGCGCCAGCACGAAGAGCAGCGTCAGGTCGGCTACCGTGGCAATGGCCAATATCAGCAGTTCGGTAGAGCTCATCACCAGCAACAGTAAGAAAATGCACATTGCCAGCAGTACAAGAGAGCTCACCACCGGCAGTACAGCTCACCTAGCGATCTCGGTTGCAACATCACAACAGGAACCACTCGTAGCAGCGATGTACTGGACTTGCCACTCAGCGGCGTGACGCTCGTCATCGTCAGCAGTGCCTCTCCTGTTGCGGCGGTGGCGGCTACTACCAGCAGGGACGCATCCTTGGCCCTTTCGACAACGAGGACGGCTACTCCGACGAGGGGGAGGACGACTTCTACCACGGCGACCGCAACTCTGATTACTACCGTCGTTAGAGTCTTTGGGGGCCGTCCCTTTCTGGCATGGATTCTGACTTAGAGGCGTTCAGCCATGATCCAGCAGATGGTAGCTTCGCGGCACCGCCCGGTCTGACGCAGTCCCTGCGGTATCGAGTACCCAGGACTTGGGCGCATGTTATCTTTGCTTGAAACCAATGTTTCATGCGCATGATCTTGTCGCTATGAGCGACCTCGTTCTCTCATTGTCATCTCTTTGGCACGTCAGCACATTTCAATCGATTCCACAGCAGTAGTGGAACCATAGAAGAAGGTCGCCGGCCTCTGGTGTGGGCCTTGAATACTTTGGAGTTTGACACAATCCCTGCGGTAATTGAGTACCTCCGGCTCTGCACCTGTTCGAGACTTGCGAAGTTAGCCAAGTCGCTTTGCGCACCCCTGCTTCCTCCATCTGGAAGGCGCATATCTCACTGGAGCCGATCTATTGAGAAAGCGCATGATCGCACTGTTGCAGCGCGAATGTGGCACTCCATGCAGCAACCGCAAGGACCAAGATTCTTTCCCGGCTGACTCCAAGCCCGAAGCCGTTGACAAGCATATTCCAAGTCCGCAGCGATGGCTTGGTAGTTCAACCACCCGATTCCATTTGCCAGGAACACCGCGAGCTCCGTATTTGTAGCCGCAGGAGTACGTAGGACCCCACGACTCTTCATGGCGCGCTCGATTGACATTTGCTATAGATTATCAGAGAACTGAGGCCGAAAAGAAGCTGGAAGCCGCTCCTCTAACTACCGTTGGAGTCAGACTGGTCAGTAACCATATCCTTCACCATGTCACCAGCACCGCTGACATTATGAACAGGTTCAAAGGAAGCTGCTGCAGTCTTTCCACTTCCTAACCCTTGGATGGTTGAGTCGGCCGCCAGCGTATATTGAATCGCTATCACTCAACAAAGCCTCAGGCACCCTCACGTTTCCCCTCGTTGGTCCAACTGGAACCTTTGTGCCCTTTATCATCTCGTCCCCTGTCGCTCAAAGAGAATGCTTGCCCAACCCCATCTCTCAGCGGCCTTTCAGGCTCAATTCCCACCGTATCCTCATCATGCCACTGGTATCACAACAGCTCAATATGTTCCTCAACACAACAGAGGTCTTGCACCATTCTCTCTTCACACTCATGCCTTCAAACACTTTCTGTCGTTTGCGGACCTCGGAATGAATTATCGCTTCACGCCGTTGTCAAGCTGCTGGGTTGTCTTTCGATCTGTCTTCCTCTTCTTGGAGCTCTGTCTTCGAATGGTATCTTTTTCTTGTCCTGTTAGAACGTCTTTCTTGTTCCCTCTTGAGCTGCTTCTCGAACGCGGCCTGGCAGATGTCAGCCTACTATTCTCCTATGTCGAGGGTTTTCCCGCATTAATCTTGCGTTGTCCTTTTCTTCTTCTCGGCTTCTGGGTACCTCATGCGTTGGTCTCCTCTTCAGGTTTTATGTTTTCTGTCTTCTCTCCAAGACAGACTAGCTAGTTGTGCTTCTGCCGAAGCTTTCAATGATCACAAGTTTACCTCCCTTGCATATTGAAGTTCCTCCACTCGTAAATACTCCAAAGAAGCATAAAGCAGAGAACGCTGCCCAGACACTAGGTCAGGGATTTGTTGAGAGTGCAGGATATACGTCATTGCCGAGATGTCTCGTTTGGGGAAGCTCCATTTCGTAGGCGGCGGTGGGCAGACGAGAATATCATACATTGTACCTGCAGAAGGGTGCGAAAGCCGTCGATCCCTGTCTATATCAAGGGTCGACCGCTCTAGCATCACTCAGAGCTATCAATGAGCCAATTTGATGGTGTTATGCTATATAGACGTTGTGCTGGCCTGACTACTCCAAGCCTCAAACAAAATTCGACGCCTCTTCCACTCCGACATTTTCTCTCTCAACCCAGCAACCCAGCTATATTTCATCAACCACTTCGCAACGACATCAAACCATCTCAATGCCGTACGTATCCTATTCACACTCCTAATATCACTACTAACAAGCAATAGCACTATGCTCGCTACTATCCTCTCGTCCGCCGTAGCCTCGCTCGCCGCCGCTCTACGCTTTCTCGCCGACGGCCTCGCCGCTATCGCCTACGCCAACAACGTCAGTCGCTCTACCATCCCTCCCACCCTGCTCTATACCACCCTGCTGTTTACTAAGTTTAGCTGTAGGTCGATGATACCGATGTCCTCGAGCCGGCTGCCCGCGCCGGTCTAGGCCCCATGCATACCTTCCATGCTACAGGCCAGTGCAAGTCTCGCGGTTAGTACTATCATTGCTGCCTTACGAAACCCAATGAAGGCGCTCTCGATGGAAGGCTAGAAGAGTGGGAAAGAGCGGTAGAAATACAAGATGGGTTCCATGGTCACGAGAAGGTCCAATGAAAAAGCACTCTGTTCTTACACCAATTCAAATTCTCTCAAGACTATCTCTGGCCATTCTGTACTGCTCGAATTGCTTCTTGCATCTTGACCGCTGTCGAACCATCTCAATCTGAGCAGGAAGGAGCATACCTGCACCGAAGTTGAGTCACATTTGTACATCACACATCCACGCAGGTTCATCGTTTTCTTTGGACATTCCACGACACACAAATTCATTCATGCATTTCTACCTCTACCCTTATTCCAATCACTGACGACGAAGAGAGCACGCCAGCACACCCTCTCCGCCCCAGGGCTTTCCTATCTCCTCCTACGACGGTGGTACAACAAAATCTATCTTGCATCAGCACCACTATCATCTTCACAAGCAGAATAAGGACAGGGATAGCATACCTCCAGTCACCCAGTGATATCAGAAAAAAGCCCCATCATCCTCCATCCCCTCACCCCAATCCCCCATCTCTACGCCACCATCGTCAGGAGATGCTGGGTTCCAGCACCACTTCATGATAACTATCATTCCTATTAGCTCCTTGCATCAGACCCATGAGCCGAGACGTCTTACAGAAAGTGCCCTGGGTGAGGAGGACAAGCGCCAGCGCAACAACCCACCAAACCCAAATTTTTGCGCCTTTGTGGGTGGCGAGGGCCCAGAGGAGGAGGGTGAGGAAGAGCAGGTCGAGGGTTGTGGCGAGGGAGAGGAGGATGAGGGAGCGTGTGGAAGGCATTGTTTCTGTTGGTTGTGGTTGGTGTTGCGCAGGTGGGGGATTGCAAGATAGGTTGATAGACTGGGGCGTGAGGGAAAGTGAGATGATTACTGTTTTTGCTATGGTATGGGGGAGCAGGATAAGCTGCTTGGGGTGCTTGGTTATTAGACATTATTAAGGCCTTGAGTGACCTTTCTTTTCCGTCTTTCTCATTGCTCATTGACCAATCCGCTTCAAGATCTCCTTCCGTGAAGCTCATCAAGAGCCTCCTTCTTCGTGATCATCCGACACTGGCAACCTGGTAGCCATCTCCACCCAGACCTGATAGGTCTATGTACCCATCGACGACCCCCAACAGTGTTTTGATCGACATCAGTACTCCAAAGAGCGACCACGCTTGTCCATCTGGGAAAAAGGGTCAGTCAGGCTACCTCGCAGCACAGGAGGCTGTCAAGTACTTACGACAGGAACGTCAAGCTTATCGCTGACTTTGCGAATGGTGGTGCTCTTGGTCCAAGTCAGTCTGTTGATGGGAAGTGCATCGACGATGAGATGGCGGTGGCCTTCGGGGGTGGGGGTAGCCTCCTGGAGCTCGATGATGGGAGCGAGTGAGTGAGTGCTCTTCTCTGGGGTCTGGAGCTCGGAGTCGACTTCCTGGACGTCGATGGTAGGCGAGATAGGGATGGTTGGAATAGGAGGAAGAGGATGGTCGACAGTCGAGCGAGCTTCACCGGCCTCGACAGCCTTGGTAGTTGTAGGAAGGGTTGGAAGGGGACGGCAGCCGACGGCGGGCTTCTTCTCATACTTGATATTCATACCAGTGGCAACAAATGCGCAAGAAGCAGGCTTTGGAAGAGTAGGCGAGGTCCTCTCCTTGTTGTCGATGCATCTTTCTCTGGGGATCGAGAAGTTGCGGGGGATGCCGCCCTTGCTCAGATGATCTCTGAAGTCATTGCGGAAGGCAGGGTGGACGAGGAGAAGGTCGGGCGAGTCCTGGCGCTCGTAGATGTGCTCCTGCTTGAGGTGGAGGTTGATGGTTGTAAGAACTGCTCGTGTCAGTAAGAAGCCGATTGTTTTGGTTCGAGGAACAACAAACCGAGAGCGCCCAAAAGCATGGAGATGCACACGATGCCAACAAGCAGAGAGATAACAATGATAGTCTTGTGAAGATACAGCGAGGCCCAGATCATGGTGCCGATCAGGCCGATCAAGATAAGCATGGCCAGAGATAGATAGATGGTCTTCTTGCCGGCGGCGGACCATCCGGAAGGCTCAGGCATGCGGACTGATGAAAAGAGTGCTGACAAGGCCATTGGTCCTGTGTCTGAGAAAACTGATAGGATGTAATGTTGTTTTGATTAATTGAACGCGTGAACGTGCGTGTGGTTGGGTGGAAGAAGTTTAGAAGATGGCAGCCTCAGCCCCGGACCATAACAACAAATCCGCCCCGACATGACAAGCCGACCCTGGCCCCGTGACGATCAGACGCGATTGGTTGAATAGGAAAATCAAAATAGTACAAAGACATGAAGAGTCAGGAAAATGCCAATCATTTTGATGCTTGCAAAGAAGGAGAATTGTCATGCCATCTCTGTGGTCTTGTGTCTAACGTACATGCTCTTCAACGAGCCGACTGATCCTGGCAACCACGCGTTGACGATCCTCCAATATTCATCTTTGCCTTCAATGCCTTCAACCTGAGTAGCCCTGGCTCTCAATACCTGTGCGTAGACAGCCATGCCCTCCTTTGCCCAATGCGTAATCTCATGCTCCCATCATCATAATTCGGCCGTTTCCTGCCGCCAAGTGGGCTTGCGATCGTGTAGAAACTCAGATACGCGAAGCATCTGATTCTGATTGTCAGTAGGACACTCAAAAAAACGACAACGAGGTTGAACATACAAGAAGAAGCAGGCACCTGGCGGATAGTGACACCACCCTCGCGGGCTGAGACACGGATCGGCTGAGGCAGAGCACTACCATTGATGAAAGGATCACTCAAAGGAGAAGCCAGCACGGCACTGTAGATGCTTGGGCGGGAAGGGTTGCGTGCAGGGATTGGAGGGAGAGGGCGTTCTTCGAGCATGCGCTGGTAGAGTGCATTCTGCTGCACGTCTTCACTGACAGGACGGAGGCGAAAGGCGTCAGTGGGTGGAGAGTCTTCAGGCAGGGAGTTGCGAGGACGAAGACGGGGGGAGTTGTAAGTCAACATCTCGATGTCCGAGTTGGAGAGGGGAACGGCGTAAGAGGAGTTGTGACGGGGTCCATCGCGAAGGCGAGCCAGAGCTATATCGCGTACAGGATTAGTCGCTGTGATTACATATGAAGGGGTGCACGATGGACATACTAATGGTAACCTGGTAGACAAAGCAGAACAGGAAGGTAACCAGAAGGGAGACCCAGACCGCGAAGGGCTGCTCAGACTTTGCTGCCCAGATGGTGAGGGCGAGCAGCAAGATGTTGACGATGACGCCGAAAACGAAGCAGCCGCTGCGGCAGACGGGGGCACACATCTTGATGGTTGTTCAGGTGGTGATGGTAAGTTTTGAGAGTTGCTGCGCGTGAATTGATGGCAGGCGGATGTGTTGCGTTCGAAGTCCGGATGGCTTGTCGCGTAGAGAGATAAACAAAGCATTGCTCGAATTTAGGCGACAAGTCCAAGCTTTCTCAGCGAACGACCAACATCACGTTTTCTCGCCACACTCTTAGAGGATACATTCGAATCAGAAGAAAGTGCAAGAGATAGCGGGGCAAACTCTGGAAGAGTGATACAATTGTGGTTTGAGGTGATTACATGAAGTATGCCAGAGCCATTACCATCTCTCCCTCCGAATGATGAATGTCAACCGCTCCATGCTTTTCCTGTGGCAAACTTGACTGCTCGATATCCTTTCTGGCCTCTGAGACGCAAAATGTTGCGCTACTGCCAATCGGCGCAGTTGCTGCTCCATACAATTAGCTTGGCCTCTCATGGCGCTGAGTTTATGCACGACGACATACCTTTGGACCTCTCTAGCGGGTCTGATTCATGTCTGGCACGACTGAATAGGCCTTCAAGCTGCTTCCGCTGGTCAGATCACGTCATGGCAAAGGTGCTGCACAAACTCACCAATCTAATGCTTGGCCTCGGTGGCGGCACGAGTGGTCTCAACAACGCGAACAGTAGCGTGGCCCTGAGAGGTCTGCTCCTGAGAGCGCTGAGGAGGAACGTAGGCGATAGAACGGGCACCCACGCGAGGGGAAACCGAACGACGGATAGTCTCGATGTTGATTGGGCGAGCGTTACTGTACTCGCTGGAGGACGATGATGAAGTGCTCGAGTTAGAGCGGACTGGCAGGCCGAAGCACATCTTGATCGTTGATGATGATGGTCGCGTGAGATAGAGATTGATAGTTGGGATGGTTGATGGAAAAGGAAATAAGCTTGGAAAAATCCTCGAGGTTCTGTTTTGTGTGAAGCGAAACTCGAGGCTGTGAGACTAAAAGCTTGGCATATCAAAGTGGAGTCACGCATATCACGATTGAATACGGAAAAATGGCTGCAGCAACGATCGATTGATTGTGGTGGCCTCTTGCCTGCTACTCGTACACTCTCACACCCCCTTCTCGTCCTCGAGTCACAGGCTCTCGGACCCGGCCATGCCTTGATATCCCTGCTTGCCTGGAGCCTGTGTGCTCTTACGGAACCCCCTCACACATCACTGCGGGTGCAATCCCCTCAATCATCGAGGGTCATGCGTCTGACCGCAGGAGTGGTGCGAGGGAGCCTGGCACGCTCCTTCTCGTCCTTCTCCTCCGAGCGGGTGCGAGGGCGGATGGCTGGCGAGGCCGTGGGAGAGCGCCGGGTTGCCTCGTTAGAGGTCTTGTTCCTATGATAGTAAGCACCAGGCGCGATCAGGGATCGTAAGGAGCCCGAAACGTACTGGTCTTTGGCGGCCTTGAGCGCGTTGGCGATCTTCTTTGCCAGGCCCTTGGCCATGGACTTGAGCTTCTTGATGAAGCGGGGGGCCATTGCAGGCGATTGAGGCGAGGCAAAGGGGGTTGGTGGAGGAGGTTGTTGTTGTGGTGGTAGTGGTTGCGCGAAGAAAGGTTGTTGGCCTTGTGGTCGTTGCTTGCTGAAGAACCACGATGAAATTCGACAAATTATGCATCTCATGTCCTTACTTCACCACACCAACGAATATCCCCTATCGTACAAGTCTTACTCCTCCCCCCTCCAGACTACTTCTTTTACTCATCATCGCAATGCAAGATATCCTGCTGAGCCCCGAAGATCGCCAAAGAGATGATGATATCCATTCTCTTCTCCGACTTTCACGGCACAAGATTCTCGTTCCCCAATGGCAGCTACAGTCATAAATAGACGGTAAAAAGGCACGATGAGTTCTTAGAACAGATCCAGGGCCAGAGAGAGGACCTTATGTAGTCGCTCTCAGCGGACAATGTGATCTGTTTCAATAACACTATGCTTTTTAATGGGTGGTTCTATACGTATCGCTGCAGTATGAGAGCCGATGGGATGAGACATATAGCATACAGGCACTGGCATACAAGAAATAGTGGAAGTGAAGAAGTCTTCCATTGAATGAGTGCGAAACAAACGACCTCCTCGAGACTTGAACGCAACACCAAACAAAACCACGTATCAAAACCCGTAACGAAGTGTTCGACTCCGTTACTAACGCTCACTTCCTTTTGCACTAACACCTCCAACACCACCTCTACCTCTATACTGGCACAGTAGGGTGCCAAAAAGGTGCAAAAAGATGTTCGAATACGGATCAGATGGCCCTTTCGCTGTACTTAATTCCTGACTAGGGGCCCACAATCTTGTAAATTACTCCCGCAGGTAATCCGAGGAGCGCGTAGCATCACCCTACCAAGACCGCTTGACTATCAGTGCATTCTATGAGAATTAATTCCAACTTTTGACATTATGTGTGTGCTTTTCGAAGTGAAGGGACTTAGCAGAATTCATGCTACCACTGACAACAAATCGTTTTTTCTCCGATCACATCACTGTCTCTTTAGCTCTTCCTGGCCTTCATCACGCTGCATCTGTTGTGACCACGAACGGACCTCGCCATTCATCTAGCTGCTTCATCGGGCGCGACCATACCATCATTGCTCCTGCGCCTTGCCTGTCACCGAATTAGATGCAGCCCGGCACATCGTCCTCACACGTTTCACTCTTCTCTTCTACCTGTCTGCCTCGTACATCAATCTGGACCCACTGCCAGGGGCTTTCCATGCCACCCGCGCGACTTCTACAGGCTAGTCGTACCATAACACCACAGTTTGGTTGAGTTGCCGCGGACATTTCACCGCTTGGATGAACAACAAACTCGGAAAGCACGTTCATGGCGATGAGACTATTGCAGCCGCCTTCGTCAAGTGCCATGACACTGCAAGCAGCTGCCGGTACCACGTCTTCCAGGACTCGTAGATCCATATCTCGAAGCTTCAATGCATCTCTTCTCGGTATCTGCAGTCTGGTTGCTCTGATCTGATGAGCCCTGAGGAACCTAGAAGCAGCCATCATTACTATCTCTGCAGTAGTCCGGACTCCCTTATCGCGGCTCAAGATTGGCTCAAGCAACTAGACATCCCACAGTGACCTTGATGATATAACTTACAAAATGTTGCTGTTTTACATCTCGCTGCCCAACAGCTCGACCCATTCGCGAATCTCGCGATTTCTGTCCGAGCCATAGAAAGCACTGCAACCTTCCTTCCCCGGTATCCAATGTCTGGTCCAATGAATCTTATACTGCGAGCGTGGGGTTATTGTAAAAATTGGCTTGCTCTCACAAGTTTACCTTGCGAAGGCTCAGTCTTCCAATACCGACCTCCTCTCTGAGCCCCGTCCCATTTCATACGATTGATGTCTTCTCATCCTCTCCCACCGCCATTGTCTCCGATGCTTTCCTCGTGTCTAGCACGACATTGACAGCTGCACACCGAGATGCTCGGCCGTAGACACTTGGTCACGCTAGGATAAATCGTCAAAGAAGATATTCGCTCAAGAGTCGATGGACAGACCCCCGTGAATTCCAGTCTGAAAACTTTATCACTTTGGCTATCATAAGTTGGTCAGTAGCTGGCATGTTTGTTTTGCAGGTGATGCGGCGGTCTGGCCCGGATTCGTTCAAGCTATTATCAGGCATCCTATATGTCTGACTCTTTTCTGTATCCAATCGGACGTAAGCATTGTGCCATTCTTGAACTTGAATATGACTGGCAGGCCCTCGGGACAAGCAGAGTTGGCAAGAAGCAAGTCCAAGGACGATATTCTGGCGGAATCTCTACCCATTACTTTCATCCTCACCATCGCAGTCGCAATCCCGAAGGTCACCGCAAACCAAGTGGAAATCTGCAACCAACAGCAACATCTCACTATCAGACCATACATGAAGAGACAGAACTTTGAAACGACAGTGATATAGTTATGCGCTACGAAGGAACTCATCAAAACCACTTGAACTATGAACTTCCCAGGCCAGTAACCACCTTGCGAAGCTGTCCAAGTCGGTTCCATATCCTCGTATCCGTTTTGATGTAAGAGAAAGTGTGGTGGCTAGCCGAAGCCATCTCAATGATGGGCGATGCTGGAATCCAGACGAAAGGAAATGAGAAAGACTCTGTGGTGGGTTGTTCGAGAGAACCACAGGGGAAACCGTGGATCCAGCAAAGACGAGAGAAGGAGAACCAAGAATGACCTGCGCGGAGCGATTGGATCGTTCGCTCCTAAGGCCAGTAACCACCTTGCAAAGCTGTCCAAACCGAACTCCATCTCGTCATACTCAAGAAATTCGCAAAGGAAAGTGTTATCGCTACTCAAAGCCATCTCTGTGATGGGCAGTGGCGCGACGAAGAGAAAGAAAAAGGGGAAGAAAAGGATAGTGCTCTGGGTCGTGGAGAGAAAGACAGGAAGGACCAAGTATAACTGCGTGAAACGATCGAACTGTGAGCTCCCAAGGCCAGTGACCACCTTGCAAAGCTGTTCGAACCGAACGCCATCTCTTGCGTGTCAAAGCATGTTTGAAAGAGGGTGTGATCGCTAGCTAGAGCCATCTTTATGACGAGCAATGCCGCCATGGAGTAAACCGAAAAAAACAAGAAAAAGATGGTGATGTGGGTCGTCGAAAGAGAGACAAGAAAGACCGCGTGGGCCAGGAACAAGGAGAGAGTGCTCCTTGCATTGGGGAGGCTCAACTAGATCGGGAGAAGATGGGTGGACCAGGGGGAATAGTTGATGTGCGAAGACTCAAGGTCTGTGTCAAGGTCAGTGAACTTTCAACGGGTATAGATGGAGTGGCGCTTACAGGCTATCGCGAAGGAGACCTCAGACCTCACTCTGGAGGGCGTAGGGATCAGGTTCGTTGAACAGAGTCCAAATGTGCATCTTTTCGTTTAGGTCGTACTCAAGCTGGCGGTCGCAGATAACAGAGACGTCGAACTGAGGAATGGCGAAAATTTGGCCAGCGAAAGAGTTGGTGAAGTTAGTCGATTCGAACTCATCCCAAAGGGGGAGATCTGGGAACATGTTTTGATAGAAATTGACCTCTTCGATGGCCTCGTGGAGGCGCGCAAGGTTGTCCCTCCAGATTCCACTGCTCCAACCACCGTCTCCTCCTCTGACAGTGATCTGGATGTTACGCTTGATTCCCAGCTCGATCAGGAGCATCAGAGCTTTCAGGCAACCGTGTGCACCTTCATACCATCCGGGGATAACGAACGCGAACTCGAAGTTGCGAATATGCTGCGAGAACTGCGCAAATCTGATGGGGCATGGCAGTCCGAACATTTTGACCTTTTGGGTCATGAAGACAACGAAGTCCTCGTGCTTGGTGAATTTGATCACCAAACCATCCAGTAGCGTCTTCTTCGCTTCGGCGCTAATGGCTTTGCTCACCAACATGATGTTTAACTGGTCCTTTTTGAAGTTGACCGGTCTAGGATTCTCTTGGTACTCGGCGCAACCTTTGCTTGTTAGAAGTACGACCTTGCTTGATCGAATTCCTAAATCCCCGCGAACCTTGGCCGCGAGCACCATGCTGAGAATCAGCTGGCGCACCTCGGCAGGCAGCGAGGGACGGTGGGGGTCTTCGGGAGGTGCGAACAGGTACTGGAATACCGGTGCAGCATATGAGAACTCCTCGAAAGACGAGACTACAGATCTTTAGTAACGAGTCGCGGCAGGAAGTGGGAGAATACTTACGCATGTTTCTGTCGTCCATGTTCGTAGAGATCTTAGATCTTTGTGGTGTGAGGATCGGTATTGATTGTTCTTTGAAGGTGGATGTTGTTGGAAGAGAGGATGGGTGTTGTTAAAAGAGAAGATGGATGTTGTTGAAAGAGAAGATGGATGTTGTTGAAAGAGAAGATGGGTGTTGTTGAACGAGAAGAGGAGATCCTTATGTCTGATGGAAGATGATATCAAGAGAGAGAAAGCTGTGAACGAACTTGTTGATGGATTCACTTTGCGGACTGAGTGGTGGTCAGTGCTTTGATGGGAAATTCGTGAACGACATCCGACCCAGCAACCTCGACCAGCTGCCCTGCGAGTACCGTCGACAAACGCCAAGACTGTGCAAGAGCATCGATGTCATGATGAAACCTATGGTACACGTTCGTAAACTACGCCGGGGTCTTGCCTGCAGACAAGAGATGGTGTAGCCTGTAAACAGTCTCTGTATTCCGTGATTTTGCTTCCTTGACATGTGTTTCGACTATCTCAAGGGACGATATGATGCAAGAGCTTCTAAGTAGATATCCTCCGGCTAAACCTGACCGTCTGCATAGTTTCTAGCTCTATTCCTGTGATTACTCTGTCTGGCGACGACTCATTGGATCGCGAGTGCAGCTATAGAGCAGGCACCTAGCACGATGCACCACCCGCTTAAGGCACTACATGTCACCATTAATCGCACAAGGCACAGGATATTTGTAGAGTAGGGAGTTTCCATGGTATCTGGTCAATACAGTGGGAACCTCCCACACGCTCCATCTGAGATTCAACGGGGGTCGTCTTTTGAGAGAGACAACAGGAGAACTGGTAAGGAACGACACCTCATCGACAGTCTCGGAAATCAAACGTGAACCTTGAACAGAGTCATGACACCACCATCTTTTCCACATTACAACTCCTCCATAGCACTGATGACACTGCTCGTGCTCTAGGTGGTCAGATGCTGATGTGCGGGGAGCGCTCAGAAGGGGCAAGGTGCTCGTGGGGGTAGTGAGCCGGTGTGTAAGTATACGACGATGCTGGCTTGTAGTGAGTAGTGTGGTCTCTCGGCTTCCATAAGTGTAGGAATGCTTCTCTGTGACAAGGAGAGCAGGTGGTTTTGATGTGGTAGTTTCTTGGAGCGGGCGAACGAGGTGTGGAAAGGAGCAAGCTCTATGTTAGAGTCAGTAAAGTCTCATCAGGAATGGGGAGGAGAGGCACTTACAAGCTTGCTGGAGGCGTGCCGGTACGCTCACTGCCACAGCGTGAGGAAGGTCCCAGTGGCTCATACACTCGTCACCTCTTCTCAACTCCTCAGCCCTCCGTATTGTTGGCTCTTCAACTCTTGAAACAAGTGACCGAGGCAGAGTTCAAGAGATGTTCTGACTCTCGTCGCCGGTGTTGATCACTTCAGACGGATCCGGGAAGTTCACGACAAACTTCCAGGGATCGTCGTCGATCCAGGAGAGCATTTCCGTCTTACTCACCCTGAGTTTTTGACCTGCTGCCTCTCGGCGTGCCTGATAGACTCTCATGTCGTTGAAGATGGTCTTAAGAGCAGCAGCCTCAACTTCCGATTGCTCTGCGTTGTCTTCGGTACTGGGGTAGGTTATGCGCAATTCGAACTTGTCGCCGATTCTTTTCGCGAGGTTCCAAAAGCACTCCAGGGTTTTTAGGTCGCTTTCAAGGTCGCTGACGTAGGTCTCTGGGAACTCCAGTTCGATCCTGCGGATCTTTTCCACGGGGTACATGAGGGGGATGCTCCTTGAAGGACGACAGTGTGCAAGCTGCTTAGTCGTGGAGAGAAGGTTTAGCAGCCTGGTGCTGCGGAACAGGAAGTTCATCTCTGACCACAACACCGGCTCTGCTTCCTTGTGCATCCCTCGGCACACCAGAAAGATATCCAAGGGCGAGACGTCGTGTGTATCTCCTCCAAGTCCGAGGACCTCGACCATTTTGCCATTGTGGAGAATCTCGGTCGAACTGGGTTCAATTCTCTGGTCGCCCGCGCGAGCCATTGACTCGAAACAAGACTTGTAGATCATGCTTCTGATTTCGAGGGGCAGTAGACGGAAGAATGGTGATCTTGTGCTGTATCTCAGTTGAAACTGTGTCGCGACGCGTATGGAGCGTCTCTCTTGGACTCCAGGGACCCGGGTGATGACATTGTCTTGTTCTGGTAGGAGGCGGGCAGTAGTTCTGCGACGTTTATGAGGAGGTTCGGACACTATTGAGATAGTCAGCAGATATTCGACCGGAGATGGATTCTAAATACGCGTAGAACATACTAATTGCTTGTGCTGGATGCGTGAGATCGATGACCGATTCTTTGATAGACGCTGGTTGATAGTGATGATGCAAAGATGTGGTTGGCTGAATGTTGCTGTGCATTGGTTCATCGAACAGAGCTTTGGCGTGGGAAATCAACAACACGCGCGCTTGCACGAAGATTTCCCTAACACGATGACTTCCCAAGCGAGCTAGTGGGTCTGGGCTACCCGTCGCCGACATTGAGACTGAACATCGCGGAGTAGACATTGGTGGAAATAGATGACAAGGAAATCAATGATTTTGACTCAATACAAACTTCTACATGCTGATAGCATGGTCCATCAGAGGTGGGCGCCTCAAAATACGGCAGACAAAAGAAAAAAGAAACCTCCTTCGAGACCCCCCGTTTACCAACCAGATGCTGTTCTCTCACCCATGCTTCGATCTCCACTTGACCATCCACAGCTTGGTGTCCGGCAGGAGGACAACCATCTCCTCTACCTCCTCGTCCATCCAGCTTCTCATCTCCTTTTCGGTGATTGCCAAAGACACACCTGCCCATCGCAGTTGCTCCTGGTAACATTTGATCTCAGCGTACAGCCGTTTCAGATACGTCGTGCTAGACAGCATGCGGCGCTCGCTGACGTGTATAGCTCCGTTGAATGTAAGCTTGAGGTCGAGATGGTTGTTGCTGTATCTGGCCAGGGCCCAAAGCGAAGTAAGGGTGCGCAGCTTTGTCTCTACCTTGCCGTGAATGTCCAAGATCAATCTGGGCACCAGGTTCACGGAGAACATCATTTGTGCCTTTTTCTGGCGGATGCCTCCAGGAAGAAGCTTTTGATCACACATCTTCTTTAGAGCTTCGAACCGAAACAATGAAGAGTCATGCTTGAGTAGAAGGCGAACTTTGCATCCGTACAGAACTCCTTAGATACCAGTAGAAGGTTTAGCAGAGGATAGGTGCCATAGTCAGATCGTATCTTCGGGAGAAGGAGTTTGTTGATCTGTGTGCCGTGCCAACCCATTGCCACCTCGAACAATGCTTCATCTTCATGCTGACCGGTAATGGAAACAAAGTGCATTTTGAAGATCATATACCTGATCTCTCTGGGCAGTCGAAAGAACGGAGGAGAAGGGCGCTTGTGCTGACTAGCGATGCGGGCAGACCTCCTCTGCTGTGCCCAAGGGACACGAGTGGCGGCGGGTTTGCTCGTCAGATCGATTGTCGCTGTGGACTTAAAGCGCTTCTTCGGTGGTTCAGACACTATAGCAAGTTAGGACGATCTAACTGGGCTTGCGCGAATGACAAGAACATACTGTGTGCGTCGAGGCTGCAAGGCAAAATATCTGATCTGTGTTGATAATTTTCCAGAAGTTTGACGAGCGATTGGACAGTCACAAGGTCACAGGATAATCTACACGAACTTAAACACATTTGGCATCTGCTGGAATCACGATGCTCTGTATCAAGATCACACGTTGGGGTGATCTTGTCGTTGACTTCCTTATCGAGCTAGCTCGGTCCGGAGAATCGCAGCAGCAAAGATCACTAGCAACACAGCTCCGACGCCTATAAATTCTCTCCGCTCCTCTTTCTCCTCTTCTCTTCCAACACGCGGCTTTCCAAAAGCGCTTGCTCGACATCGACATGTCAGTGGGAGTGGGAGCCATCACCCACAAGAAACGCTGTTGGGAAGGGGACACTGGGACTTCGAGGTTTCTCAAGTCCCTAAGGAGCAAGGCAGCTAATCATGCGTACAGTCACCGAGTCAAGATGGTAAAATCACTGATCTTTGCTAGTGGCTGCATCTTGGATCTTTGATCACTTTTTGGAACCGGCCGGGGGAAATAGTAGCCCTTGGGATCGAACATTTCCCGGCACAGTGTCGCTCGTATTGCACTACCTCGAGCTGACGCGAATCACTTTTTTTTTCATTGAGCCTACTGGTCTTTGACTGGTGCTCGGAGAAGATAAGCCTTGCTTTGTTTCGTGATGATTGGGTCGCTGCCGAGTGTGTGTGTCGTGCCGGCTCTTGGCTGCCAACGAGTCTGTGCTTTGCGTCGGCGCCCACTGACTATTTTGCTTTCCTTCTTTCGTTCCCTCTCTCTTCTTTTCACTCCATCCCGTGGCTACAAGAAGAAGGAGAAGTAGTAGTACTCTGCGCAAGAACAAAGACTTGAAGGAATGCCAACAAGCAAAACGGCTCTGTTCGCCTGGGAACGATTGATGACCGTACAAGATGCTCTGCCTTCGCGTGGCCACCGCCTGGTAGACATCTACCTTACCCACCTTTTTGGAACCAGCTGGGAGACCTCTGCGCATCGCTCGAGTGGGGTCGGTAGCATGTGTATGTCTCCTGACACTGTGTCGCCTGTATTGCACTACCTCGGGCTGATGCGAACTACTTTTTTCATCATTTTTCTGGCCTTGAGCTGGGATCTGAAGAAGAATATCGCACGCTCTCTCTTCTCTGATCTTACTCGCGCAGAATCTCATCGTTGATCTTACTGTTCCTTTCTATTCGTCTAGATCGTCTGCCCACCCAAGACTTCATGCACCGCCTAATCATCAATCACCGGCCAAATTTCATATTTCACGTTCAAAGCCAGCAAGTGCACATATCTCTGCTGATGTATCAGCCTCGGGTAATTATACAGCACCTTACCCCACGTCCATACTAATGGCACTGCAGAGAGGAGGAAGTTGCACCCGACAGTTTCGAACCCGTCTGGAGCCATCATCCATAAGCAGTCTTATGCCACCGCATCAAAGGCGTCCACATCGCTAGCATCGTTCAGATTGACCTGCCAACACAGCCTAGGATCCATCAAACATGAGCCTTGCCATGCTTCAATCCACCATGATGGCCTCGAAACCATCTCTCCTCCTGGTTTACGGTTGTCCACGCCAGCTCATGAATTCTGGTCGCAAAATCTCTCAGCTCACTGAAACGATTGACGTGCACTAGACCAGAGACTAGAAACACTCGAAAGAGAAGACGACCATCGAAGGAGGTAGATTGACCCTCGACTGAATTCTCTTCCAAGGCCTCGAGGACGCCAACCCATGACATTCTCAACCAGTTCGGCATCGAGTACTACTTTACATCCAATATCACCAGGACTTTCTACTGTGTAGAATAAAGCGCTCGCATTCCAAAGAGACGGACAGGAGTCTGCCGCTCGAACACTGCCTCCATCGACAAGCATCTGTTGGGCTCAAAGGCACACAGCGACACTTGGCCTCAGACTTGAACAAGGTAGAGGCCACATCTCAATACGGCGCATAGTCTGCGAGTAGAAGTAATCAACCACGCTCAGGACAGCGCCACGGCTTCAGTGAGGCGCATCAATCAGCGTGCCAGTTTTCTCCGCCACCGAGCAACGTTTACTGGCGGGCAGCGGGGTCTTCCATGGTCAAGCGGCCTTGTTGTTCTCGGCCTGAGCGAGTTGGAAGCATACTAGCCCGTCGACTCCTGGTTTTTAGTCCCAGTTCAAGGCATCTGTCATCATTACCAACAACGCCGAGACCGTTAATACTCGCGAATGGCCATGACTTCGAAGACTCAGGTACCGTGGAGGCTTCTTGGGAAAGCATACGACTAGAGGCGGCTGCACCTCTTGCCTCTTGATCTAGTTATTGCGAAGGGTGAGCAGCTGTCGGGCGGATACGGCAGCGTATACAGTGAAAGGCCACCGCTGCCAGAGAGTCAGACTTAGGCCTTGCTGCGGATTGAATAAGTCTTTGGTCGTGGAAGAGATTCGTTTTGAGACTTGTGCTTCTCTGTTGATCCCCAGTCCGCCATGTAACCACCGAGCCAGCCGTTGTTGCGGCAAGCATGCGTAGGAGTAGCCCAAATCTTCGTTGTATCAATAACCTTACCCTGAATACCAGATGTCTCATCTCCAATTCTCGACCACTGCCCCACTCGGCATGACATACACGTTACTGTCTCTTGCACGGAGTCTTGCCTTAGCTGACTGCTGAGCTAAATTTGACGACAGCCCGGTCTTCTGTCCAGCAAAGCTATCTGTCGAGGCCAGTTGGTCTGCTCATTTTTACCTCTCATGTCTTGCTGGATGGGCTTCCACAGATCATTCCAGTCTCTTCGGTGTGATGTTCCAGCTTGCCTCAATTCCATGCTAGTAGCCGCTTGCCAGTCAACGTTCCTAGCATCTTTCTTGGTCAAGTCAGCAAACTCCAGAATGGCCATTGTCCGCTTGACCATCAGCCTCTTTGTATCGTCGCACAAGGGCTTTGAGACGCAAGATGGGAGTTCTGAGGTCATCTACAGCATGGATTATGCCCGCTTAGCCGTCGATCAGGATGTCGATCTCCTTGTGCCATCGGTGTTGATCACACCACTCGCTGTAGGTATGACCCTGTCCGAATTTGTCTATTGATCACATCGACCTTCCGAATGTTCTGAAGACGCTGGGAGTCTCGCAGCTTTCGGTCATTGAGCCGATGTGCTAGGCCCGATTGTGGCTCTTTGCGAAAAGACATTGTGGGTGTCGATAGCTGATCGCGACTTTCGTCGCGAGCTCTGCTGCGTGTCGCTTTCCACATGCCTTGAAGTCTCGAGCAATCAACAGGAAGAAAGTTTATGCCTTGGGTGTAACTCTCACACAAAGATTCCACTTCAGAACAGCCTGTCACCCCGCAGAGTAAATGTCCGCTGCTGGTGAACCGGCTCCACTGTCCACCCGAAAACCCTCGTCCAGGGCAGGCGGTACGCCTACGCTGCACCATGACCAGGTAAGCACTCCATCTGAATTGCAAACTGGACAGCTCTCGCGGGTTGCGACGAGATTTACCTCTCATCTTCTCAGAGATTAGCAGCTCATGCTTCGTTTTCGGCAAGCGATACTCCATGCCAGCAGCACAAGCGGTCTCGCAGCACTTCTCCTCTCAAAAGGAAATCGAGATGGAGACCTCTTCGCTCGGACCCTAATACTCATCGTCGCAGCTGGAGACTGCATTGCTGCTCTGACTCTCCAATTCCCCGCCGCCTATTGATTCCAAGCGTCGCGAAACTTCAGCACCAAGCTCTCAGCTTTTGTAAAATCTCGAAGCCTCTCCAACTTCAAAGCTCCAGCACACCCATGCCTAGACAGGCAAGCAAAACACATGCCGCACAGGCAAAAGCAATGATTCCGCCCGGGTTCGAACCGGGGACCGCCTGTGTGTTAGACAGAAGTGATAACCAACTACACCACAGAACCAATTGATGTAGGTTTGGCCGAGATGAGGGATTAAGAAGATAGAGATTGGGGGAACGATGATGGCGTGAGCGTTGGCACGGGCCAAGCGTCCTCTGCTTCTGCGAACGGTTGACCGAGGACGGCGTCTGGGGCTGGGGAGCTGACACTCCAGAGCAATGGACCGGAAGCAGCCGTAGAGTTAGTATAGCAATAGAACACAAAGCCACTAGCATTCCAAGCTGTCGAGGAAGACGCAAGCAGCAGCAGACAAAGGGGAAACAGGAGTGGGCGGTGGCGGCGAACCGTTGTGGTCCGTGTGGATGTCAATGAGCTGATGTGAAGTGGCCAAAAGTCGTGGCTGAACGAGGGGATTTTCGAAGCTTGCTTGAAACGTCGTCTTCCCTCTTCGTTCCTTGCCAAAGACGACAACGTCGACACTACGTTTGCGTCCACATACCTCCTCCTCCTGCTAGGGTGATGGGTCGTGGTGAGCAAAGCGCAAGAATCGAGAAAGGTGTGCCAGGCAAAGTTTTTGCACTCGACAGCCTGAGCCTGAGCTTGAGCGACCTCCGCCGTTACATGCTTTCGCAGTCGGGCAGCGATGCTGGCGAAGCTTCAAGGATAGCTTTATGCTGGAGCGCAGTCTGCGAGGAACAGCCGTTCATGATGTCGCTGTGGTCGTGGCACTGATGGCTGCAAGAATGAGGCCTCGATGCATGCTGGATCTCGTTTTCGACTCTCTTCATATCAAGACTGTGGTTCATACGCGTCTGCAGTTGCTCGCGTTCCTTCCTGCGAATGTAAAGTCTCTTGGCCGATCGAAAAGAGACGGCATTTCCGGACTCAAGGCCTCATGCCAGACTAGTTCCTTGTCGATGGAGTGGTTGAGATGCCTCTTCAATCAAGGTGTCCTCATCAGATCTGTTCAAGCCGTTGAATCGCTACACCACTTAAGCCCGTCGGTTGAGGCGAACCCTACCAGCCCGAGCCCACACACATAACTATGAATCATGTCTGGTACGATGCTGCTGAACGTCTCAGATCCCCTTAGAGCTCCTTGGAGACGCGAAACATGGTCGGGATGCCTCAAGCGCCGAACGTGGGATAGCCAGCAAGGCAACGAAAAGGGTGTGGATTGCAACAACGGTCACCTCATCGTCCAAAAGTCGTCGAGGGTCGTGGGGAGAAGATGATCTCGGACTGGACTTCAGCGGAACTGGCAAAAATCCTCGTCTTAGTTTCGCAGACAAGACTGGTCGCTTCCGTCGTGGAGCAAGAACAAGCCTCCTCGAGCTTGTGAGAGCGGTGATTGCCAGCATCGCAAACACTGCACAGCCCACTACAGCTCGCCGATCCGCTCAGAAATGTATCAGTTCTTTGACAGCGACACGGTCATCGCGACATCATGCTGTCGTGTCCGAGTTAGGACTTGGCTGGTACATGCTACTTGCTATTATGGCTCCAGCCTCGTTGGGCTGTTGAAAGATGGACAGTCACGGTGCAACCAAAGACTCACCTTGATATGGAAGGGGGGCGCCATGACCCAGTGACGTGTAAAGAAGGTTAGGAAACTTGGTAGCGAGTCTTTGAGATCTTCTCTGGGTGGGTAAATCGAAGAGCTGTGTGCAACGACAGATCAATAGAATGCGGCGAGCATGGTGAGATTCGACGGTAGGGTGCGGCGGCAGGTCTCGGCGGTATGAATCGGCGGCAGACACCAGCGGTAGGTGTCGACAGTAAGTGTTTCCCCATCTCCTTCTCACTGCAGGTTGTACCCTGTCTCGCATCTCATCTCTTTCTTTCCGCCTGCAGCTTGTATTTTGTTTCCTTGCTCTTTCTCGTCGTTCGTTTCTCTTCATGTCTTGATAGCGCTACTGTGACGGTAGGCTTGTGGTACGAGAGGTAGGTACGTGTGCGAGATGGCTTGAAGATGCGGCGGACATCTGTTGGTAGGTAGACGGCGGTATGCGGTAAAGAAAGTCGTCGCGGTATATTTGTTTTCCTCCTCTTTCCCACTGCAGGGTGTGTCCTGTTACGCATTTCTTCTCTTTCTATCCGCCTGCAGTTTGTGTATCTTTCCTTGCTCTTTCTTTGCTGTTAATGTAGGTGATGAATATTGATGCTCTCGTTGGACGTGTATGTTGTTGAAAATTGGTTGTTGCATTTTGATAGGTGATTCTCGGCGACGTCCTTATCCCCACGCTTCCGCTCACTCTCCCAAATCTGCAAACCCGGGGCACAACCTCCCACGTCCAAACCTCTTCCTTCTCCTCCTCTCGCACCACCCATACCATCAGAAAAAAACTCTCCTGCAATCTCTCATCACAACAATGGCCACCACCACAGCCCAACTCAACGGCCTCCGCGCCCTAATCCGCGACCTCAAATACCTCCTCGCCTTCCTCTCCCTCATCGCCCTCGCCGCCATCATCTTCCTCGCCTCCGTCAGCAAGCGCGTCCCCACCGATGTCATCATCGGCATGATGTTGACGCTGGGCCTCCTCTTCTTTGGCGCCCTCATGGGTTGGTTCGTGCTGTTGCGTGATCCGAGGTTGAGGTTTTTGTTCCCGGGGTTGCTGCCTGTGGAGAGTAGGAGTGCGGTTTGGGTGCGTCGTGTGCTTGGTATGTGTTACTCAGCAGAGTGTAGGGGAAGGGATGGATGCTAATGTGGTCATTTGTAGTCTTCTTGCGCCTGCGCCCTGCTCGTGCTGCTGCTGGCGCCCCTGCTGGCGATGGCGGTTTGGCTGGAGCTGTTGGTGAGTTATGATGTAATCCGTCAAGGGGAAGATGGAATGCTAACGTTGTATGTATAGAGCTCGTAGACCTCCGCTCCCGTGGCCCTCGTGACCGCGCCCCTGCTGGCAGCGCTGTCGCTCTTCTCGAGGAGGGTCGTGCTGAACCCGAGCCTGAGCCTGCTCAGCAGTACGTCTCGATGAGACTGAGAGATATGCGTGGTCAGTAGGGGTGAGATGCCGTTGGTATGCCTACCTATCGTTGCTGCCGTTGCCGCCGTCTCTTCCGCTGTTGTAAGAGTAGTAAATCAATGCTATCAAAAGTCAAGAACCAATTCAATCACTCCGTGCTATTCAGTGAGATGTTGTGAACTGCGTGTCGTGCAGGGAGAGATTATTCATGCTTCTTTGGACGTTTCTAGACGATTGGAAATATTCTTGCATTTCGACCAGTATGACTACAGTCTGCATGGAGCATAGAGAGGACCGGAAGACCGCCCAGATACTCCAAAAGCTATCCCTTGACTGATCATCCCAGTTTGCCAATATACCATGTGATACCTCCATCCAAATGCAAGAACCGATTCAATACCACAGCACCCTCCAAAGAAAAACGAAAGCAAAGGTTGTCAAAGACCTAGCGATACCAAGGTTCATGGTCTTACGATGTTTGATGTGTCGAATCTCGCACTCGGCCCAATCGACATCCCTGAGCGTACTGTCAAGCGCTGACTGTCGAGCCATGCGCTTCTTCGCACGAATGACAATCGCATCATCGTTCGACAGAAGGAATTCCGACACAGGAGATTTGGCGTGGCGTGTCGTCGGAAATCCTCCATGCGTTCGTAGAATGTTCTCTCCATCAATCCCTCCTTCAAATGGCTCTCAGCTGCCCCATTGGCGCGAAACCCGCTCCTTGTTCCATCAACTCGTGGTTTCTCTTAATATCCGCCATTCTGAGGCGTGTGGACTCGACGATGTAAGCGGACATGCGAGTGGAAGGGGTATCCTCAAGGAGCTCGGGCTCAATAGAGCAATCCACCAGTCTTCCAATTTCGTAAGCAGCCTGGAGACCGCTGATGGTGCCTCTCTCAGCCTTGACGACGACCTGGACATTTGCGCACCTGCCAAGGACCGGGAGGTTGCGCGAGCCGATATCTAGGACTTGGTCCATGGGACGGTACGCCCCCAAGAATCTCGCAAACACATAAGTGCTTGCGAAGCGGATGGTGATCTGTGCCCAGAAACGTTCTAGGACTTCCATTCTTACAAGCTTGCATACGCTTGTGATGCCCAGCTGCTTTGCCTTGAAATCTCCCATGTGATAGTCGTTTTGGCGTTGTGAGGCCGTACGTCTGCGCAACAGTCGGCGCTCATCAATCTTGATGATTGTGGTGCTAAGCAGGTGGCCGTAGATGATTTGGCGAACTTCTGCTGGGAGAACGAAAAGGGTGTCTAGCTTTCCGCCTGCTGGGCGCGAGGGGCTGGCGTTGACGGCGGGAGAGGCTAGCACTGGTCAGCAGAGTCAAAGAAGGAGTTTACTGTGGTTTCTGCTTACTGGTGAGAGATCTTGTTCCCGGGATGGGTTTGACAGGTAGACTTGCGCCTTGAGTGGCAGCATCGTTGTTGTTTCGCTTGTTGTTGTCTGCGAGAGGTGCACCCTTGGCCTTGGGCTTTCTAGCCATCTTGTTCTTTGTCTGAGTAAAAACAATGGAGAAAAGATGGTTATGGGAAGTTGGTATGAAAGTTGATGGCGGAATTCAAAAAAGGGTCAAAGCCACCGATCGTGCGCAGCCGACTTCCACATCACGCCAAGAGAAACACGACCTCATTGTTGGATATGCACGTTGCAACCTGGATGTGAATGTATATTGTTGTCACCGGTAATTCTAATGGAATTACCCCCTACTCCAGCGAAGCGACGAGAAGGTATGGTATTTCAGTATCATTTGGATTGGATCGGCGAGTCTACTAAAGCTAACCTCACGTCCTGTATATCTCGTCTTTTCTAAACGACGGCTTCTACTTGTTCATCCCGTGATCCACTCCTGTCTCTTGATGTCAAGCCTCTTCAAGATATCACCATTGCCCCTTGATCTGTCCGTTAACTGTTCTCCACTAATGCTATGGCGCTTGGGGCACCTGCTATTGAGTTGCCAGAGTGGTTGGAGGTGTAAGAAGAGGACGCTCAATAAACCAGGAAGCTGGGTAGCAAGCTGTTCTCGTTAGGGGGCTCGTTGTGCTTAGCCGCACGCTTGTCGTCTTTGAAAGTAGTCATCCAGTCGCCGACGGTGGTGTCGGCCATTCTCTGCTTCGAGTGCGCTTTGCTTGCCATAGCCATCATTTCCACGTGCCAGATCTCGCCAGCTTTAAGTTGGGGACCAGTTTTGGGATCACCCCTTTGGCTGGCAGAGCTGATGAAGTCGACGCTCAGAGGCTGGTCAAGCTGCTGAGCAATCTGCTTGAGGTTTCTGAGACGAGACAAGATGCCGGTACGAATGCTGGTAACATCGCATTCGACTTTGAAGGCTTGGAGCAAGACGGCCCCATTCTGCTTTGCGAGATCCTTGTCCCGGTCTTCGTTGTTCGAGATGCCGAGAAAACGCTCAAGAGCAATCTCATTGTCAAATCTGAGGATCGTCTTTGGCCAAAACAAGGGGAGGGCATCTTGGCGCATCTCACGGCATGTGGCCAGAATGCTCAGTTGCTTGTGTTCGAATGAGGGATTGGTGTGATAGTTGTGTCTACGTCCGGTGGGATCCCAGAGCATGAATTGCGTCCACTTGTATATCGTGATCACGCGAGAACTTGTAGCCACGTCGACGGTCCCGGTGGAGAAGACATGCTCGTAGATCATGTGACGGATTTCGACTGGAAGCGCGAGGAGAGTGCTACGACCTGGCATCATGGTTAGAACGGATACAGACAACGTTTAGATTTGTTGCATCTTACCAGGGGGACGGGTGGCTGGGGAGGTGACTCTGATGCTGGACAGGAAGTTTTGTGCAGCAAGTCTTCTGATGTCGGGCTTGTCGTTTGCGTTGTCGACCTGACTGTCGATGTCAAGGAGGACTTCGGGTCCACGGCGTGCGGCTAGCGATGTCTTCTTGCTGCGTGCCATCTTTGCTATCGAAGAGCTGGACGTAAACACGGTGACAAGGTTTATGGCTTGAGGGCGAAGGGAGACGTGGAAACGAGGAGGTCAACGCCAAGACAATAACCGAGTTGTTGAACGAGCATGTCGATAAGAGAATGCATACATGACAAGTGCGGTGGCTCGATATCTTTTCCGAATGTTCTCCGCTTGATTTGGTAAACAATCATGGGCTTGGTCTACTATAAAGAGACGCTGGAGTGATCCAAAACCACCACTCTGATCTATATCGTCGTCCTATCGATTCTGCTCCTTTCTCTCCCCGTGAGAACTTCTGCTAGTCTTCGTCTTTGTTCCATTGCTTGCTTTGTGAATCACTGTAACCTTCTGACCCTCATCACGATGAACAGCCTGATTCCAAAAGCACGATGTACTAGCATGATTGTACCAGGTTGGAGCAACTCCTGCACCATCCTGATCTCCTCTTCTCGCGATACGGAGACACTATCTTGCTTCAATGTTATGCAACGCTACTCCAGCGTTGCCGGCGGCCTTCAATGCGTCCTGTCAAATTGCAAGATGCTTTTCTAGGAATTGTGGCGGTCCAGTGAGGGGTCCCGATCTAGCCGGACGTAAGATATCTGCAGGGACACGTTATAGGCACAGAATCACATATACTAGACATTCAATGGAGGTAGAAAGCACGTTCCATAGGCTCAAATTCCCTTGTTGCCCTCATGCCGCTTAATAGTATACTCTTTCTAGCCTCAGGCTCAATAGTACCTGAACTCTTACAGCTCCTCCCAGCCAGCGAACTCCAGCTCTAGATCGATCTGGTCCTGCTCCCAAGTGGCAGCATGCTTATCATTAAGCTCCTCCACTCTCTCCTCCTCGGCCGTACGCTCCTCCAACTGCTCTTCCCACTCTACATTAAACACCTCTTGGACGTCTAGGCAGCGCTCGCACCAACAAGGCCACCTATCGTTATGCTGGATGGCTAGCGAGACGATACTGCTGCCATTGGCCAGCTTAGTCAGGACACGGTCGCGGTAGACGTGGTCGTGGTTGTTGATGTCATCGTTAACCAGGATGACGTGCTGGATGTTTTCGAGGTTGGTGCGGCGAGGTAGGCCGGGGAGAATGGTGTTTTGCTTAAGGAAGATGTTGAGCTCGGTAGTGGTGGAGAAGGAAAAGGAGGTAAGCGCCCAGAAGAGCTGTTTAGCTTCCTTTCTGATGATTTGGCACGTAGCTAGGATGCTTAAGCTCTTGTAGGCGTAGTCGGACGTGATAGGGCGGATAGGACGGTTTTTGATGAGTCTCGAAAGGTGGAATGCGTCCGTGGACATCTTTATAACCGTGTTCTCGTTGTTTGGCGCAAATACACAGCGATAAATGAGGTAGCGGACCTCCCTATAATGTTCATTAACGCTAGACACGCGGAATATGCTTGAATTATCTTACGTGGACAGGTCGAGAAAGCTCAGCTTGTCGCCATTGTAGTTATGGAAGGGTTCTCTTGATTTGAACATCTTGCTGTATGCGCGTGGCGCTATAAGCGTATGCGGCGCGGCGAAGATGGAATGGTTGTCAAAAAGCTAGGAGATGTAAAGCTGAAAGCTGAATTTACGTGTACGCCGAGCCATCCCAAAGTCGAGCTCGAACGACAATCATACTCAAAACCAAAATTGCATCGATCTCCCACAGAAATAACCCTAAACAGCAAATCATCGTGCATTGATACAGAGACGAAAAGCCTGGCGCAGGATCTTTGAGATCGCTCTTCTTTTTCTGCACCTGTGATGATTTCATCGATTGGAAAATTCGACCTATTTTCACACCCTATCACTCATATCTTCACTGCCACTCACTATCGACTCGCTGAATACTGCATCTTTCACTCGTAAGTAATTTCCTCATAAAGAGTCCAAATTTCTTTCTGATCTGTCTTTCCCTCTCCTCAATTACAACACAAACATGTGCGCGATTACTCCTGTTTTAGTCTTGACTCCTCTAATCTTACAACAACCACAGCACTCTTCCTCACACACCATGTCTCCCAATCAAGTCCCCAACGGCGACCAGCAAGGTAAGATCTACCCACCATCTGCTTCCATATCAATCTAACTGACCAACAGCAGCAGCACACAAAGATGCCATCGCTGCTCTTTCCGAGCACCTCACTACCACCTCCATCTCTTCCGCCCCCGAGAGTAAATGCTTGTCCCCCCTTATCCCCTCTCCTGTTGGCACACGCTAACCAATCCAGATCACAAAGACGAAAAACCTCTGATCGTAGAGATCAGTAAGGTCGAACTCAACGACGCCATCAAGTCGGCCCGTCGCGCCCGTGAGGTCGACGATAATGGCCAGCACGTCTGTGGCCTTGAGTGCCCTCTCCGCGGTGCCTTGGGCCATGGTGGTGAGACGTCGACTTGAGGTCTCTCTGCCACACCAGGTCTCGCCTTCGCCGCATATTGACGGCAGGCATGATAGGGCACAATCCAGCAGGATATTGTGTTGAGCGCCTTAAGGTTCGGTTTGGAGGACGTCTTTTGCTTTTGGTGTGATTAGTGCCGTAGCATATCCACAGAAGCCTTGTCAATTCGTTACTCTTCCACCTTTGTCCTTGTGGATTACATGTCCACAACACCCCGACCATGTTCCAGTTATCAGTCAGATGTCACACTATGGAAAAGACAGACACAGTGTTTGAAAACGAAAAAATACCATCGCTGGTATTATTGTGGGGTATCTAATCATTCCTCATATCTATCCAGCAGGTATAACAACCCTGGAGATCATTCCTTCCTGTGTCCAGCACATCCGGAGACACTCGAAAGAGCATCTACTCATCATCATTGACATCAATCTCGGTCTTCTTCCACTGGCGAGCGGGAATCTTGCGCTTGAACATGATGTCAATCTCGCGGTAAGATCTACCCTTCATCTCGGGAAGGAAGAAGTATGCAGTGACGAGACAGGCGAGACCAGTACCACCCCAGACGTAACCACACTTGCCACCGACTGTGGAAGATTGTTAGTGATTTGCTTTGAGAGCGCGATTTGGAAAGGATGAACTTACGGTTACCGCCGGTGGGGTTGAGCATGTAGGAGGCGAGGAAAATGCAAGGGATCTCGACAATGTAGTAGGTGGCGCGACCCATACCAGTGGTGAGAGGTCTGAGACGGATGGCGGAAGTTTCACCGATGATGACCCAAGATGCGGGAGCGGGACCGAGTGTGAACAAGACTGAAACGATGAGACCGAGGGAGGCTTGGGCGAATTGGGCGTTCGTGTTGTTGGCTCCGCCGACTGAAGCTGCGACACCGAGGGCGACCAGAAGAACAGTGTTGACGGCAGAACCCCAGAGGTAGATGGAACGTCTGCCGTAGTAGGTGGTGAGAATCCATGAAAGCATGACGAAAATCATCTGGAGAGCGGAGGTGATGAGACCAAGGGCAAAGGCGGTGTCACTCTTGATACCGGCCTGGGTGAAGAAGTAGACGGCCTGGTTGGCGATCAAGTTACCAGTAAGGTTCTGGGCGGCGTAAACACCACAGACGATAAGAGTACGGCGAAGGTCGGTGCCCTTGAAGAGTTCGAGATGGCTGGGCTTCTTTGCAGAGGCTTCCATTTCAACGACACGGCGCATCATGGAAACTGCATCAGCAGAGTTGACCTGAGACTTCTTTCCAAGACGTTCAACGGATCTTGCAGCCTCCTCGTGTCTTCCCTTGCGGACCAACCACCAGGGTGACTCGGGAGCGAAGAAGATGAGAATAGCGAGAGGAGTGGGGAACAGCCATTGAAGGGCAATGGGAATTCTGTAGAGTTATCAGTCAGGTGTTTAGTACAATCTGATGAGTTGGCACATACCTGTAAGCCTCGGCGCCGTCTTGCTTGTTGTAACGGTAGGTGACGGCACCGACGATGATGCTACCAATAGCCCAGAACATTTGCAACATCTGAGTGGCAGGAGCTCTGAGTCTGAGGGGCACAATCTCACTGCAGTAGGCGGGTGCGTTGGCGATGAAGATTCCCCATGGGATACCCTCAAGGATCTGCGCGGCGAACATGACGGGAAGCGAGTTGGCGAAGTAGAAGACGAAGATGAAGGCGTTCAGGAGCATGAGACCAGTCAGAGTAGCGTAGCGGTAACCGATGCGGCTGGTAAGAGGACCAGCGACGAAGACACCGATGAGAGCACCGAGTTGTCCAGAAACCTGGAGCGCCGACTGCCACTGTGTTGCGATGACCCTGACTGCCTTACCGTCGACAACAGCGTCGACGCCGAACTTCTTGACGAAAGCGGGAAGAGCGACAAAGTTGCCCATGAGAAAGACATCATAGGATTCCATGATCTGGAAAAGTCAGTTTGCTGTACTTGAGAGTTTTGACGAGGAAAACATACAATTGTGCAGGACATGACAAAGGCCCAGAAAGAAGCCATGGGGTAAGCCTTCATGGCCTCAATGACCGTCATGTTGTGTTCGACATTCTCGGCCTCGATAGCTTCAGCTCTGAAGTCGCTTACAGCTGCCTTTTCGGAGAAGACAGCGCCGGGCTTGTTCTCGAGCTCCTCGGCATGGCCGGGCTTGTCATCGTAGTGAACCATCTTGTCGGATGCTTGACTCGACAAGCAATTGATGATCTGGGGTTGTGGTGAGTGGGTGTCGAGAGGAGTGCACCGTGAGTAGATGATCTTCGAGATTGGACGTGGGGGATGGACGCTTATAAACAAGTGAAGGTACGGGGAGACGTGTGGAGAGTTCGACTACGGGGTGTGGGGTCGCGACGTCCGGGGGCAGCATCTGGGGAAGAAACACGAAGGTCCATGCATTCAGCCGTGTCAGCCGACGCCGTGGTATGGTCGTTGTATGCTCTGAGCCATGCCCCGTTCAGGCCGCCACCTGGTGGGAGGCATGCTACATTGCTTGTCACGAGCATGAGAGTGAGGAAGCCCGCACCTGGAGGACGGTTGCATCCTTCGCCCGGTACGGATTCTCGCTACAAGTACGAATTGGGTATAGCGTGTAGATGCTTGCCAGGAGGATGAATAGCTTATCTTCCATTCAAGCCGAGTTAAGCCGGGCCAAGCGCGCCCTACTGATGCTTCGCCATTCAACCGCCAACCAAAATCTAGACGTCCTCTGCGGAAGACATGAGTTTCGAGTCGAAACATGGCATTCGAAGTTGCGAGATTGAAACAATTTTCTGTCGCTTCGCGTGGTGATACGACTTGCAGATCACCTTCATCCGCGAACGGCCACTTCTGGGCTCGTGTGTTTAGACGAGCAAGCACTGCCAAGCAGCATTCCTTGCATGCAGTAGGGCTTCCCGTCAACGCCGCCGTATTCACTATCACCCGGAATGGATATGATCTTCATCGCATCGATTCTGGCTTCATCACATCGACTTCGACCACGACACATGAAACCTTGCAACAAACACAATCATCAGCCGATTGTGGTCGGGGAATAAGAAACTATGTTGTTGACGAGTCGAAGCTGAAGGTGGAGAGGGGCAGGATACGCACCCGAAAGAGCATGCAAAGGGCCGGATACGCGCCCGAAAGTCTGGGGCGTGATGAAGCCTGATCGTCGCGGGTGATGTGCAGACAAGAAGAGCGTTCGAGACGAGTTGTGGGGAAGAGCAGACGACAGGGGAGACCGGTGGGAGGAAGGAAACGGCATGGAGAAGAGACGAACAAATCAGCAGTCAGACATTGCCCGTCGTATCCGGGATGTTTGCGGCCCCATTGCTGAATGTTCGTCGGACAACATCTACAAGCAATTCCAAATCGTGGAGGCCATACCAGAGTCCATCACGAGTCTCCGGTGGGAAGAACAAAAAAGCGACAAGACGAAGATGAGGACTGTCGTTGATGCTCTGGCGGCCTTGCAGAGGATCTCGAGGGGACAGACGCTGAGCCAAAGCTTATGGCCAAATGGGAAAGAACTTTTGACCATCCAAGGATCGCCGCAGCTTCTGCATCTACATTAGAGAGGGTCTGAAAGCGGTCTCAACTGCGGTCTCAGCACCTTCTTCGGGCCTTCAGCGAAGTTCGGCTTTTGAACGAAGGCCTAAATAGGCCATCGGCAAACTGTTGTGTTATGCGGTGTCAGCCGCTGAAACCGCATAACAACTCGATTTTTCGACCGCATTGGGAAAAGTCTGCTGCCAAGAACTACCCCACCTTCATATACAAGCATAAAACGCATAATACACTGCACATTACCGCGAGCTGAGACCGCTGTTGAAACCACGTAGCTGAGACCGCTGAGACCGTCTTCAGACCCTCTCTATTCCGCCCGCATCCGTCGTGGTTCGTTCATTCCTTCCATTCCCAGATCATATTCGAGACAAGAAGACGCCAACAGCAGTCGATCGTGTGATGCACGAATTGCTTGTGTAGATTCGAGAGTGTGGAAGCTCTCAAAATCTCTTGTACATGGTAGAGACAGGTGAGGTTTGCTGGACCTATTCAGCCCGAAGACATGATTGGTGGAAGACTTGAAGCTCAAAGATCGCAACAGCGATGATCTGTGGGGATGGAGATGCGGGCAAGTGCGGGCAAGGCGGGGTGTTGCATCTACGACGGCGATGATCATCTTTCGTCTTGCCCGTCAACATCTACCGAAGCTCTACAAAGCAATGGCACCGACGTTAGAACACAGACTTGATCGAGTTTCCTCATGATCCATAATGGTTTCAGCGCTGCTCGCTTCTTTCTTCTTCGGCTTCAATGCCTTTGTCGCTGCGTCATGCCTCGCTTCAAACACAACATACACCAACCCTATACTCCCTGGCTTCCATCCTGATCCAAGTTGCATCTTTGTCAAGGAGTGGGACAACACGTTCTTCTGTGCTTCTTCTAGCTTTGAGGCCTTTCCTGGCATACCAATTCATGCCTCGAAGGACCTGCAGAATTGGAAACTCATCGGCAATGTCTTCAACAGACCTGAACAATTGCCAGATCTTGCCTTCACGAACAGATCCACCAGCGGCATATGGGCACCTGCAATCCGCTACCACGATGATACATTTTGGCTAGTGACCACGCTCGTCTTCGACAACAAGACTCAGAACGATTCTTCAAGGTGGGACAATATCATCTTCAAGACGCAAAACCCATACAACCAGTCTTCTTGGTCAATTCCGGTACATTTCCCATTTGAGGGCTACGATACCTCTCCATTCTGGGATGATGATGGCAAGACATGCATGACTGGCTCACATGCCTATCGTGTTAGCTTCGGCATCTGGCAAAAGACCATCGACTTCGAAACAGGAAAACTTGGCCCGGAACCTTGGATTGATCTCTGGAATGGCACAGGAGGTACCGCACCCGAGGGCCCACACATCTACAAGAAAGACGGATGGTATTATCTCATGATCGCCGAGGGAGGCACCGGACTTACGCATGAGGAAACAATGGCTCGTTCGAGGAACATTAATGGCCCTTATACGCCTTACTCAAAGAACCCCGTCTTGACGAATGCGAACACGACTCAGTACTTCCAGACAGTCGGTCATGCAGACTTGTTCCAAGATGCAGATGGAAACTGGTGGGGAGTCGCTCTCTCCACTCGTTCAGGACCAAATTACATCACCTATCCTATGGGCAGAGAGACAGTCCTCACACCAGTCTCATGGCCAGAAGACGACTATCCAAACTTCGACCCCGTTCGCGGCACTCAAAGTGGTCCTTTGCCACCAGTAAATAAAAACATCTCTGGCCAAGGTCAATTCGTCGACGATGACGACCACATCACCTTCGCACCAGGGACATCGTTTCCACTCCACTTTGTTCATTGGCGCTTTCCTGACCCTTCAGCTTATGTCATTTCTGCGCCAGGTCATCTCAATACCCTCCAGCTTTCACCCTCTCTCCTCAATCTCACAGGCCACGATGGTATCTACACGGGCGGCGAACCGCAGACTCTGCTCGCTAGACGTCAAACAGATACCCTCTTCACCTTTTCCGTAGACTTAGAGTTTACACCCACCACCATGAACGAAGAAGCAGGCGTCACCGTCTTCCTGACTCAAGACCACCACATGGAGCTCGGTCTTGTTTCTCTCTCCAACAACGGCACATCAACACCAACCCTCCGTTTCCGCGCTAAGAGCAATATTCCAGTCCCACAGGACGTTCTCTCTCCAGTACCAGCGAATTGGACCAGCGATTTGCACATGGAGATCAAAGCGTTCAATCTCACACATTATGCCTTTTCTGCTGGACCTGCTGGAAAGATGAGTTTGATGGAGACGATTGCCTACGCGCCTGCTAGTCTGGTTAGCTACGGATTCACCGGCACATTGGTGGGAGTCTACAACACTTTGAACGGCGGTGGGCAGGGAAATGGAACCAAAGCTTACATCAGCAATTGGAATTACCAGGGGCAGGGTCAATTCCTGGATTGAGATATGAGAAATCACGATACCGGTTTACCTGTTCGGACAAACTATGAGGCTCTCATTGGTCACCTATCTACTCCTCAATACATTATTGCATTTCCGCAAGCTCTTTTTAACAGTGTGTAGATGCTGGGAAGAGGCAAAAGAAAAGCAGAATCGAGAGAAGAAGAGACATAAAAAGCCTACGACTGCACTATCAATTCCATCTCCATCCTTTATGCTATGTTGCGCACACTGGGCAGAGATGACCTACTTCCTCGCTAACATTGTTAACGATATCAAATTATGCCCTCGGGTACTGGAGAGGTAATACATCACGTCCAAGACCCGAGTTTCAAGATCTTATCGCTCACTGCTCGTTTGGTACAAAGCGTGAATACCTGCGTTGACTCACGAGTGCTACTATCTGATCATTCCAGAGACCGAATCATGCAGTAGTCTTCAGGAACGTGGCATACATCAGAAACCGAGCCCCCCGTTTTTCGCCCAGGTCAAGGAGAAATCATATTTGCACCTTGCCACGGGTTACTATCACGCTACCCTTGTCTCCCCGACACACTGGCCCCTACATCCAAACAAACGGAGGTAATGCAGTGCAACACTCGCCATCTCACACAAGCCAGCAAAAGAACAGCAACATTTTTGGTGCACCCACTATGCATTTGAGGTCTGCTTTAAGGAAGACCGACCTTCTGTGTATGTGAACTTGACTTGAATAACGCCAAAGCGCCCGCAACACAACAGCCCCAATACTGGACCAAAAGACAAGGCAAAAAACAACAGCGAAGGAATCAACAAGTTGCGATGAACTGCAGAATCAAAAACAGACAAGCATTGGCGCTGTGTAACGCGATGGGAGCGCTTGCTCGAGTGGCATCGCTCAAAGCAAGAACTCGTACTTTCTGAAGTTGTGGACGTGACGACACTGACAACGAGTCTTGCTATCAAGTTTGGAGAATGAGATGGACACGTCGCCGATGACGAAGAGACCGTCGAAGTGTTGTAATCCAGGGGCCATGGCGATTAGCTGTGCAGCGATCACTCTGACACGAGAATGCCTAGGGAGTACAGAGTCAGTGAAGCCCCTGCATATCGTGAATTGGATGAGGGATACTTACGTGATCCTGACCTCTCTAGGAGATTCACAAGGCAGGGGGGTGCTGTCACTAATTAAGTACATGTAGTCCATGACGGGAAACAACGGAGGTGAATCGTAGAAGTCATCGTAAAGGTAATCGTGAAGCTCACCAATGTCGAAGCAACCGGGTAGGGTGAGCTTGCGGAGATGAGGTAGCCCCCGACCGAGCTGATATAGCGTGACGTTGTCGCTGAGCCCGCCCCCTTCCCCAGCGTAGTGCGATCCGAATATCACCAGCTCCTCGAGTCTCTTCATGGGCAAGACGGTGGTCAGTAGGTCTTCTTGGGAGATATCAGATAGATAGAGCTGGTGGTATCGACCTGTGAGCTTCAGATGAGTGAGTCTGGTCAACTGCTTGAGAGGCGCGAACTCTTCAGCTCCGAGGTGTGTGTTTTCGGCATAAGTGATGCTCAGGTGATGTAAGTTCTTCATGTTGCCAATCTTCTCGAATACGCGGACCATCATGGATCGGAACGTATCCTCATCGGCTCCTCCGGGACGAATGAGAAGTGAGAGAGTTTTGAGGTGGTTCAGCTCGGGTAGTACCGGCTCAGTCTCAAGGTCGAGGTGGTGGATCATAGCGTTATACTCTAATGTGCTTTCTTGAAGGGAGCGCAGGGTGTCGTAGCCTTTGGGAGTGCATCTACTCCAGATTGCTTGCTTCCCACTGTTGACGTGCTGCTTGTTGCCGGACATCAGCAACGCCAACATGTCTCTCTTGTCGGTGAGGTGAGAATATAACTCATCAACGACCTCAGAAGGGCACTTGTTGAAAAAGCAGCGGTTGAAAATTGGAGCAGATGGGTCCAAGCGGGCTTTTGTAGATATCTTGATGAGCATTCCGAGCAAGACCGCGAGGGGGTAGATGATGCGCTGATCAACATTAGAGCATGAACGATACCAACAGGGGCCATCTGTGGCTTACTTTGGTGAGATTGATCATGAACTGTCTCGCATACTGGAGATGGCTCAGAGATGATCCTCGCGCGCAAGAGGCATCACATACCTGGTATTGGTGTACTCCCTCGTGTCCTCCCGATTCATCGACCTCGTCCACTTGGCCGTATGTATTGTCTTCCATAGTTGCGAATGCGCGCATCTATGCGATGGAAGTTTCGCAAATGATCGAGTGATGCGCAAGCCAGAGGGTCGGGAGTTGGATAGTGGAAAAGCGCGTCTTTCGGATTGTTGCGGTTTGCTAGGTTGCTATCACAACGTAAGCATCGAATTTCCCATCTTCAACGCCAAGACCTCGCCAAAAGATTTTCTCGTCAGATCCGCCATTCTGAGAACGACTCGTCTCCTGAATGCTCTACCATACCTGGAACGATTCTTGGAGGCAAGCTTCGGGTGCTCGGATGCCAGATCAACGGTCATTTAACATAGGCCGAGTGGCTCCAGCATACAGTACATTCCAGATTCAGTCCAGTAGTGTCCATGTTAGTGTCGCCCAACTAGTTAGGTTACCGGGGTGCAGTTTACATCCGACCAGAAACGAAGACCGCCAATTCAGCAGATGAGACAAAACCAGACCGGACTATCCTATTCAATGTCACAAAGAATTTGAAACTGCCGCCCTGTTATCCCGATAGTACAAGAATGCGTTCGAGAACTCTCGCGCTATATATCTATTTTACAATATTAATCCCTAATAGAGCTTAGCTTGTCCAAGTAGCCACGCTGGTTCGCCGCAAAATTGATACTCTCGATGGACAGCCACCGTGACACGAACAACCTCGCATATTAACAGGTTTGGAAAGAGATGTCCAGCTTCTTGCCTGAAAAGGTAGCCATCACTTCGGCCTTTGACACATCTTCCATGTCGAGCGTGTGGGGTCCAGGTCTCTCTGGTCGGCCCCATATGGCCGTCTGGGAGGTGATCCTGAGAATTGTGAGCTTCTCCAGATTGTAGAGATGAGCAAGACGGGCAGTCCTGATACGAATGACCTTTTTGGGCATAGTTGTAGGAGGGAGTGGAAGGAAGCGAATCTTGGTGAAGAGACGAGTGGTGGCGGAGACGAGAGGACTGACAGGGCTGCCGAGGCCGTCAATCGTCTTACTCATTGGCAAATTCGAGCCAAAGCGCTTTGGGAATTCGGCAGAAGAGGAAGTATAAGGTCTTCCATGAGTGCTGCCAGGGGCAGAGGCGCGAAGCAGATGCTCAAAGTTTGCAACTCGGCGTGGATGTTGTATATTACAGCTCTTCATATATATATACCATGATCAATTGGCTCTCGAAAGTCCCGATTCTACTACTACAAGTACATGACCAGACGCTTGATCGTATGTGTATAGCTGGCCTTGGTTTGGGTCCCGGGTACTTCGGGACCAATTTGAGGGCAAAAAGTCACCCAAAGCAGATATTGAGAACAGGAAACAGTGGTCCATCTTTGTCATCACGAGCATCGAGATGACATGTGTCGAGCTTTTGGAAGATGCGGGCGATTTCGCTTGGGGCTCCATTGTACAGCTTGACGCGGAGATGTAGGCTTGTGAAACGACGAAGGCAAGGGAGCAGGGTTGCCACAACACACAGATCGATACAGATGTCGAGGGAAGTCATTTTCACAAATGGCTTCGATGCTTTGACGACTGCCTTAACGTCCGAGCGCTGGAGAAGGCAGCGAAGCTTAAGCGTCAGGATGTTGGGGTGCTTTGCGGCGTCCAGGAAAAACTGACCTGGTACTTGAAGATCCGACTCGAGAGTGTGCAGCAAAAAGAATGTCGAGAGTCGCGGTAAAGGCTTAAGCCATCCCTAGCAGTTCTTGTATCTTATCCTCAAGATTCCAAGAGAAGGAGCTTTGTGCAGTAATGATAGGAAGTTATAGCGGCCAAGATCGTGGATGGCAAGCGTCTTCAGTGTTGCTAACAGGAAGTAGTTGATTTTGAAGTCAGATATGCCTAATTATATAGATTAACCCTCTCACAAAGCAATAGGCAATTACAAAGGGCATATCAAGGCAAAGCTATATCAAACACGTAGCAAACCTAAGGATAAAAAGACTAGGCGGCCATTTCAACTCTTGGTTATAGAAGTACGATACTACCCCAAAAATGCCCACCGCGACAAGCAAAAAGAGACAAGAAAGAAAAGACAAAAATTACCACACCTACAATACTCATAAAAAGGTTATAATCGTTCATATGGCACCGTAGCCCTACTAGCCTCCTGATCCTCGGTAATAGTATCCACCCTCCCTCTCGCACCCATTCCCATCCCACTTCTACCACCACCACCATCTCTACTATGTCCACTACTCCCATCATCACTACTATCCCTATCCGTCCTGATTTCAACACTCTGCACGATTTCTCTGGTTTTCCAAGCTCCCGCGAGCCCAGGCGAAGGCAAAGGTGGTGCTTCTTGCGCATAACCGCCATGGATGCGCACTTCTGTCTTCCCAGCCTCTGCTCCTCCAGCGCGGAGTTCATCTAATGTGACCAGGGCCTCTGGATCCAATTCCATGCGTCGTTTGCTCCTTCTGGAGAATGTGCCATTGCCGAGGGGTTTTGATCCGCCGGTGGAAGAAGGTAAGCCGCCGCGGAGATGAGAGCGGACGCGAGAGAGCAGAGGGCGTAGACAAGCGGCATTTGCGGCGGTGGCACCGATGCCTAGTTCGACTGTCGTCCAGATTGCGACGTCGGAGGTGTTGTAGAGGAATTCGCCTTTGAAGTCTTTGAGGGTGTGGACGAAAGGGGTGCGGATGATTGTTGCTGTGCTTCCTCTGATTGAGATATCTATATCAGCAAACTATTCATCTCTAGGTTTCCAGAAAGAGAAGTCTGGGGTGGTCAAACTTACAAAGCGGCGAATCCAAGAATACTGGCGACCAAAACTTTGGTCTGTCGTTTCATCTGCAATCTCCTAACGATGAAGAATGGCAGAATTCCAAAAGTCCAGTCCGCGACACTGTTGAGTACGGAGATGATGTAGGTGTTGATAACGATGACGGTGGGCGAAAGGCATTTGCCATGATGATCAGGATGCAAATCCCACCAGAAAGAGATGGGTCGGCATTGGAAAGTGACCAGAAGGCAGTAAGGGACCGCAAAGATGACATTGAATATCATAATCCAGCGGATAATCCAGATATGTGTTCGAACAACGGCGATGCGGAGGAGGAAGAGACCGATGCTAATCTTCAATGTTGCTGTGGCGAGGGTGTATGATATTTCGCAGAAGAACCAGTACTAGACATCGTCCATCAGTGTGTGTTCGATGACTTGAGGTGATGTAAGACGGACCATCAAAGCTGTTTGTGCATCGTCATCATTCAACAGTTTCCTCTTCTTCCCACTTCCATGTGCAACACCGCAGAGCTGGCAGACGAGGTAAGTGAGATACAGCGCGAAGGCCGCTACCATGGCTACATCATCACGACCAATCTGATTGCCCAAGATTTTGGTCCTGTGATCCACCGTCAGTATATGCGAGTTAGGCAACACGATCGCATGACCAACCTGGTATACACTCGCAGGCCAGTTGATATGGCAGTCGGAACCAAGAAAGCTATAGCCACGCCCAGAATCTGGCCGCTTCGGTCATCTGTGCCCATCTGTCGTTGACATGTGGTGTTTTCTTATGGTCGAAAGGAGCGAGTAACAAAAACAGAACGAAATGAGGTTAATAAAAAGAGAGTTAGAGGTTATCAAGATGACATGATTCAGTGATAGAAAGAGTGGGATAAAGGAAAATTGAGAGTCGCAAAAGTCTCAGCTCTCTGGGAGGGCCGAGGAAGACCTACTATATGAAACCACAGAACATGTCGCGCTGCTTGCTCCGCCCTACTATAACAGACCAAGAAGTAAGGCGAACATCATTCCCCTCTTCTATTCCTTTAGCCGAACGGGCGAGGAAGGAAGGGGTCCAAAGAGAAGTACCGACCGAGTCAAAGCTTGTAGTGGTGTTCCTAATCAGGTTTCCCTTCGTGGGGTTGGACTCCAGCCAATTGCCAATTGGTCTGTCCTTTCAGTTCGCGGAAAGATCACCATGCTGGATTGGGTGAGATGTTCGAAAGCTCAGTCCTGAGTTGACTCTGTGCTTAGCTCAAGCAATCTATCGGAGTCTACCGTCTTGGTCCGTCTATAGAGTGGTGGACGCCCACGTGTCAAGCGTCGACTCCTTGGAAACATGAAACATAGACAGCATGCGACAGTTGTAAGAGAAAAATGTCGTCGATATAGAGGTAAAGGATGCAGGATCAATAAACCTCCACAACAGAATCCCAATCCCACAACGTCGGATGCAGGGTGGCTGTATTTCGCTGCAGAGGGAACGCCTGGAAAAATGATCGACAACGTGGGAGAAGCAGAAAACGGCAATCTACAATTTGGTGAGTGGACGAGTCACGACAAGGCCCCCTTAGATTAGGACGCCCAGCTTTTCCTTCGGAGACACAAGTCGCCGGCGATAGACTCCTGTTGATCCCGCGCGGCAGAGAGATAATTACCAAGATACCAAGCCTCTTCCCAAACTCCAACGAGTCAAAGCCGCGATGATCGAATCGCTGATCCAGGAGTTTCTTGTCTTCTGTAGATGAAGTCGTGCTAGAAAGGAAGAAGGGAAAAAGACAAGGCTTGACTCGGGTGGACAGGTGTCAGAAGCCAAGGGGGGGGGGGGTCGTCATGATCCGTGCACGCGCCTCCCCTCATCATCGAAATAACCACCACATTATTGAAGCCCATCAATCAACACATGTTCTCCCACAAACCACTCAACCTTCTGTCGTGCCCGTCGATCACAGAAACCAAATATATTATGACATTCCCACAAGCGAATATCATCGTTTCATCTATCAACCTTTTCAAAAGTCTCAGTCCGAAAAAGATCGCTTGCGACAAAACCCTCGCAAGTCAAAAAAGAAGGCTTTGAGAAAATCGATTCATGGTCATTGAGCAAATCACGACTCATAAAACTCGGCCGAGGTGAGACAAGACCACACGACCAAGAGAGAGGACCAAGGCGAACAAGGCCTGGACATCGATAGATCTGCTATTACTGTGTAGTCACCTATTTCCTTTCTATCAACACAGCCTCAGCAGCCTGCATTACAAAGCAAACTTGTCCATTTTTGCCGACCACAACTTGCTCTTTTTGTATCTCGCCGACCTGCTTTCCCGTCTGTGATTCGAAGCTGACACCAGAAACACTGATTTCACTCTTTGCATTCGTGCCTGGAGCTTGCAGACGTGTGATGGCGAGACAAGTGCCTTGTTTCCAGGACGTGCTGATGGAAACTTCGCGGACGGGACGTTGGCCCGCGGAGTGGGAAGTCGAGTCAGTGGTGCTGAGGGTGGATGGGTTGGAAAGACCCTGTGTGCCGTTCCAGACTTGTAGATCGATAAAGACGAGTTTGTTGAGATCCTCGCTATGACGATGGTGATGACCGGACGAGTAGATGGCATAACCACTGAAGTCGGAGGTGTTCGCTGAGGGGATCTGGGCGATGCGCTGTTGAGTGTCGGCAGCGAGGACGTGGGCTGTGAAGTAGTGGCCATAGAAGAGACTCCTGATTCCTGCTGAGAGACTTTCGTTCTTGTGTTGATAGGGCAAAGGGACGAAACTTGAGTACTCGGCGTTGGCACCCAGGTGGAAGTAGACCTTGGGCATGCCAATGCTGGCAGCCAGCAAGACGTAGTCGACATTCCAGAGAGCGGCGCCGAAGGTGTCGCTGATGCCACTGCGGCCAGAGCATGAGGCTGAGTTGGTCTCGCCAAAGACGAGTGGAATACCTGCTTTGTCGGCTGCGACGACTTGCGGAACGTACTGAGAGACGTTGCGCCAGAGAACACTGTGGTTTGACAACAGATCAAGACTCAAGCGATACCAGCGTGTCGTGTCGCAGGTGGACTGAGGGTATAGATGTACAGCATATGATCCAACCTTGTCATGCTCAGTCAAGCCAGCACGCGTAAGGTTGATGATGTCGAAGTCGTCAATCTCGTCTTGTTGATCGGGCACCCACGGAGGGTCGGCGAAGACGGCGGCTTGGAACTTGGGCGGTTGGTCTGCGGCTTCGTACCATGAAGAGTGGACAATCTGATCAGAGATGTTGCGCCACTGTTGAATGTACATGGCAACATCCCAGGTTGAAGGTCGCCAGCCCTTGTTGATGAAGTGGTCAATCTCGTTGCCGAGTTCAAACAGCTTGAGCTTGTCACCGAGCACACTGTATGCGGCGGCAGCTTCCTGGACAGCATTCGCCCAAGCGCTGGAGTTGTCCTTCAGGTTCAACGTGTAGAGAAAGTCTGTTCCTTGCGGGAAGTAGCTGCCCCATTGCTCAAACCAGGCATTGCTGATGTTGAACGTGTTTGTGACGGTCGTGTTTGGCAGCGCCACGGCAGAGATGTTCAGCTCAGGGTGGTAGTACGTTTGGTCACCAGTGTTGCCTCCTACACGAAATGTCGGTGGCTTTCCGGTGATGTCGGCAATGACGTTCATGAGGTTGCGTGTCAAGTTGGATGAAATGTAGTCCTGAGTCCAGACTGGTTCTAGAGAGTAGGCATAGGCATCTTGCAGGAGCTGTCGGGTAGGAAGATGATTGGGGACAGAGACGTCAGTAGCAATCGCAGCAACAGCGAGCGCCGCGCTCAGAGCAAGATGTGATGACTTGACCATGATGCAGAGTGTGATGAAGCACCTACCTTGTCATGAATCCAGCGATACTTTTCCTTATGTATTTGCCCATTTCCAACAATTCTTCCGGAGAGTACGGAGATCATGCGACTATACCATACTACGTCAAGGGAAGCAAGGTAAACACGAGCGAATGCAGTGTTGATCAGGTCCAAGGTTGGAGGAGGTGTGCGGGGTTCGGTTAAAGTCGTTGCGGTATGCCATGGGGTCTTCGGTGTTGAGATGTCGCGAGGGGCGATGTTGACTCAACCTGGCTTGAAAGATGCGGAAGAGGCACAGGAGGGCTAGAATTAGTATATGGAACATGAACGACGGCGATTGCTTGATGTCGTCGCGATGGGATGAGACGCTGCCTTTCTCGATCGTCGTCGTCAAGATTGCGCCCGGGGACACGCTTCGTCCACGCCTTTGTTGTCGCAAAGTCGGATTGGGGACGACATATCGCAATCAAACCGAATGAATACAGTTGTAGCTGATAACACGCTGACAAGCCTAGATATCTGCTAATGATGACTATGACGTGAAGACGTGAAAGAACTCGCTCGAGGAGCTGCAAAACGAAGAGCTCGAGTCCTGGCCAACACTTCTGTCCCACATGACGCAACCATTCCTCGAGCTCCGAAAAACACCTTGATACCTCGCTCCTTCCAAACACACCACCTTTATACCACATTCGCACCTTCCAATCTCAACATGCGCATCCTCATCACCGGCTCCAGCGATGGCCTCGGTCTCCTAACCGCCCGCCTCCTCTCCCCCACCCACCAAATAATCCTCCACGCCCGCAATCCCACCCGCGCAACCCACGCCTCGCAATCCTGCCCCAAAGCCCACGCAACCGTCATAGGCGACCTGTCCACACTCGCCGGCATCCGCGCATTCGCCCTCGAAGCAGATAAACATGGCCCTTACGATTGCATAATGCACAATGCTGGCCTCTATCTAGGACCGTTCAGAAAAACAGAGGATGAGATGCCAGCGCTGGTTGCCGTAAACACTATAGCGCCGTATATGCTTTCCTGCCTGATGGCCAAACCCAAGAGATTGATATTCGTGTCGTCGCAATTGCATCAAGGGGGTGATGCGGAGCTCAAAGATATCACATGGCGGAAGAGGGGTGAGGGAGAGTGGAATGCAGGACAGGCTTATGCGGACAGTAAGTTGCATAATATCATGTTTGCGTTTGCTTTCGCCAGACACTTTGGGATTGCTTGTCATAGTGTGGATCCCGGGTGGGTGAAGACGAAGATGGGGGGTGAGAATGCGATGGATGATTTGGATGCTGCGGTGGAGACGTTTGGGATGGTCTGCACAGGAGAAGGGGCGGCTGGAAGGAGAGAGGTGGGGCATTGGTATCAGAAGAGGGAGAGAGATTTTAGGGAAGAGGCGAGGGATGTAGAGACGCAGGAGAAGTTGTTGAAGATACTTGAGGGCATCTCGGGGGTCAAGGTGCCTGAGTAGAGTGGTGAGATGGTGATAGGTGGAGATTGATGGTTAGATGATACAAGAGTATCTACTGCCGCCATGAGTACATGAGTTGCAACTTACTCCTTATGCCTTTTCTTTCTGGCGAGTCGTCGAGACCTGTTTCTTCGTCTGTGTCTCTGAGCCTTGTCCGCTCGCCAATGTCTTCCTCCTCGTCCTGCCGTTGTGAACTCAAGACCGCATACTTGTCTTCGAACGCCTTGATAAGTTGATTCCGTCCATACCAGGCCAGCAAGGCGAAAGCTGCGGCGAGGCCCAGCACTGCTGGCAACAGGACCTCGCTCTTCTCGCCGCGAGATATGTGCATGTCCCACTCCTGTCGAAGCCTCACAAGACTGTCCACCTCTTCGAGAGCTACGAGTACAGCAGCATCCCACTGCTCTGCTTGCTCACCACTCCACCAACTTCCACCATCGCCCATGAGGATGTCCTTGGCATGCTCATGACTCAGGCCGGTCTCCATGTCCAGAATCGGTGTCGCCTCCATCATCGTCTCGTCTTTATCCAAAGCTACAGCACGCAAGAACCGTGTACTGTTCTCTCCTCTGCCAACAAGCACACCAGTCTCGAAGCCAGTCTTGTTGGCAGTGGCGAATAACGAACCCAGACTGTCAAGTTCCAACGGATGAGCAGCAGCGAAGATCATCCACCTCTTCAACTCCATAGCACCATTCCAACTCATGTAGACTGTATCATTCCTCGCCTCAACCCAGTCTCTCACATTTCCATCAGCCGCGTCCATTAGATCAGTCGCGTTGACTAGAGTAGGTCCAGCAGCGATCTTGGGACTCCAGTGTGGTGTTCCGGTCCAGTTGACTTTCAAACTGCGGTAATTATCCGCCGTCTCTCTGTCATAACCAGCCATTACAGGGCCCATGTGGACATTATGGAGTATTGTGCCGTTGGGAGCATATTCGGTGAAAGCGGGTTGGTTGCCAAATCCTAATAGAACGTTTGAGGAAGGAAGGACCTGCATGCTTCCTTTGCGGAAGGATTCGATGTGAGAGGCAGCGCGGTAGTTGTGTTTGAGCGAGGCCGTCTTGGCGTCAAAGTCGAGTTGAATGAGGGCACCGCGGGAGATGGGGTCGGTGGACTTGATGTATCTGCTGCTGTCAGTACTGCGATAGTAGAGGAGGATAGGAAGGATGGCTCACCGGCAATTTCTATCATCAAACACGCTGATGGTGGTCAATTCCTCATCCACCCATCGAACATGATGTTGCCACGAAAAGTCAGTAGCATACCCATCATTCAGATCCTCAAATTGGTTTCTTTTCCCACCCAACGTCCAGAGCACACTCCCATCCACACCATCGATGTAGTAGATCGCGTTCGTATGTCTAGCCGAGATTAAGAAGTTGCCCTTCCAATCTTTCTCCACACTGTTAACATGGAAGAAATCCCAAGCATTCTGTTTGTGCAAGCCTTGCCACTCTGCGTTCTCGCCAGCGATTTGAGGCAACCATAGGCTTTCGTGAAGATCGATGTGGTCAGAAGCTCGCCATTGGAATACCAGCTCATTTGTCGCAAGATCGATCTCTTGAATGTACGAATCCAGCAGCCAGGAATTATCTTGTAGACCAAAGTTTTCCAGTTCAAAAGGCTTAGGTTCGTAGACTGTGATTACAGCATGACAATCAGGTGTAATGAAGATGTCGTGGGCATCTGCCAACCTCAACCCTACAGAGGAGATATTGAAGACGGAGTGATATGTCGAGTTCAGCATGTAAAAGTGCCCAGCAGCTCTTCCGTCAATATTCGTGCCAGACCACCAGACCAGATAATCAGAGCCATTGCAGCTCTGAACCGAGATGCCGAAGTTGTCCTCGTCGAAGGCTGGAGCTTGGTAGACAACTGAGAGAGTCTCTGCATCGAGCAGTTGCGGGCCGTGGATAGGAACTTGATCGCCGTGTGGTGCCCAGCTAACGAGCTTTTCTGGAGATATGCCTTGTTGAGGAGGGACGATGATGTTTGGAACTGGCGCTATGACTTCCGGGTCGGAGAAGAAGCGTTGGCGAGGGTATGGACCATATTTGCTGAATTGGTAGTCTTCGCTGTTGAGGAAGGGCGGAACATCCGAAAGAGCGGGAAGTATGTTCGAAAGGAGTGTCAAGAAAAGCACAAAGGGGAACATGGCAACAAGGCAAGGAAGCATGGAATAGCGTAAACGAGCACGCAAAAGCACACCTTGAGTAGGACCTACCTTTTCTGATATTGCTGTATGCAATTAGCAGACAACCACGGTTAGCATACCCACCTTGGCGTTTCAGAGTCCTCATGACATACTGTGCGCTGCAGTGGTATGTATGCAAGTCGTTGCGAAACTGATGAGGCTCAGTCAAAGCTGACGACTTCAGGAGGCCGTTTCTTAGAGTGATCGTTGTATTTGCTCGAGTCAGGGCAGCTGCTGGTACTTAACCTGGCGAAGCCCTGTCCAAATCGATACAAGGGAGCGTGTCGCTCATCAGCAAAGTCGAGTCGCAATGAAGGCAGCGTGTCCGAAACATCTGACTGCTGAAAGAACATGGAGCCGCGATACTCCAGTAGTCATTTTGCAGATCACCATGAGCAGCTAAAACCGCACGACTCGCCATGCTCTTGTTCCGCCAGAGTCGCGACGCGTGCAGAGGACAAGAGCATAAGGCATCAACCACATCCGGGCTGTCAAAAGGGCGAACTCTGCACTGTTGAAGAGCCCGTCGATCAACGAACCTATGCAGTGACAAAGTCGTGGTGTCCGCATCAGCCTTGCGTAGAAAGGTGACCAAACAGAACAGCTGACGCACCCAATCCTCTGCCAAGCCCGTCGGTCGTCAGAGACTCCTCTGCAAAGACGTGGCAGATCCACCAAAGCCGCGCAACATCAGCCAGGGGGAAAGGCGCATCTTCATATAGCTTCCTGAGGTCGATTCCAAGGTCGATTCATAATACTCGAGTGTCTCGTGTCGTCGTGGTAGAAAAGGAAGAAGTTGGCAGAGCCGCAGAGGGCGCGGAAGTGTCGCGTGCTTCGGCTGTTCCTGCTGTTTCGTGGTCGCTTCGTCTTGCCGAGGCAGCAGAATAATCGAAGAAAGGCATCAACAATGGCAGAATCTGAGGCCAAGAGTATTGTGAAAGCTGAAAGAAAGTAGTCCGTGATGTATAGGGACATCTTGTCTAACTAGAGGGTAGAGATACTATCTGCATGCTGTGAGCTAGAATGTTCAGGTTGATTGAATGCTGATCAACCCATTTTCCAAAAGACAGCTTTCGAAAACATCCAACTCAAGATGCACAGCCTAATCTATCTTCGACCCATGCGATAATGCTTAGAGCATGATTCTCACTTCCATGCTATCTGATACTAGTCGAGCATACTTGATAGCACTTCTGCGTCGTCGCCACTCGCCTTTTCCATCCAAAAAATGATTGTCAAGGGTCCCACCCTGTCCACGTCCCCCCACAACCAAAAATTTTCGAAGCCTCGGCGCAGCCGCCAGAAAAAAGTTTGCCCATCCACCGACGTAGGCCCTGTTCGGTTTAGAGGCTTCGGACGGCGGTTTCGACTGCTTGGCTGTAGATATCGTCATTTTCTACAGTCGAAATCGAAACCGCCAGGGGTGTTCGGTTTGACCCGCGGATTCGGTCGTTTTTGCAGGGGAATCGGTCGATATCTAGGCACCGACGGATAGTAGCTTTTTTTAGCGTGAAATGTTCAGTTCTTACAGGCAGTTCCTTCGGATTCAATTAGTATCTTAACAGGTTAATCTTTCTGCGGATTCGCCTTCGTCACGTGCTATAGATAGATAAATAGAGGAAGCAAGTAGTCCGTTATATGCTAGCGGCGAGCGTAGTAATGCAGCGATAGGGTGTCTTACTTAATTAGAGCGCTTTAAATGTCGGTGTTAGAACGCTATATATAAGTGCGAATAAAGGACACGAACATATAGAGGGTCTACGGATGAGTTTAAAGAGGTTGTTCTGTACGACGAGACTACTACTAGCGACCTTTAACGCCCTCTTAAAGTAGCTCGAGAAAGGAGGATATATACGAGACACTCGCTACATCTTAGCGGCTAAGAAGCTAATAATGTTCCTTAAATTGTGCGTAAAGGGACTAAGCTATCGGGACTTGTAAGAGACCTATTATTACTCTACGTTAACTATTAGCAAGTACTTCTATTAAGTCCTCGACGGCATAGTTAATCTATATAAGGTAGTCGTTAAAATCCTAGGTAGAGACGTACCGGTTCTAGAAAGGATAGAGGAGACTAGCAAGTTCTTTCCCTACTTTAAGGACTATATCGGCGTAATAGATAGATCTTACGTACCTTTATTCGTTACTAGAGACCCGACCCTATAGAGGAACCGTAAGATATAGCTCTCGTAGAACGTACTTACTATCTATAACTTCGAGGGTTAGTTTATCTACATCTACGCCGGATAGGAGGGGTCTACTTACGATGCGAGGGTCCTTAAAGATGCGTAATAGAAGAACCTTATTATCCTATAAGGGCGGTATCTTCTTGCTAACGCTAGGTATTCGAATAGCGTAATGTCTCTAGTCCCGTATCGAGGAACTAGGTATTATCTGCGTAAGTAGGAGTAGGCTAATCTAAGACCGGCGAATAAGGAAGAACTATTTAATTTGCGACATTCTAGTCTACGTAATACTATTAAGCGTGCCTTTAGTGTTATTAAGAAGAGGTAGAAGATCCTACAGTTGCCGCATAAGTTCTCTATCGAGGATTAGACGAGGGTTGTATATGCGCTAACTACGCTTCATAACTAGATCATTTAGTAAGATTAATAGGATAGCTTACTATTCGGTAACGAGGACTTCGAGGAGGATAAGGATAATTAGTTCTAGACGACTACGCGCCCTTAGACTAATAGAAACGACGATAAGAAGATGACTAAGTTTAGAGACCGGATTATAGAGCAGATGTAGAAGGATTACAAAGAGCTAATTAGTTAATGTAACTTAGAGCAATATTTACACGTAAGAGACTATCACTTTAACTAAAATCCTTAACTTCTAGCTCTAGCAACGACATTAACTTCCTCTTCTACGACTACTAGCCCTATCTACTTTATTACGAAGGCCTTCCGCGCAGCTGCTAGTAATACTAGAAACAGGCGCGCATTGTTTCCCTCTACTAACGCACTTAAAGCAGCGATCTAGTTATTAATATAGAGGTGCGAGAATTCCTTATAGAACTCGCGAGCAGTATTAGTAATAGGATTAAAGGCTATAATCTCATTACTTCTACTCTATTACTTACTTATTATATCGACACGAGCAGCGAACTCTTAATTCGGAGTAAGTCTCTTCCTCGTAACGACCCCTCTAGGTGTTACTAACTATCGTTTCCTTGCGCTAGACTTATTAGTCGTCGTCTCGTCCTCCTTATCGTCGTCTCCGTTAGCATCTAGTATCGCCGAGGCCTAGATCTCTATTACCTCGCGCGCGTATAAGCCCGTTACTATTATGCCTTCGAAGAGGAAGTCTAGCTACTTCTTACGCTCGAGAGGCGCAGTTAAGAAGCGCCGGCCTTCTAGGTGCTTTAAGAAGTAATCTTCTATTACTTAGTTACTTAATGTCGGCAAACTAGTGTCCTTATCTTTAGTCTAGCTAGAGTTGTTTGTTATATGCCTCTAACACCGCTAGAGCCCTCGAAACTATGTTACCTTGTCGTTATACTTCTTCTTGTTTACGATCGCCTTCTACGCCTCTAGAGTCTTCTCCTTTACCGCTTTAATGACGATTACCTATGCTTCCGCCTTCTAGTTTGTGCCTACTCTTTTTCCTTAGATTATTTAGTATTCTAGCCTATCGAGGAGTTCGGCGATTATAGCATCGGTCTATATAAGGTACTATAAGCTACTTCCGCTGTCGCTTAATGTCGAGATTATAGACTAACTACGAGGGGTCGGCGGCGTAGTACCGAGTCTCCCTAGTAGATTCGAGGTCGGGAATAATTAGCGAGCAGGTGTTAGTAACTAGCTGATTTCTCGTCCTTTAATAGACTTAGTAGGGGTCATTAATAGCATACGACGACGGAGCTGCTCGGCCGACGAGGGCGACGGCGACATAGCTATTAGACGAGGGTCTATAACACTCTCATCGCGTAGCTAACTAGCCGATTTCGAGGGTAGTAGCATCGAGGATTCCATGGTTTTTATCTTCCTATGTTCCTTTCTTTAAATTAGCTCGTTTGCTAACAACTACCACCAGAAATCTACGCCGCAAAGAAGATCACGTGGGTAATCCGAAACGCCGAACCGAACGCTCATGTCGACTTCCAAAGTAGTCTACCATACGCTAGATAAACCTTACTAGCTACGGCCAAGAAGCTGAATTCGAAGTCGCTAGTCGCGAAACCGAACAGGGCCGTAGTACGGCCTCGTTTGTCTATGCGAGATGAGCAAAAGAAGATGTTCCGACACGGGGAATTGAACCCCGGCCTCCTCGGACCTGGTTGTTCTTTCGAACTGTTTGAGAGCGAGAAATCCTAGCCACTAGACCATATCGGATGTTGTTGGTGAGAATTGCTTGTGTTTGTTTATGTACTCTGGCGTCACCCCGAGATTTGGCCGCGATGGCTTCTCGGTCGCAAGGAAGGTGGGGCGCCTTCTTCTTTCTTCCTACGACGAGCACAAGTCAGGATAGAGTGCACAATGCACGACACAGGCGGAGCGACATTTTTCGATTAGCGGCAGCATCATATTCCCGACGAGGCTTCAGGAACCAGATGCGACCGAGGGAGCGATGCCGGTACCTCAGATGACGGCTGCACGCATGAGCGCTTCAAACCCGTCAGCCTCCAGCCTGTGAGCCTTGCGAGGATCGTGCATCATGGCGCACTCTTCCAAGAGGCATCAAGCCGTGAAAGACTACCCTTGGGGACTTGGACTGCTGTCGCCCTGCGGCACTGAGCTACTCGTCCTGTCTTGAAGTGACTGAATGCTTTGTTCGAGTTTCTCCTCGACCCGCCCAAGGCACTCCGCAAACAGGACTCGACAAGCTTCAGCACCATCTTGACCATCTCTTTGCAAAATCTTCATTCGAGAAGAGAGTTCCTTGGCCCGTGTATTTGTAAGACTGGAAGCGACCGATGAAAATTGCATTTCGCTTGGTCTTCTCAGCCGGCGACATGGAAGATGAAACAAAGTTTTCTAGACATTTCCTCAGGAAACGGCCGTGGAGGAGGAAACAAAAAGTGTCTGGGGGAGCCGACGCCCTATGAAGGTACAACCATCGACGAAGTCCTTTTCTCTCGTTCCGAAACCATCTCCAACCTTCAACGTTTTCTGTGGGTGACATTCCAGCTCGTGGAGAAAGTTCTCCATAAACTCTGATGAAATGAAGGAGGTCGGAAAGCATGGTTAAAGTGGTGAGAAGAGGTGGAACGGTGGAACGGTGGTATATGCCAAGCAGAAGAATGTCGACGCCTTTTGCTTGGCCGATCGTCTGGGCGTCGAGCTTGGGTGGTGAGCAAAGAGTCTGGTCCTCGTTAGTGATTAGAAGAAGTACGCCCTGTCGCTAATGATGTGTATTTAGACCTTTGTAGTCAGCGGTCGGGTGGTCCTTGAAGTATGCTGGTTTCGGGATTGACCGTCTTTGCCTCCTTGGTGGGTTGACTTGCGCGACTGGCTCTGCGTTGGAGATGCTCTTGCTAAACAAGTTTGCTCGAGTTCAGCCTGTGCGACAAGACGAACGTCGTACAGCAGGGTCCAGGAATAGACCACGACACAAAGAGATAGACAGCATCCACGTGGAATTCTTCTGGAAGAAAAAGCAGATAGAGTTTGCTCAGATTAAGTTCGAGGAAAAGAACGATGTCCATGTCCGGTGGCTTGCAACATCAACGCGGGGATCCCACATGATCGAAAGAAGGAGAGAAGGAAAGGCAAGGAGCACCGACTGCCTGACGCGAAAGGCTGTTCTTGCCCAAACCCGGGGCGCTGTCGACTTGCAACTTGTGGAACTTTGTTTGCTTCCACTTTCCCGTTCACCGCGCCTTGAAATTTACACCAGTGTATAAATGTCGCTTCCTACCCGCCCTCCTCGTCCTAGAGGCATCCACATCCCCTCTATCCCAGAGGAACCCGTCTTTCCAGTCAACTTCAGATCCTCCACCTGTCAAGTCTGTCCAGAGTGTGGTGGTGACTTGCACGACGCCGACCATATCCATCCCATTCCACCCGCAAGCTCTCCTGAGAGAGACTCAGTCAAGATGGCTCCCCCTGTTCTCCGTGGCACCGCCGATGTCGATCGCATCGAAGCTCCCGTCACGGCAAAAGCCTACATGATGTGTGCTTTTGCTTCCTTCGGAGGTATCTACTTCGGTTACGATATTGGCTGGATCTCGTAAGTTGCACGCATGCCGTTCATCTCTCAGCCCAACTGACATCATCATAGCGGTGTCATGGGCATGAAGTATGCCATCCACACTTTTACCGGTCTTCCTTACAACACCCCCGCCGAGGACTTTGTCATTTCTGCCAGTGACAAGTCCTTGATCACCTCTATCCTGTCCGCTGGTACTTTCTTCGGTAAGTCTTCTGTACCTTCGGCTCATTCCTCATTATGCTAACAGCATGCAGGTGCTCTCGCCGCTGGTGACATTGCCGACTTCATCGGTCGTCGTACCACCATCATCATCGGTTGCCTCATCTTCATGGTCGGAGTCATTATGGAGATTGTCGCCACCAGCGTCTCTCTTCTCTCTGCCGGTCGCTTCATCGCTGGTCTCGGTGTCGGTTTCGAATCGGCCATTGTCATCCTCTACATGTCAGAAATTTGTCCCAGGAAAGTTCGTGGCGCCCTGATCGCCTGCTACCAGTTCTGCATCACCATCGGTCTCCTACTCGCCTCTTGCGTTGTCTACGGTACTCAGGATCGTATGGACAGTGGCTCTTACCGCATCCCAATTGGCATCCAGTTCGCCTGGGCTCTGATCCTTGGTGGTGGTATCGCCTGTCTGCCCGAGTCGCCTCGTTACTTCGTCAAGCAAGGCCAGCTCGAGAAGGCTGCTAAGGCTCTGGCTTCCGTCCGTGGTCAACCTGTCGACTCGCAGTTCGTCCAGCAGGAGCTGGCTGAAATTGTCGCCAACCGTATGTCTTTCCTCCTTTGGGCTTCTGCTTACCGACACTGACTCTTGCACAGACGAGTACGAGCTTTCGGTCATCCCCCAAGGCAGCTACCTCTCATCCTGGGCCAACTGCTTCAAGGGCTCCCTCTGGAAGGCCAACAGCAACCTCCGCCGTACCATTCTCGGCACTTCCCTCCAGGTCAGTCTTGACTTCTTCCTCCTCCAGCGTCCTACAGCCACTGACTCTCCCACAGATGATGCAGCAGTGGACTGGTGTAAACTTCATCTTCTTCTTCGGCACCACCTTCTTCCAGCAGCTCGTAAGTTTCTCCATCCAGTCATTCCTCTGCCTACCGTCTAACAAAAGCAGGGCTCCATCTCAAACCCCTTCCTGATCGGTCTGATTACCACTCTCGTCAACGTTCTGTCTACCCCCATCTCCTTCTGGACCATTGAGAGATTTGGCCGTCGCCCCCTGCTCATCTGGGGTGCTCTTGGTATGCTCTGCTGCCAATTCTTGACTGCCATCCTCGGTACTGCCATCTCTTCCGACAATGACGCCGCCACCAAGGCTCAGATCGCTTTCATCTGTCTTGCTATCGCCTTCTTCGCCTCCACTTGGGGCCCTGGAGCTTGGGTGTTGATTGGTGAGATCTTCCCTCTGCCTATCCGTTCCCGCGGTGTCGGTCTTTCGACGGCATCCAATTGGCTCTGGAACACCATCATTGCGTAAGTCTTGCCTACCTCATTATCAGAGACACATGCTGATTGAAGAAAAAGGGTTATAACGCCGTATATGGTGGACCCTGATAAGGGTAACCTCGGCCCCAAGGTGTTCTTCGTCTGGGGAACCCTCTGCACCTGCGCTTGCATTTACGCATACTTCCTCGTCCCCGAGACCAAGGGTCTTTCACTCGAGCAAGTCGACAAGATGCTTGAGGAGGTCAACCCTCGCAACTCTGCTGGCTGGAAACCCACCACCACTTTCGCCAACGAGATGGGCTTGACAAAGGGCGGTGTCTCTAGTGAGGAGATCGTCGTGGATGTCGAGAAGAGAGGCTCTGTCCATTGATTTCACGCGACAAAGGTTTGAAAGGACGGCGACTCTCTCGTGAGTAGTAGTGAGATGAAGGATTGCTCTTGTTCCTGCACGGCAGTAGATATAACACGGCACTACATAGCTCTGATGTTTAGTATAAACGTCTAATGGCTTAGCTTAATACACAAGAATGAGAGATATTGCTATAGAACACTTGCACTGTCTTGACCTGCCACGTTACAGTTCTGCATCTTCTAGTCCGTTACTAATACTGCTATTATAATGTACAATAATGTCCACACGTAGAGCTAGAGCAAGGGAGAGGGCGTCAAATAGTCGCTCTCTGCGGACGAAGTACTCGTTTTTCAAAGTCATTGTGCATTTTGATAGGGCGGAAAAATACGCAATCGCCACGGCAAGAGAGTCGAACTGACAAAAGTTCAGCCAACTACGGTTTAAGTATAGCTCAATCAAACACTCTGCAGAGCAAACTCCCTATCTCTTTCCCTTTCAGAGTAAGGTTCTAGAGTCGTCCTAGCTCGCGGATCTTGTTGGTGACACTCTGCATGCTTTGGGTGTCGATGTCGTAAACATGCATAGTAAGAGACTCGAGTCGAGGAAGCGCGGACAACAAGTCGTCAATCGCAGTGAAGCGAATCACTATGTTCAAGGAACTCTGGGAGGTGAAAGGCTTCGGATTTGCCAACGCACAGGTCACTATGTCAAGGTCGAGTGTATCGGTGAGAGCGATGTGCTCGATGCAGGGGTGTTGTGCAAGGGCAATAAAGATCGAATATTGACCACGGACTCTGTCATTGAACTCTAGCGTCTTCAGAGCGGGACAGCAGGACACAATCGGGAGAAATTCCATATTTGAATCGCTCAGAGGCTTGACCCGTAAAGTCTCCAGGCCAGTGACTTGACAGAGAGCCAGAGTGAAGTGTCTGGTGTTGAATCCAACGAGTTCAACACTCCCGAGCTTTGGCGTAATGAGATGACTGATGTTGATAGTTTTTCCATCCCGACGGGTGCAAGCATTGTAGTGTTCATTCTTGGGCTGAGTGGTAGAGCTGGGGAACCAATCAGGTAGATCATGCCAGTATTCAGAGAACTTGATGGCGATGTCGAGAGCGTGGGCCATGTAGCTGGCCTTGATCTTTTTGTCGTCCATATCGAGCAAATTCTTGAAGCGCTGGTTGTTGAACTTTCTCCAATGCACGTTGATGGCGGGAATCTTGAAAAGTCTTGCAAGTCTTGATGCAGGCGAGGGCATCATCGCGTATCAGACAAAAGGTACGTGTAAGGGTCAGTCTGGTAGCGTAGTCGCTTCCATCCGCCATGGGGTGCGCAGGGTTGAGGCGCATCTTGTACAACTTCTCGATCAGCGTTTCCATAGTCGATGGATCCAGGAGTAATCCGAGCTCGGTTGATGCGCGAGATGCGACTGACAATCGTGTTAGTCAAGCAGAAGGGAAGAAAGGTTTGATGCGCGTACAAAAACTGCAGCGCAAGGTATGTGTTTTGTTGAACGAGAGCAAGAAAGCAACGATCGAAAGACGACGAAAGGATCTCGAGGACGGCGCGGTAAGCGAATGTCTGCTCCACCAAACGTTCCGGCATAGCAACCATTCGAAATCCAGGAGCCCACGTTTCGACGCTTTGCAATCATCGCCGGGTCTCGATACAACGCATGCTGGAATTCACGAACAACCACAACAGAAATCCCACGATCTGGCGCCATCAAATTCATCAAATTCATCTGCTCCTGCTCCTGCGCTATCACCTCCTGACTTATTTCATCAGCGTTACTGCATTTGCTCACACTCATTACGCGTGGTCGCAACCATGACAGACGGAGTTAACCATGCCCTCGAACAATCGCCTGAGCCTGTGCTAAACCCGGCGACTCCTCCTTCTGATGGATCTTCACCATTCGGCAACGTGCCTGATCATCTACTCGGCGAAGTCTTCCAATACCTGGACTCCAAGGATCATTGCAAAGCGGTCATGAAGACCTGCCAGCGCTTCACCGCACCAGCTAGAAATGTCTGCTGGAAGCAATCCGAAATGCGCAACTACATGGCACTGCTCAACATGAACGGCCGCCCGGACTTTGGCTACGCAAGGATGATTCGCTCGCAAGAGTTGGTCTTTGGGCCCGGAGGTCCCGACCCCTCGGCCATGCGCATGCCCCTTCCCCTTCTGGAACACCTTACCATTAGGCACGACCAACTGCACGTCCAGGTCAACCCAGTCGTCGTCAGCGGGTTCATCACCCCCCGACTCAAGAGCCTTGAGGTTCGCCACGGCAGAACGGACAATTTCATCCCTGCACTGGCTCAAGCTCAACAGCTTACCCAGCTCCTCATCCGCGAGGATGTCGAGGTGGTTGGTGGCGACCCTCAAGCCTTCGGCGATCTCGTCCGGTTAATGCCCTCCCTTACGCATGTTTCGACTGGGTCGCTTTGCTCGGGCCAGGTCTTCGTTGAACTTGCTCGCCTCCCCATCATGGAGCAACTCTCGATGTACAGTCACACAGACGTCGATATTGACGACACAATCCAGGCCCTGGAAGACCCCCAGGCCTTCAGTAATCTGAAGAGCCTATACATCACCATGCAGGCAAGCGCTGCCGCAATCCTCCTCCCACTTCTCCGCCGCCTCGAGGCACTCACGATACACATCAACTCCGTGCTCACAGGAGGCGAAGATCATGGGCAAATCATCCCTGAGATCTTCAACGCCTTACAAGATAAGAGCTTAGTAAGACTTAACATCTCCTTCGCCATGGAGGTCCAGACAAATGCCACAGCCGAGATGTTTGATCCTCTGCGTGCTTCAACTAGTTTGAAGCGACTGCTTATAACCCACAACTTTTTGGGAATGGAGAATATCAGTCTCGACCATGTGCTCCCTGTCTCTAGCCCCATCGAGTCACTTGTCATCTGGTACTTTGGCCACGACCTTGACATCGAGGCATTGACCCAAATCGGGTCCCGCTATCCCAAATTGCGAGAGTTGGACTTATTGGGCGACTTCGACTTGGATCAGCTTCCTCTCAACAACGACAACAGCAACGGCCCCTTATTCCCTGCCTTACAGAACTTGAGCTTGACTCAAACCAGCCAAATCCTGATCGAAGAAACCGCGTAAGTCACTTCCTCCCTTTCGCTTTAAGTTTGCCACCTCTGCGAATTACTTTGCTAATGTAAAACCGTACAACAGAGATGCTCAAGTTAGATCTTGGGTTGACAAGTTATTTGCCATTGCTCCTAATTTGCAATTCTTCGAATCAGTTGAAGGGTCCCTACACCCCAGTGTCAAGATGCGGTTCCTGCGACAAACAAACGGCATGACCAATTGTTTTTGGTCTCATCGATGGACCATTGATGATTGACCAGTCCTGAACGTCGAGGATCGAGCAAATCAACTTCAGCCTATATATAAGACCGAGGCGAGGAAGTACACATCTTATTCGAGCTCGATTTTGTATTGAGCGCAGATGATGTTGGCGGAGGAAATAATAGCGTGTCTTTTTTTATTCCGGTCGCAGTTCGAGCCAGTACATTCTGCCCCAACGTTACACTGTCTTCACGTAGCTTGATCTCATGGCGTACGCTACAAAACCCAAAACCGGTGCAATCTTTCGAAACTGTGCCTCAAAAATGCAACAACAAAGCACAAAGATCTTTTAATGAGAAACAATCCCATTGTCCAGCGTTGTCCTTTGTGCCCTCGTTGCTGATCTTCCATGGAACGCCACAGTGCTTTGTCACTCAAGATATAGATCCCCTTGCTTGAGAACAAGTCCATTGTTCCAGAGCTGATGAGCTAAACCTAGACAGCGCAGACTGCTGAACTTCTACTATCCTTGCCTCTCTCGACGTGGTCTCGCATTCAGGCCCATTCTGCAGCCTTTGTGAAACAAACATCGAACTGCAGACATTCTTTCTCTTCATCGAGACACGAAAGAAATGCAAAAATGGTTGACGGGTGCTTGCGAGTGCTTGAATCAATACTTAATGCACCATCCCTGCTCCTCCTAGTCTGCTTTTCTTCACCATCAATACCAGACACACTCACACTAGCACCAACAACGAGGAAACGAAGACCAACAACACAACCAGATCAAAAAGCAAGTACTCTTCACAATGTCGTTCTACGCCGACCACTACTTCAACACTTGTCCTACTCCATACTTCTGTCGCCCCACTCCAATCTCCATCACCATCACTCCAATCGCCTTCGCCACACCCTTAACACCCTTAACACCCTCCTCTCCGTACCCCCATCCCGTCGATGCAGATGGCGATGTCGTCATGTGTGACAGCATAAACTACGACCCGGACACTGACACACCTATGCCTGACGCCCCTCCCCCTACTTCCATTCCCATCCCTACTACCCCTTCTTCTCCCCCCAAGCCCCCTACAAAGCCTAAGCCTACGATCAAGTTGAACTTTGCTAAGAAGCCAACTGTTTCTGACACTGGCTCGCCGGCTCCAAAATCGCCTACTAGTGCTGCTGCTAAAAGCCCGACGAAATCTACTGCGAGAAAATTCAGGGGTAGCAAAAGTGGTAAGAGTAGTAAGAGTAGTAGTAGTACTGCTCTGTCTCCTATTGCCGAGAATCCTACTAAACCTGTTAGAGGTATGGAGAGGTATTATAGAGGGTAAGTGTGTTTGGGCTAAGATGGAACTTAATTGACAAGAGATATAATTTGACAGATTAAGATACTAACCTTCGCGAGGCGTGTATGATTACTAGAACAACGAACCAGGTGTTTGGTTATGGTCAGGAATGTTAGGATGGCTGTTTCTTGCGATTTAACTTCTCTTCCAAATATGTATTGAATATGAAACCTTTTTTGCTGACGAATTCTTCCTTCTTCCAAACTTGAGATGTGAGACGTGTGACTTCTGAACTTACGATACTGGCTGTGAATGTAGTGATAAAGTAAATGGACAGGTATCTGGAATTGTAGAGACATATAATCTCAACATGAGGTCTCGATACCAATTAGCACCTATCGCTCAATGTGTTCCCTCCCAAGAGCGGGAGTTCTATTGGAGAATTCAGCCGGATGTTTCACACAGAGTGATCCATCGAGTGCCCGGGAGGATGAGCCAACGACTTCTGAATACCAGAAGGATATTGAGAAACTTGTCTTCAGCAATTTTTACCTTCCTTTGAATCTGTGAGTGAACCATTTGTCGAGTCCACCCAGAAAGCCCTTTTAGGAACACCGAGATAGTGGTTCGACCTTAAGCTACCCTCAATTGACGGATCCATTCCTCGATTTCGAGGCTTCTTTGTTAAATGATTGTCTAGAGTCTTGACTTGGCCTCGATATTATATTATGATAAGAAAAAGTGAGCGATATGGGTGGTGGCTGCCTAACGCGAAAATGATACTTATAGGTCTTTCTTTCCCAATTCTGAACTTCTTCTCTTCACAATCATCACGAACAGCAATCAACACAGACACAACACTTCAACCAAGCCTCCAAACCGCAGCATTGGACTTCTCAGGCCCCTACTGCGACGTATGCTCTCAGTCCGGTCTCACGCTCATTTTGCCCTGCACCAATTGTCGTTGGTGCATCGACTGCATTCAATCCCACTTCACGCTCGCCATCAAAGACAAGACCATGTGGCCTCCTACTTGCTGCAGTGACGCTCCTATACCCATCTCATTCGTTCAAGGTATGCTGACTCCCGACAGATACGCCACTGTTCTTCGCCGCGCTCAGGACTGGGCTCTGCTGACTACTCCACCAATCTATTGCGCCAAGCCTTCTTGCTCCAAGCATCTCAATCCTTCCTTTAGGCAAATCAGTCCTACCATTGACAACAACATCTCTTGCCCTGACTGTCAGACTCAGACCTGCACAGCATGCAAAATGCTGTCCCACAACGGTCCTTGTCAGCCTGACACAGTCAGAGAGCAGCTTCTGGCTCTCAAGTACGCACCCTGTCCCTTCTGTGGAAACATGATCGAGCTCATCGCCGGTTGTCAGGTCATGACTTGTGTTGAGCCGTGTAATCGCAAGTTCTGCTACCTCTGTCATCGTCTCTTGAACAAGTGTAGGGGAACTTGTGAAGCTTCTTGGGCTTTTGCGATGGAGCACGCTGACTAAATCATCGTCCCTCCTGCTGATGTTGCATTGGCTACTGCCGAACAGGCTTCAGAGTAAGCACGCGATGGTCTTCTTGGTTTCTGTCATCTTCTCTACATCTGCTGCATTTTTGCCGTGTTCCTCTGTAAGGCTGCTAGATCACCTTTTGCGACATCTCCAATAGATCTTGCTATTCTTCTACTCTGCTGTCTTCGAAATCGGCGTTTTCGGAGGTCATCGGTTCTCTTTTACATCAATCAATATTAATCTTTGTCTTCATTAAATGTCTCACTTCTTATTCTTGTGACTGAGAACTGTTATGCCTGCCTTTGTGAATCCATGTATCGTGATGGAAACGAATGAAAACCGAGCTTTGAGTGTTGCAAACTTATTATTAAGCTGCTGACAAACATGTGCGAGGATTGATTCATGCAGGCAAGAACAAAAGACATGATTGATGCATCTAGAAGTTTCCACCAATTTTGCAAACCAGTAAAAGTGCGCGGTGAATCAAGAACGGTATTAGCAATCATTTAGGGGAAGAGCCTGTCTTTGTGCATGAAAGCAGAGCGATAGAAGATTTTGGTTGGCATTATCCCTTTCGAGAAGGAGCAAACAACATGAGCTCTTTGTCCGCAGCAAACAAACCAGGATATATATGGGCAAGTGCAGACTGTAGAATTGAGATTCTTATGTGCCAGACAACTGTCAATCAGCTGATTGCCACAATCACCGAGCCAAAACACCCTCCTATTCCATATGTCCAGATCACCACTTCATCATCTCCCTCCTATCGACTTAAGTCTCAGATTTCACGGTAACGCTTGACACTCGTTCCACTGAGATATTGGTACACTGTAACAAGCGCTTGGCCCTGTGTACTGATCGATGCTGCCCTCGTCCCTCTTCCTGCACTGGTGTCTCTCACACACCTCACCTTTGCCGTCAGGAGCAAAGCTTCTATCTGAAGATCTCTGAATGGGCTTCGCCACCCGTATATAACAACAACTATGGCGACCTTCCTCGCCTACAATGTCTCACAACCAGGTCCCCAACGTCAATCAGCAAGGTATGCTCTACCCAAGATTCAATTCCGCATCAATGACCTCACTGACCAATTGTAGCACAGTAAGATGCCGTCGCTGCCACAGCCCGCGTTCGTGACAGTGCCTCTTCCGCCTCCGGTCCCTCAACAGCTTTCGCTCGCCAGTCGTATGCCTTGGACACAACAGAGAAAGTCCGCACGCATCGCTAGCCAGGACAATCGCTCTTCTTCTCCGTTTCTTCGATTGCCCTAAGAGATCAGGCACATGATCTTGAAGATGTACTTTGTTTCGACTACCTATAGGTACGAAAGTGGACACGCAGCAGCTAACGACGGATTCTGTGTCTCGATGTGCGGATGGTCGCCCCCTCTTCATTCTCTTTCTAGATACTGTTTCGAGCGATCAACCTAAGCCGACTAGTATTTCGCCCTCCGGCCCATCTCTTGCTAGGGGTGTCCCATCAAGGTTTCTACTAACTTCCCGTAAACATCTCTTCTCCGTTGCTTTTTCTCGAAGAACGAAGATCAAGATGGCTGGAAAGAAGAACAACAAGGCTACTGGAAAGCCCAAGGCCCTGACCATGTCATCGTCGTCTCGTATCTCTACCGCTAAAGACTTGCGCAATGATCTACGATGCGCTGACCGAACAAGCCATTGACGAAGACAAACGCGCTTGCATAATTCTGTAAGACTTGTGAAAGAATTACTTCCTCACGGGAACACGCCCCAATATCTATCGCCCCGCCGTCTAGCTTGTATATATCTTCGTCCCTAGGTCCCCTGCAATGACGCAGTCGACAATGGCATCATGGCATGTAGGTGGAATCCAGCCAATCCAAAGCACCCTACGAGGCCCGTACGACTTCGTCCAACTTATATAGACCTATTCGGTCGTTCACTGCCTGAGGAATGCGCGGTGGTGTTGTCAACTCCCTAGCAACAGAACCTACGCCATCTGTACCCTTGACACGTTCGACTCTCAAACATTTTCGACTTACACGGAGAAATTCATTTTCATGCGCTCGACGTAGTATATATTTCTTCGGTCCACGACAACCCTCAAACTCAGTGGTATCGAGACTTACAGCAAATCTGTCGGAGGCATACGAACCAACACGCCACAAACACCAGAAGAAAAAGCCGCCGAACTCGCCGCCCTTGATCAAAAACTCTACAAAGTACAACTCGCAACGAACGAGTCCATGTCGCTTGTTCCATGGAGAGAAGATCGCGTACACATTGCACCTGTTGCAGACATCATTGACTCGATCTCCAGGGCTGCTCCCATTACTCCGCTCGATGTTCATCAGGTTCCTTACACCTTTCCGGACCAAGTGTCTTCCTGATTTGCGGGAAGAGGCCACTACATCCTTGCCTAAGGTGAATTTAACAGCGGACAGCGACGTGGTCTACATTAACACCACCGTCACCGGCGGCTTGATATGCCATCAAGGCCTCCAAGATGCGCACAACCTTGACACGTACGTATATTGTAATTCCTTGTTTCCCTTTCTTGTCCACAATCACCCCATTCACTCTCCCATTCGCTTGATGATGTACTGACACCGAACAGCGGCGTGATATATAATGACACCACAGTCACCGGCACCTTCATGGGACATCAAATCTTCGAAGATGCATACAACCAAGTCACATCCGCTTGATGATGTACTAACACCGAACAGCGGCGCCATCTATATTGACACGACCATCACCGGCACCTTCACGGGCCATCAAGTCTTCTAGGATGTGTACAACCAGGTCATCCGCCAGGAGCTGTTGGTATTGCGCGTTCCTGAGATGGCTCACCGCAGAGTAAAAGAGATCGACTCAGTGGTTCGAGTGCCTGTGTCAGACCATCTGGATCCTTGAATAGTCCTCACCTTGTATTCGAGAAGGTCGCCAGTTTCAACCCGAACGTGATTGAGCTCTACCTGGTTGGCCCTTGCGCACCATCTCCTACTCGCTCGCCTAGCCTCTTCATGCACGGCATCACAGGAGCCGAAGATCACGAGCAAATCATCCCTGAGATATTCAACGCCTTATAAGACAAGAACTTGAAGCAACCCTGCATCTCCTTCGCCCTAGAAGTCCAAATGAATGTCACAGCCGCAGCCTTCAATCCTTTGCGTGTTTTGACAAGCCTAAAGCGATTGACCTCGCTCCAAATTACTGATGCTAGCCGCGTGGCATCAAACGCTGGTTCTTCGCAACCTTACAACTTACATCAAACACAACACTTTCTCTATCTTATAGACGCCGATCTCGCGGTCCACTCGGAGTTGCATCGCATATTTTCCACAAAAGTCGGCTAAAACTTGAGCTTTCTCCCCACAACTTTGAAGCTTAGCCGCAGGTATAACTTTCACAGTGTGCTTTCAGGAAAGGTCAGCGGCATGAGCTACTTTCACACGGCAGTGCGATCTCAGAATGTATTTGCAAGTATATAAGATGCAAGAAATCTGGAGAGCGATCTGCATTCGCTCAAGCTTGGTTCGACTCAGGGTCGCTCAAGAGTCAAGACTCAGCGTCACCTGGGAAGTCGAGACCTCACTCTCATGGATTTGTTCAAGCAAGGTCATCCTGCTAGCAAGCAGAGGGTGTGACGAGTACCAAGAGAACCCGAGACCAGTCAACTTCAAGAAGGAGCAGCTAAACATCAAGGAGCAAAGCCATTAGCGATGAAGCGAAGAAGACGCTACTTGATGGTTTAGTGATGAAATTCACCAAGCACGAGGACTTCGTTGTCTTTATGACCCAAAAGGTCAAGATGTTCGGACTGCCCTCCCCCATTCAGCAAGCACGAGGACTTCTGAAGATTTTTCACGCGCTCGAGAGTGTCAAGACCACCCTCACAAGTTGTTGTTTCACTGGCAGAGATCCCCTTCGTCTTAAGGTCCAAGTCACCTTGAGCGCTTCGAGGTCGTTTCTGGCTCCATATTGTACGGTTCCGGCTGCAACAACTTTTTCGACTTCTTCTACTAAACGCTTCCCTCGTCTACCTAGAGAGGCTAACTCGATGGCCGATTACGAAGCTACCCTCTAGCGGGGCCGCCCTTATCCTTCCTGTATTTTACCTCTACGTAACGTTATATTAGCATGGAGTCCACGGCGACGCCTATATGGCAGAAGATGACGACGACTCCACTTACAGGTCAATCGCTCGAAGCGCTGCCGCTAAATATGGCTAGAGTATCACAAGTTACGCGGGTCCGGGAGCTCTCGCCCTGTTTCCAATGGAAACTTGGGTTCTCATACCCGAGAATGTCGAGGAGTCAACCATGCTCAACTACCGTCTCGTATGCAGCACACTGTACAAGTCTGCAAACAAGACATTTCTCCTTACAAGATTCGCTACAAGAAGATGTCTTTCAACTCTTAGCCTCTCGAAAAGTATCATAGAGCTACGATTCTGGTTCCTCGCTACCTCAAGAGTCTTGGTCACTGAACGACACACTCTCTGCATAACTCGACCGTGTTCCTGCTACCACGAGGACGACAAATTGCAGCTTAAGGCCATGCAGGACGAGATGTATAATGTTGACTAGCCTAGTGAGATTGGCGTCGCGAAAAAGCGATCGAAGGCCAAGACCAGTCATCACCTGCCTCCCAAAAAGACATGGCTCTTCGAGGAAGAGAGTGACAGTGAGGATGAGCAGGAGGAAGGGCAGAAGAAGGAGCAGGAGAATGTTTCCTTGGATTCGTCAACTTCCTCTGCACTCCCGCAGACTTGGACCATGGGGTAATACCCACCATTCTTGTTGTCCACGACCGTAGCACGAAAGGTTGTGACGAAGAGATATTGAATGCACTCGGTGTTGGCACGTCATCGATATCCAGCCACTGGCCGAAGACCGTGCTTCAAAAATCGTACCTTTTGGCACGTCGTCGACACCCAGACGCTGGCCCAAGACTTCAGGCCACACCGTCGAAGGGTCAAAAGTGGTTTTGATGAGGTGTGCGGCCTTGGACAAATGACGACTCAGTCAGAGATTGCCCACACTCCCAACGATCGTCCCCTGCACCACAATGCACAGGGTAACGCTTGGGTTACGAGTCACTCCATGATCATCATGGTGGAGACAAGAGCCTCTGAGCTCGGGATGTCAGTGATGAATGGTGTGGTGGGCATTGCTTTCCTCACCCCTCGCCGCCCTTCGCACCTGCGCCACTCCAGCGGCTCGCACACTCCCGGCTCTCGCTACGAGGCTGGATCACCTCGCAACCCCTTTCCCGGTCCTGGTTCTCAGTTCCGCCCTCGTCACGAAGCCGCCGTGTCGGTTCACACCCCTCCCGACGCCCTCCTCAACGGCGCACTCGTGGCCTCGGCCGAGCGGATGCATCGCGTGCGCGAGCAGCTGCAATTACGAGATTAGTCGAGTATGCGGTGCAATCGGCAAAGCACTGCGAAATGTACTTACTTCCAGACACAAGTGGCATTTGTAGATGTTCGTTCGCCAGAAGACCTTCGTCACACAATACTTCTGGCCTAATCTCGAAGTTTTCCACCTGACCGACTACGACCCCATCTCAAGGATGTGAAGTACATGGCAGGAACCAAATACGGAACCAACCTTCTTTGGCGTGAATCAAAGAAATGTCCGTAAGGCAAATTCTTTGTTACAAAAGCTAACTGGCGATCTAGCAGGATCATGCAAAATGTTAGACCCCGGATCCGGCCTATCAATGAATCTGAAGATTGCCATCAGTTTCCCACGAGTGAAGCCTTTTAGGACTCGATGTCATTCGATCTTGAGCATCAACTGATCTTTGCGCAAAAACCGCTCCCTAGTGCACACCATGAGCCGATTTACCAGGCAGGGAGATCCTGTTACGCCTCCGAACCGCAACAGAGGCTTACAAAGCAACCAGTCATCCCCTTACAGGGGCTCTCCAAAGAGCAATGCAGAAACAACGTCGTCCCCTGAGAATAGGCATCTTCTTGGTATTGATCCGATGGACATTGATGATGGGGATTTTGCATCCGGTGTCCCAGTATCAGGCATAGGGTCGGCAGCGACTACCTTGGCCTCGACTGCGAAGCCTTTACCCGATCTTCTCCATCTGCCAGATGAATTAAAACTCATGGTAATTGGGAATCTGGAGCCACAGAGTAAGACCACATTCAATCTTGCTCTGACTGTCAAAGAGTTGAAATGGATGGCAATGAGACAGCATTGGTCGATCATTGGAACCAAAAACGAATCGGCTCTCACAAGACTTCAGGCGGAGAACATCACTACGCAGCAGAACTACGTCGGTTTGATTCAGGACCTGACAATCAGAACAGATCTTCCGGTAGACTTTTCGCAATGCAGATTCAATAGTCTCCAAAAGCTCGTTGTAAGGGCACCCGACGAGTCTACCTTCGACTTGGATCTTTCCACGTTCCTTGGACCGAGCTTGACCGATATAAACCTCAAGCTAAATTTGAATAGGCAAGGTCCATGCATCATAAATTTTCTGCCGGTAATGAACAGATCTCCATCTCTCAAGTCTATACAATTCGGCCTACCTTTTCACAACACTCACCCAGATCATTTGCTGAAAGCCCTTGAGTCTTGTCCAAGACTTGAGACAGTACGCATCCATAGCCAGAGCGAGGATCTCATGGACGAATACGTTTGGAGATATCTGGCCATAAACCACACGCTGCGGAACTTTCTTTGGACCGGATTGGTCGATGTTCCATTCTTGGCTACAGCACTGGAAAACATCCCTCATGGGCAGGTTCTGTTCTCCAACGTCACCCACCTGTACCTGACAATCACATCAGGCGCAGCGGCCAAGCTCTTCCCACACCTGCAGAACCTGACGAGCTTGGCTCTTGTCATCAGAGACCACGGCGACATTCTCGAATGTGTAGCGCGCTTGAACAACCTGAACAATCTGCACATCGAGTACGACTTGGATACTGATCTTACTGTAGCGTTACTCGCCCCTCTCCGCCACATGAATCTCACAAGATTCGTTCTCAGGCAGGACAATAGGTTCACACTGGATGGTTCTGCCATTCCGTTGTCAGCATTGCCGAACCTCTTTGGCTCTCATGCGACTATGGAACGTCTCGAATTCGCATGGCAAGGCAGTTCGTACTTTGACGACAATGCTCAAGACGTCCTGTGGGCTCTGGGCCGAGTCTATCCAAAAGTGAACTGGTGCTCCCTCACCGCGGCCTCTTTGCCGTCGAATTTGGGGCCTTCCAACGCTTATCAAGCTTATCCAGCTTATCCACCTATGTGGCCTAGTCTGCGTCGTCTTGACCTGTGGGAAATGATCGAGCCAGACTATGCAGATAACTAGTAGGTTCCATTCTTTACTCATGTTGTCGAGTTATACTAATGTGATTAATCTAGCGCCAACTATTGCACTCATTTTGCGAATCAGATCATTCTTCATCTCCCAAACGTCAGCAAAATCACGGTAGCTCACAAGAAGCCATTCTGCACGAGAATCAGAAGAGAGTGCTCGAGCTTGGGCAAAATCATATAGCACATAGAAAAAGACGTTCGCGAGGTCGGAGGATGGTTGTACTAGACATTCACCGAGAACTCAGTGGAAGTAGAGAGAGCTTATAGCGCATGCGATCTTTTTGGTTGTTCTCGTTGAGGCGTAGTATAATGAATGATACACAAGAAACAAGGATGCTTCATATAAGATCACTGTGTTGGTACACATTCTCCGGGCTCTTGAAGATTAAACAATACTTCGGCCTCTACATTAATGGCGATATTCCCCTATCGTCTCCAATTTACTGCACGGAAGGAATGTATAAATGCTGCAATCATCGAACCTTTTCTCCCGCCTCGCTCAATTGTTGCACTCTAATAGTCTTGTCTGGAAAATGACAGGGGCTATTGTCTTTCTTAACACTCCTCGTCCATGAAAATGTCTCAAAAAGCAGTCGATCTGAGCTCTTAGAACACTTGATATACCTGTCTAAGCATTATGCAATAAGCGGGACCAGTTGCGATCGACGACAAGGACTCCGTCGAGGGTCACCCGGGTGCTGACAGAGAGCTGCTCTAGATCGCTATATATGACACAACTTTGTTCGATTTAAGAAGCCTACGCTACAGAACTAGAGCCTATAACACTGTTAGGTGCGTATTCGGGGTTAATGATATGAAAATCGAACAATTCATATCTACAGTAAGTTGAGTTAAGTTTCAAATCCAGCATTTTCAAATTCGGGAATAGCCTCTTGGTATTCACTGATCCACGCCATCGGTCACGATATCTAGCACACAGGTATTAGTTCGGTCTCCAGGCTTTACAATTCTTGTTCAACTTTAACTTACCCCGTGGCTTGATCAGTGTGTGGAAGCGTTTCCATGACATAGTTGAACGTCAAGTACTCCAACTTTGGAACCAAGGGCCCTACTACCGCGGAAACCTCTGCGGAAGCAGGGCGATAAACTGACACACTCATGGTAAGGCTCTCCAATTCCGGGTATGCTTTACCGATGATATCCATGACACGAATGGTGTCATTAACAAGGTACGCAGATTGATGCCAGCCAAACTCGAGGTGTCGAAGGGTCTGTTGAGATCCGAAGATGTGGCTTAGCTGGTTCATTTGGATGGCCGAACCGTTCACCGTGCAATGCGGATTCCCATCCTCATCGATCCGATAATCTGTTTCGATGTGAAGGCTAGTAAGATTCATGTCTCGCAAACCGGACAGGGTACCCCAGTCGAGTCTCACAGCGTCCGGACCAGTTTCGGTGCTTCCCGCAGCCCTGATATACAGCATGTCCAGGTTCTTCATCTCTCGAACTGACCTCAAGATATGAAGATTGTTCTGGTCGTATCTCAAAATCAACAGTGTGATGCTCTGCATGCGAGGAAGGAGCAAGGACCCAGCCACGTCCGAAAGATGGGCATCGAAACCGGTGAGACCAGTGAATAGTTCCTCATCTTCTTTCAGATCTTCCATGGTCTTCGCTATGGTGGCTTCATCGATAGACCTACCCCAGTCGAATTCTTGGATTCGGTCATTTTTTGCGAGATAGGCGAAAAGCTCAGGACTCATAAGGGGCCTTGCGTTGTAGCCGATCTCAAAAGTGTCCACCAGAGGACATGCTTTGAGACCTTCAACCAGATCCTGAGGATGGGCGTTGATAATAGTGCCAGTCAACTTAATCTCCCTCAAGAACGGTGCTCTGCTGAGTTGAGGCAAGAAGTTGCTGACAGTCCCATGGGTGAGCGCTGGACCTCCTATTCTGATCGACAAATATTCCAGCTTTTGCTGTATGAATTGTGCAATCGGCAAGTTCACGTGAGGTCCTACGCCACAGGTGTTCACCTCAAGCTCTCGCAGCTTCTGGAAGGCCAGATGCGAGAGGTCAATGCCATTGGAGGTGTTGACGCGGAGAACTTTGATCAAGTCTGCGTACAGCTGCTGCCTGATTGCCGGCACTCTCTCTACCAACTGCTTTATCCGCTGGTCATCGATAACGGTCTCCCAAAGGAATGCAATAGAGTAAGTCCAAAGAGTCTCGCTCCGTGTGGCCATGTTGCGAAGCTCTGGGTCGCCGAGATACCTGAGGATGTTGATTTGAGTTTCGTTCGGAAGCCTGTCCCAGGGCGCAACGTAGCCATCAACGGGGAGGGAGGGGTCCCTGGTGTTCACTCCACTCATTACTTTCTCACGCTCACGTCGCATGGAGGCGCTTAGGAAGGGACTGTGCCCTGAGCCCGCTGAGTTGCTGGATCTGCTCATCCTGGAGTAAGGTCTGAAGACAATAAATTTCCGAAGCTTCTGCTGGATGTGGTAAAGGAGTGAAACGGTAAGAGCGTAACTACAGGTCCATTTATGTATCGTGGGATTTTGTCGAGGCTCATTGACAGTTCAAAGAGATTTCCGCATCCGGCGGTCATTCGGGCTTTCGACCGTCTCAGTGTTGACCAAGTCGTGAAGGCTGGAACAATGAAACAGCGTTGATCAACCGAAGGTGGGCTCTGGCACCCCGACTGGTCTGGAACTACCTTACGTCGAGGTAACACACTCCTTGGCTCTCATCCAAGGTTGTAAAGATGGCATGAACACACTTTTGGTCAAATATTCGAACGAACAAGCTGCAATTTCCAAGTCTTGGTACATATTGGTCTCTATTTACCACCATGATCCATCATCAACCACGCCAGAAACTCATGCATCAACGGTAAAGGACATAACGCGGAAACATGTAGAGATATTCCCACCCAAGCCGGGCCATATTACGGCGCATTCTCTTGATGCGTCGAACATCACGAAACACAAATTTGGTAAAGTCCTGGTCATTCACTGATTCCAATACCGACAGATTTGGAAAATGGTAATCGATCTTTTCGGCAATAATGCGAACGTCACGATTACTAGACAATGTTGTTAGTACAAGACAGGTGTCGAAAAGATGATCTAATCACTTACTAATTGGTATTCTGGGGTGGTTGAGCTGGCTGCGCAATCCTCTCAATGGTCAGAACCCTCAAGTTCATATTCAGGGGTAAGTCCGGGGTTCGTAGGAAGTCGATGGCGGCGCAAGGGGCGACCAGGGTGAGCTCACGCACGTTCGGGTAGAAACGGGCGATCTTCTCGAGTACAAGGTGAGGGCTATACTGCAGAAAAGACATGATATGTGCTGAAGAAGAGCTTCCTTGCCACGCGAAAGTAAGCTCTGAGAGTGTAAGATGGTTGCCGAATAGATAATCCAGCTGGTCAGCCTGGATTTCAGACCCGTCTATCGCAGCGCCGGCGGCCGCATTTATTTTGAATCTTTGCAAATTCATGTTCTGGAGGCCAGCTAGTACGTGACGATTGAGGGGCATACTCCTCATGCATTGAAGCTCAAGGGTTACCAGTCGAGGCATTTCTGCGACCCAGGTAAGAATGTCGCTGGGCTCGGAGATGCGGAGACTCATCGCCTCTGTTGCTTTCATCCGGGGGAACAGGAGCTTCGCTGCAGAGGGGTTGACGTGTAGATATACTGTGGCTAGATGGTCGAATATAGTTCGATGCGCAGGTAGCGAGGCGATCGTAGGTTCCAAAAGAAGATGGCCAATCTCAGCACCGAGTTCAAATTCCGAGAGGCGGGCTACGAGGGCGAGGTGTGCAAAGACAGCCGGATCTACGAGAGACATTGATTCGCCGGCGACTTTGAAGATCTCCAACAGCGGGCAGGCTTGTAGTGCTCTGAGCAGCTGGACGCTCGTGGCATTCTCGATCTTGATGCCGATGTTAAGCTCCTTGAGACACGGTGTTTGGGTCGCCAGCAGTGGTAGAATGTTAGACACCAGTCCGTGGCCTTGATCAACTTGTAAATTCAGAAGTACGAGTTCTGGCTGGATGAAACCGTCGATGTGGGCGACATTGGTCGTTCCTGGTTGGACGCCCTTCTCAATGACATGCAGTCTGTTGAGATGAGGAAATCTCAATCCTCTAAAGTCGTGCCCATCGATTATCCAAACATGAAGCTCTCGCATCCGATCTACGAATTGCTGTCGCTGCTGCGGTGGGTAGATGAAGAGATATGCTACATGTTCTGGGTGCTCGGCGATTTTCCATATCTCTGACAGAGCTAAGTCCCGGAGCGCTCTTTCGATTTTCGAGAGTTTGAAAAGTTCCTTTAGGTCGACGAGGTGTACAATCTCGGCCCAAACCTCTGGCAAAAGACGTGCGGCAGGGGTGCCCGCGGGCGGAACGATGGTATTCATTTGGTTCAAGCGCTCTATGACGATCTGATTGAATTGACTTGCAAACGAGCAGAGAAACCGACAGCAGAAACGCACTTGATTGACATCGTCTGTGATCTGCTTGTTCGACGCAGATTGACCGGATTGAGAGAACTGTACAAAGAACTGACACCTTGGATGGATGGAACAAAGGCGTCAACCTTGGCCTCCCTTTCCCTGCAAAAGAATCCTCGACCCTGACATATGAATCCAACCTTTCTGCGTGGATCGAGACAAACGCACAAAGGCTGCAAATTCACGTGTGCGCAGAAAGAAAAAGGTCTCTCTGATTTCTTGGTCGACAGGTACGGACTGAGCCGTATGACGAACAAAGAAGCACTTCTGTTTCCGGGATTGACGAAGCCGCCCCTGAATCTGACCCACAGCGTGTACCCCCATTCACGAGTAGCTTCGAGAATGGCTGAACAGGAAGTGTTGGTAGCTTGGCTGCCTGTTGTCAACTTACATCATCATCATCACCCTGGCACTGCAGAAAGGAAGGTAAACAGTAAGATGGTTTGATACCTGGTCTACATCGAATCAGAAACAGAAATCACGAACAAGTACAAGATCAAATCTAGCATGATACGAAACACAAAGAGAAACGCACAAAACAGCAGAAGACATAAAAATATCTCAAGATGGCGGCGGTTTACTGGCGGCGATCAGAGCAGCGACAGAATTGTCAAAGTACTCATCGTCACGGCCTCTCATTCTGTGGCTGACCAGCTTTTCCAATTTCGGGCAATGCCACCTTAGCAAGTCATGAACCTCCTGCGCGCCACGGCACCTAAAATCGTCAGTCGGCTATTCAATCAGAAAATGTACCAGTACTCACATCGGATCTGTGCTAGGGTTCATCGGCAATGTGTGGGGAGTCGGCGCAGATCCAAAAGGCACTTGGAGCATCGAAAGACTCAACTTTCGCAGATTTGGAAATATAACATCTTCTCCGCTGTGGTATAGCTCGAAGAGGGGTAGATGCATCGTTGCGCCGTTGAAAGACAGATTAAAAGGCGCCCATCGGCCACGTAAACTGAGCTCCCTCAAACCTGGACACATGCGACCTACACGATCGAACATGGCCACGGATGAGAACTTGTTGCCCTCATTACGGTTGTCCCAGTCCAGTCGAATTACTTTGAGTTGACGGAATTGCACCAGAAATGCCTCCACCGCGAGGAGCGTGATTCTCTGTACGTTGTAGCCAAGCGGCGGTGCGCGCATCTCCAGATGTGTCAGATGCCTCATGGCTGCCATATCAATCAACATCTGGTAATTGACCAGAGCGAAGTCCGGTGGAGGGATTTGAGTTTCCAGTGCGAGTCGCTTGAGATTGGGTAATCTCCGTATATGGTTCAGAACACCGTCTACCAATGTGGTCACACTAAGGTCGAATTGCTCGACTGTGTCCATAATCTCACTCTGTATCAGCGTTCGAGCTCCTTCTTCCGTCATGGTGAGAACGGCCTTCTCCAAGTTATTGAATGCGTAAGGAACGGTGTCTCTAATCGTTTCAGCCAGATCTTGGTCGATCTCGAAGTCCAGAACTACACCCTTGATCAAAGGCATTCTGGCTATCCGGATTACAGTGTTAGCTTGAACAAGATCTGAAGCTCCGCGAGATACCCCAATGTATTGAAGGTTGGTCAAGGTGTCGAGGACTGTCATGAGCTGGTCTGGCGTGGCATCCTGTATATGGCGGTACAGTTCGAGGCGGGTTAGATTTGGACACTGCCCAAGATTCAACAAGTAGTTGTCCGGTACAGACACTTGAAGAGGTGGCATAGTATGACCTTCGATACAAAGTTCCGTTAGTCTCGGACCGAAGAACTGAGAGACGTTGAGATTGCATCCTGGAACCCTTCTAGGGTGACGAATAGCCAAAGACCGCAGGTTGCGAAAATTGAGATGCCTCGTTTCGTGTTGACGGCTTCGATGGCCATAGATTTCAAGCTCTTGAATATGATTGATGAATGTTTGCCGATCCGCACGACGAATTTCCGTGGGATTCATCAGGTGATCGAAGCCGAGTGGTCCAACGATTTTCCACTTCTCTTCCGTCGCTAGGGCCCTCCACCCGCTGTGTACCAGCGACATGTTGAGCAGATCTGTTGCATCTGATTCTAGATTCTCGAGTATTATCCTTTTGATCTCCGGCGGTATAGCTAACATTGGTGCACTCATCTTGGCGAGACGGGTTTTCGTGTTCAATGGATGAATTCAGTAGATGTGTCAGGCTGAAGTTCTGATTCTGGATTATCTGTCGGCCAGCTTTGATATGCACTTCTGGTGAGTCCCTGGAAAAGAGGATAGAGATGCAAATACTGAATTCTTAGTCCTGGTAGACATGGTCAAAAAGAATTCCCCTTTGTCTGTCAAAAGTCGACCGGATGCGGCGTGCTGGTTTCGTTTTGTCAAAGAAATCTCTCAACAACTGCCTCTGAGTGATAGAGAACATTATCACCTTCAATGAGCGAGTGTAACAAGCAACCAGCTATACTCGACTCTGTCTAATCGTGTCAGGGTGGCCCCCACAACATCATGCCACCTTTGTCACCTCCTAACGTATATTGACTACACAAAAATTGAAGTGTCCGACACCTTGTTGTTCTAATTTCTGAATCTTTACATTCAGTGTAGTTAGTATAATAACGGCTCCGCCTGGTGACTACTGTGTGGTCTTATTCGGATCAATTCCATTCATTCTCGTGCACTAATCTACACTAGACATTCATGGAATACTAATCCACCGCTACAGGCCACGGTGCCAGACACTGCATGAAAACCAGTACGATAAGTCCATGGAACACGACGAACTTGTAGAAGAATGCTTCGATTAATCGAAAGAAGAGTTAAACACTTCTACGTCCGCTTAATCATGATCTAGCAACTTTAAATCCCAACTCTCGATTCTAGATTTCTGTTTATGAACTTCTTGTTCCTGGATTTATAGATGCCAACTGCTTCCATCTAAGGTAGAACTTAGGGATAGAAGTATCTTATAACATGACGCCTCGCACCAAAACATGACATAACAACTCGCTAGAATGAGATCGATTGTCTACATACGCAAAACAAGAGAAAGACAAGATGCGCAAAACGCCCCCTTCATCGAACAACGACCTGCTTAAACCCTCCGTCACATTCTTAATACCATCACCCCCTACTTCCTACCATTTAACACAGCAGCTCTTCTCCCAACACTCTCCACAGTCAACGCAGCTCTATGTCTCTTCTCGGTGATAACATGCTCTCTGTACAAATACGCCAGACCCACCGTACCACCGGGTCCAAGCATAACGGTGAAAAATATCATGGTAAGAACAAGTTCAAACCAGCTTTTCTCCAGCATACCGGCGGATTTGGCATCCCAGGCGAAGTAAAAGAGCCATAGATATGTGGATGCGATGAAGAGGAGTAAATCCCATTGAACCACGTCGGCAGAGAACGACTGTACGTCCGTAACGGTTTGAGCGAGCTGCTGCGGGATGAAAAGATGGTATAGCGATACAGGTGTGTAAAGCACCGTGCAAAGCCAAACAACCGTCGACATAAGAGCAGGCACAGCAATCGTGTATCGAATGGTAAAGACATCTCTTTTCGGAGCAGAGATTTTATCTTCGTCAATGGTGTCGTTCCAGAATTTGCTGATAGCCCATTGAGCAAGCGAATGCCAGATTGGGAAGTACCGCCAGATTTGCAGCCATGTTTGACTTTCAAGATTGTCGGGGAGGAAGTAGGACTGCAGCAGAGGCAAGTAGTAGACCAGCAACAAAGAAGGTAGAATGGCACGGGTGTAGTTCAATCTGGTCAGTCTCATGTCGGTGGCTTTGAAGGAGTCGATTGGGGTCATCACCCAATGGAGGAAGTAGTACAGAGGAGCTACTATTCCCACACCTTTCGACTGGGCGAAGAAAGCGAACAAGCTAGGGCTGGTAGCTGTTAGTCACAGTCGACGGCTACCGCACGGCGTAGGTCACTTACAGCTGAACGGGCATCAGAGCATTGCAGCGACGAACGGCTTCGATGGACCAGATTGCGAGGATGACACCGAAGTAAGCCAAGATAGTAGCTACGCGGAAGCTGGTAGCAAGATCAGTATCCTCTGAAGCAGCGATAGAAACACCCGACAGCATGGCAAATCTGTCGCAATGTTAGTCACGAAAGAAGGTCAGATCGTGACATTACTTACCGGTTGCTCTGTCCTCCGAGAGACGCAAGCGGCAGTCCGGTGCCATTGCGAGTCGCATCGAACATACCACCACTTTCAGTATCAACGAATGTGGGATTCGCGATCCTTATCGCATACGCGAACAGGCCGAGGAAAGGGAGAGCGACCAAAGCTCGACGGAAGAAACTCTCCTTATGACCATCGCCTTGCTCAGGGTTGAATGGCAGAGCGCCTTTGAGAGATGCTTCTGGAGGGGGCAGGTAATCGAGCAAAGTCGCTCCCACCGCCATGTTGCTACCTAGGTTCTCGAGAAAGTCTCCAAGAATGGTCAGTCCATATTTTGCGAACAAGATATGACCCCACGTCGCCAGGGCTTGGACGCGGGTGAGTAGGTTGGAGGCATCGATGGCAGCTTTGGCTCTCACTTCGCGATTTTCCTGGTAACCTTGGAGGCAGGCAACGATTTGATCCTCGGTGGGTCGCCCTTCTTTGATCTGATCGGCCAGCTTCTTGATTGAGTTGGCGAGAGCAGCAGCACTTTCCATTGCTGCGTTGCCTCCAAAGCCTGTCTGGTGTCAGCTTTGTTTAGAATCTTTCAACATGATCATGCTTACCAGCATTTGGCGTCATCTTGTGTGAGGCGTCGCCGACACAAGCGATACGTCCCCATGTCCAAATCTTGGTCTTGTCAGCACGCTATCAAACAATAGCAACAAGAGCACTACCTTGTAAGAAGCGGTCTCGACTCCAACAAGAGTGCTTGAGACGCCATGCTTGTGTATATCTCTGAACTGCACATTCTCCGTAGCTTTCATGTTGCCATGACGCTCTGCAAATTCAGCCTTGTCAGCTTCAGTGTATGTCGGGATGTGGGGTAGCTTGTAAGTCTTGTCCATCTTTTCGAAAACAAAATAGTAGGTACGATCATCCTTGCCGACGATGGTCATCAGGCTGCAGTCCTTGTTGTAGCCGACATGCAAGTCACCAATGGTCAAGCCAGACGAGGAAGAAGCGATTCCGTAAAGACATCGATAAGAACACTCGAGAGCTTTGGAGAATAGTCAAAGAGACGTTTGACGTTGAAGGTGATGGATGGCTTACAGTCTTTGTCGGCCTTGACGAGCTCCGGATCTTGTTCATCCGCAAGACGCCACATTTCACTCCTGGCTTTCGAGTTGACACCATCTGCTCCAGCCAGGATATCACCAGTATAAGAGCTGCCATCTTCACAGACGACTGTGACTCCATTGGGTTGTTGGCGGACCAGCGAAAGCTTTTTTCCCACAAGTACCTTGCTCTTGTCCTTCAGGTTGTCATACAGAACCTGTAAGATATCTTGTCTATCGCTGAATGCGAAACCATATCCAGACCTGTGCCGCATGAGTACGGACTGAGGTATGTTGAGCGTCTTCTGCGACCTACCTGGACTGCATGAGCTGCGAGACACCGTTGGGTTTAGTCAACAGTTTGCCAGCGCTGTCGCGATCGTAGATCCATTGAATAGGTTCCTAGCCAGGTCAAAAACTGCACGCGACTTTGATCGGAGACGTTCAAGCATACCACACAGGCATACAGAGCATCTCTACAGCCTAGCTGGTCCATGATCGGTGGAGCATGAGCTTTGAGTCTACATCACGTAGCTTGAGGTAGGCTGTACTGACTCTACAGCCATTTGACATGATGCCGATGGAAGCACCAACCTGCGGAGCTATCTCTTGCCTTCTCTCCAGGAGAACATAGTCGATCGATGCTTGCTGTTCATCTCGTTACAAAGGTTGTTGACAAGAGTATACCGGGGATCGGACCTCGAGAGCATTTGCGAGCGTCAGGCCAGCGATGCCGCCGCCGGCGATGACGACCTTCAGAGAGGTAGTCATGGGGGAGAAATTGGGCTTGGAAGGGGACAAACGATTCATCTTGTGCAACGGGGAAGCATTCAAGATGTCGGTGATGCAGGCGCGGCAGAATGGGCATAAATAGAGAAACCAGAGAAAATGGACATGTACGCGTGAGATGACAACATAAGATACAGAATATCCATCCATAGCGCTTACCTGAGTCTTGACGGAATATGAATAGGGTACTACCGGTGGGTGACACGAAGCACGGAGCATCGACCTACTGATTGCTGCTGAGTGTCACGACTAGAAGATTACAAATAATCCAGCGAAACATGCCAGTACAGAGGGAGAAGCGTACAAGTTGGGCAGTACGGGACGAACGGGAAAAGAAAAGTGTGCTGAGGGAACGAAGAGTAGTGCTGACTAGAGAAATGCCAGGATTGAAAGAGAGTTTTGGACGCCGAGGCTGGCTCCACCGGTGCGACTCGATGATGAAGAGATCACAAGCGCACATGTTCGGACCCTGCAGAAGTGAGCAGGTTTCAAGGTCAATCGTAAGCACGGCGATCCGCATGCACCAGAATTTTGTGATGAGCTGGACAAAGCGATCGGAGTTGAGGATGTGGATGAAAGAGAACAAAAAGGCTTTGGAGGATTCAGGAAGCGCGGGGTCTGCTAGCGCCAAGAAAGCCGGCGGTCGGGAAACTCCGCGTTCGAGAGACGCGCGCCCTCGGCCAGCGACGAAGGAGGAAGTCGCGACTCGACGGAAAGGACCAACATCATCAAGAAGGAAGGAGCAGATGACCTGTTGGCAGGGAAAGAGATAAAATAAGCACGCGATTACTGTACGCAGCAAGAGCTGTGGATCGGTTCGCTAAGGAAGGAGCTACTACGCGCGTCCAACTTCAACGACTCGCCCGAGAGCGTCCACACCCAGCCTCCACCCTCCATACCGCCAACGATACCCCCTGACGGCATCTCCATACCATCCAGTATGGCCGACCTCACCACTCTCGGCGATCCGACAAGTGATCAACTGCCCATCGATACGGGTGACCACGATGGCGACGTCACTGATGCGAACAACGACAACGACAATGACAATGAGAATGACAACGACGAAGCACCCTCGACCTACAACATCGTCTGTGAAGCGGCACCTCCTGAGCGACGTTTCCCATCCTTTGAGGCGGCCATAGAGTTCGGCAACCAGTGGTCGCGCGAGAATGGCTTCGACCTTGTCCGCATCAACAAGGGCAAGCAAGGCCGCAACCCTCAGGGCGTGACTTACAAGTTCTTGTGGGAGTGCAAGCGTCATGGCAAGCCCGCAAACACTCGCAAGTTGACGCCTGATAGACGACAGCGAGCAGCTCGTGGTTCGGTCAGAATGGGTTGTCGCATGCGCATCGTCCTCGTCGCCGTCGAGCCTCAAGTGCCTCAGGGCGAGTGGCAGATCAGACACTGCGGGCGCAACGGCCACAACCACGGTCCTGACAATGCTGAGACTTTCCCTGCCGTCCGCCGTCGTACCCGAACTCATGAGATGGACGTCTTTATGGCTACACAACTGCGTCAAGGTCTGTCGAGATCAGAGACGCTTCAACTTGTCCGTCAACACTGGCCAGATGCTCTGGTCACTCGCCAGGATATCGGGAACTTTGCAAAGACTTTTGCCCAGAAGATTGGAGCTTCTCGTTTGACCCCTGAAGCCACTCCCGACAACTCACCGATGCCGCCTGTGCCTTCATCATCTACCAACGTCGCTCCGATTGCACCAGCCAACACTCAACATGCTCAGCATTCTCAACCTCAACACCCTCTCTCACACCCACACCAACACCCTATGCAACCACTCGGCATGCCTATCCAGCAGCAGTCTGCCAACGATGCCACTCGAGCTGCTTATCAGGCCGGCTACCAAGCAGCTGTTGAACAACATCGCATCAACAGTGACCTCAATCATCGCGTACAAGCTCTGGAGAGTTCTCTCCAAGTCCAGGATCGCATCGCTGCTCTCGAGCAGACTGTCAATAATCTCACTCAACTCATCATGAGTGCGTACATGCCTCACATACAGCATCCTCAATCTTGACGGAAGCTGTTTAGCGGGTCTGAACAGGCAGGCGCTTTTGTAGTTTTTTCTTGCTTTACGTGATACCCATGACTTCTTTTCGTGTCACTCCTTGACTTTTCTAGGTTGTTTCCAATCAACACACTTCTTATCATGCGGCCCTGATTCTTCGAATGATTCATTGGTCATGTTTCCTCCCTTGCTTCCTGGCTTAACGAGCTTCAGCGCTTAAGAATTTGGTTTATCGGGGACTGTCGCATGTCGTCTTCTGACCTCGCTTTTGTCGCTGCATCAACAACTCGCCATGTCGTCAGCAGTGAAATGTCTCTCTTTGCCGGAGATATTGTGCCCAATTTTCGATTATCTCCAAGATGACCGCATTACGTTGTACTCTGCTTTGTTCGTCAATTCCACTTGGTCGAGATACAGTGTGGAGTGCTCTGGCGAAGCGCGCCTCTCTTCACGCTTAACATGATCGACCACTCTCGACGACAGCGTATCGCGGACGAGATACACACCTCATTTTTCTGGAGGGACGATTATCTTCTCTCCGCTCCCGGCTATGAACTTCCGCGCTTTTCGTCGTCAGAAAGATGTTTACTCCAGATTGACAGTTTGTTTGATCTGGATGACTACCATTTCCACAATCCCCCCTCTTTTACCTGCTCACCGCATCGCCTTCGTGATTGGGCGAGAGATGCCGAAGGGATTGACTCGTTCAACTCATGGAAGAGACAACGCTCATTCGGCCGTTTGCCTGATCTTCGTTCTGCTTTGCGAGGAGACTGCATCAAGAACGCCGCACTGAACCCTGGTCCTCGACCCAGCGAACGCCACAAGGTTACGCTCAATCTCTTGAGCGCAGTCCGAAGTTGCGATGCGTCCTGGCCGCGTCTAGCACTCGGTCTCATTCTGGTACTGCTGCGTTATTTGGTCCCCTGACCAGCTTGGAAAATCTCGAAGGACTCTCCCTCCCTCTGCTTCGCTTTGATCATGTGACCTTAATAAGATGGATGCATCAGCGTGAAGGGAAGCGACTCTCACCCAAGCTGAGGCATCTCGCTACTCAGATCTCATCTCAAGGTGCTCGGATACTATTCGAGCCCGTACTTTCAAGACTCACGAGCCTTACGATTGGTTTGTTGAACAGCAAAGATGTCTGGTTCTCCTTGATCGGGCGCTTGACAACTTTTCGTTCGCTGATTATTCATTCGTCCGTGAAGAAATTTGCGTCTCCACATTTCGAGGCTCCAGGTAACCTCCATGCCCTCGAAAAGCCCATTGTCAGCTTGCCAATGGATCCCGGTGAAGACAAGGTCGTGACTGACGAACAATTTTCAACTCTGACTTCCGGGATGCCCTTGTTGAGATCGCTCGAGTTCAAATTCCGCCTACGTCTCTCTCTGACTGCATCAACATCGGTCGCTGTAAATTGTCCGTTGCTCGAGGTCTGTAGATTGTCCACTCCGGTCGATATCACCGCCTGGACTCAGACCAAAGCACCCGTCTTCCCGGCGCTCCAAGTACTGCATTTACCTCATTGGACGTTCGAAGCACAGTGGTAAGTAGAGCTTCAGTGTCACTCCGGCATCACGGAATGACTTTACTGACTCGAAAACAGGTGGATGGAAGGGGGTAATCGTCTTGATCCGTCTATTGCTACTTATGGGTCGGAGGAAGCGCATCAGCTCTCAACACTTTGCCCAAAGTTACAGTACTTGAGGCTGGCCTGTGTGGATTATGGTAAGCATGAGTTGGAGCAGTACAGGAAGGTTCGAAAGCCAAGGAGTCAGGCAATCATGAGTAGTCGAGCAACGCTGTCCATGTTATCGTCGATGCATGGCGCGACACCCTCTCTGTGACAGGTAGTAGATAGTAGACAGTCTCCTTTCTCTCGCGCACTTTGACAGTTCTTCTTTAACATTCTCGATCTGAAAGTCAAAGCTTTGTTCGCGTTTAGTCGTCGTCCCCTTTGCACCTCCATTTTCATTTTGGTCAGATCTTGGCGTATTTCACCCATCAATAACAATAACAACCCACCTTACCATTTCTTTCCTCCACCTCCACCTCCACTCCCCTCATCCTCATCAGCAGCGCACTGTTTGATCAACATTACACGCAGATATGCCTCTCCCCAAGGCGCTGTCATCGTTGATGGCGCGTCTGCCTTCGCTCAACCACCAAGGAGTCAAGGATGATGCCACCGTTGGTGCAATCTCACATTAGTCTATCCATCTCTCCATCTAATTCCTTGCTTAAGCTGACACAATGCAGAGATAACGACTGCCACCTTGCTGGCCCGCACACTTCTGGAGCGCAGTACGCATCTGCTTAAGCCTCGTCTTGTGCCTCCCACTTGTAGGTCAAAGCCCAGCCACGAGTATCGAAATCTTTCGTATCTCGAACGTCCTAGACATTAAATTGCACCTGGATCATCGTGTTGTCGTGGACGCAACCGCATTCCATAAGATCGCCCCTATTGAGACGCTCAAGGAACTGACTATCACGCTCCCTGACGCTATTGCTAAGATCTCTCCTACCGCGTTCATGGCTCTAGGCAATGTTGTTAATCTTCGCACCCTGAAGATCATCCCCCTTGGTAAGATCAGTTGCGATGTCTCTGTCGTCAATCTTGTGATGCTGGAGAGGCAGTGGAAGGGAATGGATTGTCAGATTGTCAGATTGGTATCTATCTCGGTCAGGAGGAGGTTGGGGTGTTCGCTAAGCTGTGTCCTAAGTTGGACACTGTCCGGTTCGCTACGGTTAAGCGTGCATGTCAGAAGGAAGACCAGGGCGAGATTGTTAAGATCGAGCCCAAGGAGGTCAAGGGTGAGGGGGTCAAGTCACCTAACAGGATGGGTCTGCGCAAGAAGCTCGTCAAGCACTTGCAGCAGAGTCTACGTCGCAGGCTCTTCGCCGCCCACACCTCAGAGCCTCCAAGCCACTGCTGTCTCCATGGTAGAGATTCATGAGGGTTGAAAAAGCAATGCTTCCCTGGAGTAAGCAGTCGGTTAGTCAGAAGAGTACTGTCTGGGAAGCGGCAGGACAGTCGATAAGCCCGCGTCCATTCCTTCCGCTTCAAGGAGATCAGATAAGCTGCCAACGACAAGGGATCAGGGGTGGCAATAGCAAAAGGTATGGGGAAGAGCGGTGAAGAATCAAGAACAGGGTCGGCCATTTCTCCGGTGGTTTTATCATGTTGAAGTAGACATGATTAGTATATCATCTCCACTAACAAAACCAGATCGTCTTTCTCTTCCATGCCCCTGTGTACGCATACAAGGCATCGGGTGGACAAGGTCATAAATTTCGATTCGACTCCGACTGCGCGAAGCAGTCTGTGCCGTTGTCAATGTATACTATGGAATCCAGAACGTCTTTTCTGCATGTGCGTTTGCAAAACCACCGCAATTTCTGCATGCGACAAACGCAAGGCTCAACATTCCCTTCTCCAGCTTCATGAGGGTATTGTTGAAACCCTTGTTGCGTTTGTCTTTTGCTAATCGATCTAGAGTACCGCGCTGGCGGCACCATGATGCAAGTGCACCATCTTGTCGTCCTTGGCTCAAAGATTGCGATGCGAGCGTGAGAGAATGTACGAATGACATGATATCTTCACTCTGACAGTCCTTCGTCATCACCTCCCGGGAAAAGTACTGCTCTGTCAATGGAACATCTATCTCGCTCACCCAGTTAATCCCGACAAGTATTCCACCGCTTAGCGTGTAGACTGCGTGCAACCACCCGCATGGTATATAAAGTGTTTCCTGGTTGCTAGTGACTGTATACATGCCACCTTCGAGCAATGGGGAAAGCGTTACGAACTTGTGCTCGGCGTTGCCTGCGCGATAGATGAGGTCGAGATTCCTTGAGGTTGGGGGATAGCAAGCTCACAACTTGACACAAGATCCTAGAGTGGCGCTCAGAACATGAGTCCCAGAGTCTGCCAGTCGAAGCATAATCGTTAGTCTAATGGTAACACACATATTCTTTAATGCTGTGAGTAATCTGCATACCAAGATGAAGGTCTATGAAAGCGTATTGGGGAGAGAGCACAGCTCCGAATGAATCACTGTCTCCACAAGTTTGGCCAAGCTCCATGCTCAAGGCCTCTGGAACACGCATCATGTATTCTGTATGAGAAGACATGGGGATATTGAACACGAAGGGTGTGTTTGATGGGTCTGGTTCAGATAGACATCGCATGACGTCGGCGATTATTTCGTAAGTTTCGTTGCCTGAAACGAGATATGAGTCTCCCCGACGTCTTATTTCGCCCCTGGAGATGTTGGCAATCACCATCCCTTCAATAATCTTCTCCCTTGGTGTCGTGAACCAACAGTCGTCGTTGTGATATACCCTGGGACTCCCGAGAGAAGGCTCGTCGTAAGCAGCTTGGCTGCCGAGTAGTCGGACTTTCTGCGTCAAGATCGCAGTCCTAAAAGCTGCTGCCAGGGCTCTGATTGGAAGGTCCTGAGTTGCAAGGAATCCATCCAGTAAACTATAAGTATCGTCCGAGTTGTTTGAATAAGGGTTCCTGTTTGATCCTGCTCCGTTTCCTGTGCCCCATATACTTTCGGTACCTTTTGGAAGGACCGCAGGATCTTGCTGCAGCTCAAAGATCTTGTCTCGGAAATCGGCTGGATCCTGTACCCAGGTTGGAAAAACGCCTTTGACAGCAAGACTACTCAAACGCTTCTGGAGTATTCGGCCAGGTTTGGGTATGACATGTAGATAGACCCTGATGAAGCTCGAGTCGCCGGTAGTCAATGGCTCGTAGTGCACTCCTGCAATAGTTCCTTCTGATTCCTTGATGATATGTTGGAAGGAGGTGGTGCGGTTAAGTCCTGCGGCTGGGAAACTGTAGCATAGCAGAAAGGGTGCTCGAGCGGAAAGTCTTCTGTTCGGATTCATTGGTTCCTCGGTCTCCAGGTTGATCGCTTCAAACTCAGTACACAAGGGAAGCTGGGACTACGGAGACTCTGAAACAGTCTGAGGCAGCTGAACCCTCTATAAGAATTGGAAAGCGATATCATGATCAGCCTAGCCAAACTGCACGAAAAGAAAGGTTGTCGAGATTGGCTCTACTCTCGTGATCCACTTTCGGTTCTGTCTTGAACGTACGTGCGTAAGTGGCAGATAATGTCATCAATTTCGGTCAATTGTTCTGTATCTATCTTGTTCTGCATCTAAAGACCCCACTGCTAGGTTCTAGAGGTTGTGTGTGATCAATCCACTGGCTTTAGCATCTGTTGCCCTCCTATCTAGGTCAAGCGTTTTTACTTTTTGCTCGGGGCCATTGAACATCTCCTCTCGTTCACATTTGCATTCAAGTTTTGGTGGGAGCTTTCCGCTCCGCTAGTCTTGATCAAAGCTTCTGTCTCTTACCTGACGTGTAATGCAGTGGTACAACTCGGATATTGGAGTCCAGCATCTTAGTATACTCTTACACTTTCTTAAGTTGATCCACCTCCATACGACTGGTAACTCAAGCCACAGGATCAAACACCTCGTTTGATATCGCCGCATGACCCCTGAGGTCAACTTCCCCACTTTAATCGATGATGTTGTACTTTTGACTACACTTTTAGAGTTGCTGCAATATTCCAATGCGGTCTGGCCTCTGTCTAAAGGCATGCTCTGTAATTAGGCACTTCTAGGGAGCTTGGCATGATTTCTCGCTCGGGTTCTGCGTAAGACCCGATACGATTAAGCCCTTAACCAAGACTTAACACCTTTTTTGACACTTAACTTCACCTACTCCTAAAAGACTAATGCTCTAGCGGCAAACTTTATCTAATCATCCTAGACACGAATTAGAGTACTTGCTAAGGAAAAGGTTAACACGCCAGCTTTTCGGTAAAAAAGAGTGTTTTAGCTCCGTAGAGACAGTCGCTTAGATACTCGCTTAGAAGGGTATAGCTCGTACGAGTAGCGCCGCCACTCGTGTCGATCTAGAGGGGGAGGTAGAGCTACTAAGTCGTTCTTAAGCGAGAGGCCGAGGGCCGCGATATCGAAGTCTAATATAGATATTACTATATAGACTATAAAGACCTCGAAGAAGGTGTTACTACTCCTCCTACTCGATAGTCTTAAAGAGTAGGGTTACCGTCTACGGCCTCGCTTAGTTTATTATAAACCTCGTAAATCGTTTAACTATTTAGTCTATTAGAAGGAGTAGGACCTTAAGGACAAACCTACTAAGAACTATCGTCGCATCGCGCGGTTTCGAAGAGATAAGATACGACGGCTCGCGCCTCTACTTTTTAGTTAGAACGTTATTAGGACCTGTCGGCGACGATACTTCGTATTAGCTAAGAAGGCGCTCTACCTCGTATATAAGCGACTAGCCTACCTAGCGAGGTAGTATAACATCGCGAAGGACATTAGGCGAAGCGCGGCGTAGTGTTTAGAGGTCTTTAATAACTATGTCGAACGACTATACGATAAATAGAAGGAGCTTATCTACTAGCGACCTTAGCTAGATAGCTACGAGACTCTTAAGCGATACTCTCGCGCGAGTAAGAGCAAGGGATATACTTAGATATAGGGGTTTATTAATAGTACCTTCTTAAGCACTATAAGACTATTAGATGCTCATTTTTAGAGGTTAACATATAACGGATACTATGCTAGCAATAGCCTAAAGTTCCTCTTAGTCGTTATACCTAATAGGTTAATATTAGCAACTTCTAGACCCTTCCTTAGACCGGACAATAACTTCTTATTATATAAGTAGTTAGGTGTAGCTAAGAAGGTCTAAGAGGTCTGCGTAGACCGGCCGATGTTGTTTACCTATAGTAACAATGCGTTTTAAGAGTGCTATAGCGTAATCGCTCCCTTCTACGACCGCGTAGGCTATCGGTATCTACGAGATAACGAGAGGTTAGCAAATTATTATCTTTTAAGCGCGCGCATTGCTATTAAGCAGGGTTTTAGCAAGCATAAGGGATAGTTTACTTACTCTTACTTTAAGCACGCGCTAAAGTAAGGTCTTTAGCCTATTAGCGTATACTTCTTAGTGTCGGTATTACTAATAAACTACCTTAGTTGTATAAGATAGGAGAAGGGGAAACTAGATCCGATTACCTCTCGATTCAACTATATACTCTCGATTTAACTATATAGTTAAAAGTAGTAGTAGTTCGACGGAGAGTAAGGAAGGAGATAGAGTAGTCGACGACGACTCTTAATATAGCAAATATACACTAAAAAACGCTAAGTTTAGAGACTAGTTTACCGCGCTTAACTCTAGCTTCCTCTCTAGCTCATTAAAAGCCCTAAAATTTGATTAATCTTCTCGTTCGTCGCCTTCTATTCTTCCTCGCGCCTATCTATACGCTCTACTAGTGTTTTAATTACTGTTTCTACCTCTAAAGTAGGCCTCCTTCTACTCTCTATCTTCTCTCGATACTAGCGCTCGTCTTAAGCGAGCAAAAGGCGACCGAGTTTAGTTACTGCGTCGGCTCTATCTAACTAACTTTAAGAGCTCTAAGATAACTTTTTATGCCTTCTGCGCTTCCTTCTAGGTACTTCTTTATTATTAGAGCTATCCTTATTATCATTTGCTAACCGCTTAAGCGAGTTCTCCTTATAGCTATTCCTTTAAAGGCGCTCGGCGATGACACGGTCGTCCTTACGCTATTTTACCTTATTAGTTTCCTCCTTCTTTGCTAACTTAGCAATTAACTACTCGTATAAGCGCTTAAGTTATAAAAGGTTATAGCTAGTGCTAACCTTACAATCCTTCTTCCTTTCCTTATACGTTAGTATCTAGCCCTTAAGGGTCTTCTACGAACTATTAGACTTATATCCATTTTTTGCTCCTAGGTACGCGCGTTTAGTCTTCTACACCTTTAAGTCATATATACGGCTAAAGTTAGTCTCTAGCATTATAAACTACGCCTATGTTATTATGTCTCGTAAGCTCTTCTTATAGCCCTTTACGAACTCTAGGAACTTACTCTAATTATCCTTAGTCTAGCGATATCGAACCTCCTTCTTTATTCTTCTGCCCCGAGGACTAAGGCCGAAGACTATCTTACTTACGCTATAGTCCTCGTTATCCGAGTAGCTCTACTTAACTTCTACGATTTCTAGACTTATCGGGGTAGGTAGCTCGACCTACGTAGGTTTTAGTCGGATCGGTGTCGACGGAGGAGGCATCTAATAGACTAGCGTAGTCGGTTACGGTTAACTTACTAGCATCGGTATTACTAGCATTAGTATTAATGTTATCGACGGTAGGTACTAGCTCTACGGCATCGACTAAGACGGTACAAAACCGCGCCTATATAGGTAAGCTAAGTAGTCGTCGACCGTCGCATACGCTAAGTAGTTAAACTAATTATTAACGACGCGACCGTATATAGGGCTATAAGACGATTAGGGTACATACGGCTAGCTCGAAGGCACCTCTACTACCGAGGGTTAAGGTAGCTATCCGGTGCTAGGATTAGTCGGGAAACTATAGGGACTTCTATACCTAGGATAGGCCATTTTGGCAGCGTTTTAAGCGTTCTAAGGTATAAGAAAGGTATAACAACCTACGAACAACCTAACTACCGCTAACGTTAACATTAACTCTAGATCTATATGCTAAGTACGCTATAATAGTACGCCTTACCCCTTCTAGTCGATAGCGAGGACAGACACTTAGTAGCTCTCGTCGACACCCTCTAACTTAATTATTAGCGCTACCTTCCTCTTTAAGCAATAGCTTGCTTAGCTAGCTAACCTTATATACTACCTTCGACTTAGAGGGCAGCTCGAAGCGGTCCTCTCGGAGCCCTTCCGAGCGAAGCGAGCTAGTGTCTCTACGGAGCTAAAACACTCTAATTTTAATGTCGGTGCTCTAACCTCGGCTATATAATCATGTAATCTTTCTTATTTAGCATTGTATATCGGTATATTCGATCTTCTAACTAAGCATGCCTTACTTAGTATAGGAGACGCTCGGTTTTACGGCCGAGACGTAGGCGCTATAGTTCTATAGCGTTTACTCGAGCTATTTAGGCAGAGCCGGTTAGCCTTAACGATTGCGGTCTCCTTTATATTCTAGTTTAGGACGCGTTGCGCGGTATTAGATACGAGCCGAGAGAGATCCACTCGGACTTTCTTAACAGAATCAAGATTAGGCTAAAGGCCAGCGAAGCAGAGACCTAAGCACATAAAGACATAGCCATGCTGAATATCAGGGATGGCGGGCAAGTGTCTAGCCAATCAGCGTTGGCTTAGTGCGCCTGCTCGATCTGACGATGGTGCAGTCTCGCATTTATAATAACTATGATCCAGTACTTTCAAACCGAAGCTGTCACGCTCTCTCAAACACATGAATTTCGCGATCATCTCTGAGCTTGCTCTTCTGCTGACTGGCCATGTTTCGCACACAAAGCCGCATTCTTACTTCCCTTTGCACTTTTTTGCTTATCTTCTTATTGCAAATATGGTATCTTTCATCTGGCGACCACAAGGCCCTAATTCCGTCTGAAGTGGTGGTCGTGGCCCCCCAGCAGATTGAGACACAGCTTCTCTGGCACGACATAGACACTAAGAAAGACTCCGACCTGCCCATCAAGATACGCAGTACGAGGTTGACAAAGAGAGCCTTGACGTTCGAAGATGCCGTTGCCAAAGGTTGCGCTAGGCTTCGCCAAATGGCTGGGACCGACCGTGTGGTAATTACAGCAGCCCAAGAAATGCTCACTTGGAACATGCCTACTCACTTATCACTTCTTAGCTTGCTGCAGGAGCGTTCAACGATGAGGATCTTGCCGGCTGGTCACAGGGGATCGAGGATGCTGAGCCTCCAGACGATTTGCAGAACGCTTTGACATCCCTAGGGATCCCTTTCCAGGAAGACGACTTCCAGGAGATGAGTTGGGAAAATAATGCTCGCACAACCAAGAACGGCAATTCATATCCAGTCAGTGTCATCGAGTGGCAAGTTGCACAAATACTAATCATCGTCGACCCAGCCATCCGGTGCTGAATACACCAACTACATGAATGCAGGAAGTGGCATCATCATCAGCAGTAACAACTACGGTCCTGGTTCATACGATGTTCCTCGGAACATGTGGCCACCATTGTGGAGATTCTCCGACGTGACATGGTTGCAGTGGACCCGCGCCGCTAATGCTAACGTTGGGAACATCAAGTACTGGATGCGAGTCACGATCGCCAATGACGATACTCTCGGCATCATCGCTCAGCTTTTTGGTGGCGTGAGTACATTCTTGCGGACCAGTCTACGCAGAACTGGACAGAAGCTGAATGTTCTCTTAGGATAGACTCAATGTACCACAATGGCCCGGAGAGACATTTCTCATGTCTGGAGGTGAGCAGAGTGTGTCAGACCGGTTGCCGCTCGCATAGACTGACAAGAGTACTTGTGACAGATCAAGGGAAAGCACTACTGGGTACGCCGAATGCTGCTGGGGTATGCTGGTTTCTAGCACAGCACGTAAGTGAACTTGGACGCCGACTCACGGTGTCAAAAGCCACGGTGTTTGCCTCACTTGAAGAAGGCTCTGGAACGCCTTTGTCCAACATCCTCTTTTACATAGTTCCTTCTACGTAAGCGTTGGAACAAAGCTCTGAGCAAGAGACGACATTACACGCACAGCTTGTTTGAGAGTCAAGTTGGACACTTTGATTCCATATGCTATACGCATCATATAGACCAGTAATCACATAGTGTCAAACGTCGCTACATACATTGCTGGATAGTCCATAGACGTTCCCAAAAGTTGCGGCTGCTGCTGCGCTATGACACGTGCATCTTTGGTAATACATGATGGATGACTGAACATATACTGATAACTCAAAGCCCGAGGCTAGGAAGTAGGATAGTACAGTCTGTCGGAGTTTGGATCTTGTCACGAATTCAACCGAACCAAGGACTAAGCACCGAATAGTCACTGGACCACATGGTACAACATCTGTAGCTAGAACGATGTTGGGTAAAATTGCTGCATTATACGTAGATGATAAGATCCCTGAGATTGGTGGAATTGCTAGTATTCCATCGCAAAATATCGTTACGTATTTGTATGCGGGCATTTAGGTTTGTCTCACCATCCAAGTGAGACCACTTGTAACTGCCAGAGGAACTTGATTTTCTAGAATACTGACGCACAGCACGATCAGATACAAATTCGCCAAGGAGAGCTTTGACTCCGGCTTCGCAATAATACACTAACGTTGGAACGCAAGCAAGGAGGTGGTCGAGCTAACGCAGATCCCATACATTTGTCCGTGCGTGATTACTAAGGCTTGCTCATGTATCACTAATAACCCCGCCTTCCGGTCTGCTTGTCATATGCTTGGATCGCCGCCGACTGAATATTTGTTTCTTCCTCAGAATCTTATACAATGCCCGATTTCTCGGTGTTACCAGCACCGTTGACCTTGCACATCCTTCTGGAGCTGCCAGATTTGAAGGCTCTGTATGCTGCGATTCTAGCTTCGCCGCACATCTACGCCGTCTTCCGTCTAAACAGCAGACGCATCTTCAAAAGAGTTGTCGCACGCACTCTGCCAGCGCGACTTGTCTCCCCGGTTCTAATATACATGTTATTGCGAGAGCGTCTAGTCATGGAAACCGAGACTATGACCATGGAACAGATGCAAGCGACGATCGATGATGTGGTCAGCACCGCAGCAACCAATCCATGGCCTCAAATATCCCATGGGACGATCTTCCATACAGTCGCTGAAGCAGTCCGCATTCATGATATCGCTTTCTTCATCCTTCGCTCTAAGCTTGACTACTTTGGCACGCTCGTATTCGAAAAGCTGGCGAATCCAAATTTCAGATATAGAGGACCCTACACTCCCCGTTACAATCCAGAGGTTGTCCTCCTGAACATACGACACCCTTTGAGTGACCCTAGCTGGGCTGAAGAGACTCGCGCTATCCGTGTCCTGTGGCTTTTAGCTGCTGGATGGCGAGCTTCTCAAGTTATGATGACTCCGCCCAATGGCACCGTGGAAAATTTAACACAACCTCAGCGAGCACTAGTCAGCCTTGAGGACCGATCGATGATGGCGCTCTCTGTCGAATTAGCAAGAAGCTTTCTTCTAGGTCCTGTGCTGCTCCCGCCTACCAAGTGCAACAGGACAGTTAGCCGCAATTTCGACGTCCTACAGAACTATCCTGTCCGATGTGCTACGCCCATCCTCCTGGATACCTCGGTTGACGGATTACCGACCGTAGCACAGTTTGCGTCAATTCCAGCACTTCCTGTTGACACGTCATATGACCAGAGCAATAGCTGGGGAGACACAATATTCGACCTCCTGGGAATAAATCGCGAGTTGTTATACACCAGAATCCATAGGCGCCGTCTCGACGGCCCTCTGCAAGACTCGAGAAGCGAGTCTTTTGACTGTCTCGGATTTGGGCTTTGGGATACTCGGCGTACGTGTTTTGAGCTAAGGATTCGCTCCCACACACCGCCACAATCTGCGGGCAGCTCCTTGAACAAGACCCGTCTGAGTAGGAGTGAACAAGTGTTCCGGCTGTATAAGCTTTATGAGCAACAGGAGCAGCGGGAGCAGCAGGGCTGGCATCGATAGAAACGACCTCACTGCCATGCCCCGAACGATCCAGCTCCCCGTACGAATCGACTACAACCTCGGGTTTTCGCCGGTCTTTTTTGTAACTGATATATATTTCCATCTATTGACTTCCCAGACTAGAGTTTGCATCGCAGAAAGGATATCGTCTCACACAAAGTCGCTTTAGGAGGCTTCAAATTGTTGATCCCATAGCAGGCTTTGAACTGCATTTCAATAACACATCCCCCGTAATGTGTACACACAGGCATGGAAGCACCGACCAGACGCGCCTCGCGTCCGGGTGTCTAGCCTTAACATTAACTATTCAACTTTGTTCACTTTTCTGTCACATCATATCTTACGAGGTCTGTGCTCGAGCGACAATCATGTTATAGCCATCTGATGATTTTCAATTGGTATTCTGTGGGCAGGCCTAGCCTATAAGATTCTATTATGATAGATGGCGGGAGAAAGACGTGAAATAGGAGTCTCTGCTAGTAGACCGCCTTAAATAGGGCTCGATGCGACGAAGATAACCGACTAACTGTTTCCTTAGACACGGAATTGCGCCTTACTAGTCTAGACATTCTAGAAATGGACACCCCTATCTCTTAAGTTAGAGGGAACCTATCCGCTACCAGGAGAGAGTGCGAAGCTAAGAACAAAGTCCCTTATGCATAAGTTAGTGGTCCGTTCTAACTACTTCTCGCGGCAGAAAAACCTTATAATCCTTAGATGTGTAGATACAATTGCCTCTACAAAGAGTTCTAGGTAGTATATGCTAATCTAGGAACTAGTTTAGAGTTCCTACATTCTAATAGTATAATCTAAACTGCTAGAGATAAGCTCTCTACTAGTAGGTGAGATTGTAACACTATAGACCGTAACTTCGTAACTAGGGTTATTGCCGGCCTCCTCTAATCCCTTAAGAAGGTTACTGCTTACTAGTTCTAACACTCTAACACTCTTATCTAAATAGCTAGGGGCTAGAAAGCGATTATCGTATAAGACATTAATAGTAGTAATCTAGTCCTCGAGGGTAAGGTAAAGTAAATACTAGTTGTCAATAATATCCTAAACATAGAAAGTGCGATTAGCAGATCTAGATGCAATGTAATAACTATTAGATGAATAACTAAGGAGTCCATACCTTGCTTATAACTAGCAAATTAATGGTAGATTTAACCGACGCTAATATCTTAAATCTAGAACCCTAAGACAGCAAGAAGCTTTATTAGGAGGTAACTATATAACATAAATATAAATGATCTTATGTTTAGCACTAGTAGCTAAATATCGATTGCCTAGACTAAAGTAGACACTCCTTATATATAGATCACCGTTCTAAGGTAAGCTCGTATCCTATAGATGCTTAACCTACTAGCTATTATCGACATCGAAGATCCCTAGATAGGAATGCATTTTTAAGCTTTGTAGCACTTTAAAATCTATCTTTATTTTCTAGAATCTTAATGATTAGCCCGAATCCTGTTCTATAAGCTCTAGACTATGTAGAGAACCCATTCTAGCCTTTACTAAGACATTAAAGATAGGAGTACCGAGAGGTGGACCCCTATAGCCTACCGCAAAGTATAGACTAATATATTAAAGGTTTAGTGCTACTTAGGCCACTATATCGATAATAGCTTAGTTACTATAATTCATATAACTAGCCGAGTCTATATAATCGTAGTGCATTATAACACTATATATGTAGCGAGATGTTGCTAATTCTAACTCCTATAGATCGATGCAAATTAGAGCGATAGATAGTTAGAAGAGACTATAGAAGATAAGATTTGTTAGATAGACCTAACATTAATGTAAGGTATTCTTAATATATCTTAAGATATAAGGAAGAATAGATTTAGCGTATCCCTATATAAGCTTATAAAGGGTAGGAAGGCTCTTAATTAGACTAAGTAGATTTTACTACTCGTTATCTCGGGTTATAAGCTACGTCGTTAAGGCATTAATACTGCAATATTTCTACGTTTTAAGCGGAAGATCTCTATAATCCTTAAGAGTATAGGTTAGTAGTAGATAGGCTAGTGCTAATATAACGTAAAGAGACTAGATATAGTAGAAGCTCGCTAAGGTAGTTAAAAGCTTAGAGTAGCGCTTCGCTTCGAGATTAAGAGACACTAGTAATAAGAACTTAATATGCATATCTTAGAAGATAAATGGTCGTAAAGCTACTTAATGCTCCTAGCTAGTACTAGAGAAATTTAGCACGCTAGTTAAGTCGAGAAAGTCGCCTATCCGCTATATCGTTTTAGTTAGTAGACGCATTATATCTCCATTAGCTAGGGTTCCCCGTCGATGCCCCTACTAATAGGACTATGTTTCTATATGTTAACGATATGCTCTATTATCGCAGCTAGGACAAACACTATATATGGTGTTACTACTGTCTAGTAATGCTAACTTAGCGTAAAGCTAGTAAGACTCTGTCGCTTATAGTATACCCTAGACATAACTTATATAAATATATAGCCTAGGAACCGCTTTAACTAACGTCTTATATTAATTAGACAGTAATGCAAAGGATCTTAAACTTACCTTAGCCCCGTCTTTAAAGAGATAAGCGCTACTAAGTCCTTCATTTTAGGCCTAATTCGTAAGAAACTTAGTATCGTTTAACGAGCATTTTAGGAAGTAATGCTTATTAACATACCTATTCATCTCCTTCTATATAGCGCTTATTAGGTTATCTCGTTATGACCTAACTGCCTCGCGTAGCTATAACCTTATTAGTAAGTCAAATTAATGAATAGTAATCCCCTACTTACCTTATAGACGATAGCACTACTAGGTATATATAACGTACGCGTACCTAGGTTAGACTCTCGCTCTGCTTCCTAGACACTATTCTATGTCCTCTTTATTAATTCATTCGTCTAATCTAGGTCCTAGACAGCGGGACAGAAACTAGGATAGATAAACACGGGTTTAGTAGAAGGGGGTACTAAGCCTAGCTACATCTTAACGCCTACGCTAGTTACATAATTAACGATCATCTTAGCTCGATTAAAAACACGCTACATGTTAGGGGGTAGTAGCAAGCGACCCTATATAACAATCTACCTAAGGTCTTTTCGCCTAGCGTAGTAGACGATACTAGGCTCGTCGACAGCCTTAGACACTTGTTGCTAACTCCGGCGCTAGCTGCCGCGCTTAGGCGGCAAAGGAGAGCTATTAGGATCGTCCCTAAATATTATTTCGACTAGAGCAGGTTCGTAGTTAGTAGCACGTGCGCCTACGTAATATTAGTAACATCTATCTAAGTAGGACGCGCCTTCGATATATACTATAGGTAGAACCCTATACTCGAGGCATCTAAACAGTTAGTATAAATGGAAAGACGCGTTAAAAAGGAGGCAAGGAAGCAAAAAGTAGAAACTAACGCGTCTTCGTAAACAATAGTAGGTAGGTAAAGAATTAGAAGAAGAAAGAGAAGAAGGAAGAGAAGAAGGAAGAGAGGAAGGAAGAGGAAGATAGATACTTAGACGCGTTTTATAGTTATCTATAGCAATTCGCAGTAGTCCGTACTCTAAGATTACGTAGACTTAGCATTCTCGTAGCCGTCTAGCTAACCCTAGTAGACTATGCTAGACTATCTACTAGACTCTATTTATAACCCTAAGCTCTTATAAGTAGACTCTACGCTTACTGTCTAGACACGGTCTAGCTAACTATATAGCAAGCCATTATAAAGGAAGGAAGAATTCGTTGCACGAGTAGAACAATCATTTAATATTAGTAAGTCCTTTAAGTAGACCTTAGTAGAGTATACTAAGTCGCCGTCCCTATCCTTTATAATAATTTCGTACGCTTAAATCTCCTCCTTATAGTTAGCCGAACCATTAGGTAATCCTACGAACTTAACTACGAGCATAACGTAGCGCTTGTCATTAATAACCTTACTAGTAATATTGCTAATAACCTTATTAAGGTAGGTAAGCAGCACCTTTATAAGACTCTTATCTAGGTCGAGAACCTCGAAGTCCTTATTAACCTTAGCCTCTAACTTTTCCTTCATATTAGAGCCACTATCTATAATAATGTAGTAGCAGCTACTAGCAAGGAACTTAGTAACATCCTTACGTAGCTTAAGGTCCTTATAGAATATAGTTACTGTCTCCTTAACCTCTTTCTCTAGTCTAGATAGGGTACGTAAGTCTCCGACGCTAGAGGTAGAGGGGTAAGAGATCGAGGCCGAAGATAAAGTAGGAGACGAGTTAGATCTACGACTACTAGAAGGGCTAACACCGCTAGTTCCCTTAGACTTAATACGGGAGGTAGCATCGAAACTACCTATTACTTCTCTAAAGCGCGGAGTATAGGCGCGCGGAGACTAGGCGGCGGTAAACATAGTAGTATTATTATAGTTATCTTCCTCCTTGTTCTTAATCTAGACTTTATAGGTCGTTATAGTAGCGACGCGTTAGGTAAGAGTAGGGGTAGAGGGCTCGTTAGTCGAGTCGATAGTTATAGGAAGAGAGAACTAGCGCTTCTAAGGGGGCTTCTAGTCGGTACGGTAGACCTAGTAAAAGGCGAAATCGAGCGTAAAGGTAATAGGTAATAGTAGGGATCGTGTTCGATAGACGCGCAATTAATAGCTAATGTAGTTAAAGTGCGCGTGTACAGTGTAAAGGGTTTTAAGGCAGGCNTTAGGTAGAGGCTATAGAATGTTAGTGTTAAACAACTAACACGTTAAGAAGGACTAGACACTTATAGTAGCAAGAATAGGATCGTTCTCGTAAGTAACATCGATCGGGCCTACACCGCTAGTAGGAGTAGCTAGTTTATTAACAACCTTAGGAGTGCCTCTCTTTCTAGGAGTCTTAGTCTTTACTCTAGTAGTAGGAGTTAAGGGAGTCTAATTCTTATCTCTAGACTCGGCTTCGAGAGTAGTAGGAGCAGGCTAGGTAGCAGGTTAGTAGCCTTAGTAGCAGCCTCGGTAGTGGTCGCCTTCTTCTATAAACGTAGTATAAGGGATAGTAGAAGCTACTTAC